ATTCGCCGCCTCCCTGATCTCATAGAGCTGCAAGATCTCGCCCCAACCATCCCACTGCGCGGGCACGATCCCGTCCACGGGCCGGTACTTCCGGCGCGGCGGCGGCGGCCGTTCTCTCGCTTGCGCCGCTGTCCAATGACGTCAGTCAGCGACTGTCGCCGATTCAGAAAGCATCATGATGGACATACCGTAGAAGCGCTGTCGGCCGTAGTAGCGCGGGATTGTGAGCACCGACGGGGGCGGCGTCCATGCGGGGTTCAGCATCGACCGGCCCGGGGCGGCCAGCCGCCGCTCCTTCCGGCGCTGCACCGACGGGAGCGGGCGCGCAAAGACGTTGTTAGGGAACAGGTGTGGGCAGCGCAGCCGCAGACAATGCAGCGGGGAGAGGACCGGGGGCAACATGGGTGTCGGTGTCTAAGGGACGAATGGTCCCCTGTCTTTCCTTGCGGGTCACTTATGTAGACTGTGAACATTGGAAGTACAAGTAATGGTTGCAACGAATTCATTCATTGGTTGTTTAAAGTAAACAGAGGTAACACAAAGGTGGTATACAGACTTCTCGACAGAGCAAAGTGTTAAGTAAACGAGAAGTCCGAAGTGGTTGTCGTCCACACCCTCAACACGTGATGGCTAGCGCTGGTGAGGGGTGCGCTGCCTCAGGCTGCTGCTCAGGTTCTTGTTGCTGTTTTCGCAGCTTGCGCGTGGAGAGGTATTTTGACACAAGGGTCATGTGGCGTCTCCACTGGCAAGCAGGCAGCTTGATGTGGCGCCTCCACGCAGTAAACACTGCAGGGGCTTGTCGCTTGGCTGGCGAGGAAGAGGGTTGAGCGGGGGCTTCAACTGCCTTGGACGCTGTGATTGATTTGAACGACCCCTTGCATTTTTGCAACAAGCGCTTGAACAGCGAAGGGCGGCGCTCGTCTGCACTCTCGTTGGCAGCAGCAACCCGCGCGGGCTTTGGCCGCGGGAGAGGTGCTTGGTAGTGTGGTGCGGGTTTGACGAGGGACAGGCCGATGAATGCCGCGATGAGGCAAACGAGGCTCTACAACATTTGTCAGCACAACGAGCGGCAGAGAAGAAGAAATACGCACCGAGAAGAAGCCCGAGATCGTTAAAGGGAAGGCCTTAACCTTCATCACAAGTGTCACCGTCTCCTTGTTTGAGGAGAACGATTCGGCGACGCTGGTCACGGATGATCGCCGTCTGCGAGGCAATGTCGAGCTCGCTTCACTGGCAGAAGAGCCATTCGAAGCGACCGAGGACTTGCGAGAGCGGTTGGGCTTTGGCGTGGAGTCCTCGACATCGAGTGGCGAAACCTCCTCGACAGGAGTCTGAGTGGTTGTCTCCTTGTAGTCGGGAATAGTGAACTCGGGCGGCGCCGCAAAGTCCTCTGGCTCTTCGCCAGATTGTTTGCGGCGACGGATGTGGTCGACGCCAGCATGTGACAGACGCCGAATGCGCTTGGGAGTGTGGCGAATGGTAGCCAGCATCTCGGGGACAAACGGTGCCGGAGACGGAACGGAAGGCAAAGATGTTTTAAAGTCGCAGTGCTTCGCAGCAAGACGGGCGGTCTCGACAGGTGAGCGGGTTGCGAATGTGAACGACATAGTAGTTTGTGGTTGTGGTTTGTAGTTGAGAACGGTTAGCGGGAGGGCTAGGCTTTTATAACCGAGCGCCGCTGGATGTCTGAGACCACCCGCCAGCGGAGCGGGTGGACGGAGTGCTCCACACTACCCCAGACAGTCTCGCGTGCCATGCTTCCGGCGCGGATGAGAATGGGTAACCAAGAGTTCGGAGTTGTCTTTTTGTCTGCATGCCCGCGCCGATGTTCAGCGTTCTTTGTGGTGCAGAAGTAGCAGATGATGGTCGTTGAACAAGCCGAAAGCCGGCCACAGCTCACCAATAGGACTGCCAGGCTTTTCTTCCCAAGACCATCCACTCTTTTGGCCCTTCTGAATCCGGGAACGGGCCGACATGCCCGACGGAGGTGCTAGACATGACGTCAACTTGAATCGCGGCGCGACGGAGGCAACTCAGACCTGTGCGGTGGAAGCAAAAGTGTCTCGTTTCACTTGCTGGGGAGACAAGACAGTGTGGGGTCTCTTTTTCGCGGGGTAGTAGTTGGCTTGGAGAAGAGCAACTCAACCGCCATGATGGTGGTTAGAAGCCAAGCCGTGCTGATGACATCAGCCGATATCAGTCACGTTGATGTCTGCAGCCTTTTCTTCCCGACCACGACCGCGACTTTCAAATTTTCGCGTCTTTGTGGACTGTATGCGCGACTCTAACTCGTGGGCCGAAGTGCCCGATGGGGGATGCGAGACATGACGTCAAGGCAAGACCTGTCCGACGGAAGCAAGTCAAACCAGTGTAGCGGAAGTAAAATGTCTCACTTTGCTTGGGTATAAAACCCTTCCTGGCTCGTCGAACTCTCCAGCTAAATCGCTCTTGCATTCGCACCACTACCATCTACCAAACCACTCTTAACCTCTACTTTAACCAACACACCATGTCGAGCACTACCATTCCCGCTGCTTTCGACAACAGCTCTGTCTCCTGTTCATCGAGCGAGCAATCACAAACCACCCTTACTCTCCGGGAGCGCCGGGGCTTCACGCTCTACCTCTCATTCGCCCCCGCGTTCCCCAAGATTGAGCCAAAAGGCCAGCTTGGACCCACCCACGCCAACCTCCCTCGTCGTCGCAAGCGGAGCAGCGTTGTCTCAGTCGAGATGCCATCATCCAAGGCCGCTGCTCCCCTCGCTGAAAACACAGCGTACTTCTCGTAGACGGCAGGAGTTCGGTGGGGTGGAGAAAGTTATCACGTTAGTATTTGGCGTGGTTGCGCGCTGGAGGGACATTGTGCCCATTGCGCTAAAGGGGCAGGACGAGCAACTTGAAACGAACTTAACATAACTATAAACCACAAATGTTATATGCTAATCCTGCCCAACAATTCCTGTTTTGCGTTTGCTTCGTTCATGTAGACGGTGGTGATGAACTTGAACTTGGGAAGAAAAAATTCGATTGTGACTGAGTAGACAAATGACAATTGTTCCATATCCAAATCGTTCACCAGTTGGCCAATTGTTTTCGTACGACATTACAGCCTGAGTGCAGTTGCCAATAGAAGCTTGCTTGACCGAAAGCGCAAGGAAAACGGGGACAGGGATGATGATCGAAATCTGGGAGCCAAATGGAATGCCGACTTCTCGAGTTTCGTCACCACTATTACTTGGGAGTAGCCAATCACAGTAGGTTCGCAAGCATCGTGTTCGAGAACAACTTTACTAACCAGTTGAAGAAATGGGCCGCATTGTCGACTGGTTTGCCTAAAGTAATATTGAGACACACTCCGATTCAAACTAAGAGCCAACCTTCGAAAGACGCCGTGATGACGTTGACTGGCCCATCTTAGACTGAAGGCACCCATTTGACTGCAAAATCGAGGGTGTCGATAGAGGCACGAAAGCCCATTGAAAACGATCACTGTATGTTAACGGAGGCACTTTTGTGTTTTTGTACCATTACGAACACGCCGAGTTTGCGATGCTTTGTGCGAAGTCTTCAGACATATTTGATCTCGTACTGGGCATGCCGATTTCCAAGCACTTGATCCATTTGAGCACGAACATCTTGTCGGGGTGTTTGAGGAGGTAGTAAACCATGAATGTTATCATGCCGGATGAAGCTTCATGGCCAGCAATGAGAAATGTCAGAAGCTGAGCACATTCGTCAGCAAAAAAAATGTAGAGAACTAAGACGACATACATTCTGTGCAATGAACTCCTCATACATGGCTTGTCCCGCTTTTGAGGTCCCAAGAAATGAGCATCGTATCAGGCAAGTCACGTTTCTTGACAGGATTTTGCTGACGGTTCTTCACGATGGCGTTCGCCAGCTCGCGCATTGAGTTCATATCTGTAATACTGTAATAATTGGTGTTAGTCTTGCAAATAATCGACTGGAACGATTCGGGACGTGTTGCTCGTCAGGAACCACACTCCAGAAGAAAGTCGCCCATTGCAGTTGCAAATTCGGGTTGAGGTAAAAAAAAATTTCATCGAGCGGAATGTCAATGTGTGAGAGGGTAAGACGAGTGAAGTCGTCAACGACATCAATGGTAGCTCTGGAGCCAAGACGCTCCCACTAAACATTTCACGTCAGAAAAAGGCAGGAGGTAGTCGCGGTAGGACTCACCTTAAGCAGAAGCTAGTAATATCGCGCATCTCTTCTATCGTGTCATTATAAGGGTCGAATGCAGGCATTAAAGGCGATCTTTGAAGCATCAGGGGGCTAATCTTCCATAAGGAAGTGTCGACTTACGTGCAATCAGACTCTTCAGGCTGAGCTGTAAACAAGCCATCCCCAGTGATATTACACACTTCGCCAAGCCCACTGCCGACGCGTTATTGGAAACGCTTCTCGTCGCACACTTCATTGGCAAGGCGATATGACGGCCATTTGACGACCTGTATCTCCAGGGTCAACAAACAAACAGAGCCGGGAACGAAAACTCACATGTCCTTGTGAGTTGGTAAATCTCCCCGTACTTTTTTGCCAGGAGCGAAAAGTACTGCATGGGGAGCTCGCGGTCCACAGAAGTCGCATTCAAGTCGCATTTCCGAGGAAAGGCACGGTTGCTGGCTGGTGATCGTTTTTGCGTGCGGCCCAAATAGCGTCATGCTCTTCTCCGCAGTGCCCCGACATTCAGGTCATCGATTTTGACGATTGGGCCGCCATTGTGTTGGAGAGAGGGGACCGGAACGGGTGCGTATGTGTGTTGATTCAGATGGTAAGTATATGAAGTGGTCCGGACAAGCTCCGAGATTTGCGGAGTGGAGGAGGATAAGCACATTGACCTCTGCAGAGATACATCGTCGATGGGTGCCCGACAATATAGTTGGCAAAGGTTGGCAAGAGAAATGACGGTCACAGTTGTTGGTCAACAGCTGTCAACACATCAGGTTCAAGTTGATTCTTGAACCAATCTTGAACGCCATGGCTTCACGGCTCCTCCTCACACATTACTTCCGACCACGTGGAAGCCAACCACTGTGATTATCCACTCTTTCCTCTTGAACTAGCCGTTCTTGAACTTGCTTATTTCAATGTAGCCCGCAGACAACCCAGGCAGACATCCAGAGTCTTTTGGACACGCTGCCTGCCGTGAGCAGCAGCTCCCTCGACGTGATTTACTCCAATTCCCCCCTCCCTGGACCAGAGGAGGAATGCCTTTGCCTACAACTCCACACCCTCGAGGCTCACGTGTTACCCATCGAACGCGAAATGGCGAGGTCTCGGCTGGCTGTTCCTTTATTAGAGACCACTCTGGATCAATGGAAAACGCTGTATTCAAAGCTTCAGAACGAGGTTGAGGCGCGCCGCCGACTGTTTTCACCCATTCGATGGATTCCAGACGAGCTTTTGTGCGAAGTTTTCGCTCAGTGCGTGAATGAAGATGAAAAGAAGGCCGACTTTTCGTTCTCCTTGACGCGCGTAATTCGTGTCTGCCGTCGTTGGAGAAACGCCGCTTTGTCCTGTCCAAGTCTCTGGCGACGCGTCGACGATGACTGTCATTATCTGCGTAAAGGAGACACCGAGCGAAACATGCTTTGCCTGCTTAGTGTGCCTGAAAGCATCCAGCGAGCGATGTTCCACTTGACACACTCCGGCACTCACCTCCCACTGTTCGTGGGCTGCTCGCGAAGCTTCGATAATTCCGGAATCGCTCTTCTCCCTCCGGAAGACCCCAAAGATATACCCCGCGGTGCCGCCTTTCTGGATGCGATTCTCAAAACATCTACGAGATGGGCAACCCTTTCCCTCCGATTTTTAACCGTCGAGGAGACACATGCCTTCATAAACAAAGTGCTCCAGAAACAAATCAGCTTTCCCAATCTCACACGAGTCACCATCCTGACTAGGTACCACATCACGGGCTCCGTATCTCTGGACTGCGTGCCTCTTCTGAGCCGCATGCCGGCTCTGAAACACCTCACGCTCATTGATAACACCCCACTTAAATCGGGTCTGGATATCCATTCAGCGCCATGGAGTCGACTGCAGTCCTGCAAGCTCGACTGGCGCTGGGGAGCGCAGGCATTCCATGTCTTCACATCGTTTCCCCCCAACTCACGAGTGGTTGTGCGTTTCGCAAAGCATAAAACACAGCTACCATATGCCGCGATAAAGGTTGCGTTGGGAGAGTTGGTGCTCGATATGTGTCAGCTGCAGTTTATTTCCAACATTCTCTGGGCCCTTGTCGCACCCAATCTTCACACCCTCGAACTTTGGGGCAGGTACGGCCCCCTCCGGCAAACGACCATCACCATTCTCGATGTTGCTCGGCTGACGCAGAGGTCTTCGTGCTACATAACTGAGAAAACTCGCACTAATCTTACATCAATTGGACACGTGGGACTCTCTGCTTGCCTTCCTCGAATCCGACGGTGGCGGCGCCGCTCTAGAGCACCTCGATATTTCGGCACCCAACCTTGTGCCCCAACTGCTGCAAACCCTGACTGTCCGAGGCAACTTTCTTGTCCGCCTGCGTAGCCTTGGGATTGTGTACCGGCATCGGCTGGGCGATTCTGTGTTACTCGACCTTAACAGCAGCAGGCCGAATTTGCATACTTTGCGCATAGAGTCAAGGTCTGCTCTTGGAGGAGTTTCTCGGCCCGTCCGCAAGGTTTTGAAGGCCCGTGGACTGGATATAATCATGACTAGCTTGTACATAGCGGACGATGACGACTAATGAATACTAGTATAGGACTCAGACTTGTAGGCTAACAGAATAATTATACTTCTCTTCGTTGTTTACGCACGGGATTCAGGCCACTATCGACACCGAAGTGGGTTTTGACAAATGCTATCAGTAATTCTTGTCAAGGTCTCGTACATCGGTAGAAAGAGACACGTTGACGGAGTGAGATTAGATTAGATGAAGGAATCAAAGATATCCGGATCCCACCATGTCGTCTCAAGATCTCGACACCATAGGCTTTCTCGGTGCTCATTTCTCATGAGGCTCACGACTACATGCGAAAGTGGCTGAAATCTCGTCCAAATTGCGGTCACAAAGACGCTATGGTGCGTGAAGCTATCGTTGCTCTCCGAGTGAGTATTATGCATGGAGGTAAAAGCACAAAAAAGTGTTACAGTCTACAGACCGTCGCTCATTCAGAGGAAGTAGAAAAAGAATGCAAGCAAAGTCCGTTTCGTTACTTGAGTGCTTCCTTCATTTTCCTCTCCATCTCGTCGACATCGCCCGTTTCAATCCGTGTTATCTGCTTGCCCGTGGCTTTCTCAATCTGATCCATCTGCTGCCACGTCTTCTTGTCGTGCACGAAGTTTATTGAAATACCGCGCCGCCCGAATCGCCCCGTTCGGCCTTGCAAAAAAAAAAAAACAATGAGCGGAGAACAAACTCGAGGGAAAATCAACACACCAATACGGTGAATATAAGTTTCGATGTCAGGTTTGTCAAATGCCCCGCCAGGCCCGCCACCACCCGAGTTGCGCTCGTACATAAGGGGGAGGTCGTAGTTGACCACCATGTTCACTTGCAGGATGTCGATTCCCCGCGCGATGACGTTTGTCGTGATTAGGACCTACATAAAAAAGGTCGGAACTAGGGCCGGTACGAGCGAAAACAATCTGAACCTTTTCCCGTCCGTCCCGGAAATTGTCGATGATCGAGTCACGCTCCGCTGGATCTTTGGCACCATGTAGGGAAGCGACTTTGTGGCCTTCTGCAGTCATTCGTGCGGCTATACGGTCAGCCGTGTGTTTGTGCTAAGAAATTTAGGCGAGTGAGAAACAAAGAATGATAACACACCTGACAGAATATAATGCTCTGGCCAATAGTTAACAGCGCATACAGATGGACAAGGACATCGTATTTGTCCTCCTCGTTCTTACAGTCCATGTAGAATTGCCGGATGCCACTGATGCTCAGCTCCTCCTTCTTGAGCTCGATTTTGTTCGCATTCGGCGCAAATTTGGAAGCAAAGTTGCGGACATGGTCGGGGAATGTGGCCGAGAACAGCAGAATCTGGAGGCCATCGCGTGGTAGTTGACTTGAGGAACGATGTCAACGAAAGTCAAAGAAAGGACAACAACACACTTTTTAACACGCAACGTCTGATCACCCAGCCCATCCTGGTCAAGCATGTTGTCGGCTTCGTCAAGCACGAAAACTTTGATGCCGCTCGGGTCGATGATGCGCTTCCGAATGAGGTCGGACATCGTGCCTGGTGTTCCAACGACGATATGGGCCTTGACTGGACCCGAATCCCGTGCGAGGTTATCTTTGATAGCGTACTCGGTTTGCACAGGGGTGAATTTGCCCATCGAATTGACCACGGTCATGATTTGTCGAGCAAGTTCGCGGGATGGGGCAAGACAGATAGCTTGAGGCTGCGGTTTGGAGAAATCCACGCGACTGAGCATTGTCAATACAAACGCGGCCGTCTTGCCTGTCCCGGACTGAGATTGTCCGATCATGTTGGTTGGGCTGAAGACGTGAACCAATAGAGCATTGCGGACAACCAGCCACTCACGGATTAGACAACATCAAAGGCAATGCACGCTCCTGGATCTTCGATGGCTTGGTGAAACCCATGTCGTAGATTCCTTTCAGTAGGTCATTATGGAGACCGAGCTCCTCGAACGTTTTTGCGCTGAAGAGAGGCGAGTTTGGATCGCCCTGTTGGTCCGCAAGAGTCACCTAGCACATAACAACGCGTTATTAATGAGGGAAAGACCGCAATGGACAAGTACACATACATCAACCTCGAAAGTGGACTTGATGAGGTCGCTGTTGGGGCCTAAAACGGTCAGGCTATATGCTACTTGAGAAGGCGAGACCAGCCTCACCAGGCTGAGAAGCAGCAGCAGCAGAGGCCCCTGCACCATCAGCGACTAGATAATGAGTTGGTCGGACGCGTCCTGGCAGTCAAGACAAGACACACTTGGTGTGTAGAAACCATCGGCGTCCTTTTCCATTGCGAGAGTCGTTTCAGTTGAGATCCTCCTCAGTCGTTAGATTACAAAAAAGAGAGAAAGGGAAGATGGAAGTTGAGAGCAGAAACTCTTTGATCGATGGCCATAATTGGACACTCGCATCCTCTTGAGGAGTGCGCGGGCTTCTTAGATTCACGGAATGCAAGTGGACTGAGAGAATGGTTCGAGTTTAGGGAAGGATGCAGAGACACAAGCAAAAGTCTATAGCTTGAACAATAAAATATATATTAGCTTCAGCAATTGGAGCTTCTCCACTTTAATCGCGTCTTCGGCGAGCCACGAGCCTCAAAGAGAGATAGGTCGTCGACGTCGACGACGCGGCATGAAAGTCAAGACCAACTTTTCGCGATTCGTGACCATAACGCGTCGCTGTCCTGCTTGTTTCTTTTCCTTTACCTCCACCACCGGTTCATGCCACCAGGCCCAGTCTACAACTGGGCATGTGTCGTATCCTCAGCAGCTGATATCTTGGTCCGTGCGGCTCGAATCCGGGCCGTACAACTCGCCAAAGAGAGCGTTGTTTTGCAACAGAATGTCGCAAACACAACCATGGGTGCCAATCCCCCTCAATTGGTGCAGAGGGATGAATTCAGACCTGTAGCTCCCGCTACGTTTCCCTTAATTGGTCTTGACGCGTCTTTAGAGCAGGAAGAGGTGAGCATCTTAACAGCTAGCTAGTTTTTATCCTTTTCAACACTATCCAAGCACTCTAATGCCAAGTCTCCGACTGCTTTTCTTGATCCTGGAACAATTCAAGATGGTCCAGAGCCGCCGCCGCAGTGGGAACCTGTGGGTGATGAACCGATAGTAAGTGCCGTGTTTCCTGTTTGCGTGCCTAATCGCGAAGGTTAGACTTCAACTTCCCCAGTGGCTGAAACTTCCTTCGAAAATCTCCCTACGAAGCCTTTGGATAGCCTCGCGCCGTCAACATCTTTGGATACCGTTGTGGAAGCCACTTCCGATGACTTACCTGTCATTACACGTCAATTACAGGCCTCGAAAGTGCCGGCGTCTCGAATTGGACGCCTGTTCCACTATGGTGGTGTGTGCGGAGACTCGATTATGTTACCGTTTTACTCAAATCATGTAATATAGGATTGGCTGCATCTCTTGGATATGGCGCAGCCTCCGAATTTCTTCGCCGCAGTACAACCAGCCAGGGAGACGAAAGCCAACAGCAGTCCTTAATGCTCACGGAGGCGAATGTAACGCGCCTGGTATCGAAATTGTCGCAGATGCGTGGAGCGGCCCTGAAGCTGGGCCAATTTCTCAGCATTCAAGGTATTTTTTCTGTTCCACCAAGAAACGAAAGGAAATTCTAATCTACTTGAAAGATACCCATGTTCTTCCGGCCCAAGTCGACGCCATTTTTCGCAAGGTTCAAGACAGCGCCAACTACATGCCCGACTGGCAGATGGAGGTTACTGAATGTCGTTTTACCATCGGTCAGAGTACTAAATTTATGGGTAGCAAGTAATGCAGGGCGATCTCGGCTCATGGCAAGATGTTTTCGAGTCTTTTGATCGAATTCCATTCGCTGCCGCATCTATTGGTCAAGTCCATACCGCCACACTTACCGCAACTGCTTCACCCACTGGTTTGCCTGCCAGAGTTGCTGTGAAAATTCAGTTTCCTAACATTGCCAACTCAATCACGAGCGATCTCGGGTATGTGAGTATGATGCTAACGGCGGGGAAGATGCTCCCGAAAGGTCTTTTCCTGGACCGTACAATGAAGGTGCATCTCTTGTCCTGTCGAATTCGTGGTAATTGAAAGAAACCCATAGGTGATGAAGGAGGAGTTGGCGGATGAATGCAATTACGCACGCGAGGCGGACTCCATTCGCAAATTCCGCTCCCATCTTGTCGACGATGTGCGTTTTCGGGTACCCTGGGTGTGGGAGGGGAGCACCGAGCGTGTTCTGGTCATGGAACACGTGGACGGGGTCAGCGTTGGGGATGCTAGCATATTGAGCCTGGCACAAGAAGAGCGAAACGAGGTATAACATCTGGCTCGTTTCCTGATTTTTCTCAATTCTGGCTCTTTAGATCGCGTCCCGCGTAATCGAGTTATGTCTGATGGAACTCTTCTCCTTCCAACTCATGCAAACCGATCCAAATTACTCCAATTTCCTTTGGGACTCCCGGTCTCAACGCCTTGCCCTCATAGATTTTGGTGCAACACGGGCGTACGGCAAAGAGTTCATGGATGGATGGCTCAAGCTATTGCAAGCGGCAGCCGCGGGAAATCGAGAAGCTTGCATCGAGGAAAGCAAAAGGATTGGTTATCTGACAGGTGAAGAGAACGAGGTACATGGTTTTTTTTTCGACTCAAGTCGTTTATTCACTTGGTGTCCTCCAATAGATCATGTTACATGCCCACACTGAATCGCTCATCCTCCTCGCGACACCTTTCGCCCCGCGTTCTGTGACACCGCAGCCGTTTGCTTTCGGTCCAGGGACGGCCTGGGCCGGCGTAACCCAACAAATCCGGGAACATATTCCTGTCATGATCCAAAATAGGCTCACGCCGCCGCCACGGGAAACGTATTCGCTGAATCGGAAATTGAGTGGCGCATTCTTGCTTGCGTCGAGATTGGGTGCGACGATGGACACGAGAGGCATTTGGGAGAAGGTCGTGGACCGATATCAGTTCCTGTCTTGACGGACGTTTTGGCTGGACATAATGTAACCTAAACACAAATAAATACCCGCTCGAATTCAAATGTATTCGCGGTGATCTATCAGACGGTGAGCAGGCTCTGATATATTACTACCTCTTTCTTCCTCGCACCACCGCCTTGCCTCGACTATGGAGGTGGAAGTGAGGGACATTTCTGGAGCCCTCAATGGTGCTACTGCAAGTGATGGCACTAGCCCAGAACCTACTAGCATCAATCCCAGTGGATTGTTTTCAAATGCAACAGGCTTTGGAGTTAGTGGAGGTAATTTCATTAGTGTCACAGGCAGCGGGGATATCCACTATATGTGCCTGAACCACACCGCAACTTGCCAGCAGCTTATCTTGAGAAGGGGGTAGCAATTGGGGATGTTGGAATGGTGACTGCTGAAGGAATCTGGGACTTTTTCTTCAACATATTCCTTCCTGCAGATCACCCAATCAATGAAGGCCATATCCCAGCAGACTTTTCACCTCTTAGAACATATGCAACTACAGACCTGATTGATTTAGATTTTGAGGAGGGAAGTTTTATTGCTTCACCCTCAGCTGAATCACAGAATATGAATTTTGAGTAAGTGATCATGGTTCTGCATCTATCCCTCAACCTTAAGCTGTACAGAGAATTTCCTGGAGGAAGTTACATCTTCAAATGCACTGCACCCAGAGGAGCAATTCTCTGCTTACCCTTTGGTTCTCATCTGCAAAAGCTGGGCAGACGGCAGCACCATGTTCGGAACTATGCTGTCAAATATGCTAAGTCATGGTATCAATATATCAACCAAGACCTGGGCAGAAATATGGCAAATGGAGAGCTTTATGTTATCACTGGCTGTGAAAAAGCACTTGCAGGGGGGATAGCAACTTTCCAACATATCACAAATAGACCAGATTTCCAACTAGCATTCCAGCCCTTTGGTATTCACTACAGGTTCAACAGAGGAACAGTTGCACAGACAAAATCATTCCCTGCTAGAGCAACATATCAAAGCTCTGAGAATAATCCACAAATTATGAATAATACAACTTTTATTCATGGTTTCACAATCTCTCTTGGACTAGGACTCTGGGATACACTCTTTAATAGTGTTACTATAGGTGCAATTGAAAATATAGGATCATCACGGCAGACACCGATACGTGAAATTCCATTTGGCTTTGCACCTAGCACATCTTATTTCTTGAACCTCTTTGCCTCAGGAGGGAGCAATATTGGCAGACCTAAATCACATACTCACAACTATAATGGAGAGCAAGTGGTTATAACTGATCTTGAAACTGTATCAAAGGTATATTGTCATTCCAATTTCTGTTGATGCTTTGCTAAAAGTTGTGTAAGGTTATACACCCTTCTTCTCAGATTCATCAATACATCTTGGAAACAGTATGCCAAGTTCATATTTAATATTTGCCTATCTCATCACTACCAGGTTCCAGATATTTCAGTTGTCATAATCCATGATGATGACTGGCAGCAAATCTTACAAGTGATTATTTTATGAATTTGACTTATGAACCTATTTCTTAATTCCTCTTTCTAGAAATCCACTAAAAATGCAAGCCCTGGCCAGCCTCCAGACTTCAGAATCAGAGTTGAGAATGGTCTATTCTAAAGCCATATTCCAAGCATGATAATAGACTGACCAGTTATTTAGATATTGCTTTCTTGGTGGTTTTTCCCTTGAAAGAAAAGCAAACAAAGCACCACAAACGATCCTACAAAAAGCGGAACGTAACACGCTCTTTTGTAAGCCTGGCTGTGAACGGTTTTTTCACGATACGGCCTTTCTATACAGCTGTATAACTGGTGGCTTTTATTCATAAAACCAACTCGGGATCTTCGTAGAATATTGACGCGTTCCGACCGAAAAAAACCGAAGTTTATGAATTGAATTATATGTACTTTTCCCCCTCAAATATCTAACCACTGTCCCTCCGGAGGGAATTCAAACCTTCTGAGCAAACTGACGTTGAAGCCAGCGACACTCGAGGCAACCGATTGTCCTCCGCCTGTACGGCGCGGCAAATTAGAAGATATGGTGCATCGCGAGGGCTGATGAGAGCCCGGGCGCACGATGGGCTCAAGACGACTTCCTCTTCTGCTCTTCGGCGCGTTTGGCGTAAATCATGTCGGTGAACGGACTGGGTGGCGCACGAGGTGGTCAGAAGCATAGAAAGGAAAGAGAGAGAGAGAAGGGCGCACCCTTCGAAGCGGAGCGCGATAGTGTAGACGATGTAGACGTAGAGCGTGATGAGGAGGCCTGCAGAGCGCTCATACCTGTGGGTTTGGATGAGAAATGGGATAGTTGAGAATTGAGGAGGGCGTACCAGAGAGCCGTGGCAGCGAACGACATCGTGCTCCCAACATACATGGGGTCTCGCAAGACATTGAATGGGAAGCTATAATCCACTCAGTTCTCGAGTTGATATCACAAAGGGCAGACGTACCCCTCGACGCGGTGGTCCATGAGGATGCCAAAGTAATCTCCAAGGAAAGTGCCCGTAATTCCCAATGCCCACGTCGAGGTTATGACGAAAAGTTGACCGAGGAAGAACAGCACTGCCGGGACAACGGTGTCGAATGGCGCAGGCAGGAGGCCGGGCGACCGCGGCTGGTCAGCGAGAGCTTGATGATATCTGCAGCACGGAATTGACAATGGGGTTCATACAGAGGGAGAAAATACCCACAAGGCGTCCCGCACCATGCCAAACGAAAAAATGAGCACGGCGAGGAAGTAGCACCCATAGCGCGTGTTTCCGCCGAACAGCTTCGTTATCGTGTGGTTTCTGTACTCTGCGTCGACGTCAGACACCACACACTCTTTTTTCACCAAGCGACAGACCATTTCGCGCGACGATGTTCCACGCCAAGGGGTTGAATGTAATCGCCGCGAGGGAGATGAAGAGAGAGGTTTGCTCAGGGTCTACCACGAATTTCATGACGGGTCGTAGCTTGGTCGTTGCGTTTGCGTTTACACGTGGACGTGGTGGGTCGAAATCAAAAAGCAAGAAATCACGTTCATTCACTACTAGAACAAGTGTCCTGTACGTATATACACACACATAGCTGCTGTCGCTCCTGGGCGCTTACTCGCAGCCTGCAAGCAGGTCAAACACGCAGAAAAGTCTGATTGGTACTGACTGAAGCTCGCTGTCCTAAAAAACACAAATGCCTGTTTTCGTTGTACTCTGTCGACGTTACACAAGTCAACTCATCCACCTCTTAAATCACCACCAACCTTGCCTACCGGAGGGCATGTTCCAAGACCATAACCATAGCATAAAAGAGGAAAGAGCGACCGACCGGGAGTACAAGACAGCAGGTGCGTAGCGTACAAGAAAGAAGCACTTAACTAAAGTAAGAAGCTGGAGTGTACTTATGGAAAAAGAGAAACGAGAAGAAAATGAGCGCGGAAATCTCGCAAGAAAGCAGGCGGATGGACGGACTGTGGTTAGTCTTGGCCCTTCTTCAAGCTTACTTCCATCTTCTGTGGATATATATAAGACTTGAGGTCAATCGCAAGCAAAGAAGAGAGATACTGGCTACAAAAAGTCTTCGGCGCGAGCACGCTTCTTGCCCCTCGACTCGGCATTTTCTGGCGGAGGGAGCGGACGGGGCACAAAGTACTTTGGGTGGAACGCACGCTTTTCTTCCTGCAATGGTTGTCAGACAAATAACGTAAGTGAAGTGATAGAAAAAACTTACAATACAGAAGTTGGGGTCGCCACCTACGCCATGCTCGTCTTCGTTACCAATGAGGACCATTCCTTTCTTGGCTTCAGGATTTGTCTGGAATTTCGATGGGTGAGGAAGCGTTGGACGTAAAATTGCCGCTGGGGCAGGCGTTGATGATATTTCAGGACCAGTTGCGCCGCCCTGAGATGTAGTTGCAGCGACAAAACTAGGAGCAGGTCGGGGAGGCATCGGGCCAGGCGGAGGAGGCATCATTGGCATTCCAGGAGGCGGGAAGGTACCAGGTGGAAGCATTCCTGGCGGCATTGGTGGCATTCCTCCTGGCGGTAAAACACCTGGTGGTAAAGCGCCTGGTGGGGGCATCATACCGGGTGGGGGCATCATCCCTGGTGGTGGCATTCCTGGCGGGGGTACTCCCATAACTCCCGGAGGAGGCATTCCTGGTGGCATTACGCCAGGCGGAAGTCCACCGGGAGCAAAGGGCGGCATGGGCATTCCGGGCGGACTACAATAAAAAAAACATAAATCCCAAGAAAATCGGACAAGATAAGTGCCACAAACCCTGGGAAAGGCGGCATAGGAGGAGCACCAGGGCCTAATGGGAATCCTGGAGGCGGGAATCCTGGTGGAGGAACGGGCTGAACATAGGTTTGAGCAGCGGCTCCATATACGGCCGTCGCGGGTCCAGACGATGATGCATCGGTTGAACCTCCCATAAGCTTTTTGTGTTGGTCAAGCATGGCCCGCAAATCATGCTCAGACAGTGGTTTGTTGTCAATCTAATTGAGTCGAGTCAGCGCCGCAACCAAGCAGTCAGGCACGACAGACACACCTTGGGCCTTTTGGCTTGTGGGGCACTGATACTACCCGCCGCAAGCCCCAACTCAATCTCCTTCCGTCGTTTATAATCTGCCACATCAGGAGCAGGAATACCCTCCATCCCGAATATCTCGATTTCATACCCATCTCGACCAGGAATGGCATTCTCTATCCGCGGTAGACTGTCAAGTACATCAGAAAACGGGACAGAACAATGGAAAAAAGAGACTCCAACACACTTTTCGGGTTCGAGTTTGTGGACCTGCTGGATGTGGACCGCTAGACCTCCAGCTGTGTTCAGCCTCCTTGGACACATGCCGCACTTGAAGTGCTTCGCCTTCTGGTGCTGCATGAGGACTGAAAACCGAGATCAGAACAGCTAACGTCGGAGTCGTCACCAAACACATGCCCTTCTCATCCTCAAACTCCCGCTCGCAGTACCAGCACCAGGGGCGAATAACCTAGCTTAACATGAGTTCGGCGTTGACCTTTGTGGAGAGAACGACTGACATTCTTGTTCTTTTTCTTCGCCATGGGTGGTGGTCGCGGGAAGGAAGGGATTTGTCAGAGATCACGGCGGGATCAGCCAAACTTGTTCCTTCAAGTTTTTTTCATCGACTCCGGCTACGAAATTCGTTCGCCTCATTCCATGTCGTCCCATCCATTCCACAGTCGTGAATAGTCTTGAAGCTCCCATTTTTATTTGCACAACGCGCACGACCATCGTATCCGATAGCTATCGTTGGAACTTTGCACTGCTCGGCGCAGGCAGGTCTGACTGAATCTTGTCACTGCTCCGAGTCATGGTCTTCTCCGCAAAGAGGCTTTCAACGTCATATTACAACTCTCTAGGCGCACAATGGGCTAATCAAAAAAACCTCAATCTCAACACCCTTTATGTCTATGAAGAAGATATTAAGTTGACTGGAGAGGACGTCCGACCTCCACCGCTACACGAAGGCTTTTGCAACCAGCTTTCTCCAAGACTGCATCTCATACCGGATAGACACTTTTACTGTGCGGATAATCTCGATGCGCTAGTCCATACCTTAAATAAGACTGGAATAGAGGGAGGAGACGATGCATTTCGAGACGGTCGTTGGTTCCAATGAGTCTATGATTACTCCGGCTCCCGACCCATCGAATAATTGCAGAGTAACAGCAAATCATTTAACCCTCGATATCACGCTGGGGCAAACGAAGGGCGACTCCGATGTCGTGATCTGCGCAATGGTATGTATGATCTGTTCTGTTCTGTTCGTTGCTAACGGCCAACTTTTACAGCTTCCGCAGCGGGATAAAACCCGCAAGGTATCGCGTGTGGTTGAACGTCTTCCCTCTCCTCTTTTTCTGATCCAAGACATGCTGGAACCTCCGCTAGGATCCGCTCCTTGATCCTTAGTGCTTCTGTTTCAGTCAACAAAGCATATTTAATCTGGACCGCTCTGTATGGTTCCATATCAGTTCGTCCTCTTCCAACGATGTTGCCTTCTCCCCAAACTCGTCGTTCCCAACAAACAACTTCGCCACATAACCCATGGTTCACCTTGCCTCGGTGAGCTCAACCATACCCAGCATCGTTACTCCTGTGCTAATGCCTTTGAAGCGACGATCCAGCCTGGGCAGCGCAGACAGACAGCCTCATATCTCAAATAGGCCCGGCATCCCAGAAGAGAGTGCCCTGACCGTCCGCACCCAGTCCCCATTGCCTGCCTGGCACGCTGCTCGCGCCCTAGGTAGCTGCGAGTCGGAGACTCTGGTGTCGACGTGACCGGGAGATGGGCTGGCCCCATCTGCTTTCCACGCGGCTCTCAAGTCGGACGAGACGCAAACAGGCGTGGCTCTGGTAGTCCCACCTGTTTGCGCGATGACCCCCGCCACCGGAATGCCGCGTACGAACGCCACATGACACGACGTCTGCGTGTGCTCCATGGCCCATGCATCCTCACCAACTCTGCCACGGTTTGCTTTTCGGCCTCGGTGCGTCCCAACACAACTCCATTCCTGATCTCATGCCCTCCCAGCCGTTGATCTCGACATTGGTCCGGCCGGCGTCCGGGCCGCTCGGACACAGAGCCTCATGCCACTAACAGGCCCAACAACGCGACGAGCGCCCCCCGACAGCCGGCACCCCGTCCGCCATTGCCAGCCTGGCCCCGCTGCATAGCGCCCCAGGCTGCCCCAGTCGCGGACCGCGGTGCCGGCATGTCCGGGCGGCCGGCCGACCCCGACCGGCTCCCACGCGGCGCTCCAGCCGGACCAGATGCGGACAGGCAGCCTATCCCTTGTAAGCCCTGGCTGCGCGATGACCTCCGCGGCGGATGTTGGGTTCGAATGTCCCATGACACGACGTCCGAGTGTGTTCCGTGGCGTATTTGGGCTGGACTTTTGCGCGTGCGCCACGGCCCATGCATCCTCACCAACTCTTCCACGGTTCGTTCTGCGGCCTCGGTGCGTCCTAACACAACCTCAATCTCTGATCTCACGCCCTCCCAGCGGTTGATCCCGGCCCGACCGGCAGCTCGGACACAGTCACCCATAGGCCCAACAACGTCGAGGAGCGCCCCCCGATAGCCGGCATCCGCCCTTCCATTGCCAGCCTAGCACCGTTGCAGAGCGGCCTGGGCTGTACCAGTCGAAGACCGCGGTACCGACATGACCGGGAGGCCGGCCGACCCCGACCTGCTCCAAACGCGGCTCTCCAGTCGGACGAGATGCAGACATGTTTGCGCGATGACCTCCGCTGCGTATGTTGGCTCGAATGACACGTCGTCCGAGTGTGTTTGGGCTGGACCTATCGTGATGCACTGCGCTTGTAGATTTCGAACGAATAGTTTGTACTGGAGACACAATTTGCCATATTATTTTTCACGCTATCAAAGAGTTTTATACCCTTGAGCACCTCGCAGTTAGACTCAGGCGCGATAGCACGTGACGGGGCGACGTTTTCTTCTGCGTTCCTCCACAACGGCGTCCGGGGCTTCCATACCTTGCGCTAGGCAGAAATGTGGCTCCAGCGCGCATGAGTATACATAGCATGCCACACAGTGCTATGCAGCACACGCAAATTTCGGTACCAACTTGAAGTAAAGTATACGATGTGACGATGTAGGACACCCCTACGTGTCGACTGACTCGACTCGACTCGAATATGGGAATACATTTTCTGTAGTCTGTGCGTGTCCCACTGTCCGATATTTCGACGCTTACACTGGGAATTTTAGGAAACCTAGGCTTGAAGTACTAGTAGCATCCTCAAAGTAGCCTCAAGAGAAGAAGACGAATCGATATGAGCTGAAAAATCCGCCCACCGTAAGCTTGCCCACAGATAAACGTCAATATCATGCTGCAACCCGCTTCAAGACCCACCTTCCGCAACGGCAAATCCACGCGACGCTGCCCGTCTACCGCCAAGCGATCATAACCTGCGGATATCGCGGAAACAAAAACATTGCACCAGGCCAAAGTCTATTCGATCTGGAGCGCCTCCTTTGTGGTGCACGCCGTCGCCAATTCACTCGCTCTCCAACCGGTGTCTTGCTCACACTCCACCCACTCCATAGGAGGCGGGCGTGGGGATATAAGCCGCCCTTCGACCGCGGCAGCCTACACACACCCCGTCTCCACATGTCGACCCGCTCTCCAGTCATGCTTACATCTGCGCCCTGCCCCGCGCTCAGCTCGCCGTCGTCGTCCACGTGCACCATCAAACCCGCCCCCAAGTCCAAGTCCAACTCCAAACACGCCTCCGCCCCCGTCCCAGTCCCCGTCAGCCGCCAGCAGGCCAACAAAGGCCTGCGCGAGCGCCGTGGCTGCACGCTCTCCCTGGCGGCCGCCGCGCAGACGCTGTACGCGCAGTCGACGTCGACCGCGCAGGGCACGCAGGTCGCCCACCAGGACCCACAGGAGCCGGGCCCCGGCCCCGGGCCGGCGTTCCCGGACAGACACCAGGCGTGTGTGCTGGCGCGGCGCGGCGTGCTCCCCAATGCGCGGCCCGCGGACGAGACGCCCGCGATATAAGTTGTAACGCGGTTTCGCTGCTTTTCACCCCCCCCGTCCGTCTGTATACTGTGCGGCTACACGTGTAGTAGTAGTGCTTTGCTATATCTGTCTTCTGCGCCCAAGCGTTTTGAAATTTTGAAATAACTTTGGATCCCGTTTCTTGAGATATTCCTCCTGCGCGCCCGGGCCGAAAGCCCATATCCAGAAGCGAAGGTTGGGATTGGAGATATGAGCTGAACACGAAACGTAAAGGCCAATGGTCCGCGCGCGCTCGGGTGCCAGACGACAAGCCAGGACACGCTTTTCGTTAGAGGAGCTCGGCGGATGCGAACTTGAAGAAATCCGGAGTGAGGACAGAATGTCTGACTCGTATTTGTACTATGCGGCCAGTTGCTCAAGGTACAAGTTCAACGGGGTTAAAAACGTGGTCTCGTTAAAGTCGGGCGGAGGCGTGCTAACGGTAAACAGAACGCGTCGGCCGCTCTGGCGAGCGCGAAGAATGGGCCGAGTTCTTCGCTCCATCGGCATGGCAAGGGTTCAGAATTTCTCTCTTCTTCAAGTTGTCAACATGGAGGTACTAGTACTCAGGCTAGCAGTCACAAACAGATGATTGATTGAGCAGCAAACGAACAACGATACACAGCAAATTTAACGGCCCTACGACTACGCTGCCGCCACGGTCTCGCCGTCCCGCCTCTCCTTCCGGCGCACAAAAAGACGCCGGATGTGCCGGCCCCAGCCTGCAGTCTGGGCGACAGGGGGCAGTATTTCGAGCGGGGAGGCTGGTTCAACGGAGACTTCGACGGCGCGGGAGGACGCGGACGCGGACGCGGGGGGCGCGATGTGCACGGCGGAGCGCCGGAGCCTGCGCAGACAGCGCTTGAGCAGGGCGGCGCGCGGCAGGTGGCGCGCGTATGCGGCTGGCGGAAGGATCCGAGTCAGAAATCGGGAACTGGAATGCGGAAAGGCGAGAAATCGCACACCTTGCTCGTCGAGCGCCGCGTGGCCGTCGACTGCGCCCGGGGCTTCCGCGGACGGGATTGGGGTGCCGGCGACGGGGGCGACGAGCGCAAGGCCGAGATAGACGGCCGCGATGCACGTGATGCTCTGTCATCGCCATGAGCAGGTACTCATAACAGAAGAAGACGGGCACACACCGTCAGCAGACCCAGCATGGTTGCAGGCGCGCTTTCGGGCGCATGCGTGATCGCCGCCTTGTCCGCGACGGAGTCGACGCTGGTCACCGACGACCGGCGGCGGCGGCGCTCACTGGCAGGCTGCAGCGTCGAGCTCGCCGTGGTCGCGGCGCTCGAGGCGGCGGACGCCCTGCGGGCGCGGGCGCGGGCGCGGGAGCGGGAGCGGCAGGCCATGTCGGCCGGGACGGACGCCGCCCGGCGCGGCGCGGGGTCCGGCACGGCGAGCGGCGAGATTTCGGCGACGGGGGGGCGGGCGGGGGCGGCGCGCCGTCTGTAGTCGGGGACGGCGAACGCCGGCGGGGCGTCGTAGTCCTCCGGCTCGCCGGCCCACATGTCGGGGTGCACGTGGCTCCGGCGGACAGGGGGCGCGCCGGAGAAGCGCCGGGCGTGGGCGTGGTGTGGCGCCGCCGCGGCCGCGGCCCGGATCGTCGCACGCATCTCGGGCACGAAGGGGAGCGGCGCGCGGAGCGACGTCGCCGACGCTTTGGCGCGCTGCAGGCCGGGGCGCACGGTTGCGGCTGAGGTGCAAGACATCGTGCGTCGTTCGTGGGCTGCAGCTGGCGGCCAGTCTTTTAAGGAAACCCCGATGTCTTAGCTAGATCGAGACTTGTCGCATGTGCGTCGGAAGAACTCGGGCTGTGTAGAAAGCATGATCCACGTCGGCTGCATGGCCTTGGGCAGCGTTGGACCGGGAGGGGAGCCTCCGGCGCAGAACTTGAAAAGAGTTGATGAACGTCTACTGAACAATCTGGAATAAGTAAGGTTGAGTGTCCTCCAGCTCAGAGGTTGGACAGCCACTGAAGGATAGGGGAATGCGGCTGGCGGAGCTTTGAGTCAAGAGGCGATTGCGGGGTCGTGGAGTTCGGGAAGAAGGGTCTCAGTGAATGACATGACATCACCGTTCGCATCAATGGACTGGCCCGAGCTGACTAAGCGAAATACCACATTATCGCAGCTCGCTGAGCGTTCACGAACACTTGCAGTCGCATGCGCGTCTGCCGGCGCCGCTCTCCTACCTACTGGCTGCTTTCTTATCTGCCGCCCACAGAGGTCGGAGATAATCCATTGACATGGTTGTTGAAGCTGTTCGACCACGATAACCGTGTAATGACAGCGTGCCGTTGTCCTGGGCTCATAATACGCTGCGACTCGGAAAAGGAAAAGGAAGCGAGCGCGGCTCGGGTTGCGACGGCCGAATTGTATTCCAAAATGATATGAGATAATGAGCTCTCAACCAATATCATGATTTGATTAGTGGAGCATTACTAGTAGACGAGAAAAGAGAAGAACAAGGTACCCTGAGGATCAGGGGTTTGACTATATCGGATGTTTTCGCTCTCGAGGTACTTAGAGGAGGTCGCGTGGTGTATAACTTGAAGGAGGGAGACAAAAAGAACGTTCTCTGCGGACATTCGAAAAGTGTATTGTTGATAGCTGCGTTTTTGATGCGGTTGATGAGTATAGCTATTCCTTGTCCTTGTTCTTGGAGCTTGCGGAGCTTGCTGAGAGTTTTTGGGGCGTTCGTTGTGCTACCCGGAGGTGTAACGTGTGTGGGGATGGGAGAGCGAGCGAAGAGAGTACTAGTAGCGTTTGTATCATCTCGTTCAATGCCTGAGTGCGAGTCAGCGCAAAGAATGCCGAGGTTCTCGACTGAAGGATGAAGTCGGGGTGTACTAATAGTAATGATAGGCCGCGAGCTGTGGCCGCCAAGCAGAACAGGCTGCCAGTGCAGCACACATATCTTGAGTGAAGACATCTCCAGAAGCGCATCGATACACTCTTGCGGCGCCAAGTCGCATTTGCCTCGATGTTCGAATGCCGTCAGGTTGCTCCATTTCACTTGTAGCAGCGTTTTCCGGTCGCTTTAGTATTGGCGCAGGTCCTCCAGTTTCAGCCTTTGGAGCGACGGGGACTCGGTTCTAGCATGGTGGGAATAGTCATGCCCGGCGGGGTTTCCTGCCCCGCCTCTGCGCCGAATGTCGCAGACTCGAGCGCGGGAAGCTGCAGTGTATTGTCCCATAAGTAGTGCACGAGGGAGTGGATGGCAAACCTGCATGACGATCCCGGCCCACAGTTCCGACACGGAGAAAGCGATTGGCCAGTCGTCTGAACAGCATGGGCGACGCGTCTAGGAAGAGGGGACGGCTTCTGGCGTTGGGGTGCTCGGGCTCCGGAGGCGATACAGTCTGAAAATGCGCAACAAAATATCTGGCGGCAGGGTCCGATTGCTGTCAATGAGCTGTGGTTTCGGTCGAGGGACGACAGGATAACGGGTTGGCTCACACTGGCAAGAGAATGTCGACATATTCAAGTGGTCTTTTCTCTCGCTCACGCACCAAAGGTTCAAGCTGCGTCGTTGCCAGTGTCGAGGGAGAGATCAATTTGATGACAAATGTGATGATGGCCGAATGACGGTGCTTGTGTTCGAGGATACCTAAAGGCCATACATTCAAAGATCTACCGGACTCTGACTTAATGGAAACCTTTCAAAGTCACAAGTATTCAAGAGAGCAAAAACTTCGGGCAGGACTAGTAATACTTAGCATACAACGTTTGTGCTTATGGTTTATGGTAATAGTTCGTTTGCTCGTCCTGCCCCTTTAGCGCAAAGGGCACAATGTCCCTCAATTGCACAACCACGCCAAATGCTAACGCGATAACTTTCTCCACCCCACCGAACTCCCGCCGTCTACGAGAAGTACGCTGTGTTTTGAGCGGCGGGAGCAGCGGCCTTGGATGAAGGCATCTCGACTGAGACAACGCTGCTCCGCTTGCGACGACGAGGGAGATTGGCGTGGGTGGGTCCAAGCTGGCCTTTTGGCTCGATCTTGGGGAACGCGGGGGGCGAATGAGAGGTAGAGGGTGAAGCCCCTGCGCTCCCGGAGAGTAAGAGTGGTTTGTGATTGCTCGCTCGATGAACAGGAGACGGAGCTGGCGTCGAAAGCAGCGGGAATGGTAGTGCTCGACATGGTGTGTTGGTTAAAGTGTGGTTTGGTAGATGGTAGTGGTGCGAATGCAAGAGCGATTTAGCTGGAGAGTCCAACGAGCCCGGGAGGGTTTTATACCCAAGCAAAGTAAGACATTTTGCCTCCGCTGCACCGGTTTGACTTGGTTCCGTCGAGTTCCGTCGCACAGGTCTTTCCTTGACGTCATGCCTTGTCGGTGAGACATTTTCAAGTTGCTTCCGCTGCTGCCAGACCGTTGCCCCAGGTCAACTTGAAGCTTGAAGTCTTGCCTTGACGTCATTGACATGTCTCGTATCCTATCGGGCACCTCGGCCCACGAGTTAGAGTCGCGGATACACATTGCAGTCCACGACGACGCGAAAGTTGAAGGTCGCCGTCGCAGTTGGGAAGAAAAGGCTGCCGTGGTTGACATTTTCTCGTGACTGATATCAGCTGATGTCATCAAGCTTGGTTTCCAACCACCATCATGGGGGTCGCTCTTTCGCACCAAGGACTCTCCAAGCCAACTACCCCGCAAAAAGAGTGTCTTGTCTCTCCAGCAAGTGAAGCGAGACACTTTTGCTTCGGCTGCACAGGTCTGAGTTGTCTCTGTCGTGCCGCAGATTCAAGTTGACGTCATGTCTCGCACCTCCGTAGGGCACCTCGGCCCGTTCCCGGGACGTTGGGAAGAAAAGGCTGCCGATGCGACCTGCCAGTCGTGGTTGGCTTTCCTCTTGTGACCGATGATCAACACGGGTTAGTTTTCAACGACCACCACGCTACTAGTAGATGTCCCACAAAAAGACAACTTCGAACTCTTGGTTACCCAGTCTCATCCGCGTACGACCGGAAGCTGGAGCGTAAGACCTCCGAAGCGGGACGATCTGGAGTAGCGTGGGGCACCGCCAACTCCGCTCCGCTGGGTCAGACAGCGGGTGGTCTAAGACATCCAACGGCACTCGATTATAAAAGCCTGGCCCTCCCGCTAACCGTTCTCAACTACAAACCACAACCACAAACATCTGCCCACTATGTCTTTCTCATTCGAAACCCGCTCACCTGTCGAGACCGCCCGTCTTGCTGCGAAGCACTGCGACTTTAAAACATCTTTGCCTTCCGTTCCGTCTCCGGCACCGTTTGTCCCCGAGATGTTGGCTACCATTCGCCACACTCCCAAGCGCATTCGGCGTCTGTCACATGCTGGTGTCGACCACTTCCGTCGTCGCAAGCCATCTGGTGAAGAGCCAGAGGACTTTGCGGCGCCGCCTGAGTTCACTATTCCTGACTACAAGGAGTCGACAACTCGGACTCCCGTCGAGGAGGTTTCGCCACTCGATGAGGGCTCCATGCCAAAGTCCAAACGCTCTCGCAAGTCATCAGTTGCTTCGAGTGTCTCTTCCGAAGCGAGCTCAACGCTGCCTCGCAGGCGGCGATCATCCGTGACCAGCGTCGCCGAGTCGTTCTCCTCAAACAAGGAGAAGGTGACGTTTGTGATGAAGGCTAAGGCCTTCCCTTTAACGATCTCGGGTTTCTTCTCGGTGCGTATTTCTTCTTCGACTCTGCTCGTTGTACTGACAAATGTTGCAGAGTTTCGTCTGTCTCATCGCGGCCTTCATCGGCCTGTCCCTTGTCGGACCCGCACCAAACTACCAAGCACCTCCCCCACGCCCAAAGCCTGCGCGGGTTGCTGCTGCCAACCAGAGTGGAGACGACCGCCGCCCTTCGCTGTTCAAGCGACTATTGCAAAAATGCAGGGGGTCGTTCAAACACATCACATCCTCCAAGGCGGTTGAAGCCCCCGTTCAACCCGCTTCCTCGCCAGCCAAGCGACAAGCCCCTGCGGTGTTCACTGCGTGGAGGCGCCACATCAAGCTGCCTGCTTGCCAGTGGAGACGCCATATGACCCTTGTGTCAAAATTCCTCTCCACGCGCAAGCTGCGAAAACAGCAACAGCAGCCTGCCAGTGAGCAGCAGCCTGAGGCAGCGCACCCCGCACCAGCCATCGTGTGTTCAGGGTGTGGCCGACAATCTTAAATTCGTACCCACCACTTCAAAGTTCAGACTTCTCGTTTTATTTCACTTTACTCCATCGAGAAGTTCACATACCAGTTCCGTGTTACCTCTGTTTGCCCAAAATACAATGAATTTGTTTCGAAGCATTTTCCTTTGATCTGTGTTAGTACCTGCTCGATGCTTCATCCCAACCCATTATTATAATGCTTGAAGTTGCAACACGTCTGCCACTCTATTTCTGTTGAGCGTTTCAGTCAGCATAGTAAGTATATGTCGGCGCGCAACAATCTCGTTCTGTAGCATTGCAATGATTGCATACAATGATTTCCATTGGTCTGGGAATAAACCCGAAAGGCTCGTCCCAGCAAGAATGATGAATGGCTGTCTGATCGTTCGAAAGTAGGAGGGAGTACTGCATGCATATGATGAGGCCTCGATGAGAGTCGAACTTTGGAATGAAATGGTGAAGTCTGAATCATTTCTGACATAAGCTTGAGTGGTTCACCAGTACTACCGTTCACGCAAGTTCACTCATGTATAGCCATGACACTACCGTGTTTTGAGCCTCGCCAAGCAGCTCCGTACGTGCTGCATCTTTTCCGAGGTCCCGTTGTTAAGCTTAATCTTACACTTAGTGAATTATAAGTACATGCTGAAAAGCAGCGAGTTTGTCACCACTGATCGTATTACCGTCAACAAACATCCGTGCTCGCTCCGGTTCCCTTCACCTCAACGTTATGGCGGCCCAACCGTCAAAATCGATGACCTGAAGGTCGGGGCACTTTGTGGAGAGGCAAATGTGAGGTTAAAAAGGCTCTGCGACGCCGTTTGAGCCGAACACAGACACGATGACCACCCCGATTCCCCAACCAGCGACCGTGCCTTTCCTCGGAAATGCGCCTTCTGTGGACCGTGAGTTCCCCATGAAGTCTTTTTCGCTTCTGGCGAAGAAGTATGGGGAAATTTACCAACTCACGATGCCAGGTGTGTTCATTTGTTTTGTTCATTTCTTCCTTCGTCTTTTGACACTGGAGAAAAGGTCGTCAGATGGCACTTCTCTCGTCGTATCGATTGGTCAATGAAGTGTGCGACGAGAAGCGTTTTCAAAAACGCGTCGGCGGTGGGCTTGGCGAAGTACGCAATCTTACTGGAGATGGCTTGTTCACAGCTCAGCCTGAAGAGTCTAATTGGGGAATTGCGCGTATGTCCACTTTCCTATGGAAATATTCGCCCTCTGACTCTTTGAAGATCGTCTTTTAATGCCTGCATTCGGGACCCTTGCGGTAAAGGACATGATGGAGGAGATGCGTGATATTACTAGCCAACTTCTGCTTAAAGTGAGTTCCACCACAACGATCTCCCGCCTTTTTTTGACATGAAATTTTTCAGTGGGAGCGTTTTGGGTCCGAAACTACCATCGATGTTGCTGACGACTTCACACGTCTGACCCTCGACACAATCGCATTTTGCTCGATGTCCTACCGCCTCAACTCTTTTTACACGGCGGATCAACCCGAATTTGCTACTGCAATGGGCGACTTTCTTCTCGAATGTGGTTCCCGGGCAACACGTCCCAAGTTGGTCCAGTCAATGATGCGCAAGACCAACGCCAAATATTACACTGATCTGAACTTAATGCGCGAGCTGGCGGACACCATTGTGAAGAATCGGCGGCAAAACCCTGTCGAGAAGCATGACTTGCTTGATACGATGCTCAATTCTCGGGATCCAAAAACGGGACAGGCCATGTCTGAGGAGTCCATTGCACAGAATGTATGTCGTCTTAGTTCCCGGGATTTTTTCTTTCTTTTTTTGCTGACGAATAATGCCCAGCTTCTGACGTTTCTCATTGCTGGCCATGAGACTTCATCCGGCATGATGACATTCATGGTTTACTACCTCCTCAAACACCCCGATAAGATGCGAAAGCTTCGTGCTCAAATCGACGAAGTGCTTGGAGATCGACCTGTTCAGTATGAAGACTTTGACAAACTAACATATCTAACCGGCATGTCGCTACGGATTGTTCTTTCCCTGCTTATAACTTCCCACAGCCGTTATGCGTGAAACTTTGAGGTTGGCTTCGACTGCACCTATTCGCGCAGTTCAGTCTTTGGAGGATACCACCATCGCTAATGGCCGGTATGCTATCAAAAAAGGTACTGCAATGATAATCCTGGCTTGGGAGTTACATCGTGACCCCAGTGTATGGGGCGAGGATGTATGTGTCTTTGCTGGGCCAATATCCCCCCGTTTTCTTTTTCTGATGTACTTGACTAGGCCGAAGAGTTCAAGCCCGAACGGATGATGAATGGGAAATTTGAAGCATTACCGGTTTGTTGATTCCCTTGACAGATAAAACGATGAATTAACCTCGTGGACAGCCTAATGCTTGGCAACCAGTATGATCTCTATTGCGTTGCGCCGACAAAAACTCATGTTCCTAGTTTGGTTTCGGTCTGCGTGCCTGCATCGGGCGTGCATTTGCCTGGCAAGAGGTTCTTCTTGTGATGGCCTCGGTCATCCAGAAATTCGACCTTTCGTTCGCCGACCCGTCGTACAATCTCGAGATCAAACAGACCTTGACGGTGAAACCCAAGGGCTTGAACATCCGCGCTACTTTGAGGAGTGACAGAGTCCCAAATCTCTACTCGATTCCCGCCTCTGCTCTGATGTCTGGCCGAAATGTAGCGCACGAATTGAAGGGGATTGACGGGATGGGTGCTAGTCAAGCGGATGACTTAAAGCCCGTCTATGTGCTATATGGATCAAACACGGGAACATCTGAAGGTTTCGCGCAAAGAATCGCAAATTCGGCCCCTTCATATGGTACGGAAACATACAAGGTGCTTTCACAAACAATCAGTCATCTTCTCCAATAGGCTTTCGTGCTTCTATCGGCACCCTTGATTCTGTAGTCGAAAAGCTACCCTCAGATGGGCCGGTCATCATCATCACGGCTTCCTTTGAAGGTGAGCTTTCGTTTTTGAATTGGAGTGTGTCTCAATAGTTATCTCTTTAGGCGAACCAGCCGATAATGCGGCCCATTTCTTCAACTGGTTAGAAAACCTGCCTTCAAACACGATGCTTGCAAACGTCGGCTTTGCTGTTTTTGGCTGCGGAAACTTGGATTGGGCCAACACCTTCCAACGAATACCAACTTTAATAGATAAGATTCTGGCTGAGCGCGGCGCAACAAGATTGGCTCGGCGAGGGTCTGGTGATGCCGGAGGGAGTGGATTATTCCAGGCATTCGAGCAATGGGAGGCGGAAGTGTGGTCTTCGTTGTCTACAGTGAGTGTATGGCCTTCCTGTTACTCGTCTCATCGTTTGTGTTGCAACAGAAGTACGGAACTTCTCCTTCGATGTTGCCCGCCAGCACCTTGGAGGTCAAGACTGTTGGCAAGGAGCGCGCGTCTGCTTTGCGCCAGGCCGACGCGCTACTGGGAAGAGTCGTGGAGAATTGCATCTTGACAAAAATGGGGCCTGTGAAACGCCACATAGGTAATTTCCTCTTTTTCTTTACCTTACATATGCACTGACTATCTTCTAGAGTTTGAACTCCCTCCAGAGATGAGTGCTCGAGGTACGCGATTGCAAGTTTCGACTTTGTTCAAGAAGCTAACCGGTTTCACCAGCGGGAGACTACGTTGCGATGTAAGTTATCCAAAGCTCTCTCATCCCATTAGCTCACCTTTTTTACAGACTTCCGCAAAACCCACTTCGTGATGTCCATCGTGTACTGGCTCGTTTTGGTTTATCGAACGAGGAAGAGGTATTTATCTAACAGCCTGTTTCGCCGCCTAACATGTTTAGGTTGTGCTTTCTGCAACGGGACCGACTTCGCTACCTGTGGGGAAGCCTGTCAAACTATCAGAAATCTTGACCGGTTATGTGGAACTTGCCCAACCTGCAACGACTCGCGATCTTCAAACTCTCATCGCCGCTTCCGAATCTGAAACCACACGCAAATATCTGGAACAACTCAAAGCCAACTACGATGAGGCTGTGCAGGCCAGACGCTTTAGCGTATTTGCTATCATTGAAAGTTATCGCGACATTCAAATCTCTATCGGCGCATTCTTACAAATGCTCCCATCCATGCGTGTTCGCCAATACTCCATCTCGTCCTCTCCACTATGGAATCCTTCGCACATCACCATCACGCTCAGCATTCTGGACGCCCCTGCCTTTTCTGGAACTCGCGATGTTCCTTTTCTCGGAGTGGGCTCAAACTACCTCGCCAGCCTGATACCTGGCGATCGAGTACAGATGATAATCCGACCATCTGCCACTGCTTTCCATCTTCCTGAAGACCCCTTCGTTCCCATTGTCATGTTCTGCAGCGGCGCCGGACTCGCGCCTTTCCGTGGCTTCATACAAGAAAGAGCTGCGCAGAAGTCGGCTGGTCGGGCTGTTGGCAAGATGCTCCTCTTCTTTGGCTGTCGTTCGCCCGAATGGGACTATCTCTACTCGGATTCAGACTTGAAGGAGTGGGCGGCTAATGGCGTTGTTGATATTCGACCCGCATTCTCCCGCGCCCCGCATTTGTCGGAAGGATGCAAATATGTCCAAGAGTACGTTTTTCCTTCTTTACTCGTTGTCTCCGCCAACCCCCATCATGCAGTCGTGTATGGAAGGACAATGGCGATATTCAGCAAGCTTTCGCTGATGACGCCTTGGTATGTTCTGTGCGAGCTGTGAATGCTATTCAATCACTGATCCCACGACAGTTCTTCACCTGCGGCTCGTCTGCGGTGGCCAAAGGAATTAAGAAGACGTTGATTGACATTATTCAGGTCATGCATCACACAAACGAGGAGGACGCTACGCAGAGGTTTCAGAAGATCGTGAAAGGACGGTATGCGACGGATGTATTCGACTAGATACGCGTTTGTTCTCGAGGTATATATATATTAGCGGTAGAACAGCTGGTCCCGTGACCGCGTTTCGACGAATCACGCCTTTCCGAACCAAACCTCTGCCCTTTCTCTGGCAGTAGCTCCCTCCGGTGGCCGCACATCTCCCCCCTTACCCCAAAAGTTGTCAGAAAACGCCCATCCACTCTGTCCACCGCTGCTGCTGTCCACCCACTCGACGACATACCGGTCGTCCAGGCCTGTAATAACATCGCCGTCGTCTTTCTCCTTGTTAGCGACGAAGCCCTCGCGTCGACGAACATCTGCATTCGACCAGACGTAAGACACGTTGAACGTGTTGCCCTCAAAATGCAGGAAGCGCAGGTAGGTCGAGAACGTGCGCTTGAATGGGACAATAAAAGTAGGAATTTCGTCGTTCTGGGCGGAGAGGATTCGTTGGACGACGCTGTGTTTGATGACTTTCGTGCAGGCGTTGTTCAGGCCAGCGTGGGAAGTAGCCACAAAACACGGGGAGATAGAGCCATAGGCTCCGTTTGTGAAAGTGCCTTGCATTGTGTCCCAGGGGGAAGTTGGAGGTGCGGGTGAGGAAGGGCGGGGGGTTACGGATTCGCGGTTCTTCCTTGCACTCTCGAGGAATTTGTCCCCGTAGCTAGAATGTGTCAAGACAACGGCTTAAGGACAATGAACGACATACCGTTTAGCCCAATCAATATTTTCAAGTCTGAATGCTCTGTCTGCTATCCACCACTTGACACTTTCGAGGATATGGTTCCCGTTCTCGTCGTTCGACAAGACCACAATCGCGAGGTTGTCGTTCGGGAAACGCGCGACCTGGGTCTTGAACCCAGGGTTGCTTCCGCCATGCTCAATAATTTCGTGGCCGCGATAAGAATAGCGGTCTTGTCCACAGCCATAGACGGCGGGACTCTGACGATAAAGTGAGTTTTATTGATGACGCTGATGAAAGAAAGAAATACCAGTTCAGGATATGGTGCCTTTCCACTTGAGACGCTGACACCAGTGGCGACGTGGTCAACGACCTCTTTAGGAATGACCGTTTCGTTGGTGAGCGGATGCTTGCCATTGTTGAGCAGCATCGCCACCCACATTGACAGGTCGCGCGCTGAAGTCAACACCCCCGCGGCTCCCGCCCAGATTCCCTCCTCGCCAGGCCGTTGAAAGTACGGCACGGTTGGCTTTCTAGTACCATTCCTTGCGTAAAGCTGGTCTTGCATGTCGTACTGGAAGCCATGCGAAAGCTGTCCGCTTGCTTCTGCCGCAGCAACGGAGTAGGTCGACGAATTCATTCCCAGCGGTGTAAATATATGCTGGGTGATGTAGGATTCAAAGGACTGGTTGAGGAGGGTCCGAGGGAGGTGTGAGAGCGTTTCGTACATAAGGTTGTTGTACTGATATTGCTCGCGCAAGTCAGCTGAGAGACGAAGGTAACGCATGGTCGATATCTAGCCACAATTAACTTGGAGAATAATGAGTGGAGCATACACACCATCTCAGAGACGCCTCCTGGCCTTGTCATTCCACTGTAATCATGGCGCGGCAAGCCAGTTCGGTGGCTCAACATGTCCTGAATTGTAACTCGTTCTGAGACTCCCTCATCCATGAGCTGCCACTCTGGGAGCACATCCTTTATCTTGGTATCCCACCTCAGCCGCTGTCCACGCGCAGCCGCCAAACTTTCGTTCTTGATGAGCAGCCCGACCGACATAGCCAGCATGAGCTTGCTGTTGGACGCAATGGCGAAGAGGGTGTCGGGCGTAACGAGGGCGCCGTCCGCTTGCGCGATTCCGTATGAGCCAAACTCCACGTCCCATTTTCCCGTCGCACGCGTGTCTTGTCGGACAACAGTCAGCGAGAGGCCAGACGAGTTCCACCGCGCAAGCTCGTTGTTGACATATGCATCGAGTTCAGGCGTGACAAGGGGTTCGTTTGAGGTGCGGAGCGGTTGTAGAAGGGGAAGCTGGAGGCCGCTGACCGAGACCGTGGTGGCCAAGAGCAACCATATCCGTTTTGCGCACATTCCGGTAATTTCCGAAGCACCGGCGTGACGTGACGGACCGTGACTCAGATATTGCGTTCATCACAACCCACTGAAAATATTTGGAAAAGGTATCGTCATCCTGTATCCAAGTTTAATAATTGGGCTATGCGACATAAGCCACTGAATGGCACTAATATCCAACTAAGACAGTGCGTCAACACCCAATTTCGATATATCAAAAACCCAGCCGGGTGTCGGCGTCAAATACAGATGCACGAGCAGCTCTGAAGCAGCAAGTCGAAACTCCGGTTTGCTAAAGTTGGCGTTCAGTACAACTTTCTCTCCAAAACAGCCTGATCACCCACATTGCCAAACATTTCTGTCGGAAGTCATCGGCGTCTTCAGTCAACTTGGTGTCTTTCGGAAGCGGCGGAATGGTTGATTGAAGGAGCTGTATTTCATGAAGTGGTTTTCTGTTCAGTCAAAGCTCAGCTACTTACCTTGGAAAACACATTCGCTGTTTCGTGTCCCGCCCAAGGTCGACTACCGGTCCACATCTCCTGTGCAATGCAGCCTAGACTCCATATATCGATTTTGAAAGTGTAATGCTTGTCCGTCTGATTCAAGACTTCAGGGGCCGTCCAGAATATCGTGCTGCGTGATTGCGCCAAAGTTTGTTGGGTCCGCTCCGAGTATATTTCCGAATACCCGAACCCAGCTATTTTGCAGACACCAGACATGTCAACAAGGACATTTTTGGACTTCAAGTCCTACGGTGGTCAAGTTGAGTTTGGCTTTTTGTAGCTTAGGTCCAAATTTACCCCATGAATGCCCTCGTTGCGATGGAGATAGTCCAGTCCAGAAAGGATTTGCGAGATGAAATGTTTAGTGACATCATCTGCGAACTTGCCATGCTCCTGTAGGTGGCTGTCAATAGAGCCGCCAGGAACATACTCGAGGAAGCTATGATTTTAAGTTGATGAGGATTCAACGGCTTAGATGATGTCTGACATATTGCAAAACGCCGGCGTCGATTCAATTTCAAGGTAACGCGCGATATTTGGATGCTTTAAACGTTTCAGTGTTTGCAGGTCTGCTGCGACTAACTTGATGGTGTTGGGGGAAGGAAAGGCTGTTCGTTTGACGGCCATGACATCGCCATTGGTTGCATTCAGTGAAAGGTAAACGTTGCCGTGAGTTCCACGAGTAATGAGTTCACCGCGAAGCCACGTGAGTGGGTCTGAAATAAGGTTAATGGAAGGCAAGGTGATTGGGTGAGAATCGTACGCGAGGAGGACAATTCAATACGGGCGGCTGAACTGAGTAGGTGATGGGTAGGCGCTAGAGGTGTTGTGTAGACTTTGCGCGACTTTACAATCATTCTTATGGAATCCCCGACAGCCGAGGGACTACTAGTAGAAAGTGTTTTCCCTTTGGCGGAGTCCGGTGGGGCGTCTAAGTCGTAATCCGGGAAGAACTCGTCCAACGAAGCATATATCTCATCCACAGAAGGTCGCATTGGAGTTTCACTGGAAGTCGAAATCTGGAGGTGATCTTGCGGTGCGTGTGATTTCAAAGGAGGAGTTGCGGTTAATGTTCTGCTGGGGTAGGAGTCGGATTTAATGGCCGTGTTCGATGCTTGAGTTTTGGAAGCTGTGCTGGAGATTTTATCGGTCCGCGAGTCTTGTATTGGGAGTCCTGAAGGGCTGAGTAATTCCCGTGCATGGGTAGTAGTTGACACCACCGCTGCTGCATTCCGAAGTGATGTCGAGGAAGGAAAGAATCCGGGATGTGTAATAGAACGAGGAAGAGCTGTGGCTGTATCTGGGAATGCACTATGCGTCAAGGTTTCGGTGGGAGCGCTCAGGCTGGTGCTGTGAGATGTCTGAATATATTCTTGCGGTCTGGTCGATTCGACTGTTGTAGGCGTGCTGGTGAATGACTCGGACATGGGACGGGAGTCAAATATATCAACCGGCTCGGCGTCCAACTCTTGGGTTGTATCTTGGTCATGATGCCATTGACTCTGCGAGCCGCCGAAAGGTAACCGTGAAACCATCCACTGCCGCCAAGTTGGCTCGGTATCGATTTCGGGCTCTGAATCATCTGGACTCGACGATATTGTTTCGCCGAAGGACACCGAAAGAGGGGTTATAGAATGTGGTATAGTAACCGGTGCAGATGCACTGGTACCTGAAGCGGTGTCATCAGAGCGATAACCAGATGACCATATGTTTCGTCTGGCACCAGGCAGAACTGCGTAAGGAGGAGGGGGCGGATCCGGTGCTGGCGAAGCAGACGTGATGATGGGATAGGCAATGCCTAGGATAGTGAGAGTTTGAATATGTTGATGGTGGATTGGGGACCCACCGTCTTCGGTGGTTATCTTAATGCGGTCGGTGGATTCAAGGATATTATAAAGGTTAACACCAGGCTGTGTGCTATCAGACTGGGAAAAAAGAAGGTGCTCAGAACTGACATCGAGGAGGAGGGTTTCCCAGTCCTCATCATGAGTGACGACGATTGCTTGGTCGTCTTCGATCTAGATTATTATCAGACAAAAAGTAGAGCAAAAAAAACACAGAACACTTTGGAAAGTATGTAATCATTGATAATCCGCCCAGGATGCACGCTCTGATGTACGGTGGTCAGTTCAGAGAGCGGCAAGACAGTGAACGACTTGAATTTACTCGGATAGAATCAACTAATTCGGATACCCCCACCCCTTCGCCCTGCGGACCGATATATCGCTTTCCTATATTGCGCGTATTTCCCGTGCCACTGCTCATAAAGCCGAAAAGCGAAAAGTTTGAGCTTTGAGAGCCGAATGGAACTGAACCACCCGCAAGCCGCTGAGGCGACGCGTCTTCGATCGAATAAACACCCACAGTGTTGAATAATGTGCCCCATATACCCAGTCCGAGGGAAATGATGAACCCGTGAAGGAAAATGGTGTTGTTGTTGAGCTCCGCACCACCATCATCGGGGCGTGGCGAAGGAAAGGACTTGGTCTGAGCAACCGTTCCTCGATTAAATCGATAACGAAGATGGGTGTGGGTGTCGGAGAAAGCCCTGAATGTGAGATCGAAATTGTCGCGTTCAGCAACATTTTGGAAAGTCGCTATGCCTCCAGCCGATGCTTTCTCGGTCCCGGTGATGACGTAGAGTTCGCCGTTCATCATGCCCTTCCCGAGTGTCCCATTGATATAGTGATACCAGGATTTAGCGTTCTGGACTGCATAGTTGCGGACATGATCTTTTCCGGTCGAAAGTTTGTGGAGACGCGAACCAAATGGTAAACAGAGGATTGCACCTTTGGGGGATGTGCACTGAAAGTGGTAGTCTCCCCCAGGAAATTCTCTGGTCGAATTTGGAGCTGAATTGACCGTAAAAATGGATGATTACGCACTCAAAATTAGCGTTGTAGCACCGAGCAGTCGAGGTCGAAAGAAAACTCCCAGGTTCGTATCGTAAATTGTGCGCATCCGATTCATCGTAGGGTTCGAGCGGAGAATAATTTGGTGGCACACGCCCTCGATTAATGGGCCCATTTGCAGGGAGGAAAATATTGAAGAAGAAGTCCCAAATTCCCTCGGGAGTTATCATTCCGACATCTCCAATAGACACTCCTCGTTCAAGGTACTCTGAGGGGAGGTTTTCTTGCGGTTCAGGAACGTAGAGAGGAAAGCCTCGTTGTCGTTGGCATAGTAGGCTGCAATAGACTTCGTTTTCGGAAAATGTTTCGCTTGGCATCGGGAGAGGCATTTGTGTTGATACTGGCTGGTGGAAATGGACGCCTCCTTGAGCACTGATAAACTGCCCTCCTTGAATATCAAATCCCGTCGCATTTTGGAACATCTGGGAGCCAGGCGCGTTGTCGAGACCAGGCATGGGACTAAGCGGCAGTGGCCGACCCCCTTGCAGATGTGGCATCGGCATTTTGCAGCATGCAAACGGGTGGGTTGTCGGGCTCAATTACGAGGCCGAATTCAAGTTGGGAGAGCAATGGGGCTGTGTGCCTCATTCGAGCTTCTATGCCGCACTAAGTGCTGCCAGATAGGTGATGATGGTCAAGATTCAAGCTGAATTTTGTGCTCACTGACCCAGTGTCTATTACAACAAACACCTATTAAGTACATCGAATAAGCAAGCAGCGCAAGCCGCCGCTAGAACTGAGCACAGCGACTACGGCCTTTTGACGTTCGCAATAGCAAAGAAATAAAAGCATCCTCAATCGAGGGCCAAAGTCCATGCATTATTGGAGGTATGTAAACAGAGGAGGGTACAGCGGTGTTCTGAGAGAGGATTGAGCAACAAATCCGCGTCCTTAAAGAGCTGCGACGGACCTAGTATCGACTTCACTCTGGCTTGACTGTTGAACGTTGAGGTTCTATTCTGGTATTAGACCTTGAGCTTTGAGAGCGTATAACGACGCACGTAGCAAAGGATGGAGCTGAGCAAGGTATGTAACCATCCACATAAGATAGCAAGCCGCGAGTGTAAGCATTACTGCAGTCCGTATAACCCTATGCTCAATTAGAGCGAAAGAAGCCACGACCCAAAGGGATATACGCACACTTGGTTGGGGCCCTTGGGGGTAAACAACGCGGCACACGTCATCAGTCCAGCGACGATGGCAAGGAGAAAGAATATGGGGAGGATCGTGGCCATGAGTGTGGTCGGAAACAGAGGAAACCGGTTTGGCGTGACGTCGTCTCGTTCGTCTTGTCTCCGTCTTCCATCCCATTCAACAACAACAGCCTCTTCGCATTTCACTCCATTGATAGTCGAGTATTGACTGCGCCTTGGCCCACACGGGGATTGGATTGGACCCGGACCCACCCCACTGCTCCACCAGCACGTCACGAGCCTCACACTGCTTATTTTACGACTTGTATGAACTAACCACCCCACCAACAAACTTAACGACTTTCCATGACTATTTACCTCTACATTGCGCTGCTCATCTCAGCAGTACACTCCTACACTCCCGCACCAAGGTAATTATTATCTTGTCTAGCCGAATGTACTAATCATCGAGTTTTCAGATGGGGGCAAGCTACTTCCATTGTAACCTCGTCTCTCTTCGTCCAAGGCGGCAAGCAGGACCCATTTGGATCGATGAGCTATACCGGCGCCAATGCTCAAAGCGATCTCCTCCTCCTCCCACTCGCCTTGTCCTTTTCCGTTGACAATCCACCCTGGGTCTTGGTGAGCGACCCAAACAATAGCACCAACTCCCATGGTCCAGCGGTAGCATGGCATACGATGTCCGCCTTCAATAATTCGAATCAACTGGTTTTTGGCGGTGTTCCAACACCAGTGGCGACATCATACACTCAACCTGACTCGGCTTGGCTTTTAAACATCTTCAACCGGGCAGAACCCCAATTCACACAAGAGCCGCCTGGTTGGGATGGTGAACCTCCTCGTCGCATGCACCATACTTCAGTCACAAGCAGATCTGGAGACGTATACGTTTTTGGCGGTGAAAAGGCGGACGGATCCATGATTTTAGAATCCGACCACTACGTCTTCAGCCCTTCTGCTGGCACATTTACCCTACTCCCCACCGCCAACGCTGCTCCTGCGCTCACAGGACATGGCACAGTCATTTTATCAAACGGTCAAATTTTCCTCTTTGGTGGCTTGGCACAGAACAGCCTCCTTCCGTTCGATACCTTCTACATATTCGATACTACGAAGAACTCCTGGTCAACTCAGACCATCTCCGGGACTCCCCTTCCCGCACCTCGCCGAGCCTTCGCTTACGTATTGTTGGATGACAGCGCTATTCTCATCCAAGGCGGCACCAGCGGCGATTTCCTGTCGCGGTTCAGTGATGGCTGGATTTATAATATCACCACCAGTACATGGACACTCGTCCCACCTCTTGCGCAACTTGGAGAGAGAAGAGACCATTTTGCGGTTTATTACGGGGGCCAAGTTCTTTTCGGCTTTGGTGCGAATTCCTCATTATGCCATCATCATCTTGGGTACTCATTTGTTCACAGGCTATGGTTCCTTCGCCCCTGTGAGCTCCTCGCTCACTATCTATGACCCGGCAACGCAATCGTTCCCCACAACATTCAATCCACCTCCACCAAATGCTACCATTACACCCACTTTACCTCTCCCACCTATTACAAAATCCGACACAACGCCAACATTCTCTGGAACCCTCAGTTCAGTGCACCCAACTAGTACCAATGGAAGTGGTGGTGGTGGGTCGACCGGAGATCAGCCCAAAGCGCCAAGGAAGACAACGGCGATCGCAATCGGTACTGTTTTGGGTGTTTTTGCATTTGTAGCTGCAGGATTGGGAGTGGTGTGGCTCATGCGTCGGCATGAACGACAGCGTTGGATGCAGGGTGGTGTAGGCGGCGTTTTCTCTCCTTTGGATGGTGGCGAGAGTGGAAATGGTCCCTCAGCAGCAAGAATGGTCGATGCTCCCCCACAACGTGGCATTGTCGTTGGTGCTGTTGACACAATTGGCGCCGCAGTCGGCTCATGGGCTACCTGGATTGCTGGTGGACTGGGTCTTGCGGCAGCAACAGGGGCACCCGCTGTTCATGATAGGAAAGAACGTCGTGATATGCTTGCGGACGAGGACAACCGCGAGTTCGGATATGAAGGCTGGTACGATGTGGGCGATAACCGATCAACCCGAAGTCGCCTCGAACGATTACGACAGGGTAGCGGCGGAAGCACTTGGAGTCTAATGAGTGTTTTCCGACCAAATCCGAGGCGACAAGCTAGTGCTGCCAGCGGTATAAGCTATGGTAGTCGGGGCGAATCATTGTTGGGTGTTGGGGACGAGAAGGATCCTTTCCAAACATATATGCGGGATGCTCCCGCGGGCCGCGCGGCGAGACCCCCACCAGGTCGCCGACAATCAAGCTACACCAGCGTTATGAGCACAACCAGCAATTACGTGGACCCTTTTGCCGATCCTGTGGCTGCCTCAGAGCAAGATATTACTGCTCCTGGTGTTCTTTTAGCCGCTAGTCGTCCAGGAATGCTCAGCCCAGTTACCGAAGTCTCAAGGTCGTCTGGCGCTTCCAACTCTGGCTCCTCCGTAGACCACCATACTTCTTCGGCGTCGGTCATAAATCCATTTGATTCGCTTTCTCGCGTTTCTACATTCGGGATGTCTTCCAACTCGCATCAGAACTCACCATTCGGACCATCGTCTCCAGCACCGACTGCTGGTCCAAGCAGGCCACGAACATCCAGTATCCTGGACATGCGTCCTCCCCAACCTGATCAACCTATGCGACGAAGCGATACATGGTGGGCCCGCTTCTCCAACAAGAGTTTGTTGGATCGACGGTCAACTCGCGGGGCAAACGAGGCTCCAGCGCCAATGGATTTCCGTGACCCGGCCCCCTTGCCATCTCGACTAGGGTTTGTCAAAGAAGAAACTGCAAGTGTTCTTGCGGAGCGAAATTCGAGCGACGGGAGTCAAAAGCAGCGAGACGCGAGAAGCTCGCCGTACAGCAGAATGTCGACGCATGGTAAATCAATGTCGTCCATACAAACGGCGAACTCGGATGCTTTGGAGCGGATGGGTGATGTTGGTGTGATGCTGCGAGGAACAAGACAGAGCGGGAGCACAAGTACGCGGGGAAGCGATACCACCCATGGAGGAAGTGTTGATGACGGAAGGTCACAAATACGGACTAGTTGGCAACCACCAGAGGATGAGGGAGAAGTTGTGTTCAGTTCTCCAGTCGAGATGGTCCCCGCTTCCAGTTTCAATCTCCCAACGCCCCCACCAGCCCCTGCTTCTCCATCAGCTTCTTCAAAACACTCGCCACCTGCGTCGATTAGACCTCCGTTGTCGACGGCATCATCGGGATCGTCCGCTGGCTCGGTAGCAGACCGCGTGCGTGCCTATGAGCGACGAATGTCTCAGGATGTGTCGCCGCCACCCAAAGAACGGCCGCGCAACAAATCCCATGCCAACTACGGACTTGTTACACGACCGAGTCTGTTTGTTGCGAACCCGGGACCAAACAGGGACGCAAGTGGAAGCCAGGATGCTTGAACATGACTCGGTCCATGCGTGTCCCCGCTCTGTTTGTTGGTCGATCTTGTTTTTGTTGGAGTGCTGCCGAATAGCACCCCACTATTTCCCGCGTTCATGTTGCTTCGCTGCTTGTGGCTGGCTGTCGGTCAACCTGCCATCGGTCGCATCGGTCCCCGATGCCCCCCTTCCCTTCGCCTGACCTTCCCAAGTGCTGGTGCGGTCTCCTTGCCCCCTTGATACTCTATCATCTCTCTATTTCATTCTACAACATACTGATGACCCTTCCATTTTACACTTTACGATTTTCTCCCATCCCCTTCTGGAGCCGTGTTCTGGGCCCAAAGTGCTGCACACATTGTACTCATACACATCACATGGACAGCTTGGCCCCCTACGAACTGACCTGGACGCTATCTACCTACGGCGCTATTGTGGCTTTTTTCAGCCTGTTGTACGCTAAATGTAGTTGCAATCTAGTGTTAACAGATCGGACGACGGGCGGAGAACACAGAGCTGTAAGCTCTGGGGATTGTTTATACCTGATGAACCTCGTATCAGAGCTCAGGCGATGATGATGACAGCGACGGCCTTTTGCTAGAAAACGCCATGGCTGTCCGCCACGGAACGCTTCTGACGGGCAAACAAACGAAGGCTTGTGCAGTGCTAGTTAGAACTGCCTTGAGGCGTGAATCCAATCAAGCCCATCAACATCTCAAGGTGGCCATTTGGCTTGAATCAAGCTTGTATTAATTGTTGGCAATTGTCCAACGACGTCAAGGATTAGTACATGGCCGCGGCGGGAGCTGAAACTGTAGCAACTGGGAAGGACGTGTCATGAGCCCCGGAGCGGGTTGCGAACTGTGATATCATTCGCGCGAAGCCTTCCTTGTTCTTGACATTCTTCCCGGCTCGGAAGTGCGGCGGCAGTAGGCAACCTAACCAACTTACTTGTCGTGGGTAAACCAGGATCGTGGGGCCGGTTTTCTTCTGTCAATGCGATCGAGGTACCACCAACGTGGACGCTGGATGCGAATAGCGATCGTCATCGGAGTGAAATTTTTTTTCCTTCCTTTCCCTTGGTTGATCTCGGATCAAGCCTAAAAATCAGCTGTGTGATCGCCGCGCTCCGGCACTGTCTTGCCCCGCACCAGATTGCAAGATTTTTGCCTACTTTGCCGACGAGTGGGCCACAAGAATGAGGGATTTAGCAAACGAACATACCGCTCGAAGCACGCCCAATAACTGATCAGAACATCGATATCATTTATTTGATGAACTGTTACTTGTGTTGACACCATCTGTGCTATCTATCCATTTGACTTTTTGCGTTGGTCCCGTCGCCCGCGTGGTGCCCAAGATTGGGCTCGGGAGCATGAGTGGTCATTCGATGGAGGTCCGCCATGACCAACCCTAAGAAAAAATATTTACACCTCCAACTTGAAGTTGGTCAGTAATAGATCTAAGGCGGCCGAAGAATACATTCGACTTCGTTGGCCGAGAGCCGATCGCCGTTGCGTGAGGGCCTCAGAAGATCGCCTGGAGTCCGGACCCAGAGAAGTGGACCGAGAGAATTATTTCGTAGGGTATACAATACCTATGTCGACCGGGGTTCTTCGCCGTTGCCTTGCGTCGCTTGTGTCTTCCATTTCTTGTGAGGCAGGCAACAAACGTGTTTAGAGCATTACTCATCATGGTGTTTCCGGGATAACGTCGCCTGGCCATGGGACCTTGTTGTAGTCGGGACAGTGATTCGGACCATCAAGCCCCAAGTCTAAGACGATCCCGATGTCAAAGGGCTTGGAGTTGGGTTGGACTGGAAACTTAACGATTGCAGCTTGTCGACGGAGTTAGCCAGGGGGTAAAGCCGCCCGGCCACCGAAAGACGACGAGGCCGCGGATAACTAAGTACTAGCATTAGATGAGGCACGCACGAGGCCAATTGGAGTTGTTTTGGAAGTGATTGCCTGAGCATCTGAAGGTGAGAAGAGGCGAAGCAAATGTTGTGGGGGCCGGGGCTGTAGCGGGGTTTCGGGTGTGTGGCGTGGAAAGAACTGGAGATAAACAACCAAACAGCAGATCGTACAGCCAAAGAGTCATCCAGAAACCACAGCCAGTCTAAGAGATGTGGTTGGACGGTGCGCCACCAGATGAAAGTTCCCGTCGGTCCAGCCACCGCAAAGCGGTGTGAAGGAATGTTTCTGTGGTTCCGTTAAGCAAGATATGGACTAGACGGATGGAATCACCTAATTGGGAAAATGGGATGCGATTCGGTAAACGCCGTCGGTGACCTCGAAGAGTTGTCAATGTGGCGCCGCGTAGGAAAAAAAAAGGAACCCTTTCGCGAAGACAAGAGCTCCACGAAATAAGTTTCAAATAAGTTCGACCTCCGATTCGGTCCCAGCCTACAGGATTGTCGCAATCGCCTGCCAGCCGACTGTACTCCGTGGCAGGCGGAGGTTTGGATAGAGACTCGGCTGGCAAACTGAATGGAAATCGTCTGTCATTCGGCGAATTGCCCTCGATCCGAGAGCTGCTGTCAAGTTGTCAGTGGGAGCAGAAAAAATCAGGCAAAAAAGAGCCGCTGGGGTCAAGCGCTCAGCAAGTTATTTGTGTGCGTGGATTGACGATAGGCAGATGTGGAACGGAGACAGCGGGAGCCTATGTCCACCGGTAGAAACAGTGCGTGTTTGGTGGTTGAAAGGAGTGTCAGAGGTCCCAGATCAAAAAAAGCGGGAGAAGCGCTGGTCACATTCACTGACGCCTTCGGCGCTTATCTGGCCGAGCGTCAACAGCAAGTCTAACGAAGGAAAGTGTTGACCATGGAAGGCCACCAGGTGGTCCAGGGTTGCAGCGTGGAAAAACGCGTGTTTTGGATACAGTAAGTAAACGTCGTTCACGTTCCGATGTCTTTCTCGCGCAGCTCAAATGTGGATTCGAGGTTGACGATAACAACAAGTTACAACTTTAGTTTCAGTTTCTACATGTCCATTGAGTTTATGCAGCCTCGATTTCGGCGATATGCGCATCATCGCCAGCCTTCTTGAGGAACTGTCGAAGGAAAATCAGCGATTTACGACAAAATGTATGACTGGATGGATAACGCACCTCGACAAGGCGCTCGACGTATTGCTTGTAAGATTCCTCCTTGGAAGCACCCTCTACACTCTTCCACGCGTCCCTGGATAGGTCGATTAGCAATCGCAACGCATAGAGCACGCGATCGGAGCATTCACCATTTGGCCTTGCCCGTAAAGTCGAGCATACCAGGTCGGGCCGTGTTGACATCGCCGACCGTGGCTACACTAAGTCAGACAATGACAGAAAGGATTGGTAGCTCTTACCCTGTTTGTAGTACTTGTAGAACTGAAGTGGAGATTAGATTTGGTCTGATGTTAATTTGGATTGACTGACGAAGAGTTGGTCGTCCTGGGAAGGCTTGAGCGGCCCATCCTGAGGGAGCCCACCTATGATTTCGACGGCCTTCTTGAATTTGGCTTCAGTGGGCATGGTTCACAATAGGTGGTGGTGGTATTGGTCTAAGGAAGAGATGAGATGCGCGTCACAAGTTATGCATCGCGAATCGATGGCGTTGCCAAATACGGCCAAATGACCGCCTGGGCGGCAAGAGCGCGACAAAAGTTTATCACCTGCAGGTGTCGCATGAAAGGGTTGTGGACGAGTCAAAATGGGAAATTTCCACGCTGGGTGGCGTGTTGGATGCAATCAATCATCGTCTCGGTCGCTCGTTTTTGGTGCGTCATATTGGGTGGCAAACGAAGATAGAGCCTAAATGGAGCCCCACACGTAGAACTACGTGTTCAGTTGGCCTGCGGGATTTGAAGGCCGTCCAAAATCTTTCCTTTTGCGGAAGACGTGATTGTCACGACCGTAACGTGTCGAGCTCACCACTGCTCAACGTTGACCGCAACCACCATGAATACCCTCGCCGCAGCTCCCCCTTCTCCGCAGGAGGTCCACCGAAAGCTGTCGGTCCACTCCATGTCGTACACCAAGTCGCCTAGAGTATGTGCTCATCCACCTATGTCGCGACAACGACCAAACTTGAACTTTTTTTCTAGGCTCCCCACCCGACCACGACTGTCTCGGGCACCGAATCAGACTCGGACTCACTCGATACCATCATACCCTCCACCGGAAATCTACCCCTCCACCAAGCATCTGCCCAACCCAATTTGTCATCCATTGCTGAGCGTCGTTCTCAGAGTGGGGAGGATTCAGAGGAAGAAGACGAAGGCGACGAGGAAGTCGGGGGCTGGCGGAGCGCTGACAGAGGCTCGCCAAACCTCAACTCTGCCGAGGAAAGTGTCATCAAGGCTGGCTATTTGTGGAAAAAAGGCGAACGGCGAAAGGTCTGTGCAAGCAAGTTGCTCTGGGCTCTCTGCTTATCCTTTTCAGACGTGGAAGAAACGATGGTTTGTCTTGCGGACAGCCCACCTCGCTTACTACAAGACTGCCGCTGAATACCAACTTCTACGACTACTTGATTTGTCCGATGTCCATTCGTGCACCAAGGTTGCCCTCAAACGACATGAAAACACGTTTGGGTTAGTCTCCCCGGTCCGAACGTTCTATCTTCAGGCCAAAGATCCGGGAGAAGTCCACGACTGGGTCAAGGCGATTGAAGAAGCGCGTCAGGCACTCCAAGCCGCTTCTGGTTCTGCAACGCAACCAATACCTATTCCAGCTGGAAGAGGGCGTGGTCGTGCTAATGCTCCACCACCAGTGACTCCCTCCCCCCCTTCACATGGCTACTCGATAACTTCGTCCGACTCTGACGATGCATCTCCCAATGGAGCCCGCTCCTACTCCCTTTCTTCTTCCCAGCCTCGTCCACAACTACCAACTGGCGGCACTTCTCCTTCTGCCAAAGCCGCTATAGACCCAGCCAAAACGATTCTGTCTGGATACCTTATGAAGTGTGGGTCCAAGCGCCGAAACTGGCGTAAGCGCTGGTTTGTTTTGAGTGCCGAACAGTTGGTGTATTCCGGAAGCCACATGGTAAGTCGGGATTGTCGTTGGCAAGCGCCTTGATGCTAAATATGGGAATGCCGCAGGATACGAAACCGCATCGACGTTTCCCCTTCAAGGAGATATTAGACGCCCTTGAATACGAGCTCGCTCCTCACCGCCAGACCCCAAGTGGTGGCTCTGGGGTATCTCCCTCTGTAGCGCCTGCGGGGGACGACGACAATAACACGCATACTTTCAAAATTGTCACAACGAAGCGGACACTCTTGCTCTGTGCACCAAACGAGGAGGACGAGATCAAATGGCTCGGTGCCATTCGGGCGCTTATTGCGAGAAGATCGGGGACTGGGGGAGTACCCGGGGACTCAACGAAAATCATGGGTACCTCCGACGTCAGTCCAAGTCCGTCTCATATTTCTGGAGTTGGAGGTGGCGGCGGCGCGTCGACTGGGTTGATGACAAGGGTGCGAAGGTTGAGTGCGAGTCAGCCTTTGCAGGAGCCATGACTAAACCCGAAACGCGAAAAAAAGAAGAAAAAAATGTTACATTACTGTGTGTATTACGAACGAGCTTACGAAGACGACGACGATTTGCAACGACGGAGATGTGGGAGTGTTTTTCTCCGAGCCAGAACCAGCAGAACGACGATCCCAATTATGGGTTGATTAGATGCAGTGTCCAGCTTTGTCCGTGATGGGCGAGGGAGACAGGGCGGTGTAATAGCTGGGGCTACAGTTTGAGACGCGGCAAACCATGTGTGCATGGGTGATGGGAAACGGTTCCAAAGGCCCCCCATCAAAAAAAGCGGGAGCATCGGCGATCTACGTCCCAAATCGGGCAGGCTCCGTGTAACGCTGTCACGCTCAACAGCCCGCTCTTTTGTGGACTACATATACCCTCGCACGGATGCGTGCAGTGCCTTCCCTCCCTTGACTGTAAAGCCATTGTCTGCTATCTCCTGCTGTCTGTATAACTACTCCTCACGACCAACACATCGACATCTCACCTCCACTATATTACCATGCCTGCGGCCCCGAAGTCGCCACAGAGCAGGAAGTCGCTCGCCGGGCCTGGAGTTGGCATTCCCAAGGCCAAGGGCGGTATTCGAGCCAAATCTGGCTGCTATACCTGTCGCATTAGACGCAAGGTCTGTCGATCTTTTTACGCGTTATTGCTTCCTTTGTTAGGCGCCTGTTTGCTGACGGGGACCCACACAGAAATGCGATGAGCGCATGAACAGCACCGGCGACTGCGAAACGTGTGTCCGCCTCCGTCTCCAGTGCTTGGGCTTTGGGGCGAAGCGCCCCGATTGGCTACGCGTGAGTTGCCTTTGTTCGCTTATCGTGGACCCACACCTTTTGTTGACACGACACGTTTTTCCTTTTCTCCTTCCCCAATGCAGGAAAGCCGCAACGTTGTTGATCTGCGAGACAAGATTAAGCTTTTTCTCGCCGCCCAAGGCATGATTAAGGGCCACGCTGGTACTGGTCCTCGCGGGGCTGATCAAGACCTGCCGATTCTTCGGCTCGACGAGGACAGCGTTACGCCGTCGTCGAGCGAGAGTCCGCCAACCCCCACGCTTTCTCTCTCGCCCAGCGAGCCGTCGCGCATGCTGATCTCGTCGGTGCGCGACCAGCCATGGCTCAGCAATGCCTATGGTCAGTGATTTTTTGATTGGCTTTCCCCGATGACTAGATGTTGATTGTTGTGTCACAGGCCTCGACGACACTCCCCCATACCACGATGGGATCCACCACCATGCCGAGCCGTCTCTGTATTCCCCTGCTGCCTATAATTCTAATATAGTATCCCAATGTAAGAGTCCGTACTTGTCCTATTAAATGTCTGTAATCTAGTAATTTTACTCAACCCTGTTTTTTTTTGGCAGGGCCTGGAATATCGTCGCGCGCGGGAAGCCCAGGAAGACTGCTCCCACACATTCAGTCCTCGTTTGGGCTGACATACCATGCCCAGTTTGAAGACCCGACATTTTTCTCCCTCGACGACCCAACGCCCTCCTCCCATATGTTTTTCGCGGCACCAGCCAAGTCTGCGAGGATGAAGGAAGAAGATGTCATGTCGTTCTACATCCGCAAAGTGGTTGGGATGCAGTTTATGCTTGCAGACCCGCGGCAGCTCGACAACATCGTCCTACCGTCGGTCACCACCACTGGCCCGTCGCGGGAGGCGGCAACGCTGCTGGCCTCGCTCTACATGAAGCGTTCAGAGCTCCACTCGACAGCTCGGAACGCGATAGTGATGAAGGATGCAGAGACGAAGCGGCAATACCAGTCGCTCGCGAAACTGCTGACGGCGCCAGAACACTCTGAGCACGACGCGCTCGCCGCGATCAGCATTATCTCGACATTTTTGTTTGACGGCGGGGCCGGGTCGTGGGCCCCATGGCTGGGGGTGTCGTACAAATATGCGGACAGCGTTTTCCGCGCGGGCCGGGACCCGAAAGACGCGCTCTTCTCGTGCGGCGAGTCGACAAGGTTCATTATCAAGACGGCGATCTGGTTCGATGTCTTGGCGGCGGTCACGACTGGGCAGGAGCCTATGTTCCTGCACTATATTCGCGAGCTCTTCTCGCCGCTGCAGAGCGGGATACTGATGCTGGAGGACCCGCCAGAATTGTCGATGATGGATGTCATGGGCTGCGACAATGTCGTCGTGTGGGTGCTGGCGGAGGCGTCTGCCTTGGCGGTGTGGAAGCAAAAACAACAGGCCCTGGGGCAGCTAAGCATCCCCGAGCTTCTTCAGCGGGCGAATGAGCTGGAAGTAGAGTTGGGGGTGCAGTCCCAGCCGGCGATGACTCGGCTGGGGATGTCCTATTCGCCCAACACGGACCAGAACGCGTCCTCGCGGGCGCTCAGCGCGGACCTCTTCCGCTGCGCGACCCGGCTGTTTCTGCGATCGATTGTGTCAGGTGACTTCCCGCACGTGCGCGAAGTCGAGGAGGCCGTCGCGCTCACGATGGAGGTCGTGCAGGAGGCGGCGGAAGAGATGATGCGGGGCCGGCCGGATAGCCACAGCAGCGTTGTGCGGAGCACGGTGTTTGCGTTTTTTATTTGTGGCGCGTTGACGGACAATGCCCACCACCGCCAGATGATCGTCAGGGAGCTCAGTCTGAACGAGGAGGGCCCGGATAAAAGCAAGGTCGGGAATAGCTCACGAGTGAAAGAGCTGTTGGAGGGGATCTGGGAGCAGAGGGCCGGGACTCCCGCTGGCCAGCCGGTCCCGTGGAGGGAGGTTCTGGCACGAGAAGAGATGTTACTCGTCTGATTTTCTTTTTTCTTTCTTGTCTTTCTTGTCTTTCTTGTCTGCAAAGCCTCATCTTAATTACCAGCACGCTCTCCTAGTCTCGTTGTACTCTGTTATCGTTCTCTCTCGTCGCACACATGTACATTCTAATCATTCTTAACAAGCATCAGGATCTGGATTTCTTCTCATCGATTTGAGTGCCTTGATGAAACAGTAATCGGTGGTCACGTCAGCACACACACATCTGTAGATCCCCTTATACCCCCATTTGGGGTGGCGTGGTCATCGGAGGATTAGAGGCCGACGACGGTTGGGTAGCTGCTTAGTTTGGACACGCTGCAAAGCGGGTCTTGATCTGAGCCGAAGCTCGAGAACGTCTAGGTGATCTGGGTTATATTTTTGATCAGAAGCCACGAAAGTGTTTTGGGCTGTGAGCTGGGAAACGGACATTCCTTCCTATTTATCCTATGCGTTACACTGCCTGACTGGATTTGCGTGCAGGTTTCTTGTTCCGTCACACTCTTCCATCTTTAAGTTGGCGACCGACCGCGATTGTGCGACTTTGTTTCGCCCCCATACTTATTCCCCTTCCCCTGTTCGTCGCCATCCACGACTGTGACGAAATACCCAAGACAACCACCCTCTAATCACCACCCACCATGGTCTACCTCAGCGGGACCTCTGAATCGAGCGGGAGCCAGTCGCCCGCCTCGTCTGTCTCGCTGGATGTTTCCCCCCGCCTCCCTCACCGTCCCCATGCCCGATGTCGAGAATGCGGGCTCCCCCCGCCGACTGACGGGCGATCTCTCGAGGAACAACAGCGCGAGCAAGGGTGGCTGTTGGTGCGTTGTCCCGTTGTCGTCCTGTTTGGCTTCTCATGAGTTGTTAGGACCTGCCGCCTGCGCCGAAAAGTACGCTCTCTCTACGCTGCTTTCTCCTGATTTGTTAATCTTCCCCCAGAAATGCGACGAGAACCGGGAAGGCGACTCGTGCCATACCTGCATCCGGCTCACGATCGACTGTCTGGGGTGGGGGCCAAAGAGGCCAGAATGGATGCGGGTGCGTCTCTACAATTTTTAAATCCTATTTTCTACTGTCTGATTACAACTGAAGGACAAGGCCGCTGTCGAGCGGTACAAAGCAGACATCAAAGCGCAGCTGACGCGGGCAGGGCTCATCCGGGGCCAGCCCCGCTCGTCGCTTCTCACGCCCGGCATGATGGGCGCCCGAAGGACATACCCGCCCCATCGACGCTCTGCAGACGCGTCGATAATGGGCTACGACTCTGGCGGGGAGTTCTACCAGTTTGGCCAGGGCCCACGGGGGATGTTCCCCGGTGAGTAGTGGGTGCTGCGGATGCATTAGTAACCCCCGCTGAATCATCGGCTCTCTTTTCTTTTTCCAGGCGCCAACAACAACTCTGCGTTCTATGGGATGCCGGGGATGGCGTTCAGCGACCACAGCCTGACTCCCCCTGATTTTAACAACCCCGCGCTGTTTGGGGCTGCCTTTGACTCCTCGTCGACCTCGTCCACGCCTGGCTCAGGCCAAATCCCGCCCCTCGACTTTGATTTTACGCAACTGGGGCCAGGGATGGACTTTGCTGGGGTAGGGCTCGACCCGTCTGCTGACAACACCCTCCCGTTATTTGCGGGGCACTCGTCCCTGCAGGAAAACCACTGCATCTACTACTTCGAGCACGTCCGGAAGGTGCAGTTTATATTTGCCGGCAACTCGGTGACCAATATTACATGCTCGGTGAGTTTTGCCGTTGGAGCGACAGAATGGCCGGTCTGATCGTGGTTGTTTTGTAGATGATCGTTAACGAGCCGAGGGGGGCGGTGACGAACGCAGTTTGTGCGTTGGCGAGTCTGCATTATACGCGGATGCGGGTGTCGCATGGGCTGGAGGCGCCCGACCCAAACCCGGAGCATTCGACGGCCAAGTACTTCCACGACGAGGCCTATTTCCAGCTCCACAACGCCAAGCAGGTCAGGGGCACCTATGGCGAGGCGGACGTGGTTGCTGCGCTGCATCTCGTGTGGTTTAGTCAGCTGTCGGGGGGCGCGACGGATTGGCAGCCGGTGTTCTCGGTCGCGTGCGACTGGCTATCGCAGCAAACGGACTTGTTGACGAGCGACAACCCGAAGCTCGCGATCCAGAGGCTGCCGCCGTCCAGCCAGCTCATCGTCAAGATCACGCTGGTGCGCTGTTTTTTTTGTGCCATTTTCTTTTTCTAACAACCGCGTTATTATAATAGTGGCTAGATATTTTCTCGAGCCTTACCGTGATGCGGCCGCCGAAATACCTCGCGCTGTACAAGCGGCTGTTCGGGGACCTGGCGGGGTGGCAGAGCCACAGTGACGAGATCCGGATGACGACGCTGACGGGGTGCCCCGAGGAGGTGCTGCTGGGGATCGCGGAGGTGTCGGCGCTCGCGCACTGGAAGGCGGAGCAGCGGCGGAAGGGCACGCTGAGTAATCGGGACCTGATCCGGCGCGGGGACGAGATCGAGCGGCGGCTGCGGACGGCGCTGGGCGCGATGGAGGCAAGGGGCGGCGACATGCTGGACAAGACGCCGCTCCACCCAACATTGGTCCAGAGCGACTCGGAGCAGGTCAATGCTGCACCGTACCCGACGAGCGAGACCCGGGCGCTGGTGGCAAGGATATTCGAGGAGGCGGTCGTGCTGTACCTGCACACGGTGTTGAACGACTCGAATCCTGGTTAGTGTTTTGATTGCGCACCTTTCTGGGCCCATTGCTCACGTGACCTAATAGGTGTCCCGGAAATCTCTACTTCTGTCGGGAGCATCGTGCAGCACCTGCACCAGCTGCCGCCGTCGGAGGTGGACCGGGCGCTGGTGTTCCCGATCTGTCTTGCGGGGTGCATGACGGACGACTCGAACTGGCGCGAGTTTTTGAAGGCGCGGCTGCAGGCGCGGGACGAGAGTCTGGGGAACCTGATGCGGACGCGGCTGTTGATGGAGGCGGTGTGGCAGAAGCGCGATGTGAGCGCGATGACGGTGGACTGGCGGGAGACGATGCGCGAGCGGGGGCTGAATTTGCTGTTGGTGTGATGTCCTCTCTGCTGGTCCTGGTCCATTGCCTCCTCTTCTCTGCTGGCCCCCCACTACGATACGATTCCCGGCGTTTTTTATATCACTATACCATCTCGCGCTATTTTACCTAGCTTTAAGTTAGTCGACAAAAGAAAAGAGCATGCAGTGTTTTTTTTGTAACAGTAGACAACAAAAGTATTAACATACCGGCCAAGAAAATGCGTGGGGGGGTGTGTAGAGCGGGACGGAAGAGAGACGCGGGTTTTATACGATCCGGCGGCGCCGCGGGCGAGGGCATGGGCATGGGCGCTGACAGGCATCACGCGCCGGCGTGGGCGCAAGTCCACCCTGTCCCGGGTTCGGACGCGGAATGGGATGGCAAATCCGGGGTCGCCTTTTATACGTGCTGGGCCTGCCGTGGACAAGACGCTGCGACGAAACCCCCGGGGCGAGAAACGCGCCCGACACCGCCGAGGCCGACAGGAGGGATGGGCCAGTGGGGCGTGTCGCCCCCGCGCCAAGCGTGTGTCAGCCCGGCTCGGGCGCAGGGTGTAAGGCAGGGCACGGGGAGAAGGTTTAGCCATAGCCACCCCCCCTGGGCTGGATTTTAAAATTACTATTTAGGCGGTGGTATGCGATTAATTGGAGGTACTCAGTACTGTATGTACACCAGGAAAAACCCGCTCGGCGGAGCGCGCGCGCGCGGGGGCGGAGCGTGTCCCCGCGTCCGCCCGGCCCGCGCTGATAGAGCCCGCGCGCGCCGGGACTTCGTGCTGCGTGCTTACGCGCGCAGGGCACGATGTGTCAGAACGCATCACGAATCCCCGTGGGTGTCGGGGAATGGCGATGTTGGATTGCCTTTTTGGGGGGGTTGGTGGGGCTCGGAGAACGCCCGTGCGACGTGGGGGTGATTCGGCCGAGATGCGTATGGGCGCTGCGAGTAGGCGAGGTGGTACTTATATAGGGCCTGTGGGGAGAGGTGGCAGGTCATGTACATCTGAAATCGCAGTGCGTGTTTTTTTTTCGGTTTTCAGCGAGGAAATACTTGGGCGCAGTGTTTTCGTGTTCGAATTCAGAAGAGCGGCGCCCACTGGCAGCCCGCAGTACACCGCGCCCCGCCCCGCGTGCCGGAAACGCTATAAAAGTATCTGCTCGCGCTTTTTCTTCCTTGGTCGAAGGCTTGGGGGCGGTTCACGTGCTCGTTCGCGTTCGCGTTCTCTCCCGCCCATATCAACGAAATATCCACGCTCTGGCTGGTGCGCTTCAAGTTCCGGGCCTCTTTCGCGCTCGCTGTAGCCTGAGCCTGTTGGCGTGTTCAATACTTGTTTTTGGCTCGCGCGAGGCTTCAAGCTTTTCGACAGCGGTACTTGGCTGGTAAATCGATCGGTCCAAACCAGCATGAGCTCGAAGAGTAGCTCGGAAGTTGGCTAATGGTATGCGCTTGATATTGTATGCCACAGGTCCTTCAATGCATTTCAACGTTTCAAACAACAGTTACTGGCTTCAAGTTGGGCAGTTATACTCGCAGGATAACTCGGAGACGTTACGATTTTCGACACCCGGGCCGGCGGACTGTGGCTTCAAGTTGTTGCCAGTGTTGCATATTTCAACTGACGTTTTCGACACGCAACGGCACGGGCTCGGATCGACCGGCGTAAACACTGGCAACGTCTGGATCTCCCTGCGCGCGTACGGTCTGCAGCAGGACTCGGACTCGCGCCGACCACTCGACAATACGAACCTATCGTCTCTTACTCAACCTGACGAAGGACAACTTCGGAAATCGTCGAATGGTATAACCTTGCCAGTGATATCGGGTTTCCTCTAGCATCTCATAGTAGGTGTTGTTTCGCTCGCCGTTGGTGTTTCGGAGTCCGTGGCTGATGCGTCTTCAAGTTTCAACGGTAACTGCAACACTCACACTCAGGCTGGCAGTTAAACTTGCAGAGCCAACTCGGAGACGTCACAATTATCCAACAGATTGTTTCTTGTTCGACCTGGGCTCGGAAGTTCAACTCGTCTTGACCTTGCTCACCTGGCAGGCTGTTCGCAACAGCACGGGGCCACGGGCGTGATGCTGTATTATCTGCATCTGCATCTTGTCTTATCGACCCTGGCTGATTATCGCCCTGATCCACGTCGTCGCCACCCCCCATCTTTGTTCAAGTTTCGTCCGATTCCACATCGACGAGTATTCGGTGCGTTTCTGCGACCGACCGAGCGACCGCGGCACTAATACCAATACCAATACCGTGGCCTGGCCGGCGTGGACGTCGTCGGAGGATGAACTCTGGGGAGCAACCATCATTTTTCCGTGCACGCGTGCGCTGTGCCGCGCCGTGCCGTGCCGCGGGTGTGTCAATGAATAATTGTGCCGGGCGCGTGCCGTGCTTCTGTGTGTTGTCAATCAGGCTTCCGCTTCTCCCGCACAACCTGGATGGCACGTCCGCCGCCGCCACCGACGTCTTCGAATCACTCGCTGACCGGCTGCCATCCCCCCGTCCAACGTCGACCTGTCGAACGTCCACCGTCTGTTTGTCTGTTTGTCTGTCTGTTGACCGAAACCGTCGCCCGGCTCGACGAATGGGAGCGCCGCTTCCCACCGCGCCGGGATGACAGCACCACCCTCCAACAAAAGCAGGTGTTTTGGCTTTCCCAATCAAGTACATACGGGCTCGCGCCACCTTCAAGTTGCTTCGATTGTGTTGACCAACAGTCTTCCCAGAGACAGACAGATGCGGTATGTGGATCTGACCGGAGAACGTGAACGTGGCCATACAGTAATGCATAATGAATTGGGCCGCCGCCGGCGTCTTGCCGGGAGCCTGAGGAGCGCCTATTTGGAGGTCGGTTTCAGGCGTGACGGGATGCACGCAGACGGTTAATTGCCTGGCCCTCGTCGTCTGGACGACCTTCAATTAACATTACGGAGGCCCTCCATTCCATTCCCCGGCGAATACAATAGACGAGGGCAGGCGTCGATAACATATTTGGACCGGCTTTCTGGAGATTCTCCCATCTGATCGCGACCCAGCCCAGTGTAGCATCGCGACGCGGGTCGCGCGTCGTCGATCCTCCCGCGGGTCGCTTCGTGATTCGCTTCGTGGCGGGCGGGCTGGGGGGCGCCAGTTGCGATCACGGAGAGCTCTGCCTTCTTGGGTTCGGGCGACGGCCGAGTTCAATGGAGAATGCAACGCAATCAGGGTTTAGAAGTCACTGGTGGGGCCCCGGGTAGCAGCGACTGGGATCCCTACATGCCTGGCTATCCGGACTCGGGCTGTCATCTGCCATCGCTGGCCAGGACTGTGCATGGCAGGGAGCGTCACGGTCGGTGTCGTAGGTCAGAATCCGTCAGACGGGCTCACGACTATTCATAGACGACTAATTCCCTACTCCTACTAGTACTCGACTCCGCAATGGCACGAGCACCCTGGGCTGTGTCCGCGTCGTCCCGAAGAGCAGATGCCTGCCCGTGGATACGAGTAAGTACACAGTTGAGTATTGCAGAGTCATTCTGGCTCAGGGCAGGTAGACATAATTGTAGTACTGACTATTAGTCTATGCCAGTGCGGCAGTCCCGAGAAGTACAGTGCGTCTAAATACACGCGAACGTGACCGGGGTCCAGTCTCAGCTACCCGAGGCACGCCTGAGTCAGACTGCCAGTGGCCCCACGAGCGATCCCGTTCCTCTTCTTGTCGGGCGACGCCGCGGCGGACACGGACACCGCCACTGATCATGTGATGGCGAATTTGCCCTCTTGGTCTGCGGCTGCTGCTGCTTTATTCCATCGACTAAAGAACACGGCAGGTGTTGCGTGTACCCGCTCCGGTCCCCGGCCCCGGCCCCGGCCCCGGCAATTTAGACGCCGCATTTTCGAGCAGGCGCGCCTTTGACGGCGGGTTCTGCGCCGCATTCCCCGACGTCGACGCGCGTGCACGCCCCGGTGCGGAAGACATCGCGATCGTCGCCGAGGACGCCCTCTTCGGCACGTGCGCGCCACGGCCCACCTCAGACCACGGCGCCCCACCATCGGCGCCCGGAGAAGCGCCGGCCCGGGGTCCGGGTCGCGCCGGCCGTACACGGGCGACGGGCACCAATTTATGAGGAATGTAACGCGTTGCTTCCGGCCCTAGGCTAGTAGCGATTTGCTGGCTGCTAACTGCATCGTGCGCCCGATGCACGAGTCGCGCTCGACGCCCGCGCTGCGCGTGGCGCTCCCCGCGCTCTGGACGGCGGGCCGGGACCGGGACTCGGACGTGGAGGCGGATTCTGGTGGCGTCTTTGCGTTTAATTTGCGCTGCCCGCCGGGGTGGCTTAGGCACTGCGTTCTACTAGAGTAGACACACTCCCGTGATATGCACCATCGATCGGAAGAAGCCGATTTTCAAGCATAAGTAGCTAGTGTTTGTGGAAATGTAAAACTGACCAATCAAGAAGGAATTTGGCTCGTAGGTATACTAGTTGCACAACGTCCAATAAGTTAGTTGTCGTCGTCTTCGTCGCCATGCCGATCCGCCCCGTGAGCGCCCGGATCGTGTCGATGTGCCGCAAGGCGAGCAGCGGCGAATATGTGCAGACCATGTCTACATACTAGTAGCGCGAGTGTGTCGTCGCCATGAAATGCTGACATTGTCCTCAAACATGCTTATAAGCAAACCAGCAGTCGTGGTGGTAAGGAAAAGCATGATGAGATCATTGATGCAGTTTCTACAAAAATAATAGAATGGAGCTCTCACGTATCATGTCTTCCGCGGCTTTCCGCCTCCTCTGTTTCCTCTTCGTCATTATCGCTTCTAGGGATATTCGGCTGGGGCCTTCCCTCCCGCCAGTCGGCAGGTGTGGATATACTGTAGGTATGGTGTGTAAGGACAATGGTTAGTCGGGAAAACATGCCAAGTACCTCAAAGCCTGTTGGTGCGCATCGAGAGCCCCTGCAACCACCCGCTCATCAGGCGACGCGCTACCGCGATCGCTGTTGAGCGGGGGTGAGGTCAATGTCCCGTGTCCAGGTGGACGCCGTCCCGCCGGACTTTCACTTCAAACAAAATCAGAAAAAGCGGAAACGGAAAGAAACCACAACTCACGTTGCGCTTAGAGGGAACGGAAGACCATTGCGACTGCCGCAATGTTCTCGACTTTGTGCCCGAACTTTCTCTTTGGCACGTCGGTTTTGGAACCAAACCTGTATGTTCCGCGGACTCAGATTGAGCTCTGCGGCAAGCCGTTCGCGGAGCTGGGTATTCGGTCTCGTGTTTCGTTTGAAGGTCTCCTCGAGAAGCGTCAATTGTGCCCTTGTCGTCCGCTTCCGGTGTTTGACCTCGTTCGGGACGTAAGGATAGAAAGTGGGTTCCGACGGTGACTTCATCATGTCGAATTGCAATGAGCCGCTTGGACTGGGGCTCAACGTGAAGTTGAGGGCCAGCAGTGTGCTTTTTGTGTACGGTGTGCGGCGGCGATGACCTGGAAGTGGAATGAATGGGGCCTCTGGCTGGCTGTCTGAGCTGAGATCGAGATTCCGACGCAACAACGTGTGGATCCCCTCCAGGACATCGCCAACACGGACATGTTCTCCGCCAGACGCGTTGACCTGTATCGGTGTTCGCCCAGAATGAGAAATTGTTAGTGCCCGCACAGGCGAGCCCGATGCCCTATGCTGGTGGCTGTCCCAACCGCCACCGCCATATTCTATAAAACCGCTATGATCTTGGGCGAACCGTTGCTGTGGATAAATCTCCAGTTTAGAGTGGCGAGCTGTCAATTTCTGTCGTTGTGTTATTTCGGGCATCTAGAGCCTCAGATATAAGAATACCTTAGTCGCCCTGGATTGTTCTGTCGCACACTCATGGAAGCCATTGAAGAAAATATTGGATTGGTCCTGTTGGAAGCTAGAGAATGTCCTTGTTAGGGTTATAAACATCCGAAAGAGGTCAAGTATACATTTGGCCGAAAGGCGAGTCCATTGGCGGAGGTTCATCCGTTAGAGCATCGATATTCCATGATGCGAGATTTCGAGGTGACGACAGAATCAAGTCGATATCATATTGAAAATCAGATTCTTCTTGTAGAGAAGCGAAGTTAGTGGACTGGTCCTCCGCCTGTTGAGTCCGCTCGCAAGTCTGGCTTTGTTCCTCGTGATTGACATCGACTCCGAATTGTGGACTCGAGGCAAAAAGTGGTTCGGTCTCGACCGCAGAATCAATGTCGGCGGCAAGATAAACGGCGCCTATGGACAAAAAAAAATGTCAAAAAAGGTATCTTCTACTCAGTTCAATGCCTATACCTTCTTTCTCCTCAACTTCTCTTACACTCAAAGCGCTTTCGAGGAAGTTTTCCGCGTTATCGCCTTCGCACTGAGCCAATGACCACGCATCCAAAGCATCAACCCAGTCGTCATCATGGGTGATCGCCACTGTTGCATTGGGGAACTAAAGAAAAATCAGGGTTCAATTGCTGCTTAAGAGGGTTGCCATACCCGCGACAAGAGCGCTTCATTGATCATCTGAGATGGGTCTCTGCTTTGAACCTGTCTCTATTTCAACATCGCAGTCAGGGAACGACGAAAAACACGCTACCGGCATGGACGGTTGGTCATCAGCCAATTCGCATGTCTTGGTACAGAATGTGTCAAGGGATGCTTGCTTGCCACCATTGGAACGCTTGCTTGAGCGGAACCGTAAGGAAAGAGAAGACAGGAACGAATTCCGAGAGCCAAATGGGATGTCGGCTTCTCGAGTGCCGTCACTTGAGCCATCCGAGTCGTCGTTTATCTGCGAGTTGTCGAGATTTTCACTGAACATACGGCGCACGCCTTTCCGCAACGAGACAGTGAAGCCGCGGAGGAAGACAGTATTGTTGGGTTTGATAGTCTCGTTGCTAGTCGAAGACTCGAACGTCCGCGTATGTGCTGGATTGTCCCTTGAGAAACGATACGAGGCTCGTCCATCCTGAGCGACTCGAGGCGTAAATGAGATATTGAAATCACGACCCGAGGAAACATTTTGAAAAGTAGCCATCCCGCCCGAGCGAGCCTTTTCACAGCCAGTTACAACATATAGACCGCCGTTAACCAGGCGCCTCCCTCGCACTTGATTGATATAGCGATACCAGCTCTCGGCGTTTCGAGCAGCATACTGCCGCAGGCCTTCAAGGTTGACAAGTTTTTCTAAACGCGAACCATATGGCAAGGCAACGAGAGCTCCGTCTGGACCCTGGCAAGCGAAATGAAGCTCGCCTCCAGGGAAGTCACTTTTAAACTGTTATAAGCATCTAATTCTCGGAGGAAAGAGGAGACATACGGCGAGTCCAGGTCAACGCAAGCCGCCTCTACTTCAGATGAAGTCACGTGGCTTCCAGGGAGAAAATCATTCTGCGAAACATCCACGGATTGGTATGGAGCGAGCGGACAGAAACCTTCCGGAACAAGGTTGTTATTGATGGGATGGGAGGCAGGCAAGTAGACGTTGAATGCGAAGTCAAAACTGCCCTCGAGAGTGATACTTCCGACATCTCCGATACAAATTCCGCGTCGCTGGTACTCTCGGGGGAGATTGGTTTGTGGTGTGGGACAGAGCAGAGGCCGCCCGCGTTTGCGAGGTATCAAGGAAGAGAAGAAAGTTTCGTATTCGGAGCAAGCCTGTTAGAGATTAGACTGATTTGAAAAGACGGATGAAACGGCGCACCGTCCTAGAAACCTCTCTGCGACGCCTGCGTGCTGAGGAAAGTTGTCAGTGGACTCGCCAAGTTCCAAGTTATACGAGGCATTTACGAGGATTGGATGGTTCTACGACCCGCATATCCCCTCGCACATTGATGAACTGACAACCAGTCATGTCGAAATTCCGTGCATCTCGAAACATCTCTGAAGAGCTATAGTGTAGGATGAGAGTAAGTCCTCTGGCCGTAAGTGAATGCCTACGTTGGGCCAGCAGGCTCATGACTGTGATCTAGACCAAGAGGGAGGGTAGGAAGTGGGGTTTGGAGCATTTTGTCGAACTTGAATGCAGAATGTGATAGAATGCTTCCCAGGTCGCAGCGCAGCTTTTATAGTTCCACGGAGGTTAACCTGGCTTGGACTGAAGGCTGTGTGGTGACCCGAATTCTTTCTGACGAGCTGGTTCCGTGGCGTCTGTGATAGACAGAGTTAGCTAACTCATTTTAAACCCAATGGTATTGAACACAAGGGTTTCGACGCGCCTTTTACTTCGTTCCAGAAACTGTTATCCGTCTTCCTACGTCAGATATCCTCGTTATATCTATCCTTGAGCCAACCATGCCAGGCACTGGCGTATGGGGGTCCGGCCCTTGACGTCGTGTGTAGCGGGCTGTGCAAAAGACGTCTTTAGTGCTTCTTGAGGGCAAAATTTCCGGAGTGCGACAGTTGAGCGCCTATCTAGCCTCGCGGACGTGAAGTAAACCGGTGAAAGGTGCGGCGGAGTAATGGTGGCTCATGTAGAGGGCAGAGATGTTGCAGAGACGTGGTGGTTGTAGGCAAAACTTGTCAGAAAGTTTGATGCGCCATCATTCGTGATCCAGTCGTGAATTTTTTGTCAATCCAAGTAATAAGTATAACATGTATCTTGAACAAATCATGAGCGTTGTTCCTTGAAGCTAAAAATCACAGGCAAGAGCTGGAAATTACTTATTTATCAGATGCGACTACATACATGCAACTCCAGATTCTCTAACTCGTTGATGGCAACGTCGATGGCCATCACTTACGCTTCCTTCTTCCTCCTACCCTCAACTTTCTGGCATGGGCGCAGTTCCAACTCTTCATCCAACGCTTCCCTACCAAATAACAGTTTCCACCACAAGCGATTGGACCCTCCACGGCAAGACGGAAGAACGGCATGGAAGCCGCAGCGCCTTGCATTCCTTGGCCAAGACGGAGAACCCAAATCCCGAACCGTCAACGATCGATTCAAACGCCACGCAAGCCGCTCGTAAGCCCCTCAGTCAAATCTCCCGAGCTGTTTGACAAAACAGACCTTTCGTAGACGGGCCTCTATAGAAACTGTTATCAGGATGTCAGCACTTGAGTTATATCTTTATCTCGAAGAGTGCGTTTGGGCAACAAGTAGGTCGACCAAATCGAAGGGGTCCTACTTACCTGCGACGGACTCCGATGGGAGCTTCTTCCGTTGCGACGGCGTCTATATTGCAAGAAGTCAGGATCTTCACCCGATCTCTCGTCAAAACCTAGGGCAGCGGATTTCACGGCCAATGACGGCGGCATCTTGCTGACGTGACCGCATTGCGAGCGGCAAAAAACTAATGGACGTGACATCATTGGGAATGCACAAAACCAAGACGCGAATGCGAGACTTGACGATTAACCCTCTCCCTTTACGAATATGTCCGCCCTCCATAATATCGACGAGAACAGCACAAAACCGTCTCCCAACCTCTCACGTTCTCCCGCCGTTCAACACCGCATCCCCAACGAAATTCACAGACGGCGTTCCTCCAGTGTATCCCATGTCGATGTCGATTTTTTCGACCCCGCTGGCGTCCAGGGCCTCCAGCGCGCAGTCACTGCCATGTCCGAGCGGAGTATGCGACGACGCTCATCAGTCGTTGAGTCGGACGGCACTCTCACTCCGGGCGAGGGCCCTTTTGACCTCGAGAAGACGATGAAGTTTGTCGTGAAAAAGTTTGTCGTTATCTCCCAACTCGTCAGCACAAAATGTTTACATCTGCTAGACTCGAAGAAGCTCAAATCGAAACGCGTGAGCTGGGCGTGGTTTTCCAAGACCTGAAAGTTGTCGGACTTGGTGCAAACGCGTCATATCAGCCCACTCTTGGCTCGACCCTGAATCCACTCTCTATTTTGGAGCAAATCAGGGCTTCGCGTCATCCCCCGCTGCGCAACATACTAGACGGCTTTACTGGATTAGTCCGACCGGGCGAGATGCTTCGTGAGTTCTTAGCGCTTGGTAAAGAATATCACTCATTCCGGCCTCCAGTCGTTCTCGGCAGACCCGGCTCGGGCTGTTCGACGCTTCTCAAGACACTCTCCAACCACACCGAAGAATTCCACTCCGTTTCCGGTTCCAGACACTACGACTCCCTCACCCCAGAATACATCCACGCCCATTTCCGAGGCGATATTCGATATTGCCCAGAAGACGATGTCCACTTCCCGACTCTCACTGTTGAGCAAACTTTGGAATTTGCGGCTCGGCTGCGTGCGCCGCAAGCCCGAGCGAGGTTTCAAAATCGCGAGGATTATATTTCCATGATGGTGGAGATCCTCTGCACCGTTTTCGGTCTACGCCACGTCCGGCAAACCTTGGTCGGTGACAACGCCATTCGCGGTGTGTCTGGGGGAGAGAAGAAGCGTGTCAGTATTGCAGAAGCATTGGCGATGCGGACTCGTTTGGGAGCCTGGGACAAGTACGCGTTTGACTTTGATGCCATCAACTCTGGATTGACTTGATTCCTTTAGTTCCACACGTGGATTGGACGCTTCGACTGCTCTTGAGTTCGGTCGCGCACTGAGGATTGCAACTGATATTGGTCGCCAATCGACCATTGTATCCATCTACCAGGCTTCCGAAACTTTGTACACGCTCTTCGACAAAGTCTGCGTAATTAGTGAAGGTAGGATGGTCTACTTTGGGCCAGCCGATCAGGCACGCGAATACTTCCTGTCGTTGGGATATGCACCTCAAGCAGAGCAACAAACAACGCCAGACTTCATTGTCTCCGTGCGTTATGATTCATGGGTTTTATTTGATTCATTCTAACCCCGGGCAGGTAACGGACCCCGTCGGTCGTATTGTTCGCCCAGGATTGACGCCAGAAGAAGATGCACATCGTCCACGGACGTCTACTGAACTGGCCGATCATTTCCTCAAATCGGCTTTGATGAAGAGAAACCTGGAAGATATCGAGGCTTATCAGCAGGAATGTGCGCCAGGGCAAGAGGACCGAGTTGAGAACTACAAGCGCAGTGCCCAAGCCGAGCATGCAAAGGGCACCAGGAGAGCGTCGTATGTGTCGGTCTTGAGAGTAAAAGGCTCCGCTAATTTTGATGTAGGCCATACACAACCTCGATTTTCATGCAGGCCCGTGCTGTCATGCTGCGTCGTGTTCAGATCATCATGGGGTCCAAGCTGCCAACGATAATCAACCTCGTGTAACTACTCTCTTTATTTTGTTCTCTTACAGTTTAACTTTGTTTTCAGGACTTTTGTCATTCAAGGTCTTATTGGTAGGTTACTTTTCGAGAAGACCTGGGAAAACTGTTTATTCTTTACAGTTGGTTCCGTTTTCGTCAACTCTCCCGAGTCAACCTCAGCGTACTTTTCTCGCGGAGGTGTCATGTTCTTGTGGGTTTCGCTACTGCTTTTACAACCAATACTCAATGAATTAGCGCCCTCTTATTTGCCGCGTTGTCGAGTATGGCAGAAATTGCCACATTGTTTGCGCAGCGGCCTATTGTGCTCCGTCAGAGCAAAGCGGCCCTCTACCACCCATTCATTGAGGCTCTTGCTTTGACCCTCGTCGACTTGCCTATCACGTTCGCTACTTGCTCAGTTCGTTGCTTGCTTCTATTCTCTTTCTTGTTGCTGATTGTTCTCATTAGGTTTTCTCGATTATACTCTACTTTATGGTTGGCCTTCAACGGACCGCAGAACAGTTCTTGTATGTCCCAATGATTACCATGGACTGGATTTGACCTTTTTCATAGTATATTCTTTTTATTCCTTTTCAGTATGGCATTGACTATGAAGGCCTTTTTCCGCGCCATCGCGGCGGCTTTCAAGTCTCCTGCCACAGCCCAATCAGTTGTAGGCCTAGTTCTACTCATGCTCGTTTTGTACACCGGCTATGCCATTCCCAAGCCAGTATGTTTCTAGTTTTGCCCCATGTCAACACACACTGATTCTTTGACAGTCGATGTGCGCTTTCGGCTGATGTCTCCACTTATCTTGTTGACATTCTCTCTAGGATCGGCGCCTTGCGGTGGATAACCTACATCAATCCTCTCCGATATGGCTTCGAATCGGTCATCGCGAACGAATTCCGCACTCTGAATGGAACGTGCTCCTCTTTGGTTCCCCAAGGACCGGGGTACGAGAACATCACACTCGCGAATCAAGTCTGCGCGACCGTTGGGGCCTTGCCCGGGCAAAACTTTGTCGACGGGAATGCATTCATCAAAGCTTCATATGACTACTCGTACAGCAATGAATGGATGGTAACTCGCCTTCCGCAATGAGCAAATGCATATCCATTACTAATTGGGCTTCCTCAGAACTTCGGCATTGTGGTTGCTTTTGGTGTCGGCTTCATCGCGTTTCTCCTATTCTTCTCTGAAATCAACACCTCTTCGACGACCGACAACCCTGTGCTTCTGTTCAAGCGCGGTACCAAAGGAGCCCCAGCACTCATCAAAGCCGGCAACAGCGACGACATCGAGAAGGCATCTGCTCGAGATAGCGATTCGGCGACTGTTGCGGAGGCTGACAAGACGAAGGAACTCGTGGCTGCTGCTGCACCTCGTATGACGGACATTTTCTCGTGGCAGAACCTCAACTACATCGTGCCGGTTAAAGACGGGGAGCGCAAGTTGCTCGATAATGTCTCGGGATTTGTGGTTCCCGGGAAGCTGACTGCTTTAATGTTCGTCATGTCTCAATTGTTTATAACCGAAAAGTTAATTGATGGGTGCAGGGGCGAATCGGGTGCAGGCAAGACTACTCTGCTCAACGTGTTGGCGGAACGAACGACTACCGGTGTTGTTCAAGGAGATATCTTCGTCAACGGACATCGGCCCCCTCATGACTTCCGTTCCCAAACCGGTTATGTCCAACAAATGGACACCCATGTCCCAACCGACACAGTTCGTGAGGCTTTATTGTTCTCTGCGACGCTTCGTCAGCCAGCCTCTGTTCCCATGGAAGAAAAGGTTGCCTAGTGAGTGATAATTCTTGTCTGATGTTAGTTTTTGAAACGTTACAGTGTCGAAACCTGCTTGAAGATGTGTGGATTAGAAGAGGTCGCTGACGCGTCCGTCGGAAGTCTTGGGATCGAGCATCGTAAAAGGACCACCATTGGCGTCGAGTTGGCAGCAAAACCCAAACTGCTCCTCTTCCTCGACGAGGTATGTTTGCAGTTTTGTGAGTTTCAAGTAACTGATTAGGCCCAGCCCACGTCCGGTCTTGACTCTCAGAGTGCTTGGGCCATCATGTTGTTCCTTCAGCAGCTTGCTGCGAACGGTCAGGCCATCCTTTGCACCATTCACCAGGCGAGTTTTTGCATTATTTCTCCTTCGGCAACTGACGCCGATCAATATAGCCTTCGGCCGAATTATTCCAGATCTTTGACCGGCTGCTCCTGCTGAGGAAAGGAGGACAGGTTGTTTACTTTGGCGATCTTGGACCCAGTTCATCCACGCTCATCAACTATTTCCAACGGAATGGTGCGCGGTCGTACCAGGCGGGGGGAGAACCCGTGAGTTTTGTGGATTTTCTTGCAGCAACGGAGTCCTGACACATGGGCAACAGCGCCGAATTCATGCTGGATGTTATCGGAGCTGGCGCGACTGCTACCAGCTCGCAAGATTGGTGTGGCTTGTCTTGTCTTGCTGTGATTTTTCTGACCGAAGTTTTCAGGGAAGCTGTTTGGCGCAAATCCTCCGAGTCGTCGCAATTCCGCGAAGAGCTGGAACGGATTCAGGCGGAAGGCCGGGCGCGTGGCGCCGTTGAGGCCGAGCTTCATGCCGATTTTGCGACACCATGGATCCAGCAGGCAACGAGTTTGTTCCGGCGGGATATTCGATTCAGATGGAGAAATGTGTGTTTGTCTCTCGTTCAAGCTGAACCAACTCAAACTTGACGAAGCCCACCTATCTCCTTGCAAAACTCGTTCTCAACATTGCGTCGGGTCTATTCATTGGTGTAAGCAAAGCAATCAGCAGATTGAATGGGCTCTTATAATGTTTCAGTTTACTTTCTACAAGCCGAAAGCGACGCAACAAGGAACGCAGAACCAGCTTTTTGTGAGTTTTCATATAATTGTTTGAAGCTCGCTCTTATCGTTGTCTTAGGCCATCTACATGTCGACTATCTTGGCTGCCCCTCTTTCCAACCAACTGCAAGTCCCATTCCTCGAAATGCGAAATATCTACGAGATCCGTGAAGGCCCGACCAAGTTCTACAGCTGGACGGCACTCATCACGTCTGCATTCCTCTCGGAACTGCCTTGGAACATCATTGGGTCCTCGCTGTACTTCCTGTGTTGGTTCTGGACAGTCGGTTTCGACAACGATCGCGCTGGCTATACCTACCTGGTGAGTTGCCATATTGTTGTAATTTTTCAAACCCTCATCCCGATATAGATGCTTGGTGTGGTGTTCCCGCTGTATTACACCTCGCTGGGCCAAGCAGTAGCCTCGATGGCTCCCAACGCCGAAATTGCTGCTGTCCTGTTCAGCTTCTTCTTCTCGTTCATCCTGACTTTGTGCGTTGATCTTTCACCGTTGTTGACCCTGGCTGAGTGCATCGTTTTAGCAATGGTGTCCTGCAGCCCTTCCGCGCGCTCGGATGGTGGCAGTGGATGTACCGCGTCTCGCCTTTTACATATATGACTGAGGGTCTTTTGGGTCAAGGTTGGCTATCCAAACTTCGGACTGAACCCCGAGCTAACTTTCGATTCAGCGCTGGGGAGACATCCCATTACTTGCAGCGCGGTCGAGCTCGTGACGATCGAGCCACCAGCCGGTCAAACCTGCGGACAATTCATGGCGACCTATATCTCGAACGCGGGTGGATATTTGACGAACCAGGATGCGACGTCAGCTTGCCAGTTTTGTTCGACTGCCACGACTGATCAAGTGCGACTTTTCGTGTTTCTGCGTGTGTTTTGCTGACCGTGTGATAGTTCCTCGGAGCGAGCTTCAACATCTTTTACTCGCACCACTGGCGGAATACGGGGCTGTTGTTTGTGTATATTGGAGTCAATGTGCGTTGCAAACGTGCCAGTCCTTTCTGAGCTGACCCCCAGTGCAGATTATCAGCTTGTACTTGATGACCTACATCTTCCGCGTTCGCACGACCAGCATATTTTCGGTGTTCCGGAGGGGCAAAAAGAGCTCCAACTAGACTTGTAGAGTAAAAGGAAAAGGACGCTACAGGGTTCCTAATCATGTATTACCATCTCTAGAAGCTTAGAATATATAGACATTCTTCATGAGTGTTGCCATGTGAAGCATGTCTATTCAGGGTAAAAGTCTAGTGTAGCGGGTAACCGACGAGTTTTCTTCTGCCAAGTATCTCTCCAATCTGTAACGGAGTTGGACGGCGATGCTTTCTGAAAAGACAGCACATACCTTGAAAATTCCGTACGCCTCGACCGCGTATATTCCCACACGTGCAATTTCTCCGCTCTGCACTAGCCCCCGCCAGTAAGAAAGGTCGATGGCGCGTCGGTAGAGAGTTTCGTATGCTGTTCGGAAGGTGGCCGCGTCTTTGGGGAACTGGAGCTCGGCGCGGTAGACCTGCTTGACGATTTCGCGGAAGACGGCAAAGTTGTAGAGGAATGACTGGCGGGCGGGACCCATCATCTCCGCTGCCTTCTTGCCGGTCGGGCCAAGTCGTTGGAGAGTGGCTTGGGACGAGTCAGTGGGGAGGCTAGGGAGCAGGAGGAGAGTTGGAAAACGTACATCCAGCAAGCGCCTCAGCCTTCTCCGCTACGGGACCAAGTGTCGTCTTGGCGGAAGACCAGAGCTGGCCCGCATTTTTGCCGAGCTTCTCAGCGTTTTTCGAGAGTGCTTCCTGAGCTACACGACACACAGTCAGCCACAACCAGTGGTGTCGAAGAAGGGGCACGCACAACCGACGACCTCGCCCGCCTTCTTCGTCGCGTTCTCCCAGAGCTGGCCAGCGGTCTTCTGGGCGTTGGCGAGGACCTCCTGCGCCTTTTGTTCCGGGGACGGCGGTTTCGACGAGTTGAAGCGGGCACCGCCGCGACGGAGGACGGATCGGGCTGTCTGCCGCAGGGACAGCGAAAGGAACGACGACATGCGAGGAAAAGAAAGCGAAAAGAATGATGCGAATCACGTGGGCTCCGATTTCGCCCGTTATCTAATCAACCTGAACACAAAAACTACTCCTTACCTCTAGGCTCTCTTTGCTGAGTTCAGCATGAGCTATTACTTGATAGTGTTGCTGTACGTGGTGTTGCCAATGGCTGATACAAAATATATATTTAGCTCCGCAAACTGGAAGGAAAGCTGTAGGGCAACCATCATATAATTAACTAGGGGCTGTGCTTCAGTACCTCTTGCTTCCGACTACTACCATCCATGCAGGCCACAAACAGTTCAGAGCCACAATTGTGCTTTGCCCTCTCTCTATGTAGTCAGCCACTAAGCCTTTCTCAGATCAAACTTTTTGCCAAATGCAACTGAATTTGAAATCAATGGAGGACTGTTTGTCAATGGGAATATGAGTATCACAGTAAGTGAATGCCTAGCATTGGCTATCTGCTTCAATTTCAGCAGCATAGCAATCCTCTCTATCATCCTCAGCCTGAATTGGGGTTCCAGGAGGAGCTGTCTGATACTGAACTTTATTATAACCAGATGATACGAAGAAAGCGTGGTTTCCCACTGTTTATTCCCTTGCCTACTAGTAATGTTCCTCAAGTTTATCAACACCAGGGCATTGCCATTGGTGATGTTGGCAGAATCACACCTGATGGGGAATTTGATTTCTTCTTCAATGTCTATTCTGGTTCACAAGATCCTGTCAACAGTCATGGGGTTCCTAATGGCTTTCATCCTCTCCAAATGTATCACAATAGGAATGTGGTTGAACGGAGCTATGAACCTGGAAACTACATATCATCTCCTTCAATTTTCAGAGCTGCACATGATTCTATTGGGTAATATTTATCTATACTGACTCTGATTATTATGCTAAATTCAATTTTCCAGCACATTTCCTGGTGCAGATTTCAGTTTTGACTGTCTGAAGCCTGTTGGTGCAGTGTTAGCACTGCCTTATGGTTCACAAGTCAGAAAGCTACAAGATATTCAGCAATTACGCCTATATACTATTAAACATGCTCAACAATGGTATGACTATGTTAATGGACCAGACCGAGGCCGAGACCTTGAGAATGGACAACTGCTCATAGTTACAGGATGGGAAAAGGCCCAGTCCTGGGGTATGGCTGCATTTCAATTTGCTCCACCACCATTTCAGCTCCAGTTTTTAGCTACTTCAGGCTATAGATACTGCTGGCGAGAAAATATACCAGCTTATTTCAAGCAGTATAACATCAACACATCAATACCTAGAGAAGAGACAGGAAATCAGACCATATTTATTCATGCCTTTACAATTTCACTGGGCCAGAACATCTGGGCAAAGCTATTTGGCAAAGTCAAAATTCAGCCTCTTCCTGGAAGTACTAGCAGATTAGGAATCAATAGTCAAAATAATCTTGTGCATACTACTGGGCAATCAACAGAGAATCAGTTATTTAATGCAAGTCCTCTATCCAAGGTTTGACTTTATATTGATTTTTATATAAATATTGAGACTATTCATAGATTTATAATCCATCATATAAAATTAACCATATGATCTCTGAGAAGGTAATTTATTTTGGATATAAGTTGTATATATACTGAGTTACAAAATCAGTATCAAGCTGCACTAGTCATTGTATCTCATAGTGATGACTGGTGTAAAACATTGCAAAATGTAAGATACTAATATTGATAAGCTAATAGTTAATTATTATCTAGGATCCATTTGATATTAACATAACTGAATTCCACAAGATTAAAGTTAATTTTGAGGCATTAGACTTAGGTTTGGATTTTCAATATTTGATATACTAATACATTTAATTTTGTTTAGATATTGCATGCTATACAGACTCTACCCAATGTAAGTTTAGACTATTGCAGATAACTTAAGAATATTTATTAATACAAAAGCACATCTAGTACTTTCTGCTTATATGGTTGAGCCAACACCTTATCTAGCTACTCAGTACCCTGAGTACTGGAAAGCACAATTATATACAGGAGATACTGGTAGTACTTCAGGTATAAAATAAAATACTCATTATATTAAAAGGACTCATAGCTGATATTATCATAGGGCAGCCACTCATAGCAAGGAGAACTAAGTCCTATGCTGCATGTTCTCAATGTCGTCAACAACATATCAAGGTGAAGATCTTTTTATGTTCAATTCTATCTATATATCTGACTTATCCTGAAAATATAAGTGTCAAGGTAGTCTTGAAAGTAGAAAACCCTGTCCACGATGTGTAAGTAAAGGGTTAGAATGTATATATGAGCCAGTTATAAGTCCTTCTTATAAAGTGTATCACTAAGATATTAATATTGTTTTTGATTATAATAATATGCCTAGAGATTATCTAAGGATATAGGTCTTGCTATCTCTAGGTGCACCTCATATGATAATTTGGTATTTCAGTTCTGGTATGAATAGCAGTAAGTGCCTGGACAGAGAATATGACACTTTACCAAACAATAGTCAGAAAATATAGATTTTCAAGTGTAAAAAATGGAAAACAAAAAAACTGTCAGAAGTATGAAATTTTAGCCTATCATTTCACAAGACTTGATAGGTGCATGATTTTTCAAGGTTGGTCAGTCAGCTGGCAACTATCCACCAAAGATATAAGTTAAATATATTATAGATTGGTTGATTGCACTTAAGTAGATATACAATACTCATTGTAAATATATTATTTAAATTGTGTTGTTGTGTGTGCTGCAGACCAACAAAAAAAATTAGAATAGATTTTTAAGACTCTGACAGACAGTTTAGGATGGAGTTTTAAGTACAAAATTGGAGGAAATTTGTCAGTGGAACTGTTATGGATAAGACCTGGCCTGTCCTCTCTAGCACTAGTGCTAGACCACCGACGGCCCCCCACCCGACTCCGCCAAAGGGAAAACACTTTCTACCAGTAGTCCCTCGGCTGTCGGGGATTCCATAAGAATGATTGTAAAGTTTGCGCAAAGTCTACACAGCACCTCTAGCGCCTACTCATCACCTCCTCAGTTCAGCCGCCCGTATTGAATTGTCCTCCTCGCGTACGATCCTTACCTAATCACCTTGCCTTCCATTCACCTTATTTCAGACCCACTCACGTGGCTTCGCGGTGAACTCATTACTCGTGGAACTCACGGCAACGTTTACCTTTCACTGAATGCAACCAATAGCGATGTCATGGCCGTCAAACGAACAGCCTTTCCTTCCCCCAACACCATCAAGCTAGTCGCAGCAGACCTGCAAACACTGAAATGTTTAAAGCATTCAAATATCGTGCGTTACCTTGAGATTGAATCGACGCCAGCGTTTTGCAATATGTTAGACATCATCTAAGTCGTTGAATCCTCATTAACTTACAGTCATAGCTTCCTCGAGTATGTTTCTGGCGGCTCTATTGACAGCCACCTACACGAACATGGCAAGTTCGCGAACGATGTCACCAAATATTTTACCGCGCAAATTCTTTCTGGGCTGGACTACCTCCATTGCAACTATGCTGGCCCGTTTGTAAAATAATTAATCAGCGATATATTTGGGGATACGCGCGAAAGTTTGAGTGCGCGAGCGAAAGTTTTTGGTGCGCGAGCGAAAGTTTTTGGTGCGCGAGCGAAATTTTGATACCCGCGCGAGAATTTTCATGGGCGGCCCTAATCGGCCGGGATGACTTGTCGGGATTATGTCATACTGACCAATGAGCTTCGCTGTGTTCTGAATGACTTCCCATGCATACTTGGCATCCAGAGTGAGGGAGGCCCGAGTACATGCGAGGACATGTATGAGCTGACTGGAATGAGCTGAATGCTTAGCTGGATTTGAACTGCTTGGAAAGACGCATCAATTATCAATGATGCGCCAATCACTTGACGTGACAGATCCCGCCTGTCTCGTAAGCCTCCTTCGTCCTACTGTCACCTGATTGAGAGCCTTCAGAGAGTTTGTTTGTTTGTTTGTGATGCAGAGGAGCCTTGTTCTAATCTAATTCTTATTTAGTTGTTATTTATTAGCTACTTTTACTCTGGACTAATCCAAATCAGGGCCAACTTCAATACTCCTTATGAATTTGAGTACGCGGATCAGCCAGATCCGTTTGTTTATACAACAAACCGGGGTCCCTTTGTAAAATGACACTATTATCGATAGATAGGCTCAGGAGACTCTGGCAACATCGATATCTGAACCACAGTTGCAAGCCTGCCCGACTCCAAGCCCGTCGGCCATCAATCAATCACCCCAATATAGGCAGCCGATGGGTTCGGCTGATTAGCGCCGACTTAGGCGCCCATGAAAATTCTCGCGCGGGTATCAAATTTCGCTCGCGCACTAAAAACTTTCGCTCGCGCACTCAAACTTTCGCGCGTATCGCCAAATATATCGCTGATTAATTATTTTACAAACGGGCCAGCATATGCAACGAGGGGATTCATGGGGTAAGTTTGGACCTCAGCCACAAAAGACCAAACTCAACTTGGCTACCGTAGGACTTAAAGTCCAAGAATGTCCTTGTTGACATGGCTGGTGTCTGCAAAATAGCTGGGTTCGGGTATTCGGAAATATACTCGGAGCGGACCCAACAAACTTTGGCGCAATCACGCAACACGATATTCTGGACGGCTCCCGAAGTCTTGAAACAGACGGACAAGCGTTACTTCCAAAATCGATATATGGAGTCTAGGCTGCATTGCGCAGGAGATGTGGACCGGTAGTCGACCTTGGGCGGGACACGAGACAGCGGATGTGTTTTCCAAGGTAAGTAAGTTTCTGACCCTTGGTCGCACAGAAAATCACATCACAAAATACAGCTCCTCCAATCTACCATTCCGCCACTTCCGAAAGACACCAAGTTGACTAAAGACGCCGATGACTTCCGACAGAAATGTTTTGCAATGTGGGTGCTCAGGCTGTTTTGGAGAAAGTCATACTGAACGCCAACCCCAGCAAACCGGAGTTGCGACTTGCTGCGACTCAGTTGCTAGTGCATCCATATCTGACGCCGACACCCGGCTGGGTGTTCGATATATCGTAACTGGCTGCTGACGCACAGTAGCAGTAGCTTTTATGTGTACTGTAGCACACTGTATGTATTACGTCAACCTTTCTAAATCCTGTTGACCGCCACGATGTTGTTTGCGGCCACCGGCCAACCCCCCGGTTCAATTTCCCTAGTGACTCCGCTTGGCTCACCATGGAGGTTACAAGGGCCAGAAATGCCAACCCTCCCATCACATCGTCGGGCCTCGCAATGGCAATCCGCCAGCCACTTTCGGTTGCCGGCCCTGGCCGGACGCTGGCCACAGCTTACCAGTCTTTGGGCCGCGTTTTCGAAAAAACTGCAAACCGCATCGCATCGAGGATGGGGCTTGGGCCGCTTGCCATCCTCGAAAGGATAGAGAACTTTATGGGCCAAGATTCCGCGGAACGAGAAGCCAAAATCGCGGAGCTCAAAACGAGTGTCTCTCCGAAGCTGAGCCGGTACTGCTCTCGCATGCTTGGATATGCTCTTCCGTGCGTATTCAAAGAGACCACATTTTGCTCACTTGACGAATCGATTATGCAGGAATGAGGCAGCTACCACACAGATTGATGCATTCCAATGCATCGTCCTGGTTTCTACTCGCTACTTCGGCTTGCGGTCAATATTCGTGTCTGAGTTCCAACGAACAACTCAGGCCTCTGTGGGCCAACGAGAATTGAGGAAAGTGTGGGGGCGACGGGATGTATTCGCGCAGCTCGACGATTTTATCTCAGCTTTGGACTTCGTGGTCGAGTGCTTGACGGAATGTTCCATAAGCGGAATCGTGGATGAGCAGATGACAAAACCACTCTGGAGGCTGGATGAAGACGAAACGGGTCTAACGGTTGTCGAGCGCTTGTTGATCGCGTCCAGCTGCGAGTGCGTTTTCTGAAAGCAAGTTATCATTTGAAATTAACTTGCGCCTATAGTGACGCGTTCGAATCTCCAACCAAACTGGCCATTCGCTATCTCGGCGGAATATTGGAGTGCTCCTCGTATTGGCGACAACGCGGAGTACTCTTCGCCACGATTCTTCTCAAAATTCTCATCCGAAACATCGCTCTGGTCAAAGACTTGGGCATCGACGTGCTTCATGTCAGTCATGCGCAACCAGAGTCGGCGATGCTTGCAGAGCTCGATCTTGAAGGGATTGATATCTTCACCGACTCTGTTCTGGCTGGCGTGCGACAGCATACACAGGCGCATGGGCGAGACCAACTCGAATCTGAGTACTGGTACTCGGCTTTCTCAGAGCTTTTGTTTTTGTTGAGACAGTAAATAAAGTTCACTTCCATAATTTACCGGTTTCATTGACCTCCTTCTTTCCAGCCCTCGAGCGGAAGACCTCCTTCCTTCTTCCTGGGACACAGCGAAAAATACCGTTATGGAGTCATTGGTGCCTGTTTTCTACTCGTTGCGCAAAGTAGAAACCTTTGCTTTGGAGTACACATTCACCGAATGCCTGACCTTCCAACTAATTGATCTTGCAGGAGTCCTGAATCTTCTGCGAAAAAACAGCCGCAAGACCACAAATCCACTCTGTTCAAACGAATGTACGACATGTATATTCAAAGACATGGTGATGAAAGGCACAACTCGCTGCCTGGAACAAGTGATTCGACTGAGCAAATTGAGACTACTCCACCACATTCTCTGCCACCCTCGTCACCTTTGTCAACCCCAGCATTGGCTCCCGATGAGATCGTACCCCAACTCAAGAATAAACCATCTCTCGATTCCGATTCAATCTCTCCCTCCAATTCTGCATCTAAGACTGCTTATCCGTCAGCCACGACTGGGGCTACTTTGCAAGAAAATAATACCTTTGGGGTCGAGAGAAGTCCAACAGCTTCGGGGTCGAGCGAATCATACCGTCGTCGCCCACGCCACGAGGACATCTATGACCGCCTGGAAGAATATTTCCCAGCATCAATTGATGCGGAAGTTGACCCATCTGATCCGCCGGTATCTGTCCGTGGACCAGCTGTGTCTACGCTACGAGAAGCTGGTCATCTAACTGCTTACCAGAATATATCGAGCCCTGGTATGTCAGAGTCCGCTCTAACACCTTCTCTACTCATACAACTTACTAGCCAAATGGGTCCGCGGCGAACTGATTGGTCGTGGAACGTATGGTCGCGTGTATCTTGGCATGAATGCGGTCACCGGAGAGATGATTGCGGTGAAACAAGTGGATTACCCTTCTGACGAGCGGGATTTACGCGCTAGAGAGGTTGTCAAAGCGCTCAGATTAGAGCACGAAATGCTCAAAGACTTGTCTCATCCCAATGTGGTCGAGTATCTCGGATTCGAGGAAACACCAACCCAGTTGAGCCTGTGAGCAAGAATGGCTCCATGACTGTCTTTAGCATGCTCACTATATTCCAGATTCTTGGAATATGTTCCTGGTGGATCTATCGGCGGCAGTCTGGCGAAACATGGCAAACTTCCAGAAAACGTGACCAAGTTTTTTACTTCGCAAGTTCTCGAGGGAGTCCAATACATCCATTCTCAAGGGTGTACACATCGGGTTCGTTGTGTGGTGGTTATTTTCGAGAAAGCCCTTACCGTGCCTTGTACAGGACATCAAAGCGGACAACGTTCTCCTGGAGCACTCGGGCGTCTGCAAGCTCGCCGACTTTGGTATCGCTAAGCGCAAGGTCGACGAAATAGACACCGCCATGCAAGGCACAGTGTTTTGGATGGCGCCAGAACTCGTGAATACGCAGAAGAAAAAATATAACTCCAAAGTCGACATATGGAGTGTTGGTTGCCTGGTCCTAGAGATGTGGACAGGCTCTCGGCCCTGGAAAAATATGGAAATGGTTGAGGTCATGTTCCGGGTATGCGCTCCAGTTAATCTTTTTGGCTACTTCGCTTCATCTGACGCGTTTACGATGACAGTTGTTCCAGTCAAGAGCGCCGCCGCCGCTGCCGGACGACTTGGTGCTGACGGAGGCAGCAGAAGGTTTTCGACAACGCTGTTTTGAGCCGTAAGTCGCGCATCGTCTTCCTGCGGCTGTCGCGTTGAAGCTGATGTTTCCCCCAGAAATCCAGAGGATCGCCCTACTGCATCAGAACTAAGACGACATCCGTATCTCAAGCTGCCTTCTGCTTGGGAGTTCAGGGGCGTAACGGAGGAGACATGAGGGGGGGAGGAGGACATGATAGGAATATCTCGCGTCCCATTATTTGAATCCCATATGGTAGTTTTTTGAAAGGAGGAGTCATGTGACCATGCAAAGCATTTTCTCTTCCCGTCCAGAGTGACTACAGTCTACAGACGACCAGCAAGTCCACACCACAAAGTCTTCTTAATGGACAAATCTATATATACTGCACTCCAATGCTGTCCCAATTGATCCAATGGGCTGATTAGGCGGACACCGAACAGAATGACGACGCTTTTCCTGTTGCTTTCCGTTTTCCATGGAGCTCGTACGGACAGATACTCAAACGCGCCCTCCTATCACTACCACCGAGCTCGCACTAGCGCTTCGTCAGCCCCTGCAAGTGATTGGGCCTGGCCGGACGATTCAATCCATCTACCAATCTGTGGGAAATTTCTTCGAGCGGAAGGCCAACAAGTTTGCGTGTCGATTTGGCCTGGGTCCGCTCTCGATATGTGAACGCGTCGAGGACCTCATGGGCGCAGAGTCGGCTCAGCGGGAGGCGGCTATGCAAGAACTCCGACTGGGCCATGTCAACGCGGCAACGCCAAAACTAAGAAAGGCTTGCTGGCGCTTGTTGCAATATGCCTTACCGTATGTGCTACTTTCACAACCGTGTTGAGAGCTGAATCTCACTCAAGCACTGAAGCACCGAATACCCAAATGGACGCTTTCAACTCCGTCGTTCTTCTCGTTACCCGATATCCTGGCCTCCGAGCCCTTTTCTTATCCGCGCCACAACTCCAGCACACATCCGAGATCACCAACAAAGATGTTTTGAAAATGTGGGGGGCGGCGGGATGTGTATGGGACATTGGGAGATTTTCAGTTCTCCGTTCGTTTTGCGGCTGAGTGTCTGACGGAACAGAGTATATCCGACATCGTCGAGTTTGCTTCGATTCTGCCTCCCTGGGTTGTAAATGAGCAGGAGAAAGGGCTCACAACCGTCGAGCGCCTGATTATCACTGCTAGCCACAGGTATGTTCACATACCAACGCTCCCTGGCTTCACATTGACAAGCAATGCAGTGGGATGTCGGAGTATCCTTCTCAATTGGCCATTCGATACCTGGGAGGCATAACTGAATGCCATTCTTTCTGGATGCAACAAGGAGCATTATTCGACGTCGTTCTGCAGAAACTGCTTATCAAATGTATCGCATTCCTTCGAGACTTGGGTGTTGATGACCTCAGCATTGGTCGGTCGGCGCAACCAACTGAATCGGATGTCGAAGGGGTGGAAAACCTCTGCTACTCTGTTATTATCGGCACCCAGGACCACCTTTTGATTCATTCCCGTCAACTAACCGCCGTTCGTTGGGGTTCCGCCTTCTCTGAACTGCTCTTGCTTCTAAGACAGTATGTGCTCTCAGTCCGCTTATGCCATCGACTAAAATTGGTTGAGTCCCCCAGCGCAAACAATGCTACCGCTTGCCTGGGAGGTGGCCACAAGTCCTGCAGCAGAATCCCTGGTAACGACGACATACTCTTTGCGCCCTGTCGAAACTCTTGTTGTCGAGTATGCTTTTCTCACTTACTTCTTGCTGAGTTTAATGTCTGCGGCAGCTCATCTTTACCGTCAATACCGGATTTTGCATCTCCCTTCCAACGACTTGTAAATCGATTCCTCGCTGCCCAACAAAGCCGTTCCTCTCTATTCAAATTCGACCCTCTGAATCCCATTATCGCACCTATTCCGCCCACACCACCCTCCGAATTACCTTCTGCATCGGCATCAAATGACCTCCCAGAAACCATGCAACCCAAGCCAGAAGATGACACTACTGGTAACACACGCCCTGCACCTGCCGCATCTCCACGAAGGGCGAAAGACAGCACGCTGGCTTCGTCGGGCTGGAACACGCACTTCCGCGCGGGTCGTTCGAATGTCGACCCAACCACTGAAGACACAGGATTTGATGCGCCGAGCCGGGTCCGCGGTCGTCCGTCGAAGCCAAAACCGACAGTAAACAGGGCAAAGAAACCCGGACCGGTCAGCTCAAGCCCAGTTGGAGATGGGGATCCCGAGCCTTCATGTGTGTCCCTTACCCCAGTGTGTACAGGCCTGAGCTGACTATTGTTTTCCTTAAGCTCGAGGGTTGACTAGAAGGCGCTCGAAAATCCGACTCCTGCCATGGGTCGATTCGGATGACGAGGCGAGGATCTTAACCAAGAACTACTGGTAGGATAGGAGCATTGAACATTGTATTACTAATGCTGTTTCAATTTGGATAAAAAACTTCCTATCGAACAGCATCCCCAATGTTAAGCTTTTTGCATCAAACTAATATGCACTCCCAGTACCCAGCAGCCACAATAATCACGAGTCAAGACTCCAACAAATCATACCGTCGAAGACCTACCCTGATCACACGACAGCACGGTCAGCACCTCCATCGTGTGGATTTATATATTTGGCTATTTCCCTTAAAATTGAAGGGCCTGAGATCGACATTCGACTGAGGACAAGATGATGATGCTTGTCAGGAAGTACTGTCGCTCTCCCTCTCCGTATTTAAGCACTGCCGGGACCCGATAGACCTTCTTCCATCGCCATCCAACGAGCTGTGAATTTGTTTTTCAAACCACGTGCACGAATTCGACCCTACAAAGGGGAGACATGCACTAGCCGACTATAGCTACTGGCCACACCAGGTCCAAACGAATTCGCGAAAAGTAAAGCTACAAATGTTTTCTTGATTTCCACTAGCGATTACAATGCAACTTTTCCCCCTCTGAACGAAGAATCCGGGGGGGGCCATCCGTGGCGGTGACTACAGTATATCCATGAAGTTATGTACGGTAAATTTGAGGAAATAGCCAAAGAAAAGGATATAAAAGAACAAGGGAGTGTGGATAATGGGAAACCAAAGTGAAAGAAGGAAGGACTGGTTGGTTGGTTGTGGAGCTATAGCGATGACATAAGACAAGATGCAGCAAGAGAAAGAACGAGACACAATGCGAGTCGTTATCAAGTCGTTATAAGGCATGCAGGGGACGGCGCAGAAACGACTACCGCTTGCGCTTGCCGCCAACATGGAATTCTGCTTCGGCAGTCGCAGGAGTAGGAGTCGGCGGAACGACAGTACCGCTGTAGGTGTTGAAGACGGGCGTCCGAATAGGTTGATACGGGCCATCACCACTAAGCAAGTCTTGAAGCTGTTGCGTCTGCGAGACAACTGGCGTGGCCAATAATGACTCATCGCCGTCGTCAGCTCGGAGAGTTGTGTTGCCAACATCATCATCATCGTCAATCCAAGCGTCCTCATCATCATCGTCTTGAGCACCGAGTAAGCGAGGAACTGCGATGGGCGGGACTGTCAATGACGCGGTCGCTGGTGGAGCAGGGGAAGGGAAAAGACCCTTCATTGGTGAGCGTGACTTGCTGCTTAGCCTCCGAGATCCTGCACGAAGAGTCGATTTTGCTGTTCTAACCGGTTTGGCTGTTGGCTCGGCAGTACACTCGAGAGACGTGCCCCAAGCAGCGTCACGCGGAGTAATGGTGGGTGTCGGGGAAGCTGGTGCTGACTCGGCATTTGGGAACGGAACTGGGGTTTGAGGAAACGGAACCATGATGGGAGCGGGTCGGACGCAGCTATTTTCGGGTGAAGGCGAAGTATGTCTGTTGGTCAAGACCACGAATGTCTCACATGGTTGATTTCGCGGAGGAGAGCAGGGCGGGGAAGGTGGATGGAGTTGTAATGGTGGTGGGCGAGGACTGGTTGGAGCAGACGAGCGGTTTTGGGTCGACGGGTAAACGGGAGGAGACTGCCAAGCGTCAGTCTTCGGTGATTGCTCAGAGACGGGACCCACATTATACCGTCTACGGATGTAGCGCATTCCATCAAGGTCACTCCACTCAAACTTGACCGACCGGAACGAGTGAAAGAGAATCAGTCGCTGTTCCTGGTGGACACACATCGAATAAGCTTCCATGCCACTAACGAGAAGCGCGGGACAAACAAACCTCGGTCATCTTGAGTGCCTCCAGATCCTCTAAGCGCTGCTCGTTCTCGAGCTCGAGTAGGCGTTGTTTGCGTTGGGCGGCTCGAGATGGCTGCTGCTCCACTGGCATTGGGCGGCGCATAAGACTTGCCGCCATTGTGTCAGAATACGCGCTGGCCGGTACGGTGTCAAACGAAAAGGGAGAGTCGGGCGGTAGAGGCGAGTCTTTGGCTGGCAGAGACGGTGGTGGTAGTTGCAGTATGTGGTAGAAGGAGGGCAAGAAGAACTCGTCCCCCAAATTAGTAGATGATCGGAGCAAATGACAACCGTGACCATCAGCCGTGACTTTGACCTTTTCCCCATGTGGCATTGCCTAGGCCTCCTGTCCATTTGCCTGGCACATGGCAACGTGGCATTTCTCCACACGACAGACACACTCATGCGTGAACGAGCACTCGCCTAAATCCAAGCTTGCTCGCTATCCCTTTCAGACCTGCGGTGCAGGTCAATTGGCCCGGACGCCCACACGACGTCTTCCCCCCACTCTTCGTCTTCCGCTTCTCAGAATTCTTTTCCCCATTCGGACCGTGATGCCTCTCAGTCATTGGCTAGCCTCTTTTGATCCTATCGTCCTTCTCAAAGCTTCTTTTCCTCCCCGCCTTTTGATAAACCCAATATCCTCTCATCAAATGCTAAACCAAACTGAGTGGACCAGTCCCAAATCCCCGGCGAGTGTCCGTGGCGAACGCGGGATCGCCCCATCGTTCAGTATACCTCTTTTGACAACAACGAAGGTTTTGGATTTCATCCCTCTTCCAGCCTTTCAGAATAACGGACCACTATACGCCCCCCAAGCAAACCATTTTGTCTACCCTGCATCTTACCTTCAAACAGCAGTTAGCGCCAGCAGCATCATTGAAAATGGTTTCATGGACGGGTACGTATCGGTTACATCCCTCATCTAGTCCTTTTTTGTACGCTGAGACCCTGCAAAAATACATGTTGCACTTGCCAGTGATCTGAAATAGAACGACTGTGACTTGGGCCTGAGTACAACGCGCTATCTTCCACGACAGTATCTGAATCATATTGACTGATCTGAGATCATTGAATCCCGGTTTCAAAGTGTGCCGTCAGGAAACCAGGAACTTCGAAGACCACCATTATCAGTGAGCGAATGGATGTTCAAGACTTAGATTCAAGAGTCCCTTGCAGCCTTGATTTCCATTGTGCTGGACTCGTTTGCTGTGCATCGTCGTGCTCGAGTTGACGGGTCCGATGACTGAACAAGTCTACAGCCCGGCCCGAGGCTTGGTCATCCCGGCCCGCTCAGACAAATTCCCCACGATTTTACGATTGCAGCATCCATGGAAGGCGTAATAAGCACAGACGAGCCGATCCTTAGCACTGGCAGGATTAAAATCGTTGGCGCTCTCTCGAAAGGTCGACAAGGCATTCAGCAAATAATCGACAGCGCAACTTGAAAGTGATAGGGATTGCGCTCAATACTGAAGCTCTCTGAGTCGTCGTACAGCGTAGGTTGAACACACAAGGTTGACACTGGTGGACAAGAGGTTCAAGGCATTACCGGAGTGCTACAAGGTTAGACTCTGTGTACTAGCGTCCAAGTATGGCATTTCGACAGCAAGTGGCAATGTCCGCAGTGGTGGCCGAATCTACCAGAGGGCAAGCAGTGGTTGGCTGAGCCGATTGTCACCAGCGTTTTTCGAGGCTTGGAGGAATGGAATGGGAAAACCCGAAAACTTGAGTAAGAGAAGCGATTCAGATATCGATTTCGAGCGCTGGTAATAAGCTTGATCAGATGACTCATAGTTACTACTAGTAGTTGGCTAGTAAGTTCTGGGGCAGCAATGAGCGCATGCGAATGGGTGCCCATAACGTCGTTGGGTAAGGAAGTAAGTACGTACTATCGGCCTCCAAATGACCATCTTCCTCGTCAAAAATGGATGACTTTCGGATAAAAGCACATTTATCCTGGACATCACATTTACCCAAAATGGCAATTCACCTTTTCCTATCCTTCACGCCCACCACAGAACGATGCCTGCCCCCGCTGAATTCCTAAGCTATGTCGACTCGCAGTCTGACCGCTTCATCCAGCGCCTTTCAGAGGCCGTCAGCATCCCGTCGATCTCCGGGGACCCCGCGTTTCGCCCATCTGTAATCAAGATGGCGCATTGGCTGGACGGTGAGCTCAAGGCATTGGGCGTCACCACCAAGCTTGCGGATCTTGGCACGCATGTCATGGACGGGCAAACGCTCCAGCTCCCACCAGCCATCTTGGGGCGGATCGGCGACGACAAGAACAAGAAGACCGTGCTGATTTATGGGCATTTCGACGTCCAGCCTGCATCCAAGTCTGACGGTTGGAACACGGACCCGTTTGTCTTGACCCAGGAATCTGACGGGCGACTGGTTGGGAGAGGAAGCACGGACGACAAAGGGCCAATTCTCGGTTGGCTGAACGTTCTCCAATGGCATCACGATACCCAGAAGCCTCTGCCCGTTAACCTCGTATTCTGTTTCGAGGGTATGGAAGAGAACGGCAGTGAGGGTCTCGACGAGCTCATCGAGAGAGAGAAGGACGGATGGTTCAAAGGCGTTGACTGCATTTGCATTAGCGACAATTACTGGCTCAACGCACGCACGCCTGCCTTGACCTACGGTCTCAGGGGACTCGTCTACTTCAAAATCAACGTATCTGGCCCCGCCCGCGACCTTCATTCTGGCACTTTCGGCCGCACTGTCCACGAGCCCATGACCGATCTAATTTCCCTCATGTCCCGACTCGTTGATTCAAACGGCACCATTCTCATTCCTGGAGTCGACGATATGGTCCATGCAGCAGACTCAGAGGAGCGGGCGATATACGAAAAACTCGATTGCAGCGTTCAAGACATCGAAACCGGTGTTGGCGCTCCCATTGCTCTTTCTGACGAGAAAGTTGATCCTTTCTTGGCCATTTAACTCCCAGTTTAATCGTATTTACAGGTCAGCGTCCTTATGGGCCGCATGCGGCAACCCTCGTTATCCCTCCACGGTATTGAAGGCGCCTTCTACGGACCTGGAGCCAAAACCGTCATTCCGGCCAAAGTCGCCGGCAAATTCAGCATCCGGCTCGTCCCCCCACAGACGCCAGACACCGTCGAGCCTCTCGTCCGCAAGTACATCGAGGCAGAGTTCAAGAAGTTGAACAGCAAGAGCACTCTGTTTGTTCCCTTTCTCCATTGGCATTTCTCGGACTGAAGCTCAATCAGCGATCTTGAGCTGTTGCACAGCGGAAAGCCGTGGGTAGCTGACTGGAAGCACTGGAATTATACAGCGGCAATTGCGGCAACAGAGGTCAGTCATTGACCTTCCCGCATGCATCTCGCATTAATCGTTAACCTTAGGCTATCTACAAGCGGACCCCAGACCTTACTCGTGAGGGAGGCTCCATCCCAGTGACCCTCTCATTTGCTGAGGCGCTCGGTGTCAATGTGTTACTGCTGCCAATGGGCCGTGGCGACGATGGCGCGCAGTAAGTTTCCTTGTTTAGTGATATTACGGTGTTGATCACTGTACAGCTCGACGAACGAGAAGCTGGACAAGAGTAACTTCCTGGAAGGGGTACGTGTTCTGTCGCTTTTCCTACTATCAAGTCTCAACACACATACCGCAGACAAAGCTCCTCGGGACATACCTTTATGAAGTTGGTGCCGCGACTGCATGAACATTAGCGAAAGGAAAAAAAGGAAATTGAAGAACAACCCTTGTAGCATTCGTGTACTGGTACGGAAGGACTGTAGCGAAGAAACCAAACGCCAGATGTGTGGTTGCGGTATGGCTGCGCGAGTTGCATCAGGACGCCTTGGGGTTGCTTCTGTCTATTTTCGTTTGGCGGAGGGATCGGCAGGGCGTGGGAAGTCCAACGATTTGCGGTCGTTTGAGAGAAAAAACCTTTCGCTTGGCGCGACCACTTGGTTGTTCAGCGTTGATGCCAACGGCTGGCTAGGGAACAAGAGGGAGCACGAGTCCGTCTTTCCGCTTCGCACGTAATCCATTCTATTCTGAGCGGCGCTCAATGCAGACGACGGGATTCGACCATCACCGAATCAATACCGTGACTATAGCCTGCAACAACTGAGAACTCAATTCAGCTACTGGCAGAATGGATCCGCGTAAGTTCACGACAGTTCATCAGCATAGCGACGTACTTCTGCATCGCCCCCCGCTGCGAGACAACACCTGCGCTATAAAGACAGTGGGACGCGTTCAGCTATCTTCATTCTCCTTCTCTGCTCCTCCTTTTTTTTCTTCTTACTTACAACACCTCTTTCTTTGTGATTTGATATCACCATGTTCTTCCGCGCGTCGATCGCATTCGCCCTTGTTGCCTCCCTCACCGCTGTGTTCAGCGCCCCAGTCGCCGCACCCGTTGTTGAAGTGCGTTTTTTTTTTTTGGGGGGGGGGGTTCCGGAAATCGTCAGATGCTGAGCGGATATATTTTAGGCTCGCGCAGACTTCACGCCGCTCGCCTGCTCCGGCCCCAACCTGACCGGAACCTGTGTCGAACTGGGCAGCACTCTTGGCGACGGCCGCGGCACCTGCACGGACCTCAAGTTTGAGGCCAAGTCACTGAAGCTCAACGTCGACAACGACTGTGTCTCGTTCACGTGCGTTTCTTCCCTCCCCACCTCCAGCAGAAAAGTCTTATTTCCTGAACAGCAAAACTGGGTGCACGATCGACTTTGCCAACTCGAACGACTTCGCGACTGAGCATTTCTCCGATGACGCGGACGTGAACAACTTGACACCCAAAGTCCTGAGTCTGAGCTGCCAGACCATCCCCGGACTCGTCAATGGACTGTTCCCGCAGTAAACGTGCGTTCTGGTGGTGAGGGGAGGAAACCATATGGAAGGAAGTTGCATGCGATGTGATCCAAATCATGAATGAAAACTTCATTGAAGTAGGAATGAACCTTAAGCGCTATGGTCTTCGAGTTCCATATCGTCGAGACGCAAGATAGGGCCCTGAGGCTTCTGCGAATTCTGTCCCAGTGCTTTAGGGCCTTGTTCACTGAGGAATGCCGCGATCCTCTTGCGCATCTCCTCCACCTTTGGAGTTTCCTGTAATTGATTCGTCGATATTTAAAAAGTGAACACAATGAGTCACACCTTCAGCGGGAATTCCCCCTCTGGACGCGGAAGACATTGCAGCCCCAACCGGTCACAGGTCGGACACGGGGACTGGGACGGAGTTTGTTTGTCGCATCTCTGTACAAGCACCGCGGTCAGTGTTGATATAGCTTAAGCAGAGCAAACACTTGCTTTGCCCCGGATTCGGCAAGTCAAGCAGCCCGCTGCATCAGTCTGGGAAAGCCATGGCGATCGCGCAGGCAGCCGAGGGGGCAGGGGTAGCCTCGACCAGAGTAAGTCCTTGTCCATCTTTGTGTCCGGACGACCGAGGGGAGATTTCTCTCTCTCGACGATTGAGGAGGTTGTGTAGTCGTCGATTATCTCTTTTGCTGTTGGGTTCGCATGCAAAGGTGTTAATAATAATATGTTACGACGTTCCATGTACGCAACGCCTGTCGCAATATCACGTCAGTGGATTGACCACCCACGAATGATATTATTTACCATTTTCCAACTTGATGTCCTCAGCTCGAATTTGCGGGTGGTTTAAGGAGGCCGCGGGAGCAAAATCAAGCAATGTCATATCGAGAGCTGATGGCGCTTCATGCCTTTGCGGTGTAGAAGTAAAAGCGTCCTCAACAAGAGACACCATCGGCAGCTGTTTGGGCTTTACATCTTCATCCGAGAGTATGTCCGCCCAGTCGTCATCATGGGTCAGCACAATATCAGCCTCTGGCATCTAGGACTGGGTTATTAAAAGTTGTTCGGCGAGAAAGCCAACATGCATTCTGTAGGATAGCTTGATTGATAGCACGAGAGGGATGAATTATCTAAGTAAGATCAGCACCATGGTTGAGTTGCGAAAGAGAGCAACACTACTTTCGGACCGTCTTGGAGCGCTGAAATTTCGAGGTCTGCATCCGAGTTCCGAGACAATGCACCCGAAGGACCACCGCTACTCCCAGTAAAAACATTGAAGTAGTACGAAAAGCCGCTTGTGCCTGGCTGCCCAGAGGACCGCTGATGCGAGTTATGGGGAGGGGCGTCGGTGATATTCTCCAAATAAACACTCGGAAATAGCTTGCCCCACAGACCGGTGCTAAGCGAAACCGTGTAGCCGTGAAGAAAGACGGTATTATTTGGAGAATGAGGTGTTTGGCGCGGCGGGGGGTAAGGAAATGATTTAGTTTGCGCGGGAGTACCGGTGTCAAATCTCGAGAGGTAATCGTTGTCTTGCGACGCTCGGAACGTTAAAGGGAACTCTGGAATGTGGGCAACTTGTTGAAAGGTGGCCATAGAGCCCGAAAAAGCCTTTTCGCAGCCAGAAATGATATACAATTCGCCGTTCGCCATGTCTCGTCCTTGGGTGTGGTTAAGATACTGATACCAGGAAGGGGCGTTTTTGGCGATATATTGACGCATGTGATCGCGCCGTTTCGCAAGTTTGACTAGCTGCGAGCCATGAGGCAGGTAAAGCAATGCACCGGCCGGAGCCCCACATCGAAAAGAATAGTCTCCTGACATTCTGAAAGCGACGTTTAATAGTGAAGCAACTACGAATTGAAGTCACATACCTAAGTCCAACGTTGCTTCCGTGGATGCTTGAGGAAGCAACATAACTGCCAGGAAAATGATCTTGTCGCAGCAAATCAAATTCGGTGTAAGGCTCCATCGGACAGAAGTTGTCCGGGACGCCGCCACCATTTATAGGGTGGTCTGCGGGGAGAAAAATGTTGAAGAAAAAGCCCCACATCCCTTCCTCAGTGACCATGCCCACATCTCCGATCGATACCCCATGAGCCGTGTAATCCACTCCCAAAGTCCTTGAAGGTTCCGGGGTATATAGAGGAAATCCACGACGTCGACGCCAAAGTTGGCTGCAGTACAAGTCTGGCTCTGACTTGGTTTCGCTCTGATTGTCTAGAGTGGAGGGAGACACAATTCCATCCACAGCAGTGCCTTTCTATCAAAAAGGATCAGGAATGAAGGGGAGAGATATGAAAAAGTGGCGTACCAGTCCAGCCAAGCCACTATTCGACGGCCCAAGACTCGTGTGGAAATGAATTCCCCCTTGAGCGCTAATGAATTGGCCACCGTGAATATCGAAGTCGGTCGCCGCTGAAAACCACTGTGGACTGTGATGGTCGTCCCGAGTAGCAGCCGTAGGGCGGTCTTCTGGGCTGCGAACACGGTGGTCGTCCATGTCCCCCACCAATGGATTATGCTGCCGATATAAGTATATCTAGCCTGGGCTGTGTGACTTTTATGATTGACTGACACAGGAAGGTATTCTGAAGAAGTTCCAGTAAACCCGGCTGTTGAAGGGAGGGCGTAGCGGGGTTCAAAAAACCATTTGTCGATACGCGTTCAACGAAATGGTTCAACGCCTTGTTCTGATGCATGACTCGGAACGAAGCTGAATCTATTCTCTCTGAGTATTTGATTGACAAACAAGCAAGCAGACATACCAGTAACTCCAAGTCTCTTAAATGAACGTGTTTCCATCGAGGGTACGGCCAGAGTGAACCAGATGGCTGGTCGACTTTTTGTAGTAGTCGTAGTTGAGGAGAGAGCATCAATAGTGGGCACGTGCCTAACCATCACTTGCGCAGCATCCTCATACTCGCGAATAATCCTGAATGATCCTTTCTTTGAAGCTCCGACGTATCGAACAAGGCTTGCCAGTCTCATTTACATGAGTGTGAAAACTGTTGAGGATTTACCCTTGACCTTTGCCTTTCAAGGTAAGTTCCCAGTGAAGTTGTGCGACATTTACCAAGGCGACCAACCAGCGAGGCTACTTTAAACCATCCTTTCCAATCTCATTTCCCACACACAACGCTCGGCTCCGAATTAATCCGCGCCATTTCTCAAGCTACAAGTCACCAGGAATAAACGGCGATCGATTATACACCTATTAATATCGATGTATCAAAAAAATAATTTTTTTGTACCTCTATTTGTGCCAAAGAAAATGCACTGATATGGTGAATATGCCCTTATATAACATATATCGGGGCCCTGGATCATATAAGTGAACCTTTTTTGGCACAAATAGAGGTATAAAAAAAATCTTTTTTTGCTACATTGATTTTAGCCATATAATCGATCGAAACGGGGGCCGTTTATTCCCGAACTCCTGCAGTGAGTACTTGCGGGGCTCTATGTCATTTCTTTGTGATTGTTGATCTCTCATTGGGCCCGCACAGGCTGGCTCGAGTTGACTAGATGCAACATCCCAAACCTTATCAAACACGGACAATTTGAGCCTTGTCAAGTCTGAGTCGACATACGGACAAGTCGGTGGTTATTAGTCCCTTGTTGTTTTTCAGTTGGCTTCCAGGTTTCAAGTTGCAACCACAAAGCAGCCCACAGGTTTAGATACGTCTCCGAATCCAAGTGATTCATGGTATTCTCTAGATGATCATGAGTTGCTTCTTTTTCGAGTCTGGTGTGCTGCCCTCGGCTCCGAACTTGGCAGATTCGCTTGCAGTTTTCTCATGAAGGAGACATTTCAGTGCCAGTCAAGGTTTTGCGGTGAATAATGTGCATTGTGAACGCTTATTTGTCTTTGGCCCCTTACCAAGTATTTCTTCTTCGATGCGAAGAGGTTGTATGAACATCTCCTCCGAGTCCCTGTGCAACCACTAGCAACGAGCGCTTGGGTCAGCAAGTGCGTTTTGTCTTCCACACCAATTCATTCGGCTGGCTAACACTATCTCGGCCCACTTTCTCTCTTTCTCACTGCAAGCCTCAAGGGGGTTGCAGATATAAAAGAGCTATCTATTCGTTACATTCCTCATCTCGGGAATACATTAAGTATGCTTCTCAAACTCACTACCCTCACTGCTATCTTGCCTTCGATCCTTGCGGCCAACATCACGGTCACTGTGGGTCAGAACAACGGTCTCACCTTCACACCTGCTCAGATTACTGCCGCAATCGGCGACGTTATCACTTTCACCGTCCTCTCGCGCGACCGTCAGTAATCATTTCGTCGATTTCTCTTTGCTGGTATCTTGACTCTCCTAGACTCTATCACCACGACGAACTTCGCCGGCACCGTTTGCCCTCCCCCAGACGGCGGAGTGGGCCCGAACGGCTTCGACTCTGGCTTGTGGGTGATTTGCTTAAGCATCAACTATCGTATCCACATGTCTACCCACAGCCTCTCCGACCTCGACGGCTCCCAGCCCAATTTTCGCTACACTGTCGTCGACGCAGTACCTCACTTCGGCGCCTGCAAGCAGGCTGCGGGAGGCCACTGCCGCGCAGGCATGACCTTTGCGATCAATCCCAACTCGACCTTCACCTACACCCAGTTCCTTGCGAACGCTCGAGCATCGTGAGCTGTTGAGCACCATATATATTGTTGCCGGAATATGAGTCACATCTCACAGTAGTACCAATTGAATAAATGTCTCTTCAAGTTTTTTGGAATTCCTCAGTCCGCGCTCGAACTTTTCCTTGAGTTACCCAATAAGCTAAGAAAAGTGCCTCACGAGTTCATATATCCTCCCTCGTGACCTTTTACTGATAGAGGTTTAGAGGACAAACGCGATAACAGACTTTTGGGATTGATCTCGTGACCGCGTCTGAGGCCATCAAACCAAAACATCTGCAAGATGCATACATGTGTATGTAGAACATGGAGGGTTATGTACAATGGGGTCAGAGACATAGATACTGTGGTCAACAAGACAGTATATGTAGCAGCAAATCAGCTCTATCATGGTTTCATCCTTCGTTTGGTGTCGTTCTCTTCTTCGTTTCATTTCATTTCGTTCATGTCATCCTCAGCGGCTCGACCTTCCTTGGGGAGGGTAAGACCGGCGCCGCTCGAGACTTCGTGGGTGTAGAAGTCGGCGTGCTCCTCGGGCTCGCTTTCACAGTCTGGTTCTTCACCAGAGCGGCTGGCGGAAGACCGACCAGCCGCGACAATGTCCAGGGGAGTTCATAACCCGCACGGCCAGCATGGGCGACATATCGCGCAAGTTCCAGATGTAAGGTTGGGTAGTAGGTCGTCGATGCTTTGCGGGAGATCTTGGGAGAGGTTAGTTGATGATAAGTTGGAAACAGACAATACGGACAAGGATAATTCGCTCAAATCCAGAGAGGAACAAATCGGCATGGAGCTGATACGCCGAATGGTCATCTTCTTTAGGCAAATTGAGGTCTGCCGCAATCTTGCAGACGGCGTTGACAAGTTTCAGATGCGTTGTCTGGAAGAACTGTCAGCAGAAGACAAGTTTAAAACCAAAGGCACGCACGAAATAGCCCATCGCCTCGAACTCGACGCCTCCAGTCATCCCACCAGGCGCTCTCGGCTTTTCGACCTTGGTTTCATCCGTCTCGTTCAGGATCCAAATCGCGTTATTCGGATGGCAAAAGACCCAAAAGTAGTCTCGGCACACATCCGATAGCTCTTGAAGATATGTCTTGTAAATTCTTGGACGATGTAGCGATTCGATGAACTCATGAGGGGAGACGGGTGTTTCAGGAGCTTCTGCCGCCCGCGGAGCAGGCGTCAGCAGTAAGGCCCGAATGAACGAAAAGAGGTTCTTGTATGGCGCAGGAAGTGTGATAAGATTGCTTGTGGTCGAGGCTGTCTCCCAAGCTTCACGTCGTGGCCCAGAATTTGAATGCCTGCCGCTGCCAATAGCGGGAAGAGCAGAACTCGGGTAGAGTTCGAAGAGGGTGAGAATAAGATCGACGATTAGTTGGCGAGTAGCAACGTCGCCCGGTTTCTTGTCCGAGTACAATAGGGAGACGAGTTGGAAGAAGGGAGCGGGGCACGAGCTGCGAAGCGCCATGCACCCAATTTCAGATGTGCAGAGTCCCTTGAAGCAACGCAGTAGTTCGTGAAGGACTTGATCGTCATGCTGCTCTTCCCTGCCAAAAGTTGAATGTATTTTTCAGTTGTTTAGACTCAACAAACCTCCACTCAACCTCCAGTATCTCGTTCAGTCGTGTCAGAAGCGCTGGATAGCCACCGAGCTCTAAGAACTCCTCGGTCCAACTGTTGCATAATGAACACTTATTCCTGACATGGAGAGAAAGGAATACCTTGCCGACTCATTTCGTAGCATCAGCCTCAACTTCTTGATGTTCTCGATATCCAACTGTGTGCTTGACGTGCCAGACAAGATGCTGAAGAACTTTCGTGGGGCAAGGTTCTTGTCTTTGGCCTTGTCTTTAGCACCAGCGCGTTCTTTCGCCTTGCCTCCAGCTGTCAGGTCAACAACAGAAGTCGACAGTGGCAAGTTGACTTGGCTGCGCGAAAGTAGCTTCGAGGCATCAAGCGACGAGCCGCGCGAGTGTCCACTGGTTTTCCGAGGAGAGCCAGAGCCAGACGACTCGCTAAATAGCGCAGGGGCCCGTGGTGGTGCGAGGTCGTCAAGAAGAGTTGATCCGCTGACACGTCGAGGAGATTCCATCGACTCCGTGCTACGCGTTCGCCGGAGAGCACTGGCTCGAGGAGTGGCTGGCATGGTGTCCATATTTGGAATTGCGGGACGAGTCGGCGGTGGTAGCAGCGACATGGTCTGTGACGATTTGAGCATGGCGGCTTTAACATTCGACTCCATCCCCAGTAGTCGCGGGCGCAACGATACTGGTATCTGTAGGTCCTCCTACAGTAGAATTCATGAGGGGAGTAAACAGAGTTTAGGGAGAAGCGCACCAGCAGCTTGTCGAAAGCAAGCTCCATACTCTCTGGCTGCTGCGGCTGTTGTTGCTGTTCCTTTTCCTTCTCTTTCACGGTATTTGCGCGTTCCCGCTTCTTAGATTGGACCACCCCGCTCGTCTTGGGGGGCGCCTGGTGCGCTGCTTTTGCCAACTTGCCGACCCCACCCGTCGTTTGTGGCTGGTTTTCCTTGTTTGGAGCCGTCGCAGGTTGCTCTACCAGGGGAGTGACCATGGTGAAGTCGGAGGATGTGATTCGTTTCGGGAGTATCCCTCTGAACATCGTCGCTTGGAGGTGAATGTGCGGAACAAGAGGATGGTTGGATTTTGGTCACGTTACCGTGCTCACATCATCAATCTACTCGATGAGCAGGATTCAAGATCAAGTCGCTGCATTCAGTTCAGACCCAGCAAGAGATTCCAGTTATTTTTTACAGCATGTCAGGAACACTGATCATGAATTGAAGCAAGCTACTTATTTGGCTTACAGTTAGTAGTACAAGACAACACACACATATGTTAGTTCCTTAATTCCTTCTTCAAATCGTCCGCAAACTTTTCTCCAATGGCGAAACACGCGCCAGCCGTATGGCCCGAGATAATCCACGGGAATATCGACGCGTCACACACCCTCAAGCCATCAATCCCATACACTCTCAGTTTGTTGTCCACAACGCCGCCGACGTCCTTCGGCGCCATACGGCACGTGCTCGTTGGGTGGTACACAGTCTCGACCCGATCCTTGACCACCTCCCGAATTTCGTCGTCGGGTTTGGTATGAAGTGCGTGGTCCAATTGAGAGTCCTTATTGGTGTGGTCCAGGTAGGTGTCCATCGCCTTCGCATGCGCGATTTTGAGCAGGAGGCGAAACCCGCGGTATAACTTCTCGAAATCGTCTGGGTTTTGGAAGTAACTGGGCGGAGATCAGTCTGGGTTACACTTTCGAAAGAAGAACAAACTTGGGGTTAACGCTCGGCAACGTCCATGGATCGGCAGATTTTAGTAAAACGGAGCCTCGACTGGTTGGTCTGTACTAACCATCAGAAAATAATTTATTAGTAAAAAGGAAGACTAACCGGACAAGATAACAATGCAACGCATACGTGTGCATGCTGAACATAACCTTTCCGTGCTCTTTGTACGCGAGTGGCGTACAGAATAGCTCCAAATCAGGACTCGAGGTTCCGGACGTGCTGTCCTCCAAAATTTGCGGGAACTCCGTTGACGGGAACAGACGCGGGTCGTCAGATCTCACAAAAGCAGCGGACTCGCCAAACTACATCACTTGATTAGTAATCCTTGAAGGAGAAACTAAATGACACACATTTGTAGCAAGCTTGCCCGTTCCCCAAATCTGGTATTGTGCGATCGCCGCAAAGAGTTTGGGAAATGCTGTTAGCGTCTTCGGGCGCAGTGTGAGAACAGAGTCGTCGAGCTTGTCTTTGAAGTACATATCCACAACAGGATGGTCAACGAGATTGTCACCAACGCCAGGAACATCGAGTACGAGCGGGATGCCGTGTTGTTCGAGTTGCTTGGCTGGACCGACGCCAGAAAGCATCAAAATCTGTGTACTTGTGAGTTGATAGAGTCAACAAGTGGAAAAGACTCGCATGAGGAGAATGGATTGCACCCGCAGATAATACCACCTCTTTACCAGCACGGGCACGATATCGTGGTGCGTTCTTGCCTTGAGCGAATTCAACACCGACTGCTCGTGGAGTTGCGCCGCGCTTGTCAAATATAATTTTGGTTACGGTCGCATTTATGGCGACTGTTAGGTTAGGGCGAGCAAGAACTTCAGGCGTTAAGTATGCTGTTTCTGAGGAAACGCGCCGGCCATTCTCGTCCACGTAGGTCACTAATAGCTATCAGCGCTTGCGAAGACTCGAACCGTGCTTGTACTCACTAATCTGGTGAAGAAATGAGAGCCAAGAAGAGAAAAGAACGAAAAACACGTACCCGGCTTGCTCCAATGGGCCCCTTAGACGTATTGAAGTCCGCGATTCGCGGAATCCCTACTTGCGTGCAAGCAGTTATGAAGGCCTTCGAATGTTCTGACACAGTATTGAAGTAACCGACCCTCACAGGGCCCTTGTTTCCGCGCTCCGCCGTCTTGACGGCAGGGTAATTTTTGTCAGGCACGTAGCGCTCGAGTTTTTGAAACGACTTTTGGATATTGCTCCATGACCACGAGTCGTCGCCCATAAGGGAGGCCCACTCGTCAAAGTCACCAGGTGCCCCGTACTGTGCCATTTGAGCGTTGATACTGCTGCATCCGCCGAGCATTTTAGCTTGCAGCCATTCAATAATCGAGTAGGCTGATAAAATGTCTGTTACCTCGAGGGAAGAAGCGTTGTTGACCCTTTGCGTGTACTTGAGGCTCCGTGCGGAAGCCAAAGACATGTTTTGTCCAGAAGAGCTGCCCAAAGCCCGAGGGCACGCGGCTGAGCGGGAGAGCGCTTCCACTGAAAGCTATTTGAGTAAAATGGATGGTTGTTTGAGAACGCGACACGCACCTTCCGCCAGCCTCAAGCAGCAGAACGCTGATATTTGGGTCTTCACTCAGCCTGGCAGCAAGTACGCATCCAGAAGTACCTGTTTAGGGTTAGCGCATAGACTCTCATTCTACAACAAGCACACACCTCCACCAACAATGATAACATCGTATTTCTTATCCGCGACGCTGGCCAAGTTCGACACGTAGCCGCCCCTCTTCTTGCCCTTGCTCGAAGTGAAGCGCAGTCGAAGCGCGAGCAACAGGGCAGCTAACGCGCTCGAGCCAAGAATAAAGAGACGCGGATGGAGTGCAAGCAGCCGTCGGAGTTTGTCGACTGTGAGCGCGACATTGTCCGCCATCCTGGCCGTTGAAAGCAACAACGTCTGATTCGGTCTGAATTGCACATGTTATATGGGGTTGATTGCCGTTGGGCCGATTGGCCCGGCCGACGTGTCAAATGACCGGATCTCAAGCTTATTAATGGTTAGGTGTATGAATAAACTATTTGAGCTCGATTTCCGTGTTTTCTCTGATCGGCGAGCAAATATCTGACGTCAAGCTGGCATGATAGCTCGAGACCGTCGCATTTTGACGATTAGTGAGCGACAGATGCTGCCGCGTTCCATCCAGGTATTGAAAGCCACTTCGCACCGGATCATTCATCCAAAGCCATTTTATTCCTCATCCCCACTCTCTTCATCGTCGCTCGCAACACCGACTACGCCACCCTGACCATCGCCAGCCTCTCTCTCCCTCAACACCCTACCCGCTTCTTTCAACTTGGCCCCGAACGCTTTTCGTGCTCCCATATTGGCGCCAACATCCCAAATCTGCAACTTCGCTTTGCTCCCCGCGGCGGCCAAAGTGAGCGGGTCGTCTGGTGAAAACGCGACCGAAAACACTTTGCCTACACCCAAGTCCCTTGAAGTCACGAGACTGACATTCTTTTGGTCATCTTGGACGTTCCACACTTTGACAACTTTGTCGTTTCCACCTGTAGCGATGCAACCACGAATATGGGGGTTGATGTCGAGGCCAGAAGCAGCACCATCGTGGGCTGAAAGCGTGAAACGGGCAGGCGATGGTTGATTCAGATCTGACGACATTTTGCGGACATCGAAGTTGAGGACCATACCATTTTCGAGCGATACCTAGAATTCTTTCAGAAAACTGTAGTTTTAGCAAAGTAAACTCACATAGAAACCAGAATCCTCCCAGGGGTCCCATTTCATAGCCTCGACATCGCTTCCAACCACTGCTGCAACCCCACTATCTGGTGTTCTGGTGTCGAAAGTCCGGACGGTACGGTCATAGCTCCCAGTCAATAACACACTTGGGTCCTTCTCGTTCCACCTGACTGCCTGAACTTTGTCCGTGTGGAGATCAAAGCTTCGAATTGCCCCTCCACCCTCGCCATTGATACTTGGATCACGACTCAAGTCCCATAACTTTACGGTTCTGTCAGCGCTACCACTCGCAAGTAATGTTCGATGGGTTTTGTTCCAGCTCAGTGCAAGCACCGCGTCGACGTGGTGACTGGTAGTCGAGCTCCGATGCTTAGTCTTTTTGCGCTTCTTCTTTCCGGTTCCAAGTGGTATAGGAACATGGGCCTGTGTTTCGTCCGGTCGGCCAAGAACAGAGGTAGGGTACATCGCGTCCAACACGTCAAGCGACCAGATTTCGATTTCGGGATCGAGAGTGCCAACCGCAATGTAGTTTCCAAACGGAGCGGCAGGGGAGGATGAAGTGCCAGCAGTGGTGGGCGGGAAATCCAGCCACTCGAGACAGAGCGGAAAGTTGGGCAGCATGAGGTCGTGGTGAACATAAAGGTTGTCTTCTGATTCCTCATAGACATAGACTTCGAGTTGCGATATCTCGTCCTCTGTTTTGGCAACGACAAGAAGATTGTCCGTTGGTAGAACCTCGAGTTCCTCGCGCTCAGCGGCATTATCGTCCTGGAACTGATCAGATTGAACCATCTAGTATTCAATCGCGAACCTCTTTGAGTGTGATATAGGGGTCATCTTCGTCATTCTGGTAGTAGGTTAGTCCTTTTATGTTGCTAAATGGTCCAGCAGCTACGGTTTATCAAACTTGGTACTGAAAAAAAGGAAGCAACAAACCTGTGGCAATATCGTCTTCCTCTGCATCGTAATCGTCCAAGTTGTATTCTGAAAGATCATTGGGATCTCTTTTTTTGACACCAGAGTCCACATCCATTGCGTCCTCGTCACTGGGTTCACTGAGAAAAAGAGTTAAAAATTGTAGAGCATCTTTGGATTGATAACGCACTCAACCCAGTCCTCTTCATTCCCGTCTTCATCCACAGCATCATCTGCTTCATCGCCCTCTTCCCTCTTTCCCATTGCCAGAGCAGCCTTATGCGCTCTCTCAAGCTCTTTCTTTGCATCCTCAACCTCAATCCTCTCCAGTGCACTGACGCGCTCCAGCTCTTTATCGTCCAGCACATATTTCGTAGGGTGCTGAACCGCCACACCTCGGCGCACCCACGAAACCGCCGAGATGAGGCTGCTCATGGCAGAACGGGAGGAAACAAAATTTTGTTGTTGTGACACATCCACATTTGGTAACCCACCTGCCTTTCTGGCAAAAACCACGACCATGGCCGCAACTATTTCACGTACAACCGCTGCTACGCTCCTGAGTAATGTCCAGCGCGGTTTATCGCCCATTGAGCTCCTCTATACCCCCAATGATCGCTGGCCATTACCCCGCAAATTCCGCCCCCACCACTTGCACCTCTCCATATCCATACTTGACTCGTCGTTCAACCCGCCGACAAAGGCTCACCTAGCACTAGCCAAAGTACCACGACACGACCCCACCGGCCACGCCTATGATGCCAAAATCTTCCTCTTGTCCGTCCGAAACGCCGACAAGTCATTGAAACCCACCGACGCGACGTACATCCAGCGACTCGAAATGATGCTGCTGTTAGCCCAGGAAACCGTTCGGAAGGGCCATAGACATCCCATCGCGGTTGCTGTCATTGACGAGCCTACTTTTGCGGGCAAAGCGAGCAAATTACGCGCTTTTCTCGAGGAACGCGTCGTGAATCTGGGTATCCAGCGCCCCGAACTGAATTTCCTCATGGGGTTTGACACCTTAGAGCGTCTTTTCGCACCGCGGTACTATGGAGACTCGCCGGAGGACCCAGAAGCGGAAGCAAAGATGTTTAAGGCTCTGGACAAATTCTTTTCGGAAGAGCAGGACAATGCACGGGTGGTTTATGCCCGCAGAGGTGGCTCCCCGAACGAGGAGGCTACTCTAGCCCTTGCGGACCGATTTATTCAGCAAAAACGTGTCGAATTGGTGGAGCTTGACGAGGATGTCGATACCACCAGCTCTACGCGGGTGAGGGAAGCAATCCGAGAACGTAAGAGCTGGGCGCCTCTCGTTCCTCCTAGTATACTTCAGTATCTCAAAAACGAGAAATTATATACCTGGCCATAGGAAGATCACGCCATGCTTCTTTGCTTCCCTCTGCCATGTTTGGACACTGTCCTGGTTGCACGTTCGCTCACCCCTAGATGACCCAGCTCAAAACCATCGTGGTTGTAGGAGGGAGCTATGCTGGTGAGTGGTTAGATGTTGTCATGAATGATAATTGGACGTCGCTAGGAACATATCTGATAGACCGTCTTGCGCCGCAAGTCCACAAGACGCACCAGATTGTCCTCATCCAGAAAAACTCGCATATGCACCACATATTTGCCTTTCCTCGAATCAGTGTTGTTCAGGGCTTTGAGCAGAAAGCATTCGTGCCATACACCAACGCCTTTCATGCTGCTCCCGCTCAGTCTACAACCATTATTCAAGGCATTGTCAAGACCATCATGGCTGATTGTGTTGTACTCGAAGACGGGCAAGACATACCCTATGAGTATCTGGTCGTTGCAACAGGGACTGGCCGGCCGCCATTGGCGTTGACCTCGAAGCTTGACGAAATGCAAACAAGGAGGGTGTTGCAGCAGCGGATTAAAGAAGCAAACGACGTTGTCGTCGTTGGAGGAGGGGCATATGGTCTGCGTGAGTTTTCCGTTTGCTCAGAGGTCAAGCGCTTATCGGCCATCCAGAACTAGCTTTCGACGCGAAAGAGTTATACCCAACGAAAAATGTTACATTAATCCACTCCACGATCCAGCTTATGCCCCGATTTCACCCTCGGCTCCATGAAATTGTCACCTCTCGTGCTACAGCACTGGGTATTCGCCTAATCTTTGCAGTAATACGCCATCAAATAACACGGTCACGCAAGTCAGGGAGGGTCAGCGAAGGTCGGCGCCAAGTCGTCGACCAGGGTTATCGAAGTCGCTGACCGCTGGTCGTGGTCAATGCCATGTGTGATGCTGGATGCCGGTCAGCGACTTCGTTGGACAGCCGCTGACCTCCTGTCTTGGCCGGTGACTTCACTCAGAGGTCGGCGACTAGGCTAGGGATGATGAGTCGCCGACTGCTGACGATTGGTCGGCGACTGCAGGGACAGTCGGCGACTTGATTCGGAGGTCGGCGACTAGGCCAGGGATGACGAGTCGCCGACTGCTGATAATTGGTCGGTGACCTCCAAGTCAAGTCGCCGACCGACGTGAATCTTACGGTCATCGACTGCGGATGAAAAGTCGCCGACCAGGTGATGGCTCAAGGTGTCTCGAGATAGTCAGCAACTGTTAGCCTTCGACGCGAGGAGGATGTCGTGAGGGAGAGGAAGACAGATGGTGATGGAATCGGGCGAGGAGTGAGTTTGGGCACAATTATATTGGGGTCCGAAGTTCTCGAGTCGGTCCGGGGACCAACTCAAGCCTAACTACGAGGGACTAGTGACATACAGGACTGAGGAGAAGAGAGACAGTAGAATGGAGTGTAAATGGAGTAGGGATGGAGGGTGGGGAATTTAAATGACACGAATTGTTCTGCGAGCGCAGTGTGAGACGAGGAGAAAGTATGATAGCTGAGACTGACTTACCTGCGAGCGCAGTGTGAGACGATGAGTCTCGACAGCGCTCGCAGGCGGCTTATATACTATGCGGAGGGGGTCCGAGCACTGTGCTTGGGACTCCAAGCGCTGGCGCGCTTGGGCGGCGTCACGCTTGCCTGCTAACCCGGGTCAATCCACCCCACCACTAATTGACCCGCCATTAGCCTTCGACGCGAGGAGGATGTCGTGAGGGAGAGGAAGACAGATGGTGATGGAATCGGGCGAGGAGTGAGTTTGGGCACAATTATATTGGGGTCCGAAGTTCTCGAGTCGGTCCGGGGACCAACTCAAGCCATGGAGGTGTAGTGCCGGAGAGCCGGAGGTTCGAAAGGGATGGTGTGTGTGTGGGCCATGTGAAGTTGTCTGGATAGCGCGATGATCCGGGAGAGTGGGTTCTCGATGTAAAGTTTGTAGGCGTCGCTACGCCATCGTCCAAGTAACTGGATTTCGTAGTCGTTGCATCCGGCGGCGGCGGCTTCTGTGGCAGCTCCTCGGCGCAAGCTGTGGCCTGCATATCCGGAGGGGTTGATGCCCGCTGCGCTGAGGGCCTCACGCAGACCGGTGACAAACGTCTTGTAGTGTAGGGGCTTTCCGTCAAGTCCTTCGAAAAGCGGGGAGTTGTTGGCTCGTGGTAGTTCGGAGAAAAGGCGCTTGAGCGCTGTGACAGGGCAGGTGGGTTCTCCGGGGACTGCGGCGATAGTGAGAGTGACGCCTTTTCGGAAGGGGTCAGTCTTGGAGCTGGGAAGAGTGAGCTGGATGTATTCAGCGTGCTCAAAGTTGGGTAAGAACTGGACATTGTTACGCGTGAGATTAAGGCTGGCGTCCTTGCCATTTCCCGAAGTGATTTCCCCTGAGCGGAGAAAACCGGCGTAGCCCAGGCAGAAGGCGGCGTAGAGCGTGCTGTGGCCCGGGACCGCTCCGGGTCGGAGCTGGGCAAGGATGCGGGTGAGGATGGAGCGGGTGATGGGAAGGACGGGCTTCCGGTCCTTCTCGCCGTGGAAGCGCTTGATGCCTCGGATGAGGCGTTGAACAACTGGCGATTCACATGCAGTGAAGGGAAGGTCGGCGTCGACATGGAGGGAACGAACGGCGGACAGGTAGGCCTTAATCGATTTGGGCTGGATTCGGCCGGCAAGGCTGGCAACCCACGACATAACGGCGGTTTGAGTGGCAGGAAGGATGGCGCCGTCACTGTTGTACAAGCTGTGGAGCTTGCAAAAGTTGATGAAGGATTTTTGGCCTGTGGAGTAGGTACGTCGTGTGTTACTTGCGAGGCCGTGCCAAAGGTAGAATGCGACGGTTTTTTGGGAGATTGCCGTGTTGTTCGTACCACCAATCTGGTGGACTTTGGAGCTCGGCTGTCGTTCCAGGTAGGGTGCAAGGGAGAACATGCGGGAAAAGGAAAATCGAGAAGCGGCGTCAGCAATTGAATTGTCAGCGGAGGATAACCAAACAGAGGAAAATGAAAAATCGAGTCGGCATGCAAGTGCCACGAAGTTGCGGAGGAGGTTCATGGTGGGGGCGGAGCGAATGGTTAGGGAGGAGATAGCATCGTGAACAGCTTCGTTGTCGACGTGGAAGACAACGTGAGTGCCGGTGAACTCGGATCCCCAACATTGGATGGCGTGCACGACGGCTAGCATTTCCTTGACCTGGATGTGATCTTTGCGGTAACGTTGCGGGCAGCGGATGGAGAACCAGTGAGTACCCGAAGTGTCCCCCGAGACCCTTGGTTCCACTAGCATCCGTGTAGACATGGAGCGTGCGTTGTTCTGGTGCGAGTAGTCGGACTCCATTCCATGCGGCAGAGAAAGTCTCCCACCAGGCAAGGTCGCGACGAGCTGGTTTGGAGATGCGCCGGCGTGAGAAAGGAGTGGTGAAGGATGATTCAAAATCGTAAAGGCTCCGGATGAAAGCCCGAGCGGTGGGGACGACTTGCGATGCAAACTGAAGGAAGCCCGTCAGCTCCTGGACCTCTCGAGCGTGGCGTGAGTCCGGTGATGCCATTCGTCCAGGAGAGAGGTCAAGTAAGCCAGTTTGTCGGCTGGCAGACGTGCCTCCATCGCAGCGGTGTCAATCTCGATTCCCAACATCTCTACTGTGGTTGCGGGCCGAGGATCTTGGACGGCTGGAAGGAGAGGCCCAGCTGGTCGCCAAGTGCAAGCGACCACTCCAGTGCTCGTTCGGTGAGGGGTCGCGGGACACGGGGTGAGAAGACTTGGAGGAAATCATCCAGGTAGTGGCGGATCGCGGCGGGGAGATGGCGCTGGAGAATCCAGTGTAGCGCCTCGGCGAAGAGGTTGAATATGTATGGCGCAGATCGGCAGCCAAAACCGAGGACGATGTCATAGTAGAATGCATCGTCCCACATGAACCCCAGAAGGTGCCAGTCCTCGGGACGGACAGGAATGTGGCGGAAAGCGGATTCGAGGTCAAGTTTGACCATGAGCGAGCCGCGGCCGGCTTCTATGACATCGGCGATCGCGCGGTCGATCATGTCGTAGCGGATGTTGGCCTCGGCATCGGGGATGCCATCGTTCACGGAGCGTCCGTGCGGCCACGAGAGGTGGTGGATGCGGCGCACCTTCGAGGCGCGCTTGCGGGTGACGGCTCCAAGCGGGGAGCAGCGGAAGTTGTCGAAAGGGGGATCAGCGAACGGGCCGGCTGTCCGCCCGTTGGCGACTTGCGCGGCAATGTCTTCGGAAAGAGCATTCGTGACGAGAGGGGAGCTGAAGGCTGTCTTCAGGTTGGTGCACTGTTGTGCTGCTGACTTGTCACCCGTAAATCCCAGATTGGCACCATGTCGTATTATGTGTAGTAAGGAGCGTACAAACTGTTTGTCTGGATAATCACGTAGGTAAAAAGCCCAGGCTTCCTCGTTGAGGACGGAGGAGATTGTAGGCGTGTCATGATTGCCCGGTGGTGCTGTGTTTGCGCGGCGGATCAGTGTTAGGACGGGCGGGCGGTGGATGTCTAGGAGGGAAGAGATTGCCGTGTGGGAGTGGAGGCAGTGGAGAGTCTGGCGTGGGATCATCTGCGGGGTGGCTGCGACGTGCAACCGACGTGCCGTTCACGTCGTGCCAGATCCCTATTTGTGTTGTGTGAGTGGGTGCTCCTTGCCACAGCCAGGCGAAGAGCAGATGTGGGGCCGGCCCCATGCACATGGAGACGCCGCATTTACCCAGGTTGTAGTTGCGGCAAGGATCCGTCGAGCTTGGCGGCTTCTTTGACGTGGCCTTGGCGCTGACCGAGATCGGCTTCCGGTGCGGGTACACGTGGGAGCTGAGAAGTCCAATTTCAGGCTCCGCCCATCCTTCGTATGACCCCTCCAGCATCTTGTTCCGCCGCCGATTGAAGTAGAGCGTATGGTACTCAAGGACCGCCGCCCATTCATACTCTGTTGCCAGCGTGCTGATGTGCGTAAGGTAGCGGTAGAAGTACGCCGTTGCTCCCACACGCGCGGGGAGGTGTGCCGTGAGGATGGCGAAGAAAGTGTGGAGAGGGAAGAGGACGGAGTTGAGGTTTTTGTATGATTTGTGTTTGGAGACATTCATTTCGAATGTTCCTGCCGCCGCTGAGACTGTAAGTCGCCTCTGAATCCTTCACTCTGCTATCCAGCTTGTACAGATCCGATGCCTTGAGCTCATGTGAAATGACCGCCGTGATGCATGCCGACTCGATATCGGGGAAGAGGGATCGGAGGGACGGTGACGCACCTGTCGGCGCGTTGAGCGGCGCGAGGGGTGCGATAAACTGTGGCGCAGGCTGCTGGGCCACGGGAATTACTGGGTGGTGTGGGGCGGGGCGGGGGCGGGCGGGGCGGGGCCGGGGCCGGGGCCGGGCTTGGTCTGGCGGAGCATTCCTCACGGATTGCTGGATTGCCATAAGGACCGCGGCAAGCTGCGCTTCCAGCCCAGATAGCCGCTCCTCGGTTGTGGGCACTGGTGGGCTGTTTGCGCCACCACTGGGGCCGGCATTACCGCTTGGGAGGCTTCGCCGTCTGCCATCGTGAGAAGCTGAGTGGGGACGGGGTAAGGGGGGTCCCAGGAGTCTCGGGTCTTTCGGAGAAGATGGGGGAAGGAGTACGGCTAGGTCGAGTGGCGAATCGTCCTCGGACGCGATAAGGCTCACGTCGGTTAGCCGTGGCAGCGGTTTACGGTTGTAAAGAATTTAAATGACACGAATTGTTCTGCGAGCGCAGTGTGAGACGATGCAACTGGTAATTTATGGACTGTACTAGTTTAAATCCATCTCAGTATCGCCATTTACAATATCAAAAAAACCTTCCCCCAACTCGCGGCCCTTGGATTCGATGCGTTTGGCTACAATTTCGCTGTACAGTAGCATCAAGACATGAATATAGAAGTCATAGTTAATGTCAGTCATCTGTCGCAGCTGTGATTCAAACCCGTTGAGCCATGAATTAAGTTGCTCAGCTGTTTCAGTGTTGAATGCGCGTGTTTGGTGCTGCACTCCGTTGTCGTCTTCATCAACGACGACCAAGTCTGGCTGTGAGCCGTCAGTTGGGGCCGGATTGCAGCGGGTTCGGCACAAGATGTCGGTGGCTCGATGTCCAATATAATGCCATGCGTCTACAATGAATTTGCTGGTCTTGAGCCAATCGCTTGTTGCGTTCTGAGTAACAATGTGTCGCAGAAGCTCGCAGGCTTTGTCGTATGTTACAAAGCCTGGACGTGCGTCGAGGTTTCCATCCCAGAGGAAGTTGAGAAACTCAAGCACAGCAGAGGGACTCTCTGCACGATAACATTTGGTCCATCCGATTGGCCAGCCGCAAGCCCATTGAGCAGTCTCCAAACAGTAAGTTGTCTTGGGTTTGAAGGTGTGTTCTACCTTGTTCCAGGCCACGCCTTCCAGCTCCGGAAGCTCAATCTCCAAGGAAGGGATGGTGATCTCTTCGCCGTTTTCCGAGGCAATATATTCTGTCGTCGGATGACACGCTTGACCCCCGGGTAAGAGAGTCGATGGAATCGCTCGTCAAACCGTTTATACCATGCAATGTGTTCAGCCTTGGAGCAGGTAAGGGCGCTTTCCGACATGGTGGGTTGTCCACAGCCAACAAAACCGCACAGCGCTGTTTGCCCAATATGATCACTGCAGAAGCGCCCATTTTTGAAATTGACGAGGGGATTGTTACACACATATACTGCACATTTCTGCCCGAAGAATGTCAGAAAGTGTCTCTGGATGTTGGGGGCCGTCGAACCTTGTGAGTAATTGTTTTCCCATCCATGACCATCATGCGTACATATCCACGCGGATTACCTGCGGCAGGAGCATCTTGATTCACGGACACTGGGTGAATATTGGGCGGAAGCTCAGCGGCCAGAAGATCCTTGAGTTAATAACCATCAGTTTTGTACTTTCTAATGACCCAGATACACCTACGGGTGGCGGCAAGTCCAACTCATCTGTAGACTCCTCCAACCCTGCAACATCAGTGCTTCGACCACTGACAACTCCCGGCTCATTGTCAGACCGATAGCGCTTGATATGGGTACAGTCCATACACCCATGCTCAAGTGCGCCAGGTAGAATTCCTCGATTTTTGCCAATCTTCTCTCGAACAGCAGCAGCAAGAGTGTCGGCACTTGAATTGGCCGGGAGTGTGAAGTCGGACAATTTACCATGTGCAAGTAACAGGCGACGCGAGAAATGTTCGAGGAATAGACGTTTAGACTGACGGTAGGTCAGCTTTTTGGGTGCTTCAGCTGCAAGCCCATCATTAATCCAATCTGCGAAATTGGCCCAGCCCGAATGGAAACGGTGAAGAGCTTTTTCTTGGGCTCTTGCAACCGCTTGATTGACCCATACTCCATGAACAGATATGCGGATAAACGAAGGGTGAGGCTCTAACCACTCAATCCTTTTGCCGCGAACCAATGATGGCCGAGTGACTCGATCTGGATAATATTCCGCTTTACATCGTGCACACTGGGCAACCAGAAGGTCAGCTTGAACCCATTGGAAGGTTTGATCCAGCAGCCAGACTTGGGCATTGCCTCCAGATCTTCGTCGACGAAGGGAGGGGAGCATATTGCGATGTCCGACAGGACAGAACTTGCAGTTCAAACGTGTTGTGACCAGAATCTGTCGGGGTGGGCGGAATAGGGTGTGGAAAAGAGCGTCTACTTTTGTCCCATTCTGCACAAGATCTTCGATACCCAAAAACCGATAAATGTAGGCCAAATCATCCGAAACTCGGGTCCCCCACTCGTTTGCGAAGTTGATTGGTGTGAACATCTGTTGATCTTCATCCATTGTGGCTGAAAGGGCGCGAGAGAGCAGAGTCCGAACACTGTGAATCCAGCCTGTCTCATGTGAGCCACGATACACTTCTTCGCGCTGATTTAGATGTAAATGGACAAGAGGGTAGACGGATATGATTATCCCAAGAAGATAGAGTGCTTGGTGCAGACGCATGTTGGTATTGAAGAATAGGTCAAAAACCGTCATGAGTTTGGTGACTGAGGCAGTCAAAACAGTAATGCTCGACATAGTCGCGCAAAGCAAGCAAGCAACAATTGGCATCAAGCACGTGCAATTACACCCTCGTACCAACACAACTGGTTCTTGGTCGTAAGAATGCACCATTTGTATACTAAGTTGCATACTACCTGAGTTGAATCAAGATTTATTTGAGTTTATAGAATTGTGGCTTGGGTTGAATCAAGCAAAACCACTGTCCGCTCAACGGTCCAGGGTATCCGACGTGATACTATTGCTACGCTCCCTCCTCTTTCCTTTCCCCTTTGACTGTGACTTCTTGTTGAGTGACGCTAGCTCTTTCTCAAGACGTGCCCGTTTGGCGGATGTTGATTCATCTTCACTGCTCTCCTCGGACGGTGTATTTCCACGATAGCTGTTTTTTGGCTTCTTTGACACTTTGTCCATCTCCACAGATGTTCGTCGCTTATTGGTAGAGCCGGATGGGCCGGGATCACCACGCGCCAGATCAAACAGTCGTTCTTGTCCAATCTCCGCCCGAACCTCTCGCTGAACTCGTGCCATACTGTGCTTATAATGAGGAAACTGTTCCGCGTGGAGACGGGCAACAAGCTTTGTGAAGTCGCCAGGCTTCTGAGTTGCCCATGGTTCTGTGTTGCTGTCAGCCCCGCTTCTAACCCAGTCGCCAAGTGGTCCTTTGATTTTGCGTCCCTGGAGATAGGTAAGACGCGCTGCTTTACCAACTGTGGCACCGAATCCGCCCGCTTCAATAGCCAACACGAGATCGAAGGATGTATTGTGTAGACCTAGTGTCTCCCAACTTGGCATATGCGTATTCAGCAGAGTTGAGACCATCTCTGATGGACGCCATTCTGCACTCATTCAGTAGATGTAGATATATTGATAGTACCGTACCTGGGCCTACGTCGAATCCCAATGTTGCGTCGATATCATCAGAACGTGAAAATTCTTGGTACTTCTCGATATATTCTGCAATATCCTTTCCCATGGCCAGTTGCTGTGCTGCTTGAGTGTTGACAGCTTTTCGCGTTCTGACAGGCTCCGTCCGTCCAATTATGAGGCGAAGGAACAGTAGTTGTTGGTCTTTTGATGCAATGAGATTTCGGATTGGTGTACTCTTGATATTGCGGTTAACACCAACTGGTATGGTCGGCGTGCGTGTTGCAGCTACTGTATCTGATGCTACGGAACCAGCTGGTTCGAGCTCCTATAAGGCATGATAATGGCAGTTGAATATCGACAAATCATAACATACCGACTTGTACCACATGTCCATACCTAGCAGATTATCTACCGTAGTGCTGAGAGGTACTAGATCTGCGGCTGCGAAAGCCTGAGGTAGTTTCCCTCCCTTAAGAAAGTCTTTGACAGCGCCGACTTCCATTGTTCCGTTGTTTGCAACACCAAGCGCAGGTCGGTAAAGCCGAGCATGTTGATCAGCTAGATATGAACTATCTGGTCAGATAGAGTATCAGAGTGAGGGACAAGAAATACAGACCCTTGAGTGGAGATGCCTGTTCAGCAAGTCTCGGAATGACTTCTCGCAGTGATGCTTGCGCGAAACTTGACCCATCCATTGCCCGAACTTGATGAATTGGTGCTTCAACAATGAATTGAGTTGTAGGTGCAGTCGGATTCTTATAAATGTGGAGATTGAGAAGAACTAAGCAGATTTGAGCAACTTATTGATCCACAGTACTGTATGGCGCAAATATGCTTACTTGTCTTCTCCTCTGTGTCTTTCTTTTTGCTAGGTTCTTCATCCAACTGCTCTTCATCGGATGGAACAAGAGGGGTCAATGGTTCGGATTGACCATCGCTAGCGGCACCATCCTTATCTGATTCGTCATCTTCGCCGTCGTCCGAAATCACAGCATTAGGACGTGAATCTGAGCGGTGTCAAGTTTAGCTAATGCTTGCATATTGTAGAAATACAAACCCAGTTTTCCCTTGCCCCGCTTGCCACTGTTAAGAGGCATAGTCGAACCAGGAGGATCAAGAGGGACATTTTTCTCGTGTAATTTGAGATTTGCGCTAGAATATTTCGGTTAATATTGAGGCTCCGAGTCCGCCGCTCCGAGAGAACAAGATAACCCACCCAGTCAGCAAGGGAGGCTTTCGGCTCTCAGCAGTAACCTCAGCTGTTTTGTCTGCGCTTGTCTTTCCCTTCTTTCCGCCTGCTGCCTTGCTCATAACCACAGGATAAAGGCCTGCAAATCGGGGGTCCAACGCTAATTTGGCCTGGTTGGCCTCAAGATGCTTCTTCAGAGCCTTGCGTAGCTCATCCACAGCCATACTCTTGCCCTCTGAGTTCGTCAACGAGAGGGAGAGTCGAGGGAAGACTTCATTGATCAGCTGCTTTTTCGTAAGGCCTTGAAGTGGACCACTGAAGCAGGCTGAGTCGGTGGTAGTCGACGACGCCATGGAAGTTGTTGTCAAGGAATCACGCCACTCAGCAGAAAATTTCAAACACAGCGAGGGGCTGAGTCGGCGACTACAAGATCTCAAGTCGCTGACTTTCAGAACAGGGTTGCTCAAGTCATCGACGATCGGTGACCAGCAGTGACCATGTCTTTCAACACACACCTTTGATATCATAGTCGATGGTCGGTGTCAGTCGGCGAAGGTCAGCGGCGATTGCCCATAGTCAGCGACTTGCAGCAAAGCATAGATAGAGTCGGTGGCTAACATTGTAACAACAGTGATGGTCACAGAGTGTCACCAGTCGCCGACGATGACCGCCGACGACCGCTGACCGCGTCTGATCAGCGCATAAAACTCAATCTTTGGTCAACGCGCTAAGATACCACCTGATGGATTCCCAACCTCAGGCCCCCGATACCACGTCAGGTTATCCGATGGGTCACTCATCCCAGCCGACATTGCCCTTGCTTGTATCGGCGGTGTCGCTCTCAGCAACCCGCTCCTTTCCCTTTCTCCGAGCTCGGTCCATAACCGCACGCGAGAAATTCGTGTTCTACCGTCAATGCAAGTAGCAGACCCGCGTTTTCCAAACATATTCGCTGTTGGAGACGTCGCTGCAACGGATGCCCACAAGGCATCGGGCCCTGGACATCGTCAGGCCCAGGTTGCGGCGGACAACATCATTGGCATGATTAGGGGTGGAAGACCAGAGCACATTTACTTGCGGGAAACAAGAAGAATTCATCTTTCGCTTGGTTTAGTAAGTGTATCAGCTCTCAATAAAGCGTGCTTGACGGTTCCCAGCAACTATATGTGACGTTTGAGAATCCAAGAGAAGAGGGCGGTGAACCAAGTATCAAGATCATCGACTTTGAGGACGGAGAGCACGATCAAGATGAGGCAGAACGGACTCGACTGTTTGAGTGTCGCGTGCAAAACCTATGGGAGCGGAGGGCACCAGGCGTCACCGACTATTATTTGTGACCCTACATCCAACTTCAAGTTTGAAGTGCCCAACCCAGCGCTACTTCACGTTCAAGTTTTCCCTACGGCAGATTCTTACTGGTTGCGACTTGACATAGAAAAATTGTTGAATGGATGCTGAACCTCTCAAGATTTTCCAAGCAAGCCTCTATAATCCCCGTGTCTTTGCCGTTCATGACTCGAGTTTGAAACTTGGGATCCACGCTACCTTTCTACATCAGCGATATCGCCCGCAGACGGCACGTTTGCCCGCCATGAATGAAATTTGACGATTAGTTCCTTGGAGTCCATCGTGTAGTCAACGTTGCAAAAGGATACTCTAAACTGCGAAGAAAACGAAAGCAGATCACGACAAAGGCAAAATGCCTTGCTGAGTTACTCTCCTCGTCCATAAAATCCTACAGCTTGTTGATCGACCCCACTCCCGAATACACAGCGAAACCTGCAACCGCCAAAACAATGTCGAATAGTGCTGTGCCCACTGCTTTCAACTTCTCTTCATTATCTCATTCTCCTCGGCATGCAGTCAACTATTCCTCTTACCCCTCGGAAACGCCATGGGTTCACCCTTTCGTTGGAACTATACACACCAACGTCTATGCATGCTACGCGTACTTTCAACACATTCAATCAAAGATGTCCGTGGCATAACGTCCTTTCACTATCGTCTCAAACTTCTCAGCAGCTTCCGCTTCATCCCCAGTGCTCACAGACTTGATCAGATCGATCAACGTCTTCTTGACGCCCTTCGCAACATTGGCAGAGCCACAAGTGAAGAACTGTGGTCAAGTAAGCAATCAGAGAAGGGACGACAATGCTCTCATACCAAGGCCCCTTGCTGATATGCGTCAGCCACATCCGCACGATCTTTCCAAACACGACTACGATGGAAGGTTAATGAATAACAAAATATTCAGCAAGGGAAACCCACTCTTGAACGTATTTACATCCTTCCGACAGCTCTGAGGCGCGAGAGAACGCTGGCCGGACTTCAACGACGCCCATTTCCGACCAAGTCTTTAGGTCTGAGGCCGCATAGAGGAAGTCCCATTCCGGCGAGCGGCAACCAAAGAACAAGAGCATCTTGCCAACGTCTCGGCCAGAGGCTTTCTGTGCTGCACGTTCTTGAATGAAGCCTCTCATCGGAGCAAGTCCAGAGCCGCTGCAGAACATCACGACTGGGGTCAGCGGGTTTTCCGGCGGGTGGAATGCGGCTGCGGAAGGGCGGACGGCCATCTGGACACGGTCTCCAGGAAGTAGGTTGGCCAGATAGTTGGAGCCAACACCAAGGAAGGGGACCTCAGTGGCACTAGACAGAGCAGGCGCATCAAGGACGCTGATAGTGATGGTGATATTGGCGGGATTCCACAGTGGCGAAGACGAAATTGAGTACTGTCGCACGCGCATCGAGGGAAGCATCTGGAGGAAGGCGCCTATGGCAAGGTCGATATCGGGATGACTTTCGATGATGGCAAAGACGCTAAGTCGTTTTGCTTGGACAGCATCATTATAATTTGCCTTGAGATCGTCGATGTATGATTGAGTCGATTCTGACTTAGCAACACTGGCAAGAGCATCGAGGTCACGCTTTGTGGCGGGTTGAGATAATTCGACATATCCAGTCAGAACTTCGGAGAGTTTGACTGGCTTGCCAACGGGAAGAGATGTCGGACCAACAGAGGAAAGAATGACCTGAGGACATGAGAATAATCGCACTAAAAGAGATAGAGAAAAAGTACCTCTTCCTCGTTCGACAGGCCAAATCGGGCCAAGACGCGTCGGACATCACGCAGCGGGTTTTGAGGAAGGCTTTGAGGAATGAGCTCAAGCAGACGATACCGTGAAGATATAATTACATTGCCACGTAATCTCCAGCTATCATATCAGTGAGTAACTGACCCAGTTGAATAAATCAAGAAAACTCACCTCGCGCGGTTGTACCTTGCGGTAATTCAAATTCAAGATGCCGTTTGACTGGCCCTTCCTTGGTCAATATCGTGTTCTCAACGACCCGGCCAAGCAAAGCGTCTGTGTGTCGCAAGACAGTCGCCCGTTCGTTACCAGCATCGACAGTCTTGACTTGCAAGGTCTGTGTGACTCCTACGGAGCCAGACGTTCCATATTCCTGCAATCAAGTAAGAAGTGGATCCAAGAGCTGTTAAAAAGAGTGATTTACTTTGCTCAATGCAGTCCACATGCCTGTCTCCCATTCATCGAATACTTGGAAAAACCCACTCGTACCCGCATCTCCAGCCCCGCGTTCAAACAGCCGCTTTGCTCCTCGTTTGACAAATAAATCGTCTATCAAAGTCGGGATTCGCTGGTACGTCTTGGTCCAGTCCGAGTTGCCACACCCGAATACGGTAAATTGAACGTTGGCGAAGACATTATTTTGAGTGTTTTGGAGCCAGTCAACAAACTGTGCGGCATTATCTGCAGGTTCACCTAGGGAGAGGGAGAAAGAGAGCTAAGTTTTGCAGACGTTGATACAATGTGAAGGCCCTTACCCTCATAGGAGGCAGTGATAATCACAACAGGTCCATCTGTGGGGACCTTGTCTGTAACGGAGTCGAGTACACCGATCGTGGAACGGAATCCTGCAAATGAAGGATCACTTTCTAGTGCAACGAAGGAAAAAGAAAAGTCATACCATAGGACGGCGCTGCGTTGGCGATTCGTTGAGCAAATGCTTCCGACGAGCCTGTATTGGAGCCATATAGCACATAAAGTTTTTTGCCCTTTGTGCCCACAATGCTGCCATTGGATATTGACTGCGAACTATCATCTCGTCCACTCAGAAGCGGAGACGAAGGAGTTGTAAACAAGATTGTTGAGCCAGTTTTGTCTTTCCGTAAGGAGGCACGAATACGAAGATCCTTGGGCTTGACGGTGAGGGTCTGCTTGATTTGGAGTGTGTAAGACGGGTCAACAAGCGATAGGTCGAATCTCTGAATGATCGAGGCCATGACGAGGAGAACTTCCTGCCATGCGAAAGCGCGTCCTATGCAGCCGCGCATGCCGAATCCGAACTAAGCCAGGAGTGAGTTTAGATGGTAAGAACGAGATTGGACATACAGGTTGCCAAGCGTTGGGCTAAAGATATTTGATGAGCGACACATCCAGAGTTCATTCAGCGAGCGTACCGGTAGGGCTTCGAATTTCCCGTCCATCATCCGTTCTGGTCGGAATTCCTCCGCCTATAACATTACTAAACGAAAATATGGTGAAATGGAAGCGTACGTCGTCTCCCCAAACCTTGGGATCTCTGTGCATTTGCCACACTAGGATGACGACCCGAGAACCTTTCTTCAATGCATATTTGCCGTTACCGATGGTGGTGTCTTCCAAGGAAGCAGCACTTCGTATTGGTGCTGGCGGGCAAAGGCGAAGGGTTTCACGCATCACAGCTATCAGTAGAGCTTAGCACTGTGAGCCGGGAGTTCAAAGAACATCTACTCACCAACGAGATAGGGGAGCTTGTCGAAGTCGTCGTATTCAACTGGCCGATCTCCAAGTACTTCATCAACTTGGGCACGCAGTTTGCGCATTTTCTCAGGGTTTTTCAACAGGTAGTAAACCATAAAAGTCAACATTCCAGAAGACGTTTCGTGACCCGCGATAAGGAAGGTAAGAAGCTGCAGCACGTTTAAAGCCTATACTTAGCAGGAGGAAGAAATGACATACATTTTGCGCGATGGACTGCTCCGTCATTCCCTGGCCCGTCTTTGGATCGCGCGAGTTAAGCATGGTGTCGAGCAAATCATGCTTTCCATCAGGATGAGTTCGACGTTTGGCCACTATTTTGTCAGCCAGATCCTTCATTTTCTTCATATCCGACTCGTATTTAGCGTTGGTGCCGCGCATGACCGCCTGCACCATTCGGGGTCGATTGGCGCGGTTGCCTGATTCGATCAGAAACTCCGCCATAGCTGCGATGAATTCGGGTTGTTCGCTGCTGTAGAACGAGTTCATGCGATATGACATCGAGCAATAAGAGATTGTGTCAAATGCGACGCGCGTAAAGTCGTCAGACGGGTCGAGGGCTGTATCAGAGCCGAAACGTTCCCACTAGTAGTAGGTACCTCAGTTGAAGACAATCGACCACAAAAAATGTGTACCTTGAGCAAGAGTTGACTGGCGATGTCTCGCATTTGCTCCATCATATTTTTGACGGCCAAAGTTCCGAAAGCTGGCATCAGGAGGCGATCTACTCTTACATCAGCGGTAGCACTGAAGTAGAGGCAAGCTACAAACGAGCGATGCCCCAATTGGGCTCCTCTGGTTGCGCCGTAAACAAGCCATCACCGACAAGGTTGCGAACTTCCGCGAGCCCGCCACCGACGCGCTTCTGAAAGCGCTTTTCGTCGGAGACTTCGTTCACCAGAGCATGAGACGAGATGATATTACTATGGTTTCCTTGACAAAACGGTGTTATTAGTTAGGGAAAGTGGGAGCACAACTAGGATTATTCATACCGAGTACATTGAGCTCGTAGATTTCGCCATACGTTTTGGCGAGGAGAACGAACGAGCGGAGAGGAACCTCACGTTCGATGTTGGCCACATTCCCGAGGAAGGGGACACTAGGTGGTTGCGGAATTGCGGTTGTCATTGTGGAAGAATAGTGAGGATTCTGCTCTCCTTCAGGCTTTTTATAACCATTTCAACCCTCAAGGGAAGACGGATGCAACCCACTGGCGGGCATGGTCGGAAGACATCCAATCTGACGCTCGCCTTTCGAGTTCACCGGACCGGAAGTTGCACTTCCGCCATCACCGTAACCTGCCCGAGATTTTGAGCTCGTGTTGTCATTCCAGACGGATGTTCAGCAGAAATGCGACTTCTATCAGGCGCAAGGCAACGCGGACCTCTCAAGGGAGCTTTTCCAGGGTCATTTCCCCTTAGCTCGCCGTCCGACTGGACCGCGAAGCTGCAACCGAACCGTCAGAATCCAGCATAGTAGTTCGACAAGTGGTCATACCAGCTTTCAATGCTCTTCTGGACCTATCCACATCGCTCATTTGTTCAGGTTGCGGATCCATTCATATTCAACATTGCAAGGTCTCAAGCTCCATAAATTGGGGTCGATTAGAATGAGTGGGTGTACGCATTTGAAATCGACGAGATGGAATATTAGCGCATGTTGCTGTTGCTCTGTTGCCTCGATTGCAACACGATTGTGTTGGGAAAAAAATAATATGAGCGTGTGACGGCACATGTAACACAACGTGATGTGTGATCAAAGCTTCATCTCGATCTTGTGGTTGACCACTTGCCACCGACCATTGGCCAACCTTATTATTCTCTTCACAAGTCTCTTATCCTACCCGCAAGCCTTAAGTGTCGAGGCTGCTCTATTTCCGGCTCCGCTCTGCAACTCTAGACCTTTGCGATAATCCAACTCAAGATTTGAAAGCTCAACACGCGTCGAATCGAAGAAAGTGGATTCAAGTCATCGCTAATAACGTGTAACACTCAAAGACACTCAAAGTTGCCGAATTCACGGATTTACTACGAAATTCGCTTCATCGGGTACACAAGTACGCATTTATAAAAGACAGGTCAAAACGATTTTCTCAGTATGGACATGTTCTCAGTCGATCTGCTAGCTTCCCGACTCATTTGACTTTGGTAATCTCCATTTCGTCCTGATATAATCATTAGCAGGACGGCAATGCTTCACGACCACATACCTCAAAGTCGCCAGGAACGGTGATGGATTTCACGGCCTTGGTGTCGAGTTTAGGATGCTTGCGCACGTAATCAAGATACTCTGGAGCGCCAGGAATCAACGTGTTGTCCGCAATGATCAACGCGCCCGACTTGAGAAGATTGAGCGACTCGCAAATCTGAAAGTCAGTGTGATAATTATCGCCCAAATGGTCGATGAACAGCACATCGATGTGGTCGAGCTTGTTCTCCGCGGCAAGACGTTTAAGAGAGCTTCCCGCAGTACCGGTAACGATCTGAACGACGTCGGAGAGGCCTGCGAGGTCGACGAGATTCATGGCGATGGATGTGAAGAGCGGATTGTACTCGAGGCTCCAATACTGAACCTTGGTGTCCTTCGCATGCTGACGACGCATTGCATCAGCGAAGAAGATGGCAGAGTAGGCCATATAGCCGCCCAGCTCGACCATAACCTTGGGCTTCTCAGCGGCGATGAGCTCTTCGACAATCTTCGCTTTGGTGGAGCCGATACTGATCAAGAATTCCTTCTGGATGGCGAATTCTTCGATGGCAGCGCAGACACGCGCCGGGCTTCCACGGAGGGCTTCAAGGTCTGAGCGGGCATAGATCCATTCAAGAAGCCGACCCTCGCGCCCGTCGTTGAACTGGAAGCTTATCAGCATATATTGTTGACTTCAAAGACAACCAGGCATACAAAGGGTTTCTCGCCCGTAAAGTCCGCAGACTTGAGCGACGGATATTTTTCCAGTAATTCGGGAGTGATGTTGAAAGCCATGTCGAGTTCTGAGCTATTACGCTCAGTTCTCGCAGCTTAAGTACCTACCACTTGACATTGCCGAGCAAGCACAGTTAGGTCGGCATGTCATTTCATCCTCGTCATGCCTGGCCCATGTAATGTCGTGAATTAAGTCCTGTCAGGTGGCCGTGAAGCAGACGCGTTCATCGGCAGTGCGCAGTGAGAACCTTCCTGGTCGTCGTGACTGGGAGTTGCCTATTTTTGGGGACGGCCCAAACTTCACGATTGGCGCGACAAAGATTCGATATGCAACCGCTCTGAATCACCAATGAAAACTGTTGAGAAAAACCGTCTCAAGATTTCTTACGCTGGCGAGTGCCAGTGGCGAAATCGTCAGCGCATATGACGACAGAACTTCTCTCAATAACTCTCATCTCCTTGACTCTCCAGCATTGACGACGAACCCAGCCCAAAACAGTCGGTCACCTCGACATCCAACCAGACAAAAATCGAATTGAAGTTTATTATCGAGCAGCTACCAGAACAAGTGGTCGACAGGCGCCAGCGCTGCGACAAGTGGACCAGAGTCGTTGACAAGATACCTAAATGTCGACTGAAGCAGCCCTGGTCTCTTCAAATGCTACGTTGAACAACCAATTGGAGTCCTTATTTCAGGGAAACCGGCCCGAGTCACACCGTGATCTCTTTTTGCTCCAAACGGTGAAGAAGCATTGGGGCGCGCGCTCCCGCGCTTTCAATTATGATGCCGACGCGCCTTGCGCTCCTCTTCCATCATGTCCGCCGAAAACGAAGCCAAAACGACGCTCGATGACCGTTCTGACACTGTGCCTGCCCAGTGGACGACAACACGGCGAGAGCTTTGGTCTTACTATTTATACTATGTCGGGAACAACGGCCTTTCGGGGTGCGTATGACATACTGTGACCGCGAAAAAAATGTTTCAACCCGGATAGATTCAATTTTGGACCGTCTCAGTTCCAAAATTTGCTGTTTCTTGCTGGGTATGATCCTACTCAGCCAGCATTCACAGCGCCTTGCGGCGACAACGGCTGCGTTCTCCCTTATCTAGGTCGCGTCAGGGACAGTACGTGCCCTTCATTCTCAGTAACGCTCTGACTCTCTACAGTCAATTCAATCGTGTTGATGAGTGGGTGTTTTCCTCAATGTACTGCCATTTCTCACCAAGTTTCGTTAGCAAATGGAATCTCGTTCGCTCTTCAGGCTGTCCTTCTCCTCATTATCGGCGCATGGGCAGACTACGGCACTTCGCGCCCAAACATCACAATCTTCTTCACGATTCTGGCGGTAGCGGTCTCGTTTGCCTGGCTGGGGGTAGAAGATCCATCCCAATGGCGAGCTGGAGTAGCGCTCTATATCCTCGGGTGTGAGATACTCTTTGTCCGCCCGAACACACACTAATGTCGTGCAGTAATCACCTACCAGGTACGACAATTCGAGCTATCAGAATGCTTTTTCTCATATTCGAATAGTGTTCCCTGACATTCTGGACGGCGGCTTTTCCCGGCCTAGCTCGAGACCTTCCTGAGGTCCAACAGTCGCTCCAAAACGTCAAATCTGGTCAGAAGTCGTAAGCTTCGTTGAAAAAAAAACTTGGTACTGTCTTTTGATATCTAGTTTACCAGCGTCGATGAGCATGCTAAGCTTACTTCTCTCTCTCGCAATCGAATCTCCAACATCTCGTTTGCCGTTTGTTCCCTCGGCGAAATCGTCATTCTTGCTATCATGGTGGGCATCCTCAAGGGCGTCCACTCCGATGCCAGCACGGAAAACAACACGAAGGCGTTTAGCATCCTTATCGCCTTCTCCGGAGGCGTTTGGCTCCTCTGCGCAATCCCGTGGTTCTTTCTCGAAAAACGGAGACCGGGCTTGGGTCTGCCGCCTGGGACAACATTATTGACAATCGGGTTTAAGCAAACCTACATCGCTTTTCGCGAATGTCTGCGTTTGAAGCAGACATTTTTGTATCTCATATTCTACTTCCTGATGTGAGTTGTGTGCATTGACTGCATGCTTCTGCTGAATACGGCTCAAGGGGCGACGTATTGAACACTACTGTGTTTGTCACTTTCCTCTTATACTTCGCTAACAACTTACCGAGTCTCTAGAACTGTAATTGCTACACTTCAAAACAGGTGCTTCCGTTCTAAAATTCTTGCCACCCCAGTCTTGACAATATTGCAGTGTTGTTGCATACTCGACGCTTCAATTGACGCTGCTTTTGATCGTCGGAATCGTCACGCAAGGCCTGGGCATTTAGTATGTGCTTATTTCGACTTTTGTGCTCAAAATTCACGGGTGTAGTCTTTTCTGGCTCGTGCAGAAGCGCTATAAAATCAGCACAAAAAATGTGCGACCTAAATTTCTAGCAAGTGCCCTAATAATCTCATCTCAGATGTTGCTGTTTAACGTGTTCTGGATCCTCGTATGTTTCTCCAACCTGTCTAATACCTGGTCAAAGCGTATTAATATGAGCTAGATACTGACCGTCTGGGGTCTTATCGGTGTGCATACGGACAAATTCGGATTCAAACACGTTTGGGAAATCTGGTATGCTATCATCTCTATCAGCAAACCCGGAATTGAACAGATTTCAGGGCCTATCAGGCGTTTTATGGGCTCATGGTATGCCCTTGGTATGCCTATAGTCAGACCATGATCAGCGAGGTGTCTCCACTACCTCAAATGTTCCTATTTTTCGCGTTGTTCTCGGTGGTTGGGAAGACATCCGCGTTCATTGGGCCATGTGAGTATCTAACAGTTCGTGTGAAAGCAAAGACTGAACTAGCATCCAAGTCGTCTCTTCCGCAATCATAACTGCCTCAAACAATAACGACAACATGCCGTTCGCCTTTCTTTTTGCTCTGTGCGTGGAGTTCTTTTTCGCTATCGGACCCGTTTCAACTCAACGTGTGATTCTTCAGCGGTGTGTTCAGTACCGTATTCCTATGGCTCGTGGACATGGATAAAAGTCGCATCGAGTGTGAGGCGTTTATTCGTGCGGAGGCGGAGGGGAAGGCGTTCGAGACAAGCGAGCATTTTTCTAGTGCATATACTGGGGACAGTGATGTCAAGATGGATCCTTAGGCCTTAGACTACTCGTTAACCGTAACCTACGTATACTAAAAGAGCTAACATGATGGCGTGGGAAGGTCGCTTGATTGGGTTGATGGTCAACCATGACCATAGAAATTACCGGTTACTTTGAAGGTTACACTCCAAGGAGCAGCAGAGGTTCGTCTGTGCGACTGAAATTCCTCTACTAGCTGAACAAATAAGAGCTCAGCCCTTTCGGTGACAGAAACGCTGGCGCCACGGCCAAACCTGGCCAGAATACCGACACCGGATGACTCTGAAGTCCATATCACGCGTTTCTTCCCCAGGCTCGTGTTGGTTGACTTTTCTGTGCTTTAAAGTAATTTTTTTTCGTAGGCTGGCCAGCTCGTCTCGGTATAAAAACTCAGCTCAGAACCATGACAATGGAATACACGACGCTTTTGACCCTCAGTCATGGCATCGTGACGGGGAGCTCCAAAGCCCTTGTCCAGACATCCTCCGCAGTAACTATCCACCGACAGAATCACAGCTCCGCGAAATTCGTGCTTTTTGTCAAAGGATGGAAACCCGAATTGGCTATGTCGACAATCGAATAATACAAGAGCAGCTCCTTATTCGTGAAGCTCGACGGCAAAGGCGATGCGCAAAAAACTGGCTGGGCTTCAGTGACCAGATCTCGACTTTGCAAACTTCTATACTCCGGCTTGCGAGGTTAGGACAATATCTACGCAACACAATCGTGGCACATCGGCGCTGCGTGGAGGCGGCTGTTCGCTGGCTACCCAACGAACTCTTGAGCGAGATATTCACGCATTGCAAGAGAATGGACCAGGCAACGAGGTTCAACTGCGGGGCTTCGACGACGCTCATGTATGTCACGTGTGTGTGCCGTCGCTGGCGCGATGTTGCGCTGTCCCTTCCCAAGCTTTGGACGCACATTGTGCTCGAAGAGCTGGATATTTTCTATATCGAGCCGGAGCACGAAGATTGGGAAGAAGAAGAAGAGGAATGCCTCGACATTCCTGAATCCACCATCCTCAAACGAGCGAAGGGCCAACTGGAACGGTGCAGGAATGAACCGTTTTCAGTCACGTGGAACATAGACATCTATTCACATCACACATTCTCGCGACGGATATTGACCCTGTTCTGTAAAGAGTCCGCTCGCTGGGAAGAAGCAGCTCTGCTCTTCAATGTTCCGCAACTCGAGTACTTCGCTGATTCTTGGATGTCTTGCTATAAATTTCCGCTCCTTCGAAAACTCCGACTGCAGGCGGTCGCGATCCAAAAGGAGACGAGATGGCGCCATTTCAGAGACTACTCTGCCTTCCTACATGCTCTGCCTGCGCTCAAAGAGCTTCACCTTGTCGCAGACAACGAAAACATCATCTTTCCACACACTATGGCCCCCTGGCGCAATTTACGGGCCTGTGTCTTTGAGGGCTGCCGCGTAGACAATGTCTGGGCGATCCTTCCGCTGTTCGCCCAAACCACAAATGTCAGTATTGAAAATGTCCGTGGCGTCCTCCGCAATGCCCATGCCCAAAACTTGCATATGGGCAGCCTCACCCTCAAGCGCTGTCCACTCGCATTCACGGCGTTCCTCTTGATTGCCAACACCTTTCCCTCCCTTTCAGAGCTGTCCATCGGCTCCTCGTCCTCCCCAGCTAACGTGCTCTCGTTGATCACAAGCGTGATAGCGCGGTCCGGCTGCCGCCTCCAACGACTCTCCATCGAAATATTCGCAGGAGACGCAAACGGAGCTGATTCCCCGCTCTTCAGATTACTCGAAACCGCGGGTCCGTCCCTTACCCACCTCTCCGTGTCCACGTCGTCAGAGCTGCCCGCAGTCGTGGATCTCCTGACCGCGAATCCAACGAAAATAATCCCCAAACTCCATTCTCTCGCCCTAACATATCGCTGGACGCACAAGGTGGACGGAACGGCACTGATAAAGCTGCATCATGGCAGGCCAAAACTACGGGAGTTGTCGTTTAACCGGTTTCTCCCTTGGACCGAGGTTCCTGTGTCGGAAGTGTTTGAGGAGAGCATTATATTTTCCCTCAGGGCAGATGGCCTGAACGTCGTTGTAGCGTCAGGGTGTGAGTTGTAACATCCCCACTAGATAGGATTCATTATTACTCTCACCAAACCCGAGAACTGAACGACTGGTTGACTTGTTACTACTGTTGTGAACTATAACTGTTGTGAACTATAACTGTACAAATGGTAAATCTGCGAACCGAAAAATGAACGAACGTCTGGATATTCTATGCCCTTTCTCCCCGTCTAACCTCTAGAAGGATTAACTCCGATCAACTGGGAGTACTGTATGCTATTCGTGTAAATTATGCAGACGGACGGAGCTTCATTAGACGCTGAGCGCCTCCATAGCCAAGCCAAGCGGGTCCGTGGAGGGCAAGTTACTGGTCAAAAGCGCCGCTTCACCCACACCGCCCGAGCCACTAAAGAAGACTTCTGGAGAAGTGCAGGCTGAAACTGCGCGGCGCATGTGGGTTGTGAGGAAAGAAAGGCCAACTTGGTAGGCAGCTGGAATGTGTATTGGTTGGTTATGTGTCAAGGGAAAAGGGTGGGCAACAAACCATTCATCCATCCAAAGCCTTCTCGTGGCACCATCTTGAAGTCGATACCTTGGTTGCCGTATTCAGCGTCGACGAGATGCGACAGTCGTACTGCATCAAACTAGTGGGCCAGTCAGTCGCGAGCAGAGTCAATCTGGGATAAAAAGCCCACCTTCTCGGGGACAACACCATTGAAGTCGACAAACGCCGTAGTCATCCTGATAAGTTGTCAGAGAGGAACTTGCCAACGAGAAAGTTACCCACATGTAGAGGAATCGGTACGCCAACCGTTGGGCTTCATCGAGATACCCATATCGTTCAAGGCCAACCCAAGCCATGATTTGATGTGGTGGCCACGCGTAACTAGAATGGAATCAGTCTGGAAGACATCTCGAAACATGGGACTCACGGGTAGTCCCATTGCCGATTGGGTCTGTCGAGCGAAATCTTGCCACGAGATTCCTCGGTTCCCGACACAAGTCCACCAAGCACTTCGAACTTCTTCAGACTCTTTGTGCTATGGTTTAGATCAGTGTCATGTTGGTACAGAAGAAAGAACATACACAAGAGCCCATGCCTGCTCCTCGCTGGCACAGCCCGCCCACAATGGCCAAAACGAAGTTGCACTCTCGTAGAGGATTTGAGTCTCGTGCTCTGTGTCGTAGTCGAAGTAAAGGCTCTTGCCCTCGTTCCACAAGTACTTGTCGATGATACCCTGACGCCACTTGGCCCGTTCGAACCATTCAGCACTAGTCTGTGGCCTAGCAATGCTGCTCTCCCGCTCCTTTCGGGCATACGCCTCTGGTGTCGGCGGGAATGGTGCGAGGCCAAAGTCCTCTTCCATTTCAAGCTCGTCATCGAAAACCTCTCGGATGGCGGTTCCAATGTCGACCTCATACTTGTAAAGCAGGGCTTGCAGGTCGATTGTCCCAAGATTTGCACACCGTTTCTCGAATCGATAGGTGGTGTCATGGCCACTCTCGCGAACAGCACGGTCGTGCAAAAAGTATTCGTCCAAATCCGGTTCTTTCAGGGTTCCAGCGTTGTACTTCTCGCTAAACTCGAGTACCGACAACCCGTGCTTAGCTGCGTAGGGCTCGAGAATATGCGTAAAATGTGTTGCCTCTGTTTCGGGTGGAATACCGAGACCGTCTGGGCGGTAGCGCGACAAGCCTGTTTTGGGATCGATTCGGGGCTGCGCAACCCAAATGGTGTGGTACTCCTTAATTGCTGCTTGAATTGCGCGTTTGAGCCAGGCGCGATTGGCGGCAAGATCCGATCGATCGAGTTGGTTGTAAATTTGGAGAGCCATGTCGGTCAAGAATGGTGGCTGGGTTCTGCAAAGGTAATATGAGCGCGACCCGTTGAGGATCTTGCCATAATGCTTGATCTCGAAGATGAAGTGGTCAACCATGCCTTGCGCCATCGAAACCTGTCCGTCGACGAGCAAGCCTAAAGTGATGAAATACGAGTCCCAGTTGTAAAGCTATGGTCAAGAGATCAGAAAAGCTCTTCGTAGAATGGCTGGATGCTACCTCGTTGAATCTCGCGCCAGGTACAATGAATGGGATGCCCTTTAAAGTCCCATCCACCGACTTCATGGCCAAAGCCAGAATGCCAGGTTTCGAGTTCAAACTCTTGACAAATGCAGGGTCGTCCGGCTTTTGTGGGAGTACTTGAACATCGAGATTGAGATGGGGTTTGTTTTTGGCAACCTGTCTGTAGTACTCGGCCATCGCGGGCTCCCCGTAGGGCACGTAAATCCTCGGATTGACTCTCCCAGTGCGATTCTTGGGGTCTGCACAAATGATCTCCAGCCCATCGCCATCGATTCTCCGCGTTAACGCATGCCAAAATGAATTTCTGATCATTCTGGAGAGACGGTCCACGGGATTCTCGGTCAACCTTGCCTCGTCGAGCACAATACGCTTCCTGTTGTGGTCACGGGCGAGAGCGAGCTCTTGGAGGAGGTTGGATAGCATATACGTGCCGCGAATATCAAACGTCTTGAACCCATTGCTCGTTGCCGTCCCCAATGCCATGAGCTTCGGGCCCGCGTCGGTAACACTGATTTGGAAGTCGCCATCTGTGTCTTCCTGTTCAAGAACAACTCGAATAGTCTCCTCAACGTCGATGAGGAACCGTCTTGGTGCAGAGCTCTTCTCGTCGTGCGACATTCTTCGCTTGCGGAAATGGGAGTCCTCCTCGAAAGCAGGGGCTTTCTTCGGGTTGTAGCCATGGAGGTGGGACTGTAAGAGGCCCTCAGACCAGCTTCAGTGGCAAGCATGAACAAACAAACCTGGCTATAGGTGCGCGACCGCGAATATACCTCAGCTTTGCCATAGTAGGCTGCAGCGTCGACCTGGTGGGAGCCTGCATGGGCCTCGTCGTCCACGAAGGAGACGCCAGCAGGATGGTTCAGTGCTGGGGCCATGGCCGTGGATATGGTAAGAGAGAAAGAAGGGAATTATGGAATAATTTTGATCTGGGGTCGTGTTGATCCAAAAATTAATTTCCGCTTTCACGACGTCGCTATCTTCAGCCACGATGAGCGGCTCTGGGCCTGACCCTTGATTTACAGGCGGTAGGAATGGTCTACAAACACTATGGACAGATTGCTGGGGCAACAAGTCTATCAACCCGACAATTGAAAGTGTCCTTTGACTGTGGGGGAGAGTTACGACATCGGCACGTACTTCCGGTCTCCACGGTCTGCTTACAAGTATGGAAGTAGAAAGAGCTCTATGGTCTGGTAGTGGTATAGGTATATGGAAGATATATTGTACTCGACACGTCAGCTCTATTCGTGCTGTCCTACAAAGTCCAAGCGCGAATTAAATCCAGGAAAAGACGGGAGTGCCGATATATATTTGTCTTCCCAGCCTCCGGAGCTCGGATACCTCGATGGTTGTCGGTGGACGTGGCAGCAACGCTGTATTCCACACCAGCTGGAATCGCTTCACAGGCAACACCTCAAGCAAAGTGACAAGGAGCGGGAAAGGAAAGTCGTCGTGATGTAGTTGTCTCCGACACATGAGTGTTATATTCTCCAGCGTCTTCCACCGTTGCTGAGTGGCAGAATTCTCCGTTATGGCAGCATAAAGCTGACGAAGCACACGAACTGCGACATCTTGCTCGTAGTTGAGCAAATCAAGCGTCTGGATACTTGTGAGAACGTCAAGACAGTCGGCAATGTCCTCTGGATCGAGCTCTTCACATGCAAAGTGTCGTATCGTACAATTAGAGCGTTTGATCAGGTGACTGAGTTCCACGGCAAGTAGTCGACTATCATCTCGTCCGACCAATAACGTCTCCAGAGAGGGCATGACCAAGTCCTCGAGAATGTGTTGTGGATGAGCGGTAGGCGCAAACGACCACAGCTGTAGCGAACGAAGGCGCTCCAGTGGTGGGGGGTCATCAGCCACATCCGAATCACGATTTGACACGAAGAAAGCACAATAGACGAGGTTGGGCATGAGATCGAGGATTTCCAAACATTCATAATGCGAAAACCCTGTGCCAGTGAAGCTCGTAAGTTGGCCGTATGGCAGCTCGATGAGGCCCATCCGCCTGAAGTCGCCAGTAGTGTCCAAAGTCAAATGAAGGCTCTGGAGTTGGGGCGCCGAGGCGAATAGGGTTACAGGCACTTCGCCTTCTTTGTTTTTCCAATGCTCCTGGACCGCTCCAAGTGAAAGATGCACCAGTTCCGGGAGTGGCTCGGTTTTGTCGCGAATCGAGCGTAAAACCGACAGAGGGACACTGATTTCAACGTGCTGCCAGCGTGCGCGGTGTAAAACGAGTTGTGGCAGAAGATGTTCCATGAATTCCTCCACCAGGGCCCACCACTCCTCTGCCTGGTCACTAAACGCGTCTCCAGCATCGCTTTGAGGTGAAATACGTATTGCCAGTGGACGTGCCTTTGACCTTGTCAGCCAAAGAGCAACACTTGAGGATATGCGCTCTGAAGCGGTCCCATCTACGATCAATGATATTGCCGTCCACAGCTCCGACATGGATAACACCACAGCCCGCCAATGCCTGCAAACGCTGCCCAGCACTACCGCGGCTCGCCATAGGTTGCAGTTCAGGGCGTTCCTTGGTACGCAGTGGACGAAGATCTGAGCGGTGATTTCAACCGGCAACTTGAGAACGGGGTAGGCCAACGACTGGAGCTGAGTTTGTCGTTCGCGGTGTAAACGGCCCAGTTCTTGGTCAATTTGGGATATTCGGGCGAGGCGAGAGGCCCTATCCGGCATTGTAGATGGGTCGCTCACTGGCATGGGGAGAGCAGAGGGGAGAAGATGAATTCGGAAGGAGGCAAGTCGGTCATCATAGCCTCACCGCAGCTTGTGAATGTTTGTCCCGTTTGTCACACACACAAACTAAAATTACTCCAAACCCTCACCTGGCTTCCCAACTCTACTCATGCTCTGGAAGTTCTCAACGCTTTTCGCTACAAATACAATTGCCATGATCCTCAGTCTTGCACAGTCGCCAGTCCACCGTCACAAATAAACTCTGTTGTCAGCTGCTGTGGAAGAACTTTTTCGAACAACTGCAACTCACTAATATCAGCCTGACCTTGCATTTTTTTGGACTACCTCAAACCTCCACAGCGAAGTTACAGGGCCGCCGGGTCACGCTCCTCATATTCCTGGCTTGTAAGTTGTCGTGTCCCGCTAATATTGCTGATGAGGCCAGTTGGCAGTTCTAGCGAATACACCTCTGTCATCCAAAGCGGCGGTTCTAGAGCACGGTCGTGCATCCGGTGCTCCCTTCGTAGATGTCCAAGCCGGGCTATATGCCAACGTGTTCACCACATTCATTCTCCCACAAAAGGTTTCATACTCGTTTGTCTTTTCTCTTCCCACTCATCCTGCATCGTTGCTGCCCATGAATGACACCGAGGCAGACTATGGGCTCTTTGTCCGCCATTTCTTGACTACAACCCCGATCTGGCAAATCGCGACCACGTCATGTCACTTTTGTCACCGCCCACGACAACTGTTGGAGGCCGACGCCGTGCCCGGTCTCCCGAAGGCACACCGCCTGGTCGGACATCACCCACCCACAAGCACATAACGAAGTCCCCTACCACCGCCCGAGTCCTAAAAAAGGGCCGACTCGATGACTCCGAAAACCAAAATGGAGGTTCCGCAACCTCCCAGCCAAGCCGCACTGCACCGGCGCAGCTGAACCGAGCTTCTCCGCTCAAACAAGACCACGATGACCGCTATATGACCTAGCGGAGCACAGACTACAAGCCGCACGCCGCCACATTACGGGCTTAGTTGAAAGCATCGAAGACCTTCGCACCCCCGAACACGGCGTACTTCAGGAAATACGGCACCTGAAGTCTCTGGTGGAGACACTGGAGAGGAAGTATACATCCCAATACCCCCAACCATTGACACCGACACCGAAACCGACAAGGTCAAGCCCCGGAGAGCAACCACGTTCACCCAAATCCGGAGCTGACAAGACTCCAGTTCAGCAGGCACCAGCCAGTGCAGTACCGTCCACTGCCCCAGTTGCTCTACCTCCTCGACCACCAACCATGACCAAGAAGCGAACCCGTCGCCGCCTTCCCGATAAAGTGGAAGCACCAACGGCGCCGCCGCGCCGTCTCATCCTCAAGTTCGCGAGGCCCGTCATCAAGAATATTCCTCGTCCCCTCCATCTCCTCACCGCTTTCAACAAAGCACTCAAGGGTGCTGTTGCTCTCAGAGGTGTCAACCGCTCACCCAAAGGCCACTTGATCCTGCATGTTTCAGAGACGCACTCCGCAGAGCAGCTTCTCGGACATGAAGCGGCAATACGACAGGTGGTTATGCAGTACTTCGCACTTACTGACATTGAACTACCAGTACTCCAACTTGCGGTCCCTTGGCATCGCATTGTGGTACATGACATGCCCCTCCCAATGGACCACGAGGAATTGGAGTCGGTAAACCTTGGCAATGAGATACTCAAGAACAGTTGCTTTGGTCCTCATGCAAGGTTGATGGACATCCGTTTGCTTATATCGAAGGAACGGGAGGAAAGCGAGAGTCCAGCAACAGGGTGCCAGCCGTTCACGATGATGCTGGCTTTGGAGGACGCAGAGATAGCGGGCAAATGCATACGAGAAGGTGTCTTTATCCTGGGGTCGCACTGCAAAGTGTCGACGTACAAGCCAAGACAGAGACGGAACAGCAAGTAAGTTTTATGCTCCCTAACCTACCTGCTACCTTGCTTCAACCGACCACATACCCGATCATGAAACACACACACACCTTCACACCGACCACAATACTGGGCACAAATCCACACATAAACCCCCACAGGGCAGTAAATGTTAAACAACCCCCCTGGTCCTTGCTCTTGTGAGCACCGCGCCTTAGTAGCACTAGCATACTTGTCCGCGGTATATAAATGTGATTCAAAAAAAAAAAAAAATCGCGACCACGTGATGAATTCCCAACGCGTGTATTAAACCCAAGAAACCATACTAAGTACTCCACAAGTGTAAATGAGCCTAGGTTGAACTGCACCCTGCCGCGATATGGATGCTCCGCACGTTACAGGCACCACCCAGCAACGCCCCAGCGTGGACAACTCCTCCGAACGTGGCCGAAAACTCAAAGTTGAGATACTGGCACGAGAGGGAAGAATCTCCGGGAATAAGGGCGGTGTAGTATGCGTACTGCGAGACTGGGCTAACGATGGGCGATGTGCCGAGAGTGGCAGCGACGGTGGTGAGATCAGCGCGCATTGCGACTTGATTCTGGAACATCGCTTCGACGCTGACCCCGCTTGCCTGCGTAGTGCCATCTGTTCGGACCTGTAACGCGAGTTTGTGTTGTTGTTTTTGATTAAAGGAGAACTGCTCACTGCAGTTGTAATGCGGGCAATATTCGACCCGCTGAACAGCCCACACGAATACGCCGGAACATTCACGACCGTGTCGTCCACCGGATAGTTGGCCCCGCCATTGTTCTGAGTTACAACATTCGCGCCATTCCCGGCCTCGTCCACGGTGAACCAAAAGCTGGAGAAAGACGCTGTCGCGGAGACGGTGACGGAAAACTTGTATGACTGTAGCGTGTTGCCGTTGCGGAGGGCAGCGTTGCTGGTCGTCGACGTCGGCGACGCCGAGCATGCCCCAGACGCGCACGTAGTGCTTTTTCGGTCCGCCCAGTGGAGCGTAACCACACGACTTGGATTGATCACGGAAGCACCAAAAATCTAGACAAATATAAGGTTTGAGCTTCACCAAATTCGCGGAAGACACCCACATCTGCAGTAACTTGGAGGTTGAGCGTTCCAGAAGGGGTAATAGAAAGCAAGAAGTCGCGAGGCTTGAAAGGAATGGGCACAACTGGATCACGGAGCGTCACGCCCGTCGGCACCGTGTTGATCATCCGAGAAAGCAGGGAAGCACAAACTGAGTTGAACGTCGTCGCGGAGCTGGCAAAGCTGCGCGAAAATAAGTACTGAAGAAATAGCGCAATAGAACTCACCTGTTCATGGTCACATTTCCATCGCTAGCGAAAATACGAGCATCAGAGTCGGTCACTGCCGGACCTTTGACCAGGGGATTGATATTCGGGCCAGAGATATAGTTGGTTGCGCTTATAGTCGTATCAGTGAAATTCTAGTTGAGGGGCCTTAACACACATATGATTGTCGAATGTGCGAGTATCATCAAACGGTGCGATAACGGTGCCAGTATTGATGGACGGAAAGTCGGCTGGAGTCACTAAAACATCGTTTAGCTGGATAATGGACACGAACTGGAAGAATTCCAACCTCCACCAAGTGTATGTCCACAGGCAACTAGCCCGATCATTTCGGTCGCCGTAAAGCCCTGCCGCTGAAACGCGGCTGTGTGATCCGCAAGACTTCCGGTCGGCACCGGAACACCGGACGGCCCGGCAGCCGCGGCCATCACGCGCCCCGGCTTGAACGGAATGCTCGGTCCTCCGCATTGACCCACGGCAACAACGGCCCCAGCCGCAATAAGGTCGGGTACTAATGAGTAATTCAATAGAGAAGCTGCAGCCTCAAAGCAAATACTTACTCGGAGTGTACTTGGAAATGTGCTTGATGAACTGGTTACGAGTATTACTGAGCCCAACACCGACATTCTGTCCTGAATTCAGCAACGCAGTCGACATGTTGTGTGGGACTCACGAACCTCCGCACGGTCCAGTTCAAAAAATAACGAGCCATCGATACCGCCGACGCCAGCATTGAAAGTCGCCATATCGTGATACGCCTTCAAAGTTCGTGTTTAGTGAGCATTTACTGGAATAGAATTTAAGGACGAGAAACACACCGTGCGGAGCCATTGCGCTTGAATAGAAGGTGTTGTACCGTTTGGATTCGCGGCATTCGGCCCGCACAAAGCAGGAATAGCGGCGAAGCCAGTCAATTCAAGCCACAGAAACTCCTCCACATAGTCGTATGCTGGATTCGGCCATGTGTACGCCAGCACTTGCGCGACCGAAATTGACGCAAGTAAGAGCAGCTTCAGCTTGTTTGCCGAAGTGGTAGCCATGGGATGGGGGTGGGTGGTGGCCGTTCCTGATTATTTTCGAGTGGAATTTATAGCTCGGGTACGGCCTTCGTCGGCCTGTAAAATGGATTGACCCATGAGGATAGCGTCGCGTCGGGAAGGTGACGGCAATATCTGACAACGGAAAATGGAGGGTACTAGTACTAAGCCTTACAGTTGGCCGTGCCATGAGCAAGATGCTCACTTGTAAAACTCCGTTGGATCGCTTAACATAGTACTTGAGCCTGTAATAGACAGATTCAGGTTGTGCGCTGCGACGACCCAGCTAGGTGTTCTTGATATTGTGGGCGCAAACCAAGGCTGAAGGTTTTCTCAGAATAAGCTTGACAAGCGGAGAAGTCTCGGCGATTCATCGGACGTCTTACTGACTCGAAAGCAATTTAATTTCCAGGTCCCCGTTTTGAGTTCGGCACGCCGACGACAGCATGAAGCGAAGTTTTTTCAAGCAACTAAAGTAAGTAGTATAAGTTTCACCTGGCGTAGTCAAATACAATTTCAAACTATAATTCCTTGAAAGGACGGTAAGTTGCGCAAGCAGAGCGATGAAGGCATGACCTCACCCAGAAATGTTCCCCATTTTGTCGAGCCACTATGATTCTCAGCCCAGCACTTCTCAGAGAGGGGATTGTTGTTTTGGAGAAATCAACAAAACGGGCATCGAGCCACAATGTTTGTAACTTTGGCCGACTGGCTTGTAACGCGAACAGGGCAGCATCATCGAGCTTGTGCGGGGCAGAGGGCCAATAACGGACGCGTAAAGTCCGAAGCTGGCTCCACGATTCTGGTTGAGAGCTCAACAATCCAACAAGCCGTGGGACTATTGGGGCCAGGGCGAGGTCGAGTCGGATGAGAGAAATCATGTGTTTGGACTGCGTCAACTGCACCAAATATGGCCAAAAGTAATTGTCTCGTGAAGGATGTATATCCAGGCCGAGTTCAACCAGCCTACAAGAGGACCGCTCGATGAACGAAAGCACGAGACTAGAGGATTCCGATATACCGTCAAGCCAACCACCAAGTCGTGGGCCAATACGGAGTTTGGTGAGATTTGGTGCACTGACCGCTCTGAGGAATGCAGCAGCAAAAGGGTCCGGGCATTCAGCCATCTCCACGACACTCAGAGCGGTATGGATGTTTACTGCCGTGATACGCGTGTCCGGGGCGAAGTCCATGTGCTGAAGATAGAGGTGTGTCGTGGCGGAAAAGAATGGTAGAATATGAAGAACCTCAGTCCCTTGGCACAAAGTGAGTTCACAGTGACGGAGACGACTCCACGGCGCAAAATCTCTGCTCAGGGAAACGGACTCTCGGAAGGCTTCGATCCGGAGATGAGTGAGTGCTGGAAAAAGGTCGATAAGCCTGTCATAAGGAAAGGGCCGCCATGGCTCTCCATAAGGAACGCGGGAGCGTGCTTTGAAAACCCGAAGATTCGGGAAATCGACCCCGGGCCGGCAGGCCTTTTCAAGGAAGGCGGAGAATTCATCGATGTTGAGAGCGACGCTCAAACTTCCCCATCGTGCAGACCTTTCAAGAAGCATATCGAGAAATAATGAATAGTGAACTTCTTTCACAAACTTTGCTGTTACTGCGCTATCTTGACCCCAATGCACCGATAGCGGGACAACCGGACCGGAATTTCGGAGATGTTGCAATGCTCGTCGAATTGTGGGGGTAATGGGGTCTGAGTCACGGTGTACTTTGGCGCGGGGCTCTTGGCTCGTCCACGGAGAGAGGGAGCGATTGTTGGCCTTGTTTTCATGCGGATATACCACCGAAATATGATTCCACAGCGTTGGAGACGACCGCGCGACACGACGCCACTGCGCACACACATCGATTAGGCGAAGGAGGGGAAACGAAAGGTTATTTGTTTCCTTTTGTTGAGCAACACAATGCGCAAAGATTTCGCAAAGGATTTCGTTGGGAAGACTTTGAATGGGGGACGAGAGGCGCCGGTAGCTCGAAATTGCGTCTTTTAGTTTCCGGTCGAGTTTTGCCCATCGACGAGCAAAAAATGGGAGCTTTGGCTTGGGAAGCTGCAGTTGCTTGAGCTTCCGCTCGATATTCATCGACTGCATGAGCCAGCTCCGTAGGTCGTCTTGTCCGGGCTCGAAATATGCATCAAGAACCGGGAGAGCATCAATAAGTTTTTCGAGTGTGTCAAAATCCGATGTTCTGAGGGATAGGTTTAGCGTTACAAGTCGGGTTAGGGTAAGTTTCCAACGGCAGTGCTCCACGCGGCAGAAAGTAGTGTGTTAGAAGAAGTTGTGTGGCCATCCGCCGTGTTATTAATATGAAAAGGAATTGGAACGGATCAACTCGGCCCTGGCTGTCAATGATTCTCAATGTCAATCCTGGACTCGGAGTGAACTTTGTTTTGGCAATGATTTACTAGTATGTTCAACGCCAGAAAGTAGTCCATAATACTGCTACAATATTTTCCGCAGCCACCTGTGTGGCACGTGGAATATATGGCCGCGCTCTTTCTTCAGGTACAACACATATACCATAGCCCCGGACAAGACACTGCAGAACGAGACGAGGGTGGCATATGGGAATTGAGATGGCCGAGAGAGAAACATAGTAAGTATGTACCTGGTTGCAGACTCATTAGAACACTTGTGGACATGAGAGAAGCTTACTTCAGTAGATCGGCGATGTTCTGCATGGTCAACTGCAACGACATGAGCGTGTTTCGACGGCGATGAGCGGTCAGTGCTTCTTGGAGCTGCTTGGTCTGAATTAGGTCGAATGACCACAGACCGATGCGCGACAGGGCCATGCCTAGGTGGAAAGAAAAGTTTCAAATTCCGATCTTCGGACTGTGGACTCACCCCCAAAAAGTAGAAACGCGCCAAGATGGTTGGTAGGCCCAAAAACATAAAATGATGCCATGACTGGGAGTAAACAGAAGACCATGGACCTCATATCACGGTCAAGAATGCCGAAACAGATATCCCAAACGACATACCAGATACTCCAGCTGCCAGCCCTTGCAGATCCGATTCTGCTTTCGAGGGGAACAGTGACCACCGTGCCGACGAGCCCGGTGATGACACACAGACCACGCATCTCAGCGAGGAAATCATCGCTATAGTCGAGTGTCTTTAGGTAGCCTAGCATTGTGCCGTCGAATCTATATGATGTTCAGTGGAAAGAGACTTACAAGTGGAAGCGAAATTACGATAAAACGGTGAGGTACAGGAACGAGATAGACAGCGAGGAGAGGAATACAGGGAGCCGCACAAATTCTCCCCAGTCTTGTGTGTTGAGTGTACTTTTGACGATTTCCAGAATGGATCTATCTTGAGGTTCAATTCCTTCAGTGGTAGAGTCCAAGTTGGAGGCACGTTGAGCGTCCTTTTTCTGTTGTTCTGCCTCTAGTATCGGGAACCGGTCATACACAACGCTAATCCAGCGTATTTCGAAGAACATCGTCACGACAGTGATAAAGCCAAGAACAATGAGAGGGGTTAAGCTCGAATAGCGAACGGTCAAGAATGATACGAAGAGTGGGGCAGCCAGCTTGCAAAAGAGATTGGTTTGGCGGAGGTAAGTGTTGAGACGACCGAGGCGAATCGACGAGCCTCCAGAAATGCATGTCGTCCAGTCGCGCTCAACCGCAATGGAGATCGCCGTATTCGAGAATTGGAGGAGGCATCCGAATGATACCAACAACATGAAGATAGACCAGGACACGACTGAGAAACGGTCATTGGATAGGCGCAAAGTCGCGAGGCACGCGTAGGCGCATAAAGCGGATAGCTTCTGGACAATAATCGAGTACCGCACAACCGTGAGTTTCGGTATTCTATCGACGAGGTGGCCCGCTCGCTGAGAGAGCATAATCCCGGTCACTTGACATAAACTTTTCAGAGCCAAAGTGGTGACTGAGTAAAGGAGAATTACATGTCATGGAAAAGCCAAGAATCGACGAGGGAAGAAGCGTGTCCTTGTAGTACAGTATGAGGAAGAGGTAAAGCGCAAATTCCGCGGTTCTGTCGCCCCATGCACTGGGTTGGCGCGTTTGCTTCAGAATCACCTCACAGACGAGGGCGGCTGGGGGGGCTACCTTGAAAAGTGTTGTACCAGCAGAAGTCGTATTCCCACTGTGTCGACTACCTCCTCCGGCTCCTCTTCATTCGTAGCTTCCAGTAAAGGTGTCCGCTCTGCTAGCGAAGACATGGTGTGGTTGAAGGCAAGTAGTGATGATCATATATTTGCCCTAAACTTCCGTTTTGGGCCGTCTTACGCCCAAAAGCTTTGACTTTCGGTGAAATTCAGCTACTGCAGTCTTGTAACTGGTCAAAGCAGTAACTTCTCATTCAAATACCTTCGAACCTACTCAACGCATTACAAACAAACAAACGGCACTCCTCAATTAATCCAATCCAATCCAGCTGACATGCTGTTGGTTTCTGGCGCCACCAAAAAGCAATGCCATAGCCACTTCGGCCTAAAATTAGCTTCAAAACAAGTATAAGAAGACCTCCAGAAACAAGTGGCGTGCAGGTCGGCGAACGGAGACCCCGAATAGTGGCAACATGTTGCTTAACGGGTTCCCTCGACGATCCAAGAAGCGGAAAAAGCTTGCCTCTACGACTGCTGACCTCCTCAAGACATCCTTGATGGCCCTAAAAGAGTCCTCTGACGCCTTCCCGCCATTGAAGAGTGCTGTTGGCGCTGTCTTGGTTGTTTGCGATCTCGCTGAGGTCTGTCGACACTCTTTTGCCTCCAGCGTCAGTTGACTAAACCCTCGCAGCGCACCAAGCAAGCATTCCAGATCCAAAGCTCAGGCCGTAGCTTTGCGCACCACGGAGATTCTGGAGCTGGTAGCGGATGCCCTGCCCGATCCAACCCAGATTCCTCTGCCATTGTTGCGCAGCCTCGAGCGTTTTACGAAGTAAGTTCTTGTTTCAATAGGCTATCTCGATGCTCAATAATGAAATAGGACGCTGGAGTCCATTCACAACCGTATGCAAGAGATCAGCGACATGCGGGGGCTTTCGCGCCTGATAATGTTGCTCTAAATATATATTAGACTCGTCTATAGCCTTCCTAAGAAAATCGGTTCCAAACGGATCCTCTCAGTTTTGGAAGGTAATGAACCTGCTGAGATATGGAGAATTATGTGCAGGTCAACTTGGCGACTCAAATTCTGACACCTTGAGTCAGGCGGCCCGGAAACAATTGGCAGTTGACCACAAGAAAACAACGAGGTTGTCGCTAATCGTGACTAATCATGGTTTCTTCCTCATGCTTTCATGGACCTGACTTTATCGTCCCCCAACTCCCGGAGTAGACGGTCGGAAATCTGGCATCCAGACGGTAGCGTGGTACTGGAAGCCGTAACAACGCAGTTCCGCGTTCACTGGAGTGTGCTTGCTCTCCACTCAACATTTTTCCGCGGCTTGCTTGACCTGCCGCAGCCGCTGGAGCAATCACGACCAAGCATTGAAGGCTGCCCCGTTGTCGAGCTATCCGATGCACCGGAGGATATTGAGCAGCTTCTCAAAGCCCTCTACGACCCGCTTTTCTTTGTCCAGAAAGCGCTTCCACTCAAGACACTCGGGAGCGTTATCCGGATATGTCGGAAATACGAGTTCCACGACCTCCTGCAAACCGCCATCGAGCGGGTCAACTACGAGAACCCGACGAGACTGGATGCATATGACGCATTGAAAACGGGGAATGCTTATACGCCGTCGCGGATCGTCAACCATCACGGCCTCCTCTTCGATACGATAACACTGGCATGGGAGAATAACCTGCTGTCGGTGCTGCCCTGTGCTTACTATCGAGCGCTGGTTGGGACTCTTCCGCCCAAAACTTTCGATGGAATCCCTCGCGGAGACGGCACCATGGCAACACTCGCGCCAGTCCACCAACGGGCCTGTGCTCTTGGTAGAGCAGCCTTATTCAGTGCGCAATGGGACTCCAAACACACATTTGGATGGACAGACCCGGACTTGCCGCCACCTATGGGTTGTCGTGACGGTGTTGGCTGTAAACAGAAGAAGCTCAATTTCTTCCGGAGACACGTCGTTCGTGGCTCCCTCGCTCCATTCTGCACCTTGGCGTTTCTGGATACACTTGGGCTCTGCGCAGTTTGTGTGGATAGTGTGACAAAGCAGATGGTGGCTGGGCGGAAGAAGATGTGGGACGATCTGCCAGGGTACTTTGGGTTACCGCCGTGGAAAGACTTGAAAGATGATCCTTAGTTTATTTGGGACTTTTGTATCGCTAGTAAATATGTACTTGGGAATCTAACTTGACTAATTATTCTGGGATCACGGTCATCATGAAACTGCTTGCTTAGAACGTTCATGCCGCGCAATGCTCTGGACCTCCTGGCTGCTTTCTCTACTGCCTTCTTCTCTCCTCGAGCAAGCTCATCATGAGCCTCCGCCTTCACTTCGCTTCGAATTGCGTCATCTACACGCGGTCTCCGCCTCCGACGCAAACGTCGCTTTCGCTGATGTCAACTACCCATCTCTCAATACCCACCCGAGGCTCAGAACCCGCACCATAACAACCCACAAGCCGCGCTCTTTTGCGCTCCATGATGCTGCCCGACGGCACTCACTTCGCTTTGGCCAGAGCTTGTGGGAACTTCCGTGGGACGAAGAAAAGGCTGCAGCGCCTGATGTAGAGGACCGAGAGACGCTTCTGGAGCTAGCAAAGATGGCAAACAACGCGTATGTCGACCCTGAAGATGGGGCATGGTACAAGCTGGGAGAGAACTGGACCGTGGTGCGTGTTTTCCGCTTTTGTTCCCCCCCCCACTCGAATCAACGAGCAACAGTCCTACCCGTTTGGCTGGGAACCCGATGCAGACGGCTTCCGTGGCCACGTATTTGCGACTCCAGACAACAGCACCATCGTTCTCGCCCTCAAAGGCACTTCGTCTGGCTTTCTTGGCGGAGGCGGCCCCACTGCGAAGAAGGACAAGCTGAACGATAATTTGCTGTTCAGCTGCTGCTGTGCCAGAGTCGACTGGACCTGGACAACGGTCTGTGGGTGTTATCGCGGTGGCTGGAAATGCGATGCAAATTGTGTTGAAGAGAGCTTGGTTGAGGAGAGTTTGTTCTATCCTATCGGCACGAACCTCTACAACAACCTGACCTATATGTACCCCACTGCCAACATCTGGGTGATTGGCCACAGTCTTGGCGGCGCACTTGCCTCCCTGATTGGAGCGACATTTGGCCGTCCAGTCGTCGCGTTTGAATCCCCGGGTGAGAAGATGGCTGCTGGTCGGCTCCACTTACCCTCACCCCCCTCAACCCTGCACATCACCCACGTTTACCATACCGCGGACCCGATAGCTATGGGCACGTGTAACGGCGTTCTGTCGTCCTGTGCTCTAGCTGGGTATGCGATGGAATCACGCTGTCACCTTGGCCAGTCGATTATCTACGACACTGTGGGGAATCTATCGTGGTCAGTCGACATACGGACGCATGGGATTGTCAATGTTATTGAGAAGGTGTTGACGGAGCCGTGGCCGCCTGCAGTCGAGCAGGGTAGGGATGTTCCTCTACCAATCACGGAGGATGACTGTGTGGCAAGTTTTTGCGTATTCTTGGTTGTCTTCACGCTGAATCGCCACAGGAGTGTTATAGTTGGGAGTATGGGGACTTTTCAAAGTAAATACTGACATGTTCCGAAAAGTTGTACAACTGCTTAACATTTATTCGGTAGGGAATAAAGATAGACATTAAATAGAAACTCGACCGAAGAGAAAGAAGACTGACTACTCGCGTAGTTTCGTTACTTTGCACAAACTTGGATCAGCAATGAGAGCAGAAGAGCTATGCGCCTGCTTTTTCCGTGGTACTCCCTCATCATCTTCCTTACCCGCCAAGTCTAAGCCTTTCTGGCTTCGCCTCCGCTTAACCCCGGCTACCGAGTTGGCTGGCCGTAGGAGACGCGGGTCAGATGTAATTGTTGTAATCGTAGGCTGTGCTTCCCCAGTCCATGCAGCACGAAGTCGACGATATAAATCCACGTCAAAGCCAACACACTGCAAACCAAAGACCTCGACGCGGATGTCTTTCCCCGCAAAGTCTTGTTCGATCTTCTCGTGGGGGACCATAACCCCCATCGCATGGTAGATCGCATGTTTGGGCTGTTCAAAGTCAGTGTCGAACCCTAAAGACTAGAGGGAACACACAATATCCCATGGTATTTCAGATTCTTCGGGGCCAGCTGTTTCCGCGCCGGCCTCTCGAAAGCGGATCACTTTGTAAGTGCCCGCATAACGGACTTCGGAGGGGTTTGAGCCTTGATTGACAAACAGCTCGCATTTTCTCCCCTTTTCATAATATCGAGTTAATGCCGTGTTTGGAATCCAGCGGGAGTTATTGTCAACGTTCAAGTACCACTTAGTGGGGGCATATGCCAACATGTGCATAGGCTCACCCCTACCACAAATAGTGCGGTGAGGAAGATACAGGAAGGGGCTGCACCAATGAGAATGAGCCGATGCAGGTGCACATCAGAACAAGTACGCACAATTGAGCCTTGAAGGTTTTCCATGCCTGACCAGGGTTAAAGATTTGTTGAATAGATCAGAGCAAGTACATACATCTTGGTTCAACAGGTTTGTGGCTGTTGAAACGGATTGAACTGGATCAATGACAGCAGGGCGTGCCGGACGAGGAAGTTTGTCGAGGCGAGGACCATACGAATTTCGGGCATGCATTATCTTGGCTCGGTGTGCCTGTTCAGTCGCTGGTCAAGTCGGTGCGCATGTGGGACATGGCTGCCATTACCTTGTCAACACTAGAAATCGGAGTAGCTGAAGACTTGGCCTGGCATGATGATTCGGCTCTTTGTCCCTCAGACTTGATGTTGGATTGGCGTTTCAGTTGAGCGTTCTCTAGCTGAAGGCCTGCAATTTGTCGCCGCATTTCTTCCACATAATGCTGAAAACCACAACATAAGGCTTGATTACTTCAACGGCAGTATGTGGGCTCGCCTGGATTGCGGGGCTAGTAGCCGAGTTCTAATGCAGGCGCAATGAATAAAATTGCTCGCAAGGGATTGAAATCATACCGAAGGGCCTTGGAATTGTCGAGTCAGTTTGAAGGCGGTGAGTTTAGCTGTCTTTTCCTCCAGTTTTCGAGAGACATCGGATAGCTTCGACTGAAGACGTTCATTTTCTGCTTCCACCATCGCAAGTTTCTTGGTCTTGTTTTCTGGGTCGGGAGGTGAAGCCAACTGATCTTTCAACTTGGTGATTTGTGAACGCATTTCTTCGACCTTCGCCTGCGCCAAAGATAGATTGTGTGTCGATTCGATTGTCTGGTTCGTCAGTCGATTGTTGCCTCCAATTTTTGGTAATTAAGATACCTCTTTCTTGGCTTCGTTTAGCACCCTTTGAAGGGAAATTTCGCGTTCTGCTGCTGCATCCAATAGCTCCTGTAAAACATATCAGAGATATGCTAGTAGGCACAGCTGATATTACACACCTTGGATGCTGCTGCATCCTCACGAATTCTATCGGCTTCCTTCTGACTGGTTGAAAGCTCCTAGAGTAAGGATATGAAATCGGAAAAGGCTGGTCGACTGTAAGGCTTACGCTTTCCAGTGCGGCCAGACGACTTGTGTCCTGTGAAGAATCAGTATCTATGCATGTCAACGCCGGAACATAACATACAGCCTCAGAAGCTGCAGAGTTGCTAGCTTGCAGCCGAATCAATTCCTCATCTTGTTCCTTAATCCTCTTCTTCCATTTCTTGCTGGTCGCTCGAAACTTCTGAGCGTCGGATTGTGCAGTAGCTAGAGACTGAGTCGTTTTAATTAACTCCTCCTCGACCGTGTCAAGCTTCTGAAAGAATGTTAACAACAGTGTAATTAGGAATAAGTCATCGTACCGCTTGCATGGCGTTCAGTTCAGTCTTGACACTTTCAAGTTGCTGCACAATGGTGTGTTCTCTTTCGCGGGCCTCACGCGCAATTTCACGGTCTTGGGTCACTTGTCGAGCCATTTCATCACGTTGGGAGACAACTTCATCTTTGCTTTTTCGTAACTTGCACATAGGCTTAGCCTGATATAGAAGAGAATAGCTTGAGAAACGTACTTGGTCGAGCGACGTAGTCAGCTGAGCAATTTCGGAGCTTTGTTGCTCTTGCTGATCATTTAAACGCCTGATGGTCGATTGAAGCTCGAGTATTTCCAGATCAAGGGCAACCGTCATCGATTTACTGGTATCGAGATTTTGCTGATAGGTGACTGCCTGAGATTCCAGCTGAGCCGTACGCTTTTCAGCACTACTCTTATCGTCCAGCGCCTGCTTCAATGACATCTAGGGCAAGTCAGGTTGTCGTCAGAAAAATGACACTATGGACCTACCGTTCCTTCCTCCGCTTCCTTCTTGAGTTTGAAAATCTCCTTGTCAAGATTATCCTGCGTGTTCAATGCATGTTTCAATTGCATCTTTAGACTGTTAGTCCTTCCATTTCGCACGACGAGGAGCCTCAACGCACTTGACTTGCGCTCATCTCCTCCTGGAGCTCTGTGAGATGATCGGCGACGGCTTTATATTGGTTCGACGATTCGATGAGTCGTTTCTTCGTAGAAGGTTGAGCACAAAACGGTAACAATATGAAGCAGAACACACCTCCATATTGACAACCTTTTCCTGAGCATCGCGTGCCTCCTTACTACTGTTGTCCAAGGCCTACACAGATGAGTTATGGAGAGGCAGGTGAGTATGACATACGGTCTGTTGTGCGCTGTCCTGCATTTGATGACATTGAGAGATGAAAACGACGAGTTGTGAAGCGACGAACTTTAGCCGTTGCATCAGCGACCTTGCGCTGGAGTTTGGAGATTTCGGAAAGCCTGAGTCGAAGTTGCTCGTTGACTGCAGCAACACGCGACGCGAGCTTCTCGTTCTCGACATTCGTGGTGATTGCTTGCTGCTTAGAGGTGGTAAGGCTCTATGAAGAAGCGCTTGAGCCACTAATAGGAAGAGACGGTCAACGGCCTGCCTGTTCAAGAGCTTGATTATCTTGCTTTGCCTTTGCAAGTGCTTCCTGAGCTGCGTTCATTTGGCTCGATACGCTGGCTAAACGGTCCTATTCAGTCGAGTTTAGAGAGTTCATACAAGGAAACGACGAAGAAATCGCGCACGTTTATTCCCTGTTGGGCCGCAATTTCCTTTGCCAGCTTCTCTTCCCTCTCTTGGACTGCAGCCTCGCCCGTCCTCAGTTGGTTGAATCGATCTGCTAGAGTCTAACGCCAATTGAATCATGCGGAGTGCACGATAAGTACTGTCTTGCACGCACATCGCGAAACTCTTTCGTCTTCTTTCGTTCATTCTCCAAGGCAGCTAAGACATTAGCGTAGTCACTCGACTGGATGTAGTTGAGCGGAGTCAAAGATGAGCGCAAAGGAAGACCCACCTGTGCGGGAAAGCCGTGGTCCTGGGCGTATGCTACCACGTTAGGCGAAGGCATGACGCCCTCCAAGCCTTGGTCAAAGAGTGAAAGCCAAAGATAGGGAAGGAGTCACGGTCATGCTAATCACGACACCATCAAGATGCTACCAAATCGAGCAATCTACCCCTGACCACTATGTTTTACTTAAAACTCAAAGAGTTCAAAACTCCATGAGATAAAATACTTTAGAGACCTCCCCGCGTCCCAGTTTACATATACATCGGTCTGTGATCACTGATCTATTGGTCGCTCATGGGTTTAGGGCGACAGGTCAGCCACGAGCACGCCTCGGTAGCGCATATTTCCTTCTCTGAGCTTCCTCATTCCTTCTCGTACACCAGACAGCGTCATTGGGAAGCGCTCAACGATGGCGCGAATGTTATTGCGCGCCGCGAAATCGAGCATTCGGTTATAGATTGCACGGTTTGCGATTGCTGTGCCCTGGATCGAGATGCCACGGACAATTAGAAGCATTATTGGCACTGGGAGGTCGTCGTCGGTAACTGTTGTTGGATAGATTTTCGCCTCCGGTTTCAAAACAGAAAGATAACTGTGTTGTTTTGTCAGGCACGGAAAGAAAGAGACTGTCGGAACTCACGGTCGCAGATTCAGAGTCAAACTAGTGGTGATAATGAGATGGTCGACCGGCTCTACACCCTCGAATTTCTCCACTCCGCGGGTCACCACGAACTCGGTTGCTCCCAGTTCCATAGCCTCGGCCTTCTTCGCATTCGTCCCGGAAAACACAACTGTAGCACAACCCATCTTGGCGAGGAATTGGATGGCCAAATGCCCAAGTCCACCCATGCCGATGACTCCCACTCGATCTGTAGGCCTGACATTATAGGCTTCAATGATACCGAAGACTGTCGCGCCAGCACACATCAGCGGGGCCGCAGTTTCTGGCTCAAGTAGTGAGGGAATCTTGAATAGAAAATCTTCTTCCCAGATAGCGTGTGTTCCGTAAGACCCTTGATGAAAGTTATGGCTCCCGTATTCCTCTTTATTGATGCAGTACTGGTCTCGGCCTATTTGCAGGCCAAGTTAGAACTTCTGCGATTATGGATACCGTCTGTTACCTACCTCGGAGGCATGAATCGCATCGACCACACGTTTTATGCGTATATCTGCGAAGCTTTTAATTGGAACTTGAAAGAATCGTTTGAACTCACCCCCACCCGACGATATCTCCAACTTTGACCTTTGAGACCGCATCACCAATCTTCTGGACGATTCCTATACCCTCGTGTCCAAGCCCCATGTCCTTATGGATACTGAGATTGTTTGAACCAAGCAGAATGAGATATTGTCTCGAGGCTCACTAATGTTCATCTAGCAAAGTTAGTCTCATAGCTTGACGTGGAGGCAGCAAACATACCTGTACCACAAATTCCGGAGTGTGTTATCTTCAGTAACACCTCTGTTGATTTTGGGGCATCGCGTCTGGTCCTAGCTTCGACAATGGTGCCATCCTCAGAGCCTTTGTAAACAGTATATTCGACACTCATATCGCGCGGTCGAAGTTCACGTTGGGAAAGTCGGGAGCTGCCAGTGGAAGAAAGTGTTCACTCAAGATAGCCCCTGTGAAGCGTGTTTTATGTAAATTAGCCAGCTTGCGTAAAGTTGCTATATTTGTTTGTCGGAAGACCTTGTCAATGAGAAGCAGATAGATAAGCCGCCCACAGCGTTATAAAGCGGATTTAGGTTCAGCTTGGTAATGTGTTCCGTTTTTTTGAGGGCTGACACAGATACAGCCTCCGACTGGCGTTCAAGTAAAGAACGAACGGGCTGATTCGGAGAGAGTCACGGCGATGTGATGCCGAGCTCTCGCTCTAAAGACGAACATGGCAAAATGTGAACGCTTGCTATTGGACACATGAGCTCCGGTAGTGTTCGTGTCCCTATAATAGGTGGAGGGGACAATAACTATAACTTACTGTCAATCTCTGCCAATGGTTTATGTTTGACTTCGTCTGAGTCTTTTGCTTGCGATGATCACATAAGGGTAGCCCTTATAGCCCTAGAACAATGGGAGCAGTTAGAGATTGACACATTTGACACTCAATCTGTGTGCCAGGTAACGAAGGAGAAGAGGTAAACAAAAACGATTCAGAATGTTCACGTGAAAATTGTCACTCTATGTCACGCATCGCTCTTCGCCATCACCCTCATGGACAACACCTCTGCGCTGCGTTCACGCTATCGAGCCATAGTCCCACCACCATCACGCATACGATATCCTCCCCAACAATCGAATCATTATTCCTTTCGTCAAGTATTCGGTATCCTTAAACTTGTTCTGCTGCTGGTCATTATTTCGCTCGCTATTCTGTCCAGTCAACTCCCTCAAGAAAAGTCCATCGCAACTTCTGTTCCAAGTCGCTCAGCTCTTGCTCGCGTTCTTCGACTTCCAATACGCAGCTCTCAGCCTCGCAAGATGCCGCTTGTAGACCGCTCGATTTTGCAACGATTGGCGGAGATAGAGACAGAGACAGACCCCGATGAACGCCCATACTTCTCTCCCGAGAAAAGTCTCAGACGAATGCCACTCGTCACCCATATTCCGGAACTCAGTCACAAGAAAGAAATCCCTCCTACGCGGTTTGATTGTGGCCGACTGCCTTGTCGCTTCCTGCTCCCCCTGCGCATAAGCGAGCAAGAGTCCAATTCAAGGCTACATCTTCCCCAACTTTTTCGTATTGCAAAAGAGCTCAACCGTACCTTGGTTTTACCCAACGTCGCCAAAGCCCGTATTGGAGTCTGCTTCAAATGGGCATTCGAGACCTACTTCGGTATCGACAACTACCATCAAACTTTTATAAGTGGTCGCCCATCATTTGTCAAGCTGGAAGTCTTTCAACACTGGATCCAGAGTCAAGACAATAATATGCTCACCGGACGCTCAGTAGTATTGTCCTCCAAACCCCTTGAAAACACTCCCACCAACGCTGACAGCGTGCAAATCCGCATTGACAACAACCCACAACTTGACCTTCCGAAATGTTTTTCCTCGAAATTTGAAACGATCCACGTTCACGACTTTCCGTCATTACTCATCCATCCTCTCATTACCGAAGACTCCGGTCCGGCAATCATTGAAGCACTGTCTTCTCCGGAAAGTGTACATGAAGATGACGATGACGGTCAACCAGCAGTGCTGCTCCTCACATACGACCTTAGATATCCCATCTTCAACTCCCTTGCACCTCCGCAATATTCTTCCACCTTACAAACCCTGGCTACTCGCCTTTCTCCTATTTCGCCATATATCGCTGTTCACTGGCGTACAGAATCAATGGTGTCGGACTTGCTTCCTCGCTGTGCCGAAGAATTGGTCAACTTGCTCATGCAGTTGCTGGGGGAGTATCCAACTTTGAAAAGTGTTTGGTTTGCACACGATGCGGAGAGCAACTGGGACGGGTTTCAGCTGGAAGCACTGGCACTGTTTCGAGGCGCGTTTGCCGAGGGAGAAAGACTCTCCGCAATGGAACTAGAAGAGTTCAACGAAACAGGTCTGGCTAACGCTGGTGGTATCGGTTTGGAGCTTGGTTTGGAAAGTGGAATGTTTCATGACACAGGCGTTCACGGCATTTTGGACAAACTCATCGCAAGCAAAGCGACTGTATTCGTTGCTGGCGGCATGGGTTGTGCAAGAAAGAGGTGTGTCTATATAGTTTCTTCCGCTGATGATGGGTTCGACTGATTATGCTGTCCAGCTCAATTACTCAGCAAATCATAGACATGCGGCGTGAAACGGGGCGGGTGAACATCGTAGAATATTTTGGCCTCTAGGTTGACTTTGATATCCTATAAAATATTTCTGAAAAGCGGTGGGAGGACAGGAAACTTACAGAGGTTTCAGCAAGATGGCTGATGCCGGTGTGTCTAAGACATATGGAACAGCGGTCATAAATTTTTGAGACTGGTAACAACAGGGGACTACATAAGCTCGTTTCAAGAGTTCTCCTTTGCGCTTGAGACTTCCCGACAGCCACCATGCAGGACAGGTCAGTTCACCGACACTATATCCTGATCTCATTCCTCTTATCTACCTACCCATAGGCCTGAATCGCATCATCAGCTGCAGCCCAACATTCCAACGACATTAACTTGTCCTACGATTGTCCATGCATCTATCATTACGCAGGTCCCTGCTGAACTACTTCTAGAAGTGTTTGAGCATCTCCTCTGTGACCTCGAGCCGCAACCCGCCAACTCCCCATATGCCCACACGCTTTCGTGCATCTCCGCCGTCTGCAAATCGTGGCGCACCCTGGCAGGCATCTTCCCCCGTCGTTTATCCAATTTGTCTTTCCAACCCGCACTAGGCGGGTTCAAAGGGAATTCAACCCTCATCCCCAAACTCGTCCACCAACTTACTTCCAGCCAAGCCGCACCGATCTTGTTCAAACTCGATTTGCGTGGTGTCGATAGGACGTGCGCCCGCCCGTTGTTGGGCATATTGATGCTCTTCTATTGGAGGTGGCGGGAGGCCCACCTCGTTATGGACCGTGGGCATTTTAAAGACCTCTTAGCGGCCTGCAACCCCCCGCTTGAGTTCCCGACGCTAAAAACGCTCATACTTGAGCTCGCGGGACAGCCGTTCCTCCACAACATCGACGTCTTCTTCCGTGCAATACCGCTCCTTGAGACATTGATGTTATATGTTGACTACCAGCCGATTCCGTCAAGCGTCGACTTCATCTGGAGTCGTTTACGGAGTTGCACACTGGTAGCCGCAAGGACGGATGATGTTTTGCGCATCCTCCCAGCCCTGGGGAATGTGACGATGCTCGGCCTGAGCCGCTGTAGCGGGAGGAGTGACCAGAACAAAATTCACCACATCCCGCAATTGTCCACGTTGACCATCAAAGAATGCGATAAAAGCTGCGTTGAATCGATTTTCGGCAGCATCATTGCGCCGCGTTTGACGAGCTTGTGCATTTTGGAAGGCATCGACACCCAACCAACACCGATACCAGAGCTGCAGTCGTTTTTGGAACGATCGTCTTGCTCCCTCACAAGCCTGCGCCTCTGTTTCCGCGCGCTCGCCCCCTCCGACCTCCAGCTGAGCCTGATTGCCGCTCCGGCGGTACAATCGGTAGTGGATCTCGAACTTTCGTTCAGCCAGATGACGACAGCGCTGATATTCGTGAATACGTTGGCAACGAGCGACATTCTGCCCCGCTTGAGCACGCTCACATTACGAGCGTGCTATTATGCCAATGTCAACGAGCTGCGGGTAATGTATCAACGCAGGAAGCGCACGATGCGGACGCTATGGCTCGAAGCGCCACTGATGCTGGCGCCCAACGCGCTGATGGAATTGAACTGGGCAGGGCTGGAAGTGCGTCCTGTAAAAGACTGGCGTCCAAGTTGGATATTTTAGTTTTTAAAATGCATATACTGTCAGTTGATTAACCTGGACGAATGAGCAGTGCTATTTTTGCAAGTCAACACGTACAGTTTCGTTGACGCCTATAATGCGGTCTTGGTCAATGAGGAAGAGAATGTGTCGCTGATCGAGGTCGCGAACGATTCGCCGATAGGGCAAGCAAGTTGTAACGTCCTCTTGAAAGACGGTGTCGTATTGGGAAATCGTACTCGGATTGAGATGGAGTTGCGTGTTGATGTTCTGGTCTTGTGGTTGAAGGCGGCCAGGAAAGAAGCCGAAGTCTAATACTTCGATGCGATATGGGTAGGCAGCATCAACAGGCGACACGACCCGCTCGCCGTGCACATAACGAAGCCAGAAGACGTGTCTTCCGCGTAATAAGCGGGTGTTGTATGGGCCCCAGTCTTCCCAAGGGACAGTCGACGGAGGTTTTTCGTCCCTTGCCCGAATGCTCTGCTCGAAATACGCATGCGGGACGAAGAGGGAATATGATTCAGAATGGTCATAGGCGAGAGAAATGACGCAAATGCGGCGCTCGTTCGATTTGATAAATTGTGCGCCGGGAATGGGGCCAGCGCAAAATGGCCCACTGTGAACGATGATGCGCTCGAGAATGCGGTTTGGATGCGGAGAAGGGAGCTGGAATGAGGCGACATGGTCTGGATCGGAGTAATGTCGCTTCCCATCAAAGGCATACAGATGTAGTTCGCCCTTTCCCTTTGGCATTCCCGGGAGGTAAGACGCCTCGTTAACCGAGGCCAGAATATACGACCGTGGGGAGAGTAAGGCAAAATCGGAGATAGAATGTGGTAGCTGCGGGCCTGCAAGGTCTAATAACGGGATTCCGGACCGCCAGTTGAACAGCACGAGACGAAGGGAACCTTCGGACACTTGCGACGTGCGAAAAAGCAGCCCAATGACATCGTCGGCAACCTGGAGAAATATCCGCCGGAAAGCGTCGTCCCGGAGGTCGAATGACAGAGTGGGAAGGGCAGCAAGTGGGTGAGGCTCGAGAGTGGACAGGGAGCGAATGTCAAAGTTGCCCGTCTCGCTCCAGAATTCTTGCTTATACAGAAACACCACCAAATCCTGTGTGGGGTCCATGGCGAAGTCTAGCGAAGATACGCCGACGCTTTCCCGGGCGGTTATTTCGGCTCGATGGTCGACGGAAGGGAGGCGGATGGTAGAAAAGTCGGAACGCGGCCAGGTGTTGTGTTGGGCAAATACGCCACCGACAAGCTCGTAGGCGCGCGGATGTTCGCTGATTGGGAAAGTCGTTCGAGCTGACCAATCGAGCGTTGACCAAGCCTGACGCCAGGCAAGGAGTCGTTGCAGCTTTTCATGGGGGGAACGACCGAGAGAGTATCCCGCCTCAAGGCCATCAGCCCACAATTCTACTACATAGAGCAGCTCGGTGGAGGATTCTATCATCGAATGCCATTCACGACAAACCTGACGAATGTAAACTTGGAGAAAGAGACCACAAAGGATGACACACTGCAGAGCACCGTAAAATCGACTGGCCATCCAGGAACGCGAAGATGACCGGAAGCAGATCCACGGGTAGGCTGGACAGCGCACAAGCCATCGCGATTGGCGTTTGGTCGGGGCTAATCTAGTGAGCTTAAGAGACAAGGACGACACATCGATGCCGGCAGAAAGTGGCAAAAGTAGAAGCCAACCTTGGACTTGCAATTGTTCTTCTCACGCAAAAATTGTCCTCAACTTCCAGTCTTCCACATACCTCGGCTCAGCTGTATGGCGAAAATATCCAACCAGAGCCTGCTTATCTTCTGCCATGGTGACGTCGGTCGCCCTTATCGCGACATCTAGGGACACACACCTTTTTCCATGCAATAATTTGAAGAATTTTCGGGTGGAAATCTCCTTTGAATTGTCCTCCAAGCTGCGGGGATCATATTATGGGACCCCCTAACCTGAATTTCCATCTCGCTCTTAGCTTGGACAATGGCGACGCCTGGACCAGCACCACCACGAACCTTGCGCGGTCTTGCTCCCCATTTCTTCCCCACCTCCCGCACTCCAACACGCTCCCGCCGTCCCCCTATGGTCGTGAAAATAGACAGCGTAGAAGAAGACAAGACTGCACATTTTCGATCTGAGACATTGACGCCAGATGGGCTCAGGGCGGCGGCGCAAGACCACCTCAAAACTCGTATGTGCTCTCTAGCTTTTGCAGCCAGTTCTGACCAGAAACCCAGAACGCCGAGCCCTATTCACACAAACCGAAACACTTGCGCAAAAGCACCGCCAGCTGACTGCTTTCCAGCATCGAATCGCTGCTGCCGAACGCCGTGTAAACGCTCTTCGGCGACAAATCGCTGTTTTGGAGGCGAAAAGGAGAGACCAAGGTCTGCGTCTGGCTTTATTTCTATATCAGCTCATCGCGTCAGCAGGCAGTTGGGCATTCCGCACCGTTAGGTGGGTATATACGAGTCTTTGGGATGCCTTTGTCTTCATCTGTGCATGGTTATTCTTCGTATGGATACTCTCCCCGGACTCGTTCAAATTACTAATTTGTTCCCCAGACTTGCCGCTTATGGGGCCTCTAATGACGCTTTACCTTCCCCGTATATAGATTTGCTCCGTTCTATTGCTCAGAAAGCACGATATAGGTTAGAAGATTCCTTGTTCCTGCTTCAGTTTCTTTTCGAATTCCCATAAGCTGTTGGTTGTAATCATTACCATTGCTTGGATTTAAAGGGCTCGAAAATATAGTGGAACACTAAGTCCTCCTCTTTGCAATGAAAGGTTATCGTGTTGATTGGTCTATCGACACAAAGGTGGTAAAGACGACGAGACAGGATCCCAAACATGACTACAGGCGAAATTCGAAGGTGCGTAGAGAGACAGGATAAGACGAGCAGAGCTAGTGATACAGTAGGGTGTGCAAGGCATGGAAACAGTGGGTGGGTATGCGAGAGTCGAGAATAAGGTATACGAAGTCGACCAATTAGATTAAGTGGTTTCATCTGGGAGCTTTTATCAGTAAACGGGGACATGACTGGGAGTAAAAGGAACGCACTATGAATAATGTACATCGGGGCGGGGGTTCGTTATTTCCGGCATCGCTTCTTGTGTCTGTTGAGGACGCCTTGGGTCGTGAAAGACATACCACACTGACATTTGTGTGGGCGGTGCTTGTTGTGCGAGTTGATGTGGTTAACGAGGTTGTGGCGGGCGGTAAATGTTGAGCCACAACCCGGGAGGGGGCATGCAAAGGTAGCAGCGTTGATGCGACGAGCAGAGCTCGCCTGGCGGATCTTGTTGGACGCGACTTCGGCTTTGAACGGCGAGGTTACGGGTTGCGCCACACGGAAGTCGTTGCGACCAGCTCCTGGCGCGTCAGGGAATAGGAAAGGCGTCGAGTCGGACGACGACTCGGCTTTGAAGACTCCCAAACCACCAATGCTATGTTGCTGCTGGATAGCCCTATTTCTGCGGCTTCTAACAGATGGCGCGCTGATAGCCCTGCTCAACGGCACAGTTGTGGCAGGGAACCCCTCCCGCGGCCCACGAATGGCGGTGAATGTACTCCGCCGACCCATGGGCTCGACATCAGTGTCGTATTCTGCGTCTTCAAACGCAGGCGATGGGGAGTAATAGCCGAAATCGCTGTGAGGAGACACATCCCGCGAACTCGACTGAGAATGGTTGCTCGCACTGCGCGAGTTGGGGATACTCAGCGTGGTACGATGCTGACCCCGACCCCGTCCTTGCTCCAGCTCTGGCGGCATTAAAGAGTTGATATCCGAGTGGCTGACAGTGCGACGGGCCACAGTAGCACCCCTGCGACGAAGGCCGCTCGTCGCTGATGGGACCGTGAGCAATGACGGACTGACTGGTGAAGACAAGTCTTGTGTGTCGGCAGACGGCCCATCCCGGTTGGGGTATCTCCAACCAGCAACCAAACCCCCAAGCGGGGAGTCGGCAGGCGCGGAGGCAACATCAGCCTCTGAAACCGCGCCCCAAGAGAGGTTAGTTCCCAGAGAGTCCGTGAAGGAGAGATCTAGATTGGCCACGGAGATTTGGACCTCAGGACTCGGGGTAGGGGAGAAGAATTGGGCCTCTGTAGCGCCGCTAAATGACGACGAGCGACCTCGACCGACGCCACTGTCCGCCCATAGTTCGGTTGATGAACCAGAATGACTGGAGCTTCGCAGCCGGGAAAAGGCGGGCGGACCGTTCAGAACGGAGTGCTCGGCGGTAGAATAGCCTTCGTCCAGGGCGAAACCGTCAAAAGCAGACGTCAGGGGCGACAGTGATGAAGGGGAGTGGGCGGGGGAGGAGTGGCTGGAGAGAGGCTGCTGCCAACTGTATTCGTCGTCGGGGAAAACTAAGAAAGACATGTACGCGTCAAAGTACTGCGCACAAGACCCAGGTTAAATACCGACCTTCCCCAGAGAAACTGGAAGCTGGACTCCAAACACCGACTGGTGAGCTGCGACCAGAAGTAGAAGGGCTATAACCAAACTTGTTGTCCGCCTGAAGGAAGTCTTCAAATTCCGTTGAGATCGAGAGAGTGTCCGGTTGTTGGATGAAAAGGCTAGGCGGTTGTGGGTAGCATTCAGAAGGATCTTTAAGGCCAACAGCAGTCAGAAAGGGTGTAGAATAACAGCAATGAAACGCGTCGTACCGGCTGCAGCACAGTAGTTGTCGAACATGCTGAGAGACTCGCTGTAGAGCACATAAGAAATGACGCGCATTTCGCGTAAACACACTCACAGGAGAGCCTGCTCTGAGCTTGGTGGAGGCTCGATCAGGATGGAGGGTGTGTAGTCTTCAGTCATGTTGGGGGTGTCGTGTCGGCTTATACACCTCACAGTCTCTTTTAAGGAGCTGTGTGGACTGCCCCGGAAACCGCATGCTGGCGAAAAGGCAGTGTCTTCGAGAAATCCAGCCTTCCTAATTTGGAAGGGCAGTGCTTGTGTCTGGTGATGGCGTTTGATGGGATTCCAGGAAAGCTGTTGAGCGACACCCGACGTTAACGTTTAACCCAACAAACGGCCGAACCGTCACTGGAAGGCAATGTGCAACCTGAATAACAAGCGGTGGTATCCTTAGTGGGATATTAGGCACACCCTTCGTATTCCTATGTAACAACTTGAATAACATCTCAAGTCCCACAGAAAACTAAACAGCTGAGCGGTGCTTGAGCCGCGGGAAGTCAGATACAAGCAATAGACGCTGGCGACTTCGGTGCCGCCTCTCGAGCACTTGATCAAGCCGATGGCCAATGGCAAAAGGCGTCCATGTCGTTTTAGACGCTCAGTAGACAAGGGCGCCGTTGGAGGCGCTGCTTCCATTATATCAAGTTACGCGAGCCAGCCCATGGTGAGCATCTCGAAGACGGATCCATGGCCATGGGATTCCTTACCTGTTGGTAAAACGTTTCGCCTTCAATTGAACTTCTGCTCATCATACTTGTGCATTGTAACTTCACCTTGAAGGTTCGTTCGTTTCTTCGTGTATGATCTGCACAGGTTTCGGGGTAATATGCATCTTGACAGGCAAGCCACATTGCCGACGGTGCCTTTACTTCGGCCTGAGAGATGGCACGAAACCCGCGGAACCAGAGTGGCTGGCGCATTGCCTCGATAACGCGGACCGATCATCCGCTATCTGTCCGGCAACAATCAAAGAGCTCCGGCAGACAGAATGTCGTCGGAAGATCGACAGCCAAAGTGGAAAGGTACTTTACTTACTGACATGGGGAATCGAAATCAACTCAGACTGGAGAGTAGTTTTCTGAGTTGTGACTTGTAAGGCAAGGGTTCAGCCTCAAAAGCAACGTGTAAAAGCTGAAGAATCCGCCACATTGCTTCTGCGTTGAGAATGAAACGAAGACAGGCTGGGTACACGTGTAATACAAAAGCGGGAGAAGGAGGTCGTCTGACGTGGGCGTGGGCAGTGAGCATAGGTATGCTTATATTCTTGGGCTTGCAGATTAACGGCGATAGGCAAAACCTATAGAAGATGGCTAGGCTGAGAGGCCGGCTTGCATCCGCGTTCCCGGAGAGAACAGCCCGAATGGCGGTGTCGAGTTTATAGAGTGGCTCGCAAAGAGAGAGCGGGAAAGGAGGATTCTCCGTCAAATATTGATGCCGTCGTCCGAAACTTCGGGCGGGAAATTTTCAATAGGAGGAGGAAAGCCAGCTAGCCGCCGAGCAATAAACTGCGGTGCTTGGCCGACAGGTTCGACATGGATGGACAGTTGCGCAAGAGCGTTGGTTTTGCTGTAGTTAAGAAGGTAGCGACGGTTAATGATGCCCTTCGCCGGCCCCGACTGGGGGTTACTGTCCGTGTATTCGGCCAGGTCGAGGTCAAGGGCTCCAAGTACAGGGTCCCGATTAGCACCGTTTAGCACCCGCTGTAGAATGCTGAGCTTAAACGGGTGTTGAACCAGCTCGTGCGAGTTACGGTCGATTGACATCTGAACATACGCCCACAACTGGTGGTCCCACGCTGCAGAGTAATCGTGAAGGGGCCTCCAAAGCGTTTGGCCGCGAGGAGATGCCGGTTCTTCATCGTTGAATTCAGTGATTTTCCGTGTGTTTTTGAACTTCCAGCGCGCAGCGAGCTCGCCGTCTTCATATGGTACATTCGAAACTTGATGAATGTGGATCCGCACACGGAAAAGAGCGCGGCGCGGGAGAAGCTGGCGTAATTGAGCAGCCAGACCCGTACTAGTGGGTCGAATATACTCGGTCAATGGAAGACCAGAGGAATGAACAGGACCGGAAAACTCGGAGTCGATCACTGGGTCCAGGCTGTCTGATTCGGCGTCGGTGTGAGTCTCTTGTTCAGCTTGTCTGAGTAGCAGCAGTAAGACTCAATTCTTGTTGATAGAAAGATAACGTACTCCGTCGTTACACCTAATAGCTCCACAATGACTTCCACCTCTTTCATACGAAACGGGAAATGTCGTTCATAGATGTCGTCAAGGACGAGTTGTCTGGACACAGGAAGCCTTGTGGCCCACTCCAATCTGTGATTCATTTAGATCGGAAATCGCAGAGACATGACCGCTTACTGGCGAATAGCGGTCACAACCTCCACAAGGTTTCGATACCAAAGTTGATTTGCGACTGACGATGGTATTGAAAATACGTGTGTGCGCAAGCCTCGCAGAATCGAGCCACAATACAAGTCAACACCCTCTTCGTCCAAACACAGAGGTACAAATGAAGTCGCCGTTTCCGCAGCTTCCGCATCATTGTCAGAGCCAAGATCCTGAAGCAAGAAAATCGCGCGTCGAAGGAGTTTATCGGCGATACCCGAGTAGATGTGGCCCTCTCCTTCCACCTCCGACTGCAGATACTGCCAGAATCCCTTCAGTCGGAGTATGCTGGCAAGGTAGCGTATCGATAAATGGCTGTCGAATGGAATTTGGGCACTGGGTAGCTTCAGTGCAAATCCCATTGGCCAGAGTACAAGATAACGCACTCATATTCCGACGCATTGAGCACATGCTCGATGACACTTAGACCAGATGAAACGTCTACTGCAGAGGAAAGAGCCGAGAGCGCTTGTCGTCCAATTAGCGCGGAAATCGACCGTTCTGTGACGCAATAGGCGGCAAATTCGCACATGAAATGCCACCGAGCGTCGCAAGCAGTGTCTTCCGGACGATCCCACAGCCTGAATAGACCATTTGCCGTTGAAACTACATTATCGTTTTGCGAAAAGATTGTGTTGAGCCCAGGAAATCGAGTTGAGAGGGCTATAATCTTCTTGAAGGCCGTGAGTTGGGTCTGTGGCGTCTCGGAGCTGAACTTTGAGTGGTTAACGTCGATGCACAAGGCATTGGGCAACTCACCGGAACGCGAAATTCACAAGCCGTTGACAACCTCTCACAATATCTGCTGGAATCTGTCGTCGCTGTTGCAGATCATGTACCGAAACTCCCTTCTCTTGTTTCCCATCGAAAAAGTTGTCAATGGGCTCCGCCACAGCTGCGGGGCCATAACCACGCCCCAGAGCGGTCATATTCACGAAACGTGCGATGCTTGTCCCGGCGGCGGAGTATAGTCGCCCAAGCGTCTTCCCAGGCATCCCAGCCTCCTCATGTCGAATTATCAATCGCGATTCGACCCCCGGTTGGGATGCTGAACGAAGGGAAACAAGTTGGAGCTTATCCATGCCTGATGCAAAAAACTGGCGGAGGTGGAAGCATTGATTAGCTCAAGAGCAGCTATCAGGTACGACCACGTTCAGCATGTTCGCAATGAGAGCAGATCGACATCGTGCATGTTTTCTGCATGTTGGGGAAATGTCACGTGCACAGACTGATGAAGCCCTTCCACTCAGCTTCCACTCGATTGTATTACTAAAAGTACAAAATGAGGCTGGGGAATATGTAGGTATAATTTTTGTCCTTAAGTGGATAACAAGAGTCTATGGGCAGCAGGCAGTATAATGCGTACAAGTACATCATAACAATCATACCCAAGGGCTTGTTAGCATTGAAGTCCCAACTTGAAGCCTAGCAGCTACTCCCTGTAGGCACGAGATGAGACGGGCTTGAGAGAGGTAACAAGCACTTCGGGGTTCATAATCATAGAACGGTCGTAGGGGATATATAATCGGCGGCATCGAAAAAAAACTGGCCGTGGGTTGCGCGCCATTAAGAAGATAACGTGATCATGAATTTGCAAGGCGAGGCGTCCGTTAAGGACCGAGAGCATGACGAACGCAGGGTCGAAAGCAATGGAAAGCGAACCAAGGCGAGCACCAATATAATGGGGTGGAACAAGCAAAGAAAACCTGAAAACTGCCGTGTTACAAGCAAAATTTGGCACTTTTGACAGAAATATCACCTCCTGATGGTTAATCCAGTGTAAGTCGAAAGCGAAGTATGACTGTGAGATGGGGCGGGTGATTAGGCGGGTCCGGGAGTTCTCTAAGAAAGAATAACTAGTCAGGGTCGTGTAAGCCTACGCCACAACCGATTGTCTTACCGTGGCAGGGCATTTGGGGTCATGTCGGTCCCGAGTTTGAGCCGTACCAAAACCGCGTCCACACTTGTCGCATAAGTAGTCCTTCTGGCGGTAATGCGCCTTGGTATGAACTTCGGGGAAATGTCAGCAGGCACAAGAGTTGACAAAAGACCACATACTCTTCAGGTTATGCAACTGAGTGAAGTCCGCGCCACATTCGGGAATATCGCAGAAAAACGGGCCGACTTTGTCCGGGTCCTTACGGCGGCCACGCGCGACAAATCGACCAGCCTCCGATCCAACGGAATGCTTGAGTCCATCCATTGTCCGTATTTTGGCCGGCGTGGAGTTCATCCATGTGATCTTGTCATAGGTCTGCTTTGGGACCGACTGGTTAAATGAGGTCGAGGCCGGGGATGAAGGGTAAGGAGCTTTTGCCCGGGATTGCCTGGGAGTTCTTTGAACAAGATGGTTGCCTTTCCGATTCACTTGTTGAGAAGACGAGCCGCTCGCTTCATGGATAGCCTTGGAAAACGAGTTAGAGCCGCTATGAGTGTGTTCATCTTTGCGAGCAGAAGGCGCAACTGTTGATCGAACAGACCATTCATTGGGAAATGACTCCAATGCCTCCGTTAACATAAGGGGATCAATCGTCAAGTTAGGACTTGTTAACACGTTGACTTGATTGGGGATGGAGGCCAAAGAAAACAAGAAATCATCGACATCATTAAACCCGGGAATGGGGGGAATGGGGTCGTCGATCGTTGGGGGGGGGGTCTCCTGGATTGACCGAGGGAAACTGCAAGAAGCTAAGATTGTCGGACTGCGAGATGAATTCGTCGTTGAAGGGGAAACGGGCAAAGAAGACATGTTGATGAGCGCGGGGCGGTGCTGCCTTGGCTTCAACATGCGGCGAGTACAGAGTTGAAATTGACGGGGAAGACTGGTTTGCAAAGCCATGGCTTGACTCCGTTTGCACATGAGGAGTATGATTCTCCTCCGTAAGTTGCGTTATGGGTACAGCAATAGAATGGTCGGAAACAGGCAATACCAGTGGAATGCTTGTTGAACTCGAATGTGGCGATGGAGATAGGTCAAGATACTGAGGCCAGCTTGAGAAGGGAGAGTACCCAGGAAAAGGCGAAGACGGAAAGAAGGGAAGACCATCTCCGTTGTTGTGCTCAGCGGCAAGTATCGTGTTTGAAAAGGGATGCAAGCCATCCGAGTCGTTATCTTCTTGGAAGCGAGGGTGGGGAGAGTAGGGAGAGTAGGGTATGTTGATGTTAGGCGTGGTGCTGACCACACGATTGGCCCACGTCTGCAAGCCATCAGTATGCTCCTCCCGAGACGGGGAGGGGAAGCCTTTGAGGTTGAGTTCCGTAAGAGGCTCGAGCAAGGCAGTCGAGCCATCGGCAGTAACATCATTAATGGTGATTACTGGCGAAAGCCCATCGCCAAAGGCGGTGGGCTCATTGTGTGATGGACTGGGTCCACCATCATGCGACGGGCTGTAGGTGAGCTCGGGTAGGCGAGCATGTGTCAGGCCACGCGACCGCGAAGAGGTCGATGAGGGGGAGGAGAAGCTCGACCAGGCATTTCCAGGAGAGCGTGGCGAGTTATGCCACGACCCAGGAGTCAGATAGCGGCTGGAGGATACGGTAGGTGTCGCTGGGATTTGAAGGGTCAATTGATAAGGTGCTGTCATTTGTTTGCGGTGAGAGCGCCCGTCGGTGGAGTTGTCTATGGAGCCCTCGGGCATTGATTGCAATAGCGTCGCAGTGGATGACTTGGCATCCGAGCGAGATCTCCGACGACCGACGACATGGGGTGGTCCTGCGGGTTTGCGACTGAGGCTTACGGCTCGTAGGATAGGTTGGCCACGACCAACACCCAACCGGGAATCTCCATTTGTTGAAGAAGAGCTATGACAATCACAAATGAGTAAAATGGTTGAGAGCAAGTGTGAACAACGGACTACAAATCTTCTCCGTCGATGAGGGCCGTCCCATTATTGGAAGGGAACAAGGAGTCTGGAAGGTAATGCGGCGGCATCAGGGTATCGCGTGCCGGGTAGGGCGAGGGTAATTAAGAACAAAAAGGATGGAACGATGAAGGGAGCGGTAAGAAGAAAGAAGAGGTATTGGTAAGAGGAAGGGTGGTTGCCTTTAACCAGTAGCCTAAGTCATACCACAGCTTAGCCGAAAACGGAGAGTTGTAATAAGGCCCACACGCACCGTCGAACGACGCGGTCGGTTGCCGACAAAAGCGTCGTCGGCAACGCTCTCCTTGTTGCTTGGCGATGTAAGCGAACCGGGGTTGCGTGGTGAGGAAGGATAAGCGTCAGCCAGATCTAGCATTTGAGTCACATGTGTATTTAGATAGGATACGACTCATACGAGTCAGCAAGCTTACCGGTTGACCACCCCCACCTCGCCCGCAGTTGACGTCAGAAGCAGCGGGATCGCATCGTTCGCGGTGACATTGCCCGCTCTACACCGGCGTCCGCGGTTGGAGCGCAAAAGGGAAAGTAGTAGGGTCCAGCCGAAACAATGGACAATTCTCCACGCGACACTTGGCCTGCCGTGGCCAACCGATTCGTTGACAAAGGTAGGTTGTATTCTCCGACTGACACGCAGGATGTCGGACGGATAATCTGGAAGTCCATTAGAACGAATCCGACCCGACAAACACAGCTATCGGGCGGTGCGATTCCACGAAAGAACGAACCAGGAAAATTGGAAAATGGCCATGTTTTTCCCCCGACATCGATTGAAAGTGCATTATCCAGTCGCCCGAAACAGAAAACGCGGATTACAAGAGAGGAAGTGGTGTGTTGGTGGGAGCATGAAGTAGAGCGGGGTGTTTGGCACCTTAGATAGTATCTTTGCGTTTCATTGTCCCAACTGCCAAAGCAGTGTGCAGGAACAGCTCGTCAGAAAGTGTCTGTGGAGTGTTGACCAATGTATTGAGAATGCGCGATGCTGGGATTGCCGGGCGGCACCACCGTGATAAACGCGCGTCGAGAATTGGGATCAACGTCGAGGAAGGGTGTGACATGTCAGTACGTGACTCGGACACGCCACCGGCGCACTACCGGCGCTAAAAGAGACGCTGGTGGGGATAAAGGGTCTTCCTAGAAAACGACCAACGACTAGACCGTAACTGGTAGGTATGTATTTGCATCGCGTTCGGAAGACTTCAAGTCCGGTACTATCGATTTCCTCATCTAGCCCGGTAAGCCTGCAGGAGTTCGCTCTTAACTTGGCCGACTACAACACTACGGACTCCTTTGCCTTATTAATTCTTGTGCTTCTTTCCGTTGGCGTGCACTTCACCCGCTCAACAGAAAAACAAGGCCAATCGCACCTTAGGCCCGAGATCAAGCCTACATAGAATGATGCATGCATCTGCCAGTGTGTCCGATGTTTGTCTGTAATACGGTCTGTCTACAAGGGATCCTCTACCTGACAAGCCAATACCAAGCCACCAACCGCGAAATAATCTTAAAATTTCCCCAGTCGTCACGACGTTGCTTTCACGATAAGATCGACTAGTTGACGCGGTCACGTGAGTCGACATAGCGACGATGAGGACGCGACAATTGGATTCCACTGATAGTACATGGTCAACCCACATGATCCCTGAAGGAGTCAATCACAAAGGACAGAATGTACAACAACTTGTAACCACCAAGTACTAGTACCATTAAGTGAGAACAACTTGGTTGGGTCAAAATCGCAAGTTTCATCGACAAGTGTGTGGATGAGGCAAACCGGTGAGTGGAGCCACCATATAGTTCTGGAGATCAAACTTGTATGGATTCCCGGTGCATCCTAGTTCGTGGGCCTCCCGTGTTTCCACACTCTCCATAACCTCCTCACAGATGTCGCACCACAGCCTATGTCGTGCTCTCTTCTCGGCATAGATCTCGTGATAGGGCAAGCACCGCAGATGACCATTTTCCAGAGCATCCCTCCACGAAGCGCGACAGCTTTTCTCGTGCCGTCGCCGCGAATCCTCGCGCGAAAGAATTACGAGGCATCTCGAGCAGTACAGGCGTAGTGACTCCCCGTCTGTGAACACCTCCGAGCGACGCAGCAATTTGTGAACAGTGCGATGGTGACGGCGGACATCCGGTTGGCGAGTAAAAGTTGTGCGCCACTTGCGGATGCCATAGGCATATCGGTTGGGGGCTGATTTTGCTTTGTGTACTGATTTGACCGATGCCTTATCGCGTGCTGGGCTTGAACTTGAAGACTGTGACTTGAATGATGGATGAGGGCGACGCGGGTAAAGTGCTAACTCTGTTGTGTTGCAGATATCAACTTTCGGGAGTCCTATAGAAGCGCTGGCGCCGGTGTTAGGTCTCGAAGAATGTTTCGGTTTTGAGGGCCGGAGTCTCGATGTATGTGGTGGCGAGAGTAGGTGGAGATCCATGACCGGATTGGGAGTGGACTCGGATGTTGTCGAAGGACTACTGAAAATGGAATGCGAATCAGAGTCTGCAAAGCCTGAGTCAACATGATCGCCGAAAGCGCATAATGCGAAATCATCTTTGCCGCCGAATTGGCCCTGCAAAAACGTCGAATGACAGATATTGAAGGGAAGAGTAAATTTACGCACATCAACAAACGGTTCATTGACCCGGACATCTTGTTGGGTGGCAGTCTGCGAAGATGATGATTCGAACGGTGATGTAATTTGCAGCGAGCCAAACTTGAATGGTGGTTCAAGATACGACAAGCTCTCTGGCCCAAGGCTTTGTTGTAATAGATACTGAGATAAGTTTGGTTGGTGTGATACCAAGCTTCGAAGACACACCTCAGACACATCCAACTCGCTTGGCGCGATTGTACCAACATCACCTCCATAACAGGGTCGGCTTTGGATAAATAGTTCAGAATTTGTCTGTCCTGTAGCTGGAGAACCTAATACATCTGCCGCTACTTGGAGAATAGCGGCGAAGATGGCTTCGTCGACACTGTCAGAGCCCATGGGTAACCGACTGGTTTGCAAGGCATCATCATGGCTCCTGAGGGCATATTCATTCGAGTGAAGCTCAAACGGCTCATAAGAGGAAGCCGCGCTGAAGTCAAAGAATTCTCCCATCTCCGAGTCGACGTCCATGTCCATAGCTATGGGCGGGGACCTAGCCAAGTTATATGGAACTCGGAGGAAAGAACGACACAGACAGTAAAAGTGCGTCAACACACCTTTTATCCATTTCTTTTCTTAGACCACCATATTGCGAGTAGAGCTTGATGCTAGGGTAGAAATGCCGTTGGAGTCATGAGCACCAAAAGATACCTTGTGGCCATTGGGCCAACACCGGCCTTCCTTCACCTGTCTAGGTATTTGCCCGAGAAAAAGCGAGAAGCTGGCCGAATATGAGCTGGAGGGTCTGGGACTCTCTCAGGGAAGTGTGGTTCAGCATTTGCTGGGAGATAACGCCAGCATGATCGTAGGCGTCAGAGTTTGCAAGGCGATCAACTGTTCGGAGAATTCCAGACAGGACTCCTGTGGCCAGAGTAAGATGATATACTCGGGCTTCTGCCAACATGATCTTATGCTTTAGCGGCAGAATGGAAGAGAAATTGAAGTTTTACAATCACCGTTGACTGGAGCTCGAATTGAAAGGTAAGTTGCCGTGAAGCGTAAGCCAAACACGGGTGAACTTCGGAGAGTTGATTTTTCACTTGAATTTCGCTGGAAGAACAGCCGTCTCAAAGAGTATAAAGCTCAGAACTCTCCAGCATCCAGTCTGACAGCAGTCCAAGAACATGGATTGTTCAGTATACGAGTAGCAGACTGGTAAACATATCGTTGTTCACGACTGGGCGCTAAGTATAGTTTAGTGATGACCTGCTTCGCGTAGGACCCACAAACGTTGAACTTGTGGCACAGTTATGGAGTATTGATCTAGAGCGGAGAGATCCTTTGAACCCCGACTGGCAACGGCCTGAGCTATGCGTTGTCGACTCGTCAACTTGCTTAGTTTAAAACTTTCGAATTGCAGGCGATGGAGGACACTGTGGGTATGATAGTATTAAATCATAGCTGCCACCGACAATACGTACGTTGAGAACCGAGGGCGTTGTGGCGCCGGCGTATGAGTAGACGTATTGGCAATGGTCACTGAAAGTCTGAAGTTCCGTAACTTCCGTTGGCCTGGCTGAACTGCTAGCATCAGAGGCTTGGGGCTTTTTCTGAGTCAAGTTTGTTTTGAGACAGTTGACGGTCCCAAACACTTGGTTCAGGTTTCGAAGCAGTATATCGTGCTTGTAGCAGCATGGACTGAATCTTGACTGAATCTGAGACGAGAAGGTTGTCACGTTGTCATAGTCACATCATGACTCATTGGAATCATGGCCCGCTTTCTACGCAAACTCGTGGTGCTTTGGGATTTACCTACGACCCATACAACTCTCCTTCAGATTCTCAGAAAGCGCTTATCAGCAATGCGATAACCTCGACCAATGAGCAGCTTCAACTCAATGTTGAGCTTACCAGTGGGTAGAGCGCCCGACGTCCACACTTTCAGCCCAGAAGGTGACCGCCGAAAGAGACCTGGCGCTCTTGCAATCGATGCTCGCACCCATACGAATCCTTCCAGCTGAGCTCCTCGCAGAAGTTTTCCTTGTTGTCGTTGCAGACCAGAAAACCCATCTATAATGCGATTCGAGCAAATGGACCTTGGTTCGAGTGTGTTCAAGATGGCGGGCGGTGGCATCGTCATTAACGAAGCTCTGGCGAGTTATCAACATCCCGTCTGGATGGAATAGTAATATGCTGGACATGGTCTCCAGACATGTCCAGTGGTCCGGAGATTGTCCTTTGAATATTCGATACGGCTCTCACAGTTATCCAGCTCTCTGGACCGAAGCCTGCATGGATATTCTCCTCACTGCCGCGGCCCGCTGGGCTCGCGTAACCCTTTACACGAACGATCAAGAAGTATCCAAACTCGTCGAATCGTCTCATATCTTCCCTCGCCTGAAAGTGCTCGAAATGCACGACCTGCATAGTCTTTGTCAAGATCGCTGGGACCTCGTCTCTCGCTGCCCTGGTCTCTGTCAGTTACCCGTTTCATTAACCCTCACGGATCACCGAAGTCTGGCAATACCTTGGGCACAGCTCCATCGCTGCAACCTTAACGGCCGACCGAGTTCCATATTAAAAGCACTGAGCGACATGTCCAGTTTGATATAAGTGGACATACAATGCTTCGTTTCGGATTCGGAACCATGCAGACCGGAGGAAATCACTATATGTTGTCCCAACCTCGTTGGTTTAAGACTCATTGACAACGCGAAGCTTAAACTACTCCCATCAATTGTCGCGCCTTCTCTCAAACGACTCAAGTATAGCCCATATAGCAATACGCCAAGTCATTCCGAAATAGTCACAGGCATTCGAAACTTTCTCCAATCCTCCCATTGCGAGCTCAATGCCTTTTCTCTCACACACAGGGACATCACCCCTTCTCAGTTCATTGCGTTGTTGGAAATGATGCCTGCCCTTGAACACCTCTCCTTTCGCACATCACAGCCTGACGGCAGTGGCTTTCTTGACGCACTGAAGCCTCAATTAGTACCAAAACTCGCCTCTCTCAGCTTTTCAGCCAGGCTCGACTGCTCAGGTGAAGCTGTAATTGACATCCTTCGCAGCCGCAACTCAGCGACCGGGAAGGGAAACCTACTTATGCTTCGTTATGCTAACAACTACACGCATTACAGCCGTCGACTTATCTCGTGTTGTCGAGGTGATGCTTGCGGAAGGGCTCGAAGTTGACTTCACTTTGGTTTAGGGGGAATTTGGAAGTTTTTCTGCTCTGCGATAGATAATCAGATGTGTAGAAACATATAATCAATCAATGATTTCATGCTCGTAGTACCTCTGTCAAAAGTACCTTTTGAACTTGAAGGCTCTAGATGCGGCATGCTCCAAATGTAAGAGTGACTTCTGCTTGAATTTGAAAATAATAGACGGGAGTAAGTACACATGAGTACTTGTATTGGAGAATCTTGACCGTCGTGCTGGCAGGTCTCGCAATCAATACCACTGGGATAGATACAACGTTAACTAAATCCATTCCATGATGGTACTAGTAGGCACCGTACTCCTCAACAAGTCAAAAGCTGTTCATAAAATCCGCCAAACTCGCCGCCATTAGGGTCTCGTAGATAGACCTCCAAAATCCACTGGCGCACAAAGCCGTCCTTCCCTGGCTGGCGCATCTTGTTTTTATTGCCCTTCGCGATATAAAGCGACAGCTTATCCCGCGGAATGCGCTCGTGTGGGAAGTGCCCGACGAGATGGCCCGCGATCTCGCCCCACCAGTCGAAACCCGCCTTTTTGGTCTCCGCAACAGCGATGTCGTAGAGCTCTTCGCCAGTGATGTCGTCAGCACGAGCGTCATATTGCGCCTTCACAGTCTTCCACACCGGCTCGAGGCGGTCTCTGATTGCGATTTTTGCTGGGTCGCTCCCGAAGACATACGTTCTGCCGAAATCTGCCTCCCATTTGTCGTCCAGCTCGAAGACGGGGCCGAGATCAACGATGAGGATGTCGTCTGCTTGGATTATGCGATCGGGAGGGTTGTCGTCGAATGGGCGTAGAGTGTTGGGCCCGGAGCGCACAATGCGCTTGTGCCAGTGGGTGTGAACACCGTGAAGTTTTGCCCCAAGTTCATAGATTTCGGCGCTGAGTTGCGCCTCAGAGACATTGGGTCGGAGAATGGTCGCAGCAATTTCATCGAAGAACGCGAGGGCTTTTGACTCAGCTGATCGAAGAGCTTGAGCGCGGAGTGATTCAGCTTCTGCTGAGGGTACAGAGGCAGTGGCCATCTTGGAGGAACCAGGTCGACTGCGGTCTTATAAAGTAAGTGCCAGAACGCGTGGGAATAGTGACATCGTGATTTTCGGGGGTCACAACCCGAAAATCACGCAGGAGCAGCAGGTGGGCGCCCCCAAAAGAACTTGAATTCTTCACCGAAGCACACATGTCCTCCTCGACAATGTGGATCGTCACTATATTAGTTTGACAGGTGTGGTCATGTCGCTCATGCATCTCCACTTCTCAGTCAAACACTGAGAAATATGTGAACGCGTAAGTGTCGCATGCTGACCAGATGACGAAACTTCTCATAGGCCTGTATAGAAGAAATAAGTACTGGCTCCAGAAGTAGGCTACGCAGCAAACATCATCCACATCTCCACTCGCAAGGGCAGGCTACTTCGGGCCTGGGCTACAGGCTGGGCAACTACCGCGTCCTCCCAGAGGTGAGGGAACATGACTGCGGAGACGCTGACAGAAGAAGCGCTGTCTGTCGTCGTGCAAGTTGACTCCAATGCCGATGGACAAATCGTAGGAACGATCGGCCGAAACATTCTCGTCAACATCAGGACGGAAGGCCAAAATGTCGCTAGATACTCTCTAGGATATTGAATATGGGCCACACACCAACGAAGATATCGGCGCTGGGGCGGGCAACTTGTTGGAGAGCTGGAAGAAAGGCTTCTGTGGCGAGTCTCTCGCTGCAGCGCTGGTGGTCATAGGGGTGCCACGAAATAATGAGTTGTTCCAGCTTTGAACAGCGAGGAATGAGCTCCAGCAACGTCTGTGTGAACGGCCGGAAGATCACAGAGCTGCCTCCGATGCATAGCGACATGCTCTCGAGTGTGTTGCTGATTTCGACCAGGTGCTGAAGCAAGTTCAGACCAGTGGATGTGGTGTCAACGACGAGTGCAATATGTGTAAGAGAGCTATTGGGAAGCGAAAACAGCTCCTTGATATCGGGAACGGTCAACGACGACAGTTGTCTGCCCAGTGCCAGACTCTTCAGTTGTGGCTTTGACCGTCGAAAGAATGCGAGCAGGTCATGAGGCTGAGAAAAGGGGAGAGTGAAGAGGTGCAGCGCCAGAAGCGAAGGCAGGGTGACATGGTTGAGCAATATGGGATAGTATCCTTGTTGGAGAGTTCCGTGCATCGTTAGATGCGTCAACCGTTCATGAACGAGCGCATCCGTTGAGTAAGCTCCGTCGACCCAGCCATTGTCGAAGGAGCAAATGCGAAGCGCCGGCGTCGCGCGGAGGAGGGAAAGGCCAACACCAACTGGAATCCGGAAATCCACGACCGAACTGCCCCGTATTGCTAACCGCTCAAGGCTCTCGAAAGGCCCGACAGCAACAAGCGGCTCCAGGTCCCCAGGATCCTCGAAAGAAAGCTCGAGCGTCCTAAGCCGACTCGTGCGTGGCCTCAAAACGTTAAGCAACGGACCACGGAGGATGACCTGTGCAGTAAAATCGATGGGAAAGTTGGCGGCCCGGGATAGCCAAATGGATTCGGTAAGATGACTATTGCAGTAGCCCGCGACGCCAAGAGAGCTCCATAGAGCTGGTGTGGAGAGCGCCAATTCCATCCATGGGCGCGAAACACGGATGAGTGTTAGCGGGGCCTGAGTGTTTCGCGGAAACACGTATTCACACGCGGCGGGTTCGGAGGTGATGGTCATGGAGTGGGGGTGGCGCATGGGGAGCGAGCGGGTTACAAGGCATTTCACGAAAATAAGGGAGACAATCTCTGTTGGCAGGTGGGCGGCGGGATCTGGCATTTTCAAGGTCACGTGGAAGCCTACGCTTTCTCCTTAACCTTAACACCCAGGGAGGTTCCAACACTGAGTTTCCGACTCGAACCGAAGCCTGTGGCAATTGGGCTACGTGGGCTTCTCCAGCCGCAAAATTCTGCACGAAATCAGGTCGCTAACCCACTAACAGAAGCGGAGCTTACCGTGACAGTAGCCTGCGACTCATACCAGTCCTGGGTACTTATTGGCAGCCGAGCAATGAAGGCCCCAGCGTTATATACTCTCGGCTTTCCCGACTTTTCTTCGGCCCTACTACCTCTTCCCAACCGTCAAATTCAACTGCGGAGAGTCTTGCTGAATGATTTCTACACAGGCTATGACCGAATTTCAATGGGAGCAAAGCAAACGGAAACGATGTCCTACATGTAAACTGTTGCCTTTGGCATGCGCACAATTGCTGCCAAATTTCTACATGTGCGTTCCGAACCTCATGGAAACAATAAACACTGGTCAGCCAGCCCGACAACAACACTAGTACTAGTACTTTGGGCTGTCTATAAATCACGATATGGACTTCGGCTTCAATTCACATCCACAACGTCAACTGCGCTCATGATCAATTTCCACAGAGAATCTCTTCTGGTTTGAAGCGGTAACCGGCGCAAGGAACAAGACAAACAGGCTGTTCACATTCAAGTTGGCCCTCAAACAGGTTGTTCTGCCAGTGGTACGCTCTCAAAAACTGAGTCCGTTTGGGTCGCTCGATGAGCCTTCGGCACTAAGTAAGCAGTTATTTCCGTTGATTTCTACTAATCTAAAGATTTTCTTACTCGTCCACAAATATACTTAGATCCGCTCATTAGAACGAAACGAAGCAGCTATTCAGCGTCGGGGACTGGACAAACTCACAGCTTCCCGCAACTCCGTGCGAATTGGTTCTTTTTCTGGACTCGCATCTAACTATCATACCAAGGCAACCTGTCTGTACCGGAGGAGCCCCCTCGAATCAGGGTCTTGTAAAGGATGAATTGATTCTGTTCATGTGCCGAGATTTAAATTATTAAAGCTTGTTTTGAGGTAGCGTAAGCTTGCACCTAATCACTTGTCACGAATGTCAAGGTAGACCATAATTTGCCATGTGGCTCAAGTACCTGGGGCGCGCCACCAAACGTTTCATCCTCACACGTGACCGTGTTTTCGCAATGTGGACCCAGAGTTGATCACTGTTGATGATATTCAACTTGGATTTGTACTCCGATGGCTTCGCCGGGGCATCATGCTATAAATCGACCTCCTTGCACCATGGATAGCTGAAACCCTCCCCATGATGAGCGCTCAAGAGCCACAACAGCGAATCCCCCCAAGCTCTGACGATGGGGCTAACAGCCAGGAGTCAGCTGGTCCAGTTGCGGCAGTCTTGCGACCTCGTCTTCGGCGAGAACAAAGGGCATGCGATGGTTGTCGACGGAAACGGCGTATGCAGTTGCTCTTCTTCATAGGGCTCACTCACTGACCATTCCCAGGTGTTTGTACGTTACAGTGGCATTGGGTTTGCTTTCTATCTCAACAACCAACCATTACACAGGCGATGGAACACGGGTCAAGGGGTGCACTACATGTCAAGAAGCAGGAATCGAGTGCCGTTTTACAGGCGCCCCGCGAAAACATCCACAGTAAGTGTACGATTGCTCTGGTTGTCTGAACTCAGTTTTTTTAGATATATTGAAGGGCTAGAAACCCGATTGATGGCAAACGAGAAGGTCATCCGCGCCCAAGCGAGTGTGCCTGAGACGGTCGCTACCGATACCTCTCCTCATATCCTTCGCGGCATTGCAGCGTTGCTCGAGGTCGTCTCCACCCAAATACACTCTGCAAATGACAAACAGCCAACGGCTGTGGAGGATGACGACTTGTTCGACCGCTTACGGGTGCTGAGTCTGTGTACATATGGCAAACAATTTCAGAATGTGGCCAGTCGATGGGGTCTTGTGGCAACAGCTATCGAGCAGCGCGAGTTGTATGAGAGAAAGCAACTGCGATGGCGGAATCGCAGGACGAAATACTGGATAGAGCATCAGGTATGCCATTAGTCTCTCGGGTTTGACATTTTCTAATCGGAGGCTAGTTTCCACGATACCCTCTGTCCCGACCAGACATTCGTCCCCTCGTCTTTCCGCCCCACGACCTTCTCTTATCATTGTTTGACCTCTACTTCCGGCACGAAAACATCTATTATCCCGTTCTCCACCGACTATCTTTTACTCGCAACGTCATCGACGGTCTCCATCTCCGCGACCGTGACTTTGGCACAATTGTCCTTCTCGTTTGCGCCATTGGGGCCAAGTATTCTGCTGACCCCCGCGTATTGTACCGCAGGGATGGTACATACGACGAGCTCCATGTTGGCGAGCAGTATTTTGAACAAGTCTCGTTTACGATGGACTACTTGTTCAACGGTCCAACACTCGCACATATTCAATTCTGTGCTGTTTGTATTGTTTTGCCCAAAACTGCCCATCAACTAAATGCTCCGCAGCTGGCTTCGATGTACCTTCAATTCTCCGGACCATTTCAGTCCACACTGGTTGCTATGGGCATTAAGATTGCCCAGGACCGGGGCATCCACCGCTGGCGTATGATGTCAAACACTCCCCGAAGCAAGTCATTTGGCTCGCGACTACTGTCTATGCTCATAACATTGTCACAGCCATAGCAGAACAATGGAAGCGCGCATTTTGGTGTCTTTTCTGTATGGATCGGCAGGCGGCGTTCTCCTTTGGCCAGCCGCTAGCCATAGAAGGCTACGAGTGTGTTATTTTCTCCTTCAGACCCTCATCGTCCGATCTGACTGCGCGTAGTATGGACACTGATCTTCCTTCGGAATGCGATGACGAATACTGGCTCGGAGGGGCTGGCGTTAGCCCTGAGGATGCACCGTTCGCCCAACCCGCAGACCAACCATCTCATGTCGCATTTTTGACGCAGTTCATTCAACTGAACCAGCTACAAGGCCTTGTCTTTCGCGGCTTGGTGAGGTCTTGATCAAACCGAGAGTGTCCGACTGACGCGGAAGCGCTATTTGCAGTACAGTCTTCATAAATGCCGAAGCATTCTTGCGATTCGAGAAGATCGTTGGCAACATAGAATGGTGGGTGAGCTGGATTTGGCGCTTGATTCCTGGCTTGAGAGAGTTCCCGCACATCGTAAGCTCGTCTTAAAGTGATCATATCATGCTCAATTGGTTGTTCAGTGCGACTGGACAACTATGTCGATCGCGGAGAGATGCCTTTGGACGACATCTTCTTCGACCAGGCCGTCATGCTCCATGCTGCATTTCATTCTCTCCGAATACACGTTCATGGCCAGTTTTTGCCGATTGTCCGACAACACACCCCTAACTTCGTAGGCTCTGATTATGCTGATTGCCCTTTGATTCAAGTTGCCTTCTAGAACTTGCCCTCCTCAGCAATGTCCACAGACGCCGCCCGAGCGATAAGTCGGGTTTTGCATCTCCAACGCCAGCAAAGGATCATTCCCGTTCCAAGTGTTACTGTGCGCATCCATTCTACTATATCGATTCAACTGTAACCGCCACCCAGCCTTTCGCTTTCACCGCTGGCCTCATTCTAGTCATCAATCTGTGGAATGCAGCCCGGACGGCAGGGTTGTCCCCTCATATGAACACGACCGTGGACGATATTTCTCGATTGATGCAAGTCCTCCAAATTTGCGAGCCTAGGTGGGTGGTCATGAGTATTCCAAAGCATTAGTCAATGTGTACTTTGGCAGATGGCGCTCTCCGGGTCTGTTTTGGTGAGCATCATGGTTGAATGCATGTCCTCTTAACGCTATTATAATCAGGGATCTTCTTTCCGAACTTTCATTTCACGAGGCTATGCTGCCATGGCCATGCGACAACCCGAAAGCAGTCCAGTCAAACGTAGTAAACAACAACAACAAACGCCGCCGACCCGCTGCACAGATGGCTGCAACAGCTGTTCAACCTGTCTTGACGCCTTTCATGAGGTCATCGCTGGAATATGCTCTCATCGCAAACCCGCCTTACTGACTGTGGCTGAAATTAAACGACATCAAATCATGGAAGTGTGGACTTTGCATCATGTATCTGTATAATGCTAGGTTTCAAACAACATTCCTGCTTCCGTGGCCTGCTTGTTAGATGTCATTTTTGGCTTCCGGGCCAACTTCCAAGAGGAGAACTTACTATGTAATATGATCGGGCTTTTCGCGTATTGACAGCCTCCGCTGTCTTCCGTTGCTGTCAACTCCGGCACTCGGAGCCGGTCGGCGGTAGGCACCGGTATCAAGTTGTTGCAACGGCAAAAATATGCGACGACATAAATAAGACCTTCTTCATTCTTTTTTACGACAACCACTAATAAGGTAGCTCGTGTGTGTAAAGTGGCCGTGGGAAAGAGGTCTTTGAGTGGGAACGGGAGACCCGCCGGATTACTGTGTCTGGGTGAGGCCAAGAGCCGCTCCGGGTGCTTGGCTGACGAAGCCAGAAGAGATGCACTGGAGGACCCGGGCCGAAGGCCGGATCAGGAGCGGTGGCCCCACTCGACGCAACTCTGGGTGACCGCATAGCAGGAGACGGACCACCCAAAGCCGCGTGGTGGGAAGGCGGGTGGGTCGAAACGCGGCGGGGTGAAAAAGCGAGGCGCGTCGAGGTTGACGCGTCGTGAGCGCGAGATGGGCGTGACGTGAAAGTCACGATGCATGAAACTCAGAGGACATGATATTAATGGTACAAGTAGTGTTTGGCCCACTTTACACACATGGCTCACTACCTTATCTATCGCTAGCTATGGCTCGTGCCTCGCCATAGCTAGCTGGCACTAATGTAAGAAGGGAAAAAAATACTGCTCCATTGGAACTCTGGCGCGAGCGCATAGTACACGGGACACAGGTTTCGCCACCTGACCATATTTCGTACACTCCCAAGTATATTGTCTAATATCTTTTGCTCTCCAGCCGTATGTTATTTTCCCTTACTGTCATGGCATGTTATGTTATTAAGGCCCTAGGTCCCGCATTGTACCATTCCCTTATGTCTCTCGCACAGCCGACATTTGGAAATGAGCCATCTATACATATTCCCAAAATGGCAGGTCCATGCCCATATTAGGAAGGCGCCAAAGACGGTGCATCAATCTCCTGGTCGCTTATGACCCCTGACAACAAATGAATCCATTTGCTTGTGGTGCGAGATAAAGTACAACGGACAGAACAACCTCTCGAGAGTAAAAATACAGAATAAAAAAACCATGGATAGCAAAGACGAAAGAGGCAAAAGAACACCTAAGGCTTGAGCCAAGGAGCCCGATACTTCTGAATCGCGGCCTCCAACAGCCCTGGGTCCACCACCGCCTTGCCGGATACAGTGTCGGGCATGCTGACGCGGGTCAAATTGATGCTCGCGGGCATCAGCTCGGTGCAGTTGACGAGCTCGGTAGTTTTGTAGCCAAGGGTGCTCATTAACAGATGTGCAGCACGGTAGTCTTGGTCCCTGGAGCAGAAAATCGCACATCAGCTGGTGGGAAGCAAGGGACAAGGGACACGATGCTTACCAGTCAGGCTGGTTATCGATGTATTCATGGAAGAACGCTTTTGTGCTGGCGTTGTGCGCGAGATTAACGTCACTCGCAAGCCGGAACACGTTGTGTGGGGCAGTAGCGACATTGGTATCACGGTCTGCATATATGTCAGCAAGGCCAAGAGGAGATCGGACAAGCAACTAACAGAAATTGACATCCCAGAGGTCAATTGTGGTGTCCATAGCTTCGCCTGCCATAGCGGGGTCCACGAATCGTTGTCTTGCCGTCCCATGAGCCCCAATAAGAGCAATCAGATCAACCGGTGCAAATCCCATATCAGCAAACCGTCCCAGGAGAGAATCAACACTGTCGTTTGGAGAAGGGAGGAGGCCATTGGGAGCCTTGTTTGCTGGGAGTGGTCGACCCACCCAAGCATCGATACGAGGTCCACCGGGACATGCAAGTACACCCAATACACCCGCAAGCTGAAGAAGTATGAGTGGCGATGGCAACCAGCAAATCCAAAACGTGCCTGAAGAACATCCCCGGGAGAGACATTGAAACGTTGGGGGAGTGGGGCTAGCGCGGCAACAATATCTTGAAGCCCATTGTTCTCGTCCCGAAGTACTTCTTGGGGGTCCCAGAGAAGAGAGCCATCAGCAGCACCATTTGGCTTGCCCAATGCAGCGAGCCGGAGAGAGAAGGTCCCTACAAAGGGTCAGCGATGGTCACCACTATAAACAAGCTTTGCATACCAGCGTCATGAAATGCGAGTCGGACAGAAGCCCGAGCCAGGTCTGTACATCTTCCACCGAATACACCACCCAGAATGGCATCACGGACGGGATAGAAGGGTACACAAGCGGCGTTGGTAGCGTTGGCGACATCAGGGATGCCTGCAGAGTCTCCAAGGTCGGGAATGTTTCCATCCGCATTACTGTCGTCGTCGTTGTCATTGTCACCTCCCGGTCCGTCGTCGTCGTCTCCTGTCTCTCCGCCTCCGTGTTTACGAGCAAGACGCAGAGCACTGCCAGGAAGTCGCAATCGTGACGGAGTTGCGAGAATAGGAAGAATGAGCAATGCGAGTGCGAGGACAAAGGTGAGGATACGATGCATGTTTTCCGAGGATGGCCATTGTTTCGCGGAGGGGCTGTTTTATTGCACTATCTGGTGGCAAGCGGTCGTAGGTCGGGGAGGGACAGGTCCAAGTGCCTCTCAGTAAGGGCGCGCTGCGTGGGGAGGGTCCAGGGCACAGATGTGGGTGGGTCGACTTGGCAAGAACGCCGGCGGAAAAGAGATGTCGCAACAATTCACATGAGCCAAATGGACTCGGTAAGATGACTATTGCAGTAGCCCGCGACGCCAAGAGAGCTCCATAGAGCTGGTGTGGAGAGCGCCAATTCCATCCATTCGCGCGAAACACGGATGAGTGTTAGCGGGGCCTGAGTGTTTCGCGGAAAAACGTATTCACGCGCGGGGGGTTCGGAAGTGATGGTCATGGAGTGGGGGTGGCGCATGGGGAGCGAGCGGGTGACAAGGCATTTCACGAAAATAAGGGAGACAATCTCTGTTGGCAGGTGGGCGGCGGCATTTTTCAGGTCACGTGGAAGCCTACGTTTTCTCCTTGACACCCAGGGAGGTTCGCCCGACCCGCAGCCATCTCATGTCGCCTTTTTGACGCAGTTCATTTAACTGAACCAGCTACAAGGCCTTGTCTTTCGCGGCTTGGTGAGGTTTTGATCAAACCGTGAGTGTCCAACTGACGCGGCGCTATTTGCAGTACAGTCTTCATAAATGCCGAAGCATTCTTGCGATTCGAGAAGATCGTTGGCAACATAGAATGGTACTAGTAGGTGAGCTTGATTTGGCGCTTAATTCCTGGCTTGAGAGTCTGAGTTCCCGCACATCGTAAATATGATCGGGCTTTTGAAGTATTGACAGCCTCCGCTGTCTTCCGTTGCTGTCAACTCCGCATTCGCACTGAAAAAAGGAGCACTGGTATCTAAACTGCAGAAATCAAGACCGGACCTTAGGCTCCACCAAACTTCCTATCGGAGACGTTGAATCGCTTGAAGTCCAAACGGCAACCATGGATTTCTGGCAATCAATTGGCCGATGCTGCATTGCTAATCAGCTAATCCGACTGACGTGACGAGCTGGAGGATCACCGATCCGACAAATCGAACAACAGCTGTCATTCTTCCGAAAGCAAGCCGAAACCTGTCACCAGCGCTCCCTTTAAGAGCGCTGTCTTTCTTCTAGATCGTCATCCTCTCTTGAACATGTCGTCCGAAAAGAAAATTGTCTTCATCACTGGCGGTATGTGATTTTCTTTAGATTGCCCTTATATGCTCAATGGAGAGCTTATTAGCCAACACCGGGCTGGGCTACGAGACCGTCAAGGCTTTGTATGCCTCTCCCGAGTCGTACCACATCGTCGTCGGCACTCGCACGCTTTCCAATGGCGAGGATGCGATTACCCGTCTGAAATCCGAGGTTCCCAACAGCTCGTCGACTCTTAGCACTGTTCAAATCGACATCACCTCTGACGCGTCAATTGAAGCCGCCCTGGCCACGATAAAGAGCGACCACGGGAAGCTTGACGTGCTCATCAACAACGCCGGCGCTGCCTTGGACGGCGAGCTGACCCCCACCACCCCGGCTGCCCAGATACGCTCAGTATTCAACAAAACCTGGGACCTCAATGTCAGCAGCCCCCACGTTCTTACCACGCTGGCCATGCCTCTCCTCCTCGAATCTTCTGACGCCCGTCTCGTCTTCATGTCCTCAGGAACGGCCTCGATTTGGGAGACGCTACCAGAGAACTGGGGCAATATGCACCACCTTCCCCGCCTCAATGCCAGTCCCGAGAAGGGCTGGCCAAAGCCCGCCAACTCGCCCATCTCGAGGACGGCCTACCGGTCCGCAAAGGCGGGACTGAACATGCTGATGCGCGAATGGGCCCGTGTTCTGAAGGACGATTCGGTTAAGCTGTGGGGCGTCAGTCCAGGCTTTTTGGCTACCGGGTTGGGAGGGCACGGCAGAGAAATGATGTTGAAGATGGGTGCGGAAGAGCCGAGCGTCGGTGGGGAGTTCCTTCGCGACATAGTCCAAGGGAAATACGACCATCAGGTTGGCAAAGTCATTCGGGCGCAAGGTATACAGCCGTGGTAGAGTAGTTGCCTTCTGAGTCATATTTGCCGCTATATATTTGCATCCTTATACGCGCTGATGTAATTTCATGTGATCCTTCCAGTCACGTGCTCACGGGCGGTGCACTCAATGACGTCGACCACGATCTTCGTGTCGGAGCTCATGAGGGCCAGGGCGTGAATATTTATAACGATTCAGGTTCTCCTTCATGCCCTCGTCTCCATCCGCTGCTTCCAACCAGGCTGGTCCGCGTCCTTCAACCTTGCAGTTTCTGGCACGGCTCGCGCCTCATCTCTTTTCGCAACCCACGAACCGTGGTAGTGTGTTGAAATGCAGTATACGGCCATTCAGAGGCGGGTCAAGGTTGCGAAGACGGCTGTCTACACTCAATCCAACCTGGACTGCAGCGTGCCAGCCTTCCGCGCCAATTTGTGCAATCCCCCGCTTCCCCAACGATCCGCCCCCAAAACGACGTCTGTTCCCCCCTGTTCCGGGCCTCGCGGCTGTCTGGGATAGCATTGGGGCCCGCGCTCATTGAGGCGCACGATGCGGAGCTGCGAGGAAGGGCACAGCGTAGGTTAGAAGCTTTGGTCTTGGGTATGAGGAGAAAACGGGAGGATGCAGCTTCAACTGGTGTGTGCTACTTCTGACTTCATTCGACTATCGAATCAGCCTTCCTATGATGAATGGGCCATTTTTTCTCAAACGAATCACAGCCTTTATTATTGTCGGTGTGATTTTGTTACCGCCTGGTATCTGACTGACTTTCATCGCCCCTTTATAGAGACAGTTCCCTTTTCATTGAAAACTCTTCGTCAGACCGATGACCATTCGGAGCCAGTCCGGATATGGATGCTTGCGATAAAAGCAAAACATTCATCTTGAGGAGTCCAATCCCAGCACTAAATGGCCGAGCAAATTGTCCTAGTCACCGGCGCCAACAAGGGCATCGGCTTCGAAATTGTGCGACAAATAGCATCAAAAGGCGGATATCGTGTCCTCCTCGGCGCAAGAGACGCTGAGCGTGGCCGACAGGCAGCTTCAAAGCTCGAAGCTGAGGGTCTACCGGTTGCCTTTTTGCAACTTGACGTAGATTCTGACGCGTCTATTGCTGCTGCTGTCAAGTCCATCTCAGTGCAGTTTGGGAGACTCGATGTCCTGGTCAATAACGCGGGCATCTCCCTTGATACTCTCGACCCTTCGCAGCCCATCATGCCATCCCGCGACACCTTTGACAAGACATTTGCGACCAATACGACTGGTGCTGCAATGTTAACCGAAGCGCTCGTCCCCTTACTCTCCAATGCCTTGACCGGAAAGCCTAATGTTGTTTTTGTGTCCTCTGACACGGGCTCGCTTGGCCTGCTCGCCGATCCGGAGGGCAGATGGAAGGGCATGCCGCTCTACTTCGTTTCCTACCGATGCAGCAAGGCCGCTTTGAATATGCTTGCGGTTGTGTATGCGGCACGGTTCAAAGAGAAGGGGTGGAGAGTCAACATCGATAATCCTGGGTATACGGCTACCGAGATCAATGGGAACACAGGGGGTCAGTCTGTACAAGAGGGGGCGAAAAATGCCGTTCGGTTGGCCACACTCGGGGTACAAGAGGATCTATGTGGGACTTACTCCGAGATTAAGGGCGCTTTACCATGGTAAAGCGAAGTTGTTTTTGTATGGCCGTGGCCCTTAATACACCCAACTGTCGATTTTCAATGATATTTTTTCTCGGTTCCGTGCCAAGTTGTTCAGAGCTGGTATTGAGTGAGTTGACTTGGACCTTTGAACCATTCAGAAGGAGGTGGTTGAATCGACGAGCAACGCAATGAGCCCAATCCTGTTTCGGAAATATTCCACATGGTTCCTTGCCGTATACATTAATTTCCGCCATTCTCCCGTTTGACAACGTTTTGGTGGGTCGGAGACTGGAAGAAGGAGAGCTTTGAGTCACGTGTACGTGCCCTTCTCTCCTCTGAACTCTCACCATCTCATTCAGCCTACGCACAGTGGCGAGCATATGCCTAATTCGCTCCGTAGCGTTGCGTTGTGTGCGCGTATTTGGTTCTTAAGCAGATGATCAAGATAACTCTGGATGCGCTGATAGGCCTTTCATCGATTGGATTGTCATGTCGTTTTCCGTGTAGGACCTCCTGCCCGAGTAGGTCGGACTACTGGCTGTGAAGCAGAGGTGTGTTGTCCTGCTAAGCTTTCACATCATCTGACATGGCCCAGCATGGAGGAAGCAGCAACTATATCGCAAGAATTTCTATTCTCCATAGAGTCACGTATACCCAGCGACATATTGGAGCTCATATTCGAGGCTGGAGCCCGTATTTCGCACTGGGAAGGCGCCGCACAGCCTAAACCACTCGAAATTGTGGTGTCGCATGTGAACCAGCGATGGAGGCAGATCGCGGTCAACCTCGCGTCATTGTGGTCCTCGATCTTTGCAACACCATTCGAGGCTGTCGACAAGCTGGAGACATATCTCCACAGGTCCAAAAACCACAATCTACGCGTTTGTTTATTCGCCTGTGTTGGCTGGTGGCGGAGGGACATGCTGGAGCAAATGCGACCACATCTTCGTCGTTTCCGGCGATTTCATTTGGTCACCAACTTTGTCCACCCGTCTCCGACGGTTAGCTCCCACTTCGAAGACTTCGACATGCCGCATCTCAACACTTTTCTGTTCACTCCGCTGGATTCCGGGGAGTATCATGGGGATTCCATCGCGTCACCATTCCTCCCATTTACTCGCCCATCACCCTCATTAACGTCGCTGCGGCTGAACGGGCCAACGATGGATCTAATCCGGCCACCTTTTGCCACGATCGTTCAACTCTGCTTGACCGAGGAGCGGTTTCCGTTCCCATTTCGCTCCGTTTGCGATATTTTGCAGAGTTGCAACGCTCTTGTCAAGCTTTCTTTCTCCGGGCACACTCAACGCCCTCATCGACGATTGGCTACCCCTCTTGATGTCGTACCGTTTGTCATTCCTGAGCTCAAGTATCTTATGCTCGCCAATGGAGGCAATTGCGATGTTTTGCTATCGGCTCTCAGTGCCCCAAAGCTATGTGGAATGCGACTCTGCAACTTCGAAGAGGGGGATATGGCATACTTCCTGCAACTTTCCCAGGTGTCCAAGTTTCCCATTCTCGAGTCGCTGTCCCTCGTAGACGATACATTCTCGGTTAGCGACTACCACGACATCGCGCGCGTTTTCCCCGCCATTCGCTCCTTTGCGTGCTTAAACTCGTCATTCACAGACGACGTTCTGGAGTTCCTTGTCCCCCTCCCAACATCAGACAGCGCGTTGGATATGCCCTGGCCCAATCTTGCATCCTTTTCTTTCAGTCAGGCCCAGTTCCACGAAAAGCATCAGGCGCTGTTGTGCAGTCTTGTCTCTACACGCATTGCGCTGCAGGCGCCATTGACCCACCTTTTCCTGGGGTCGGCAAACCGGCTGATATTGGACACGGAGCGGGCGCTGTGGTTAGAGGAGGAGCTTCATCTTGCGGACGGGGCTGAACTGCCGGAAGACGAGGAGATGAGTTTGCTGATGGAGTTTTCTGGGGACGGGTATAGGTGTTGACGGTACCAAGTGCTTTTGTGACTTTGCTTGATCGTGGCTTCTACTTGCGGGTCGGAATGTTGGTTGCGAAGTGTTATTAGGGAGAGTCGAATGTAGACAAATTCGAAAATCATTGCATCTGATCTGAACAATCCCATCTCTTCTCGAATTGTGAAGTCTTTGGTTTTTGCTTTTGGCTGCGACCACGCTCTTCTCTTGCGAGTCTTGTAACGCTAAAGGGCAACGTCAAACTGTGGCACTTGAACATCGATGAAAAGTAGGACCTTGACCCGACATTGGTAGTTGCGTAGGTACGCGATGGTGGCTGAACTGAACGATCCATGACATTGAGTAGGGAGCACTCGCCGCAGTAGAGGGTGTGCATCTGCCGGCGAGCGTTTCTTGAGGAGCTATTGCTAGACTTCAATATATCCCTCCCCCCCCTTCAAAGAAAGGAAACGGCATTTACCCTGAGATCGCAGGATGGTCTGTATCATTCTTTCCCCTGTTCCACACATCTCACCTTCCTGCAACCATGTCTACTAGTATTCCCACCTCAACGTCGAAAAATTCCGGACTCGCCCAAAGGCGGAAACTAGACGTGGATTCTGTTATTGAGGATGTGGTAGGCCTCGTTGTGGAACGCTTCCCGACGCTTTTCCCGGATGTCTCAGTCGACTGGGACGCCGCTCAACGTAAAATACTCATGGCCATACAAGACGCTTACCAAGTACATTTTGCCTTCTCTTCCTTGCTCCAAGTCGTTAAAGGACCGGACAGCATCCAACCAAATCTCGCCCGCCGGCGTTCAAGTTCACCGAGGCATCTGCTGTTATTGAGCAACTCTTCGATCGTGATGGGCAACCACAGCAAATGCCAATGCCAGTGTACATATATCCAAGAAGCCAGGACCCCCGGGCTACCACATCGAATCCAGCGCCAACCATGCATCTCACTGGAGCGTCTGTAACATTGGCGCAAATCCTAATCGAAAGTCGCATATTTGATACTTGCGCGCAGGCGCTCAAAGGCTGCCAGGGGTGTGGCATTTGGGACAAACTTCGAGGCCATCTATATTTGAAAGTCAGTGCACTTGAGCATTCCTAACTTTTTTACTACTGCTGGTTTAGAACGAAGCATCTACCCGCACACTCATCCACCCTATTCTAACTACGGCTGCTTCCATCGCTCAAGACATCATATCCAGCCACCCCAACGTTGACCAAGAGCTGCAACAACGGGAACAGTTACGGGGCTGCGCTTCAAAAGTCGGTGCCTTCCCGCGAGAATTTCTCTCTTGGGTTCTGCTCTCCGACGAGTACGATATTCCAACTTAGGGTGCTGTGAGTAACTGTGGTTTCGAAACGGTTTTGAAACCGGTTTCGAAACACGTGTTAGTTTTGAATGCCGTGGCCGGCCGACCCGGTTTCGAAACCGACACGTGATTCTCCGGCAAGCCCGGGCCCGGCTGTCAGGGCTTGATGCCCTCCCAATATCACCTGCACTTACTGGCGGAAGGCCGGGCAGATGGGTGTTCACGGCAGTGGGGCTCCACTGCTGCTCCAGTTGGGCTTGGCGCATAGTGTGCCTCGGGATTGTGATACCCGGCGCTGTCCCGAGCCGCCGACTGTCAGCGGACCCCCCCGGCCGGCCGGTTTCGAAACTGTTTCGAAACGGGGGGTGTTTCGAAACCGGTTTCGAAACCGGTGTGAGTAATGTTTTTTGCATTACTCACAGCACCCTATTCCAACTCAGACACTGGCGCCTGGAATATCCATGTATGGGCGGCTAGACTACGCCATCGGCATTGTGCCTACGGAGATAGGTGCATTGTGAACAGTTTTTGTGCAAAAACTTCTGTCTGAAATCTTCCTAGTTGAACAACCTGTCGCCAGCGGCAAGCGTATAACCGACATTGAGCCCAATGGGCTAGCGCTATCCAACCACCCAATCACGCAAATCACGGTGGCAAAATCGTTTGCACCCCTCACCAGACAGGCGAAGCACCAAGCCTTAAGCGAAGCCGCTGCGCTATGTGTCTTGAAGTGTGTTTATGTGTGTCTATTGTACACAACTTGACGTCTCCCACAGAAATCGCGGTGCCATCGTTAACGCTCTGACCAACGGCGTCACTTGGCGATTTAGCTTCGTTCAAAGAAGATCCAGGTCGGATTCGGATTCGGAATCGGAAGACGCAGACGCAAAGAAGCCGAAGAAAAGGCGTCGGTCAAGCCATCAACCCTATGGTCGGAGCCAGCAACGTCCAAACCCCAAAGCCTTTCGCTTGTGTGCCCATCAGAGACATCGACATTGATGAGGACGACAATATGACCCTTGTTCTGAAGCTTCTTGTCGTGGCGGTAAGGACCATAACTGCCCTCCCCCTCAGCTCCCTGATCACCGACTCTAGATTCTTTGCAGCCCCGAGGACTTTCCCATTCTTGCCGAGTTGTGTTAAGTTTGAGTATGGTATTCTCTGTCCTTGGTAGAATCTGTAATTGGTGCAATCTGGCAGTGAAGATCAAGGAATTAGTCATGCACGCGACGCGTCACCTTCCTCTTTAACCACCACCTATTCGTCTATGTTCTTCCCCCAAGAACGAAAACGACAAATAAACCTTGGTGGATCATCATCCAACACAAGCCTCGCGTCTATTACCGATCAAGCGAAAGCCAGGAGAACGGAAAGAATCCAACTAAAGCGCCAGAACGACAGTGCGACCCAAATACAAGCATGGTGGCGGGGAGTAGCTGCAATGCGGGCAACCCGAGTCCAAATGCGGCAGGTGTTCGAGCAGGACGTGGCGGGGCTTACCGGATTGCGCTGTTTGGTGTTGATGGGTCGGGATGAAGAGGTGTTGGCAAAGTGGTCGGAAACTATGGTGGAGAGAGGCGAAAGTGAGTGTTTGGCTCTATCGATCCCTCAGGCCTTACGCAGATCAGGCTCTCTATATGCTGCTGCGAGTCAACCGAGCTGGCTGGTGCTGGTCAGGCAAGCATGCTTCCTGCTGCTCAGATCAGTGGCTGCATCCCCACAGTGTGTACATGTTCTACTCGGCCTCTGTTATTTCTAACTCATCTAATAGGTCCTCCAATGTCGTCGCCCATCTCCAAGTTATAAATATGCTCGTCTCGCCAGACGTAGCCTCGCGACATTTGGGTACAAAGGGTCGTGAAGCGGCTGGCAACATATTGCTTTATCTTCTGAGAAGAGGTTTCTATACGTCTCTGGCCGAAGCAATACGAAGCACGGTGCGTTTTCCTTTTTCTACGTCGCCCAATCCGATTCTTATATGCTACAGCCAATCGCGGATGCAAAGACGTCCAAGTCATTACCACTTCTTATTCCTCTCACCACAGTTGCATTCTCGGTATATCCAGCTACAAGCCAAGAATACGCAGACTCGTTTGCGGCGTTAATTTCTTCCATCCTGACCATCCCGCTTCTTCCCAACCGTTTGCCATTGCAAAGCCTCACGCATATGTCATCTCGCCTCCCTTTCGCTGCCCTCACCTCATTGCCGCCTCTTCCCGAAATCACCATTATCGACCGACTCCATCTGCTCGCAAATCTTGCGACTTTCATTCCTCCCCGCTATGCTGCACTTCCTGCACCCGCTTTAACAGCTTACGTGAAACTTATCACATCCATTTTCAACACCCTCCCTCCAAACGCACTGGAAGGCGCCCCTGCAGCCTCTACCCCACAGTCGCGAAGTTATGATTCTGATTCAGAGGACGAATCGCGACCAACAGTATCTGTTGTTTCTACATTCTCTGCGACACCTCCACCTCCACTCCCCGTTCTTGATGCCCGCACCCAGAAGCGTTTACAGACGCTAATCTCTCCGTCCCACCTCAACACCCTCCTTTCCATAACGCAGAAACAATCCGATGCCTCTCGTCGGGCGTTATTTGACCTTATTCTTGCCCTTGAAGGCAGCTGGCCTTCCAAACGCAGCGAAATACTAGGGGCAATCGTCGTCGGCGGTGCTGGGACCAGCGTTATCAAGGAACTCTGGCGGGGCTCTGTCCGTCGCGCAAATGCGTCTAGTATTCTTCAGGAGTACACGCGGCCGTCAACCGCAAGCGATGCATCCATTCCGGCACTGCTCTTCCTCGCCGATTTGTATAACCATGCTCTGCTGACGATGGGCGATGACGAGTTTTTTGGGTCCTCGACTACCTCAGGCAGAAATCCACTCAGCTTAGATGAGTTGACGGTCTTCAGTCGGCTCTTGCTGGATGTAGCTTTTGGGCTTTATCAAGGACCACAGGATACTGATGCGATGGATACTAGCACTAGCACTACGGGGACTTCAGGCCCCAAAGGTGTACGGTTTACTTGGGAGGAGGTGCGAGAAAAGGTGACCAAGTGTTTGGTGGCTATTCATGCTCGCGAGTACGTATGTCTTTTACCCTTGATTCTTGTGTTGACTTTTCTATCTAGTTCTCGGAGACCATTTACACCGCCGGATCACTGGTTAGTTTCTAACCAAATCGATATCCGATCCTTCGTCGAGGCAGCATTGTAGGTCTCAAAGGCGTTATCTGTTGTTCTGACCGAGATGTTTTGCAGATTTGAAGAGCAACAAATTTCAACTGGGAATGCTCGTGCGGTTACCACACGCCAAATTGCGCGCCTTGCTCCCCGGCTGGGAATATTACACAACATCCCGTTCTCGATTCCGTTCTCGACACGTGTGCAGGTGTTTCGCAGTTTCATCTACAGCGACATACTTGCCCGCGGCGAAGATCCGCACGGAAGCCGGCTGAACATTACTGTCCGGAGGGAGCATATCGCGCAGGATGGGTTTGACCGTTTGCGAGACGCTGACCTCAAGGGCCGGATTGGGATCCAGTTCATTGATCAATTTGGAGAGGAAGAGTACTTCTTGTTTGCTCTAATGGTACCGTATTTGACCGATGGTTTAGAGCTGGGATCGATGGTGGTGGTGTGTTCAAAGAGTTCTTTACTTCTTTGTGCAGGGAGGTCTTCGACACAGATCGTGGACTTTGGCTTGCCAACAAGAAGAATGAGCTGTACCCTAATCCACACACCTATGCAGTTGAACGTGAGTCCCCCCCATTGTGCCGTTTCTTTTGAATAACAAGTTTTTGCAGCTCACAACCTCAACTGGTACCGCTTTATTGGTCGCATTATCGGCAAAGCTATGTATGAAGGGATTCTGGTTGACATTGCGTTTGCTGGGTTCTTTTTAGCGAAGGTATCACTTTCTCGACGATGTTCTTATGTCTTTTGCTGAACATTGGCTTAGTGGTTGGGAAAGCAAAGCTTCCTCGACGATCTGGCTTCACTGGATCCCGAGCTCTATAATGGTCTTCTCTTCCTCAAACACTACTCGGGGAACCCTGAAGATCTTTCCCTCAACTTTACCGTTGCTACCGATGGCGCGTTTTCCATCTCGTATTATCGACCGATGTCCTTATTTCCTGTAGACTTCGGCGTTACCAAGACGATAAACCTTATTCCCAACGGGAGCAACATCCCAGTCACGAAGGAGAATCGACTCCAATACATATACTACGTGTCGCACTACCGGCTAAGCAGACAAATCAAGCAACAGAGCGAGGCCTTCTTCGAGGGCCTGTCCGAGATCATCGACCACAAGTGGCTCAAGATGTTCAACCAACAGGAGCTGCAAATCTTGATTGGCGGGACCGATTCGCCGGTGGACATGGACGACCTGCAGGGCAACACGCAGTATGGCGGCGTGTTTGACGCCAACCACCCCACGATCATCGCGTTTTGGCGCGTCGTGCGGTCGTTTGACCAGGAACAGCGGAGATCGCTGTTGCGGTTCGTGACGAGTTGCAGCCGCCCGCCGCTGTTGTGCGTAGTTTCTATTCTTGTGCCTTTGCTGGATGCTCAATGCTGTACAGAGGCTTTAAAGAGCTCATCCCCAACTTCGCTATCCGCGATGCCGGCTCTGACGAGCTCCGCCTGCCGACTTCGAGCACCTGTGTCAACCTCCTCAAGGTGGACTTTTTACTCTCCTATTCCGCTAACGAGCTGACGAAACGCTTTGCAGCTCCCGCGCTACTCCTCCGAGAAAGTCCTGCGCACGAAACTCATGCAGGCGATCACCGCCAACGCGGGGTTCGACTTGTCTTGATGCTTTTCCTTTCTTTTTCTGTCTTGCTTTCAGTCCCCAGCATTTGTAGCCCCCACAATGTAGACCGTCTATTGGATAGAACACGCTTTCTGGATATCATGACGTGGCTGGACACAGGCCGAGGTCCAGGAGAATCATGTTAATGTCAAAGGTGTAGCTTGTTCTATTGGTAATGTTACTGATCACAGCCTCAAAAGGAAATGCTGTTGAGAAGCTGGAAGCGGAAAGCTGTAAACGCATCATCCCAAGTTAGCTTCAGTATAAGGTACTTATAAGAGGACATTCATCGCAACGTCGTCGACGTCACAGCCCAGCATGTTGCTCATTGGGTTCACTCGACGGTCCAAGAAGCGAAAAAAAGCTGGCAACTGCAAACACGACCACTGACCTCCTCAAGACATCGCTGACGGCGCTGAAAGAGTCCTCCGACGCCTTCCCGCCACTTAAAAGTGCTGTTGGAGCCGTTTTGGTTGTTCACGATCTCGCGGAGGTTTGGTGTATGCTCGTCTGCTCGTTCGTTTGACTAAAGCTCAGGCCCTCGAAGCGCACCAAGCATTCCAAATCCAAGGCTCGTGCTATCTCCTTGCGCACAACGGAGATTTTGGAGCTGGTTGCGGATGCGCTGCCTGACCCGACCCATATTCCTTTGCCACTATTGCAGACTCGGAGCCTCGAGCGGTTTACGAAGTAAGTCTTTCTTGTCAAGGCATCGTGCGAACCGTCACGGTGACGGTGCCTGATGGATACAACTTGAAGTTCGCTCGAGTCCATTCAACGCCGCATGAGGGATCTCAGCGAAATGCGGGGGCTTTCACGCCTGACACATCTGTCGCGGAACGAGCGCATGTTGGAAGACATCATCGTCGAGCTTGACGACGCTTATAGCGATTTATTGGTGCGCTCAACCTCCTGCCCTTCCGGTTGAGCTAACTACGACTCTTTAGGCGGCCTCTATCCTGCGTATTGAAGCTCGCGGGCACGCATTCCCTCCTTTACAAGGAAACGCTCAGGCGGATGAACTCGAACGGAGAATATCAAAGGCAACAGTAACGTCTAACATTTCATTGCGTCTAGCAGGCGCTGAACCGCCTTCAGGAGAAACTGACTCGAGAACTCAAGATGTTCAGGTTCCTCTTATTTGTGTACTCTTTGGAGTAAGTCGGCAGTATACGAGGAGGACTCGTATAACGCCGACTTACTCCCTTTATAACAAGTACATGGTTCGAAGACCTAACCTCATAGAGCAGCCAGCGCCGACCCGGCTCCTTTGATCCACCGTCATTATATCATTATGGCATCACATTGCTGACGGGCTGAGTAACCTGAGTTTCCTCGTCGAGTTTAAAGCCAAATAAACATTGGTCAGAGGAGGAGAGAGAGAGATCATCAAAGGCGAACTCGTGATTGACTGACCGTCTCTTGAAAACTTTTCGCAGTTGGCGCCTGGTAGTTGAGGAAAAGAAACGGAGCACGTGATCGTGACGTCAACAATGACAGACCATCTTCCAACACAACTCATCATTTCATGGCTCCCCAGTGACCACCCGCACTGCAGTGAGCAAGTCACGGCCGGGGACTTCCTTCCAGCTCTCAAACAAGTTAACCAGGACGGATTCACTATATTTCTTGGTGTGTGGCCGATATTTAGTATCTTGGAGAATATGTGGCGTTCACCACGGTATCGGCCCCTCCTTCTCAGAATATGTGCCCCTTGTGTCATCGGCCAACGTAGCCAGCCGGACGGCATTCTTCGCTCCATCCTCTATCGATCCAGACCCTTTCTGGTCATTCAAATCCGTCGCAGTGAAGCCTAGAGAATTATCGTTGGATTTATTTGGAATGATGATGACACCGTACCTGGATTGTCGATATTGACTCTCCACCCCTTCTCTCGGAACCGGGAGTGGAAAATGAGGGCCAAGATGTTGAGAGCGGTCTTGCTAGAGCGATAAGCTGGGAAGTATAGTGGCATGCCTTTGTATCGGCCCTCTGGATCGGCAAGCGAGCCTGCAGAGCCAAGGTCAGACGAGACGAATACAATGTTCGGTTTTCCGGAGAGGGCATTCGATAGCAGCGGGATAAAGGCCTCCGTTGTGAGGGCTGGACCGGCGGTGTTGGTGTCGAATGTCTTGGCGAATACCTCCCGGGTCGGCATTCCCTGTGCCGGGTCCCAGCTATCGAATGCAACGGCAGCGTTATTGACCAGGACATCAAGGCGGCCAAACTTGGTCGAGACCTCTTCCACTGCCGCCGCAATCGATTGGTCAGAATTAGAGTCAAGCTGCAAGAATTCGACAGGCAGCCCTTCTTGTGTCAGTGTGGCAGCAGCCTTTTTGCCTCGCTCCACATCTCGGGCGCCGATGAGGACGTGGTAACCGCCCTTGCGAGCAATCTGGCGGGCGATTTCAAAGCCGATGCCCTTGTTGGCGCCGGTGACGAGGACGATTTGCGAGGTAGTAGTCATGTTTGTTCGATGGCGTACTTGTCGAGTCTGTGGTTCTTTTATACGACGATCGACGAGAACCTTTGTCAGCGTATCAGTTACGCGTCGCCCGGGCCGCCACAATTGATGCGTCAGCCATCCGGTTGGTCGAGGAAGATTACCAATGCATAGCTGACATCGTCTGTCTGTACCCAGCACTCAGCCTGAGCACTGAGCAGCAAAAAATAAAGAGGGGGAAGTCAAGAACAAAAGGGATGAGAGGTAGCAAAATTAATAATCACACCTCAATTTCACGGAACAGTAAAGACCGAGTCCGCATGAAAAATCCTGCTGGTTCCCAGGTAGAAATAACTCAGTCTACTAGTCATAATACTGAGGCTAAGCGCGTCGGAATGGAAAGCGGGCAGCGTGGCTGACCGATAATATGTATGTCACAACTCCAAATTGGGACAGACGTGCGTCGATGGCCGCGCTGTCGAGGGTATACAGTTGAAGTCATCGCCGCGAAAGAAGAGTCTCTCATCATTGTGACGCGTGATTGTGACGTCCCGATTAGTGCCGGTCGGACCCGGTCCGAACATCTCTCCTTCAGACCACCATCTGGTCCATCCCAATACCGAAGCATGACAAGTGTGTGGCATTTTTTCTCCCTCGGTTCAAGCCCTCACGAATCTGCAGCCTCCAATCTCGTATAAAGTCACCGAATGACTACCATCTGGACAGGCGACCTCCAACAACTCTTACAATGCCCCGTTGCCGGGTGCGACGAGACTCTGTACCAGCCCACCACGCTCGATTGCGGCCACACGGTCTGCAAACATCATGTCCAAGGGCATGCGTGTCCCGTGACGACTTGCGCGGCTGAGATGCTTGACGAAGAAATCGTCCCCCGACCAATGAGGTTACGGATTCCGCCTGGGTCGCGGATGGAGTACGAGGCTTCGTTATCTGGGAGCGGTGAACGGCCGCATTTGGACTTGCAGGAACCGCCAAAGGTCAACCGGACGGTGGAAGACATTCTCGCGTTTCTGGACGAGGAGGACGATATTGGCGATGCGCTCAAACCCAAGACAATCTTCACTTCCGAACTCTATGCGAAACTAACTTGCTTGTCTTGCTCCAAGCTGCTCTACAACCCCATTACCACGCCGTGTCAGCACACCTTCTGCGCTGAATGTCTCCGCATGTCGCTATTCCATGGCAACACCTGCCCGCTGCGTTGTCGCTCCAGGTTTGGGGGCTTTGAGTTTTGGGAGGAGCATCCGATGGACAGCTTGATGCAGAATTTACTGCTCAATTTCTTTCCCGACCATACAGCGCAACGAGATCAGGCAAATGAGGGCAAGAAACAAGACAGCGCGTGGACACCCATCTTCATTGTGTCCCTTGTTCTTCCCGGTCAAGAGTGTAGCTTTCAGATATTCGAGCCCCGCTACCGCCTTATGCTTCGTCGCTGTCTCGAACACACCCACAAGTCGCAGTCTTCCTCCGGTTTCCCGACAATGGGCCTGATGATGCATGATGGCCGTGCCAACGTGCTCAGATACGGCTGCCTGGTCGAAATAACCAAAGTACAGATGGTCTATGACGGGCGGGCCTACGTCGAAGTCCGGGGCACTGTGCCCTTTCGCGTTGTCCACGGAGAGTCGTTAGACGGCTATGTTGTCGCGCGAACAAAGATTCTCAGAGATATTCCCGCTTCCTTGCCATCACCAACCCCACGCAGCCGCTCGACCCATAACGACAAGCTCCAGATCCCCGACCTTGTCGAGATCTGTCTCGGGTTTCTCTCCCTGATGAAGCGCCACGGCCACGATGTCGTCGATCGCATAACGCGGGTTCACGGTCAGCCACCCATCTCCAACCCGTCGCTATTAAGCTTCTGGTTTGCGCGAATTCTCCCTCTAAATGACTTTGAGAAGGCGGAGATACTGGCCATGCAGAATAGCAGAGACAGACTGGATCGCGTGATTTATTGGATATCGAGGGCGGCGGGGCCTGAACTGGTATAGAATGTACTTGTAGGTTACGCGTTGAAAGAAACTAACAGTTTTTTATAACAGATTAGCGAAGCCGGAGTCTTTGAGCTGACTGTACAATTCTTGTGGCAGGGTCAATCCGGTAAACTTCACATGTCGCAATCGGCCCGCGCGACTTTGAACCAGCTTCACGAGTGGATGTGCCGCTGCGAGAGAGAAACGGCCGGTTATTTCCAGCTGCTCGAGCTTGGGCATGATGTCGCACGTCAACGCCGCCACCAGCTCAGAATCGACTGATTTGACCAAATCACGTAGCACGAGCACGTGCAGGCCTGGCGCCAGCTCCAGCATTCGGATGAGCGCGTCGAATGGAATGTTCGTGTCGCTGATAATGAGGTGGGTCAACTTGGTGGTTTGTGACAGGAGATCGAGGACGTTGAGATGTGTGTGGGGGTTGAACAGCTGGTCCAGGCTGAGATACCCCAAATTCGGCGCGCGGAGGTGGGACAGGAGAACACTGTTGGAGGCGTGGAAGGTGAGCGACTTGAGTTTGTCGAGCGAAACAATGTCGTTGCTGTCGACACGTCCTACTTGGGGCAGAAAGTCGGCCAGCCTAAGGTCCTCTAATGCGTGGCCGAGACGGAGGATTGCGATTGCATTTTGGAGCTTGCCGCGCCAGCTTGGATAGTTCTCCAGCGAGAGGGAGGTGATGCGAGACCAGGGCAGGCTCAGGCTTTGAAACTGTGTTTGGAGACCGCGCAGTGAGATTGGGGCGGCACCTCCGCTGTACCCCAGATGACGCAGGTTTGGTGCTATTGAGGCTTTGTGGATGTGTTTAAATTGCATGATGCCACGACCACCAGAGGAGTCTGATGGGCGTCCAATGTACGAGAATTCCAAAGCCTTGAGGAGAGGGAATGAAGGGGCGCTCGGACTGAAGAGCACGTTATGCATTTCGGTGGCTGTTAGTTGTAGTTCCGCTTGCTCCCATCGGTCAGCGACCGCAAGGAGCGATTCGATGATGAAGGCCCTCTGTTCATTGCGCATGTTGTCCCGCTCGTCCACATTGAGGTCGATAGTGGTGAAAGAAACAAGAAGCGGGGTGTTGCCAGCCCGCTTCAGGTGGAGCGAAAGAGCTTTCTGTAGTTTTTCGATAGGGAGGTTGTCGTAGACCGAGTAGCCATGCATGATGTATATTTTTCGCCAGAGTGCCGGCATAGAGAGCGCCAACACGCGCCATACGCTGCAAACTTGGGCCAAAACCCACTCAATTGTCCCCCCCGGCGCCCAAGGAGCTGGTTCTCCATTGCCACACCAGAGGAATATTTCACCCAAAAGCTCGGCTGGGAGCTGCTGAATCGGGCCACGGCTCGCGCTGGCGCTAGCCAGTGGTTGGGGGTATTCACTTGCGTCTAAGTTTGGCCCGTTTTGTGAGCTGTGTGGTAGTGCTCGCATAGACATGCTGAGTTCGTTAGTATGGCGATGGCCAACCAGTACAGGGAGTGGAGATGCAAGCCTGTGTAGGCCTCGGTGAAAGACAGGCCATTGTCCACGTCGTGGCTTATTATAAGAAGAAGAGTAAGTAGTTCGGAGCCGTGACGTTGACAACGGAAAAGTGCAGCGGCGAATTGACTTCGAGTCAACAATGACCAACATGATACAACTTGGCTTGAGGTAAGTACAGACTGTACAGTGGGCGCTGAGCGAGCTTTGTGGCATTGAGCGTTATTGTAAACTCATCATTATTGGACATTTGACTTGACATCAGCCTGAGACATATAGGCGATCACAAGTCGCAAGTCTACCGCCACTTGTTCGCCCACTCTAACACCGTCTGTGCAACTTTAACCCCCGCTGTCTCTGAGTCTATCGTTCCTTGCTGCCTCGAGCCCATTGACAGCTTGTCCCGCTTCTCCTTCCCCAGCGCATAAGCCTCTGAAACCGCGCCGGCCCAGTCTCCCGCCTCATACTTCTCCCTCTCCAACTCGATGCCAACACCATCTGTCGCGAGAAGATGCCGGAGACCATGCTCCTCAATGAACAAGGGTCGGGAGACTAGTGTATACCCAGTCAGGAGACTTTAGCCAAACTTAAGCAAGCTACACACCATATACGAATGGCGTACAAGAGTCAACACATTCTGCGACAGTTCCATAGCCCTTTGTGGAAAGATCAGTCTAGTTCCAAATAAGAGAAGAATGCTGACGAGTTTCCCAAGCAGCACATCCCCTGTTGCAGTCAGATCAGGCATGTAGACGTCCCTTGGTGCAATATAGAAACCGCCTGGGAGGTCGTTGTCAGGAGTATCAGTAGAATTCCATTGATCTTTAGATACACCGCAAACAATGGCGATCCAAGTTGAGTCGGGTAAAAGCCGGGGAAGAGCATCGAACTGCTCCTCCAGTTCTTGGTCGTCATCCCGTATCTCCTCTTCAGCGTCAAAGTAAACTTCATCATCCGTATCATCATCGCTTGACGTTGAAGTAGTAAACCCAGCCCCATCTCTCATGGGAACTGGTTTGGAGACTGGAGGGGCGCCCGGAATCCACAAATGCGACGCTGTTGCCAGGCTGTCTGAGACTGACAATGCATATTCGCGCTCATGGACATGGAAGTTGAACGGAGAAGCAATCCGAGGAAAACGCAAGCTATCCAACTTGCTCGCAAGCAACTTCGAATGCTCCCGCCCCACAGTCCCCTGCTGAATGCTCAAATCCTTGCTTTGTCGCGGGCTATGTGCGGGAGTTGGACTGGTGCTCCCTGACTTGCTTCCATTCGGTCGGCGAAAAACTTGTCCACCAAATGAAACGACGAGAATCTTGGTCTTGCTTGGATCGTGAAGATAGTGAGGAATCCCAATAGATGACAAGAGCGTGGATCGTCCGGTATGGGTGGATATCGAATGAGAGCGGGGTCGAACAAGAAGGGGTATTGGGATTACTTGTCTTGGTGGTTTGGGTTTGGGTGATAGAATGGAAGAAGGATATGGGATACTGGGATGCAGTTGATCATGAAAGGATTGTGTCAGGGAGGCAAACACATCATCGCGAAACCGATTGGTTAGTGGGTCGACCCAGTTTGATGAAGGAAGTGGCGGACGAAGGAAGAAGGAGGGAATGGGAATATAACCAGGTAGGCGCAATAAGAGGTCAGCGCAACGATAACCTGTGCAAATTTGCTCAACTGGATTTGATATCAAAGTTGTGGCCGAAAAAAAAAACTACAGATGCGTACCTAGAGGCCGCAAAACCTCTTCCGGTACTGGTTTGTCAGGAACAAGAGCATGCAACTGGTGGTGCGATTCGTGAGACTCTTCTGTTGGCGAGTCGATTATTGCAGATGTTAAATAACTGTACACCGAGTCGAAGGTGAAGTTGGTGACAAGAATGGAGGGTATGCCAATTTGGTTGGCCGCCAAACTACTGGACAGTCAGTACTGGTTGAATGCAAGATAAAACGCCAACGACACACCACCCAATAAACGCCGCGTCGCTCAGCACGCAGTCCGCGCCAACGTTCTTCAACCAACACATCTCATGAGCGAGAATCTGGGCTTTGGCTTCGAGGAAAGCTTTCAGTACTACGACACTGCGTTCACGATCGACTCTGTACCTGTCTCTTGGTTGAACGTTTTCTCGTGACCCAGAGAGTATAAAAGGCTCACGCCAAAGGTTGTACGATGACCGGGTCGATATTCGCGTTGCGATACTGTGCTCCGACATCGATTGCCTCTCGAAAGATGTGCTTCGGGGCGGAGGAGACTATGTGTACCCTCACGCTCCAGCAAAAGCCCTTAGCTGCGGTGTGTCCATTGAGGAGGAGAATTTGGCGGACAAGCGCAGACACTCTCGTTGCATGTCCATAACCTATTGTCCATTCATACTATGTAACCACGATGAGATGGGGGAAAGTATTCACCATGACCGGAGCAGTAGTACGCGAGCACCAGGGACAACTGACGTTCCATGTCGAAAGAGACAAGAAGGGAAGCAGACAGACCGAGTTTGAGGCAGCGCCATGGTTTTGGGATTTGTCCAAGGTGCCAGGCTCAGACTGTGTGACCAGTCACAATGTGACGTCAGGCTGTTGACTTCGAAATTCTCTCAGGCAACTCTGAGTCTCGATTCTGCGAGCAACACGCAAACTTTTGGTTCAATTTATAGCTCTTGACTACCTATCTAAGGGCTCTCTCCGCGTCCGCTTCCTACGCATTCCAACCAACGACCTGCAGCACTAGTAACGCGACCTTGAAAGTTGACGGAACTGGATTGGCGATATGGACTCTGGATCTGTTGGAAGCATTGAACTTGAAGCTTCAAGCTCTGGCCTAAAACTGCGCCAGTGACCTTTAAATCAAGTGATTCAAGTCTTTCCTACCGAAATGCTGTGCTGTAAACCACAAATCCGAAACACCTTTCTGCACATCATTCGGGTCCAGGGTCAACTGCAAGTGTAAACGGTGATATTCCAGAAGTGTGCAACAAAATTTAAAACAAACAACTGCCTCATATACGACCGCGGCAACCATCCACGGGAACTAACAAATTGTTAACTTGAAGATAGGCAGGGCTGCTTTGGCAGTACCAACGGAAAGCCGACTGCATGTTCGACGGACTCAGAAGTTAGAACTGTGGCTCCATTTGACCTATCAACTCGACCGGGAATGCAATCAAGAGCTGTTCATTTGTCTTCGAGTTGCCTTCGTGCAACACATACGTCGCCGTGGAGGCTTCAAGTTGCCACCGACAACCGAATCCTTTCGAAGAATTGATGAGCGGTGTCCAAATAGCCTTCAACCTCAAGGCATAATTCCAATCACAGGCAAGGGCAAGTGAGTTTCAGGGGTCATGGGCGGCACTACTTGATTATTTGCGAGTACAGAGGAGATGCCATAAAAAATGCGCATCGTGAGCACTGAACCTTTACCGCTGCGTAAGCTTCTCACCCGACATGTCCTACATCAATCTAACATCGGCGTCTCAGGACTCTTTCCAATTGCGCAGACACCTCAGCTCGCCGTCGAATCGTATCAAGATTCACCGACTCTGCCGGCATCGTAAATCTCGTTCATGATCAACCGGTGTGAGTAAGGACATTCTTGCTGCTTCTATTAGAACCGTCCAGGAATGCGTATCGTCATACAGGTAGGTAGCAGACAAATGAAATCCCATCCACGCACGCCGAATGTGTGCCGTGCTATTTCTTCACACTTTCTTCAGGTATCCTTTCGGTCTCAGCACGGCATTCCAAATCTCTGCATATAGGTCATGGTAACTCGTTTCGATGCATGCCTAATCAATTCCTCTGACTATTCTGTCCTGATTATCCGGCGCGAAACTCGGGAATTCTCGGCGGTTTAACAGTGTTCAAGTTCCCGACCATTGGGCTGCACTAGAATTAAACGCCACATGGACTATGACGCTTCTCTTTCGCCATCTTTTTTGGACGGTCTCACCACGGCAATAAGAACCACATCAAGTCACGCTATTAGCCTTCGTCATTTGGCGCAAGGTACACACGATTTACCCTATCGGATGGCTTTTGCGAGGCCCGGGGCACCAGTTCAAAATTAAATGAACCCCGGGTACCGACTACAACAGATCCCACCACTGGCACTCGTTCATGTTGTCCACTCAAGTCGGACGAGCAGATAAACAAACCATTCTCTCCCTCCCGCGGACCAGTATCGAACATGCGACGAAAAATTGATCTAGCATTCGGTCTGTTCGTTGACAAACACTGGCCAGCCTGAGGGACCTTGAATAATGAATGCGCGCGGGCGATCAAGACCGAGGCGGGGAGTTGCGCACTCCATCTGTGTGGCGGCGAGTTACCGGGGGGCTTCCGGGCGGGACTCGGGAATCGGGACCGTGCGCCGGCTGGCGTGTTCAGTCAGGGCTTGTTGACATGTAGCAGTCGGGGGTAGGTCAAAGTCCATGATGATACAAGCGCTTCCCAGTGAGTGCCACTCGTCATTGCTTTCCGCTTGCATTGAATTGCTCAATATCACTGGCACTTTTTCAGGCAGCCGGCTTGATATTCTGCTCCAGTCTCCTTCTATGGAGATGGGATAGACAAGATGCACAAGACAACGGACCGGTGTCAGGATGCCTCCAAAAAGGGTCGAAGTATTCCTGACTAGAGGAAGGCAGTTTAGCTGATAATCTTGCCACAGGCGTTTCAGGTGCGAGTCCCGCGGCCCGGGAGGCTTCTGGGATGCATACTGTGCTCGGCCTGTCCGGACCTTGGCAAGCTTGAAGGAGCACGGGCGTCGTAAAATTGCTGATTGACTTTATCGGCAACTTCATCATTCTTTGCGTTCAATACTCGCCAAGAATGACAATGGCCATTGATGCCTGTAAGTGCTACACATTTGGACCGCTATGTATGATGTGTGAGGACTCATCGACTTGTAGGCTCTTCCAATCTGTTCATAACACCACTGATATCGCGTCGGAACGCAATCACGATCTCTCAGGATCAGAATGAATCCCTTATGTGCAAGGAATCCTCTTTGGGCTGGGGAAAGCAACAAATGATTGGGACCCGTAGCCGGGGTCATTGTCTCTCGAGCCACTCTAGCCCAATATAATGCTCGCTTGACGCCGAGGCCCGTGGATTTCCGATGATGCTCATCAACAAAATTAATGCACCGGCTTTTGTGCAAACAGATCTGCTCAACCAATTCTCGAACTGTTGACCTGGACCATTTATGTGACTCTTCTATATACATACGGGTCAGTCATGGTCCGAGGTCTGTGTTGCAATGCTTATCTCAAGATTCACTGGCAGGGCATCCATGCGTTCGACGTTCACCGTGACGTTTGCAGCGAGCGGACACAACTGCCTGCCGGGACCCCTCGGCCGAAAATACTGGCTCACCTCCGTTGCCAATGGCGGCATTTGCCTGACCTCGCGCGTATCAACAGTCGTCGGCCAACATCTCCAGAGTTTTGAGGCAGTGCTGCTGATGGCATCAATTGTTTCATCCCTCAAGGCTCAGACTCGTTCACGGACCCTCAAAAGTGCATCGCTCTTGACGATACTTATCATCACTTCGCCTCAAGACAGCTTTTGCGCAGTCAAGTACCACAAGTCGGGTGTCTATTATTCTCCACCATTCCTAAGGTAACGGCGACGCCGACCGGCGCACAGGCAGTTCCATTACTCTAAATCACCATTGTTGTCATTGGCTATTAGCGCGGCTGTTGACCACTACTCAACAAACGTGGCCTTTGTCTGCGGTCTTATTTAAGAGTGGCGCTGGGCTCGCGCAGCCCACCAATTATTCTTCCTCCCCAGAACCTCACCATAATGCAGCGCGAAGCGATACAAATTGCAAGTGCGTGAAACGCGTTCCTGCTCACCCACTGCCCACTCATGTGTTATGCTCCAGCTCTCTTTGAGAAACCCCAATCAAGCGCGCGAAGTCCGCTCTCGCCGATACCCGTGCCGAACGAGAACGCCAGCGCGGCTGCCGCCATAAGTGTTGATCCGAAGTCAGCGTTGGGGAAGGAGGTTATAACTCGCCCAGCGACTCGAACTAGGCGACGGCGAGAAATAATGGACTCCTCTGATGAGTCAAGCCCGTCATCTTCTAGTTCAGGCCCGAGCCTCAGATTTCTCGTGTCGCGGAAGGACAACAATTTCAACGAAAGCGAAGTGACGGAAATCTCAAGTCCGGGGAGCTTTGCAGGTACCCAAGAAGAGGACGAGCCACGACGTGCGTTATTAACCAGAATTGTGGCGTCTATATCCATCTTACTGACTTCGAGCCAGCAATTGGGTTCAAATGGATTCTGGGTGAAAGGCTGAGAAAGCGGAAGAACACCTTTCTTGCACTGAATCAAACGACCGGCGAACTGGTAGTCGCTAAACAATACACCTTTGATACGACAAGACGACCAGGAAGGCCGAGTCAACCGTCGATAAAGCGGGAAGTCGCGCTGATGCAACGGGTTGCTCATCCCCACCTGGCCCAAATCATCGGATGCGATGTGGATGTAGAGAGCAGTTTCTTCGTGTGCGTGTTAGTCGGGTCACTGCCTGCTCTATTCCTAACCTTTCGTCATCTAGACTGTCTGAAATTGTTGTCGGACAGACTGTGCGAGACAAACGCAATGCAGGGCCACTGTCTGAACCAGATGTTCGCCGCATCACGTCTCAGGTTCTCGACGCATTAGTTTATCTGCATAGTCAAGACATCGTTCATGGCGTTGGTACTCCTCAGACTGACACTCTCTTGATCTGACTTTATTTTTAGAACCTCAAGTCGAGCAAAGTTTACTTCGGGGCAGATGGCGTTTGCAAGATCACTGGTCTTGGGTGCTCTACCGCCTGCAAGCGGGACCATTCTCGCGCTGTACCGAAAGCGATTTGGTGGACCGCACCGGAGATCATTCGGACACAATACCAGGAATGGGGACCCCCAGCAGACGTATGGAGTGTAGGCTGTTTGCTGTTGGAGATGTTGTCAGGGAAACGACCCTGGTTCGACACAGAGGCCGTCGCCGTGATGTTCAAGGTATAATTTCCGGCCATTGTCGTTGGCAAAGGGATTCACTGATGCTCCACCCATAGCTCTATCACCAGACGGCGCGACCTGCTGTGCCGCCGGATGTTACACTGGACTCCGGGGCACTGGACCTCTTGGATAAGTGTCTTGCGCTGTAAGTCATTCTCAGCCAAATGCCACATATAAGTTCACTCACATATCATTTGCTTACTAGCCAACCACAGGACAGGATGACCGCGACGCAGCTGCGGCAAGCCCCATTCCTGCAAGTTGTTGACTGAGCGTTCCTTTGCGCATACCTTTTCTCGACTCCTAACTTATGACTACGAACTTTCGGCCAGAATAACTTATTCATTTGTACTTGGAGCTCACGAATCACGATCATGATGGCGTCTAGGTTTATTATTTGTACACTATTTATCGTTTAATTTGTTGTATATATAAGGGAATGCCAGGGAAAATGTATTTGTACCAGGTCTACCGCCGTGCCAGGACTATTTTTGACCTCAGGCTGGGAACTTAGACTTGACTGAGCTCAGAACATTCAGATGTTCATGGCAGCAGTCACTGGCATGCACTGCTTGAGTGGCCGCTCAAGCGCTCAAGATTGACAATCAGGCGGAAGAATTTAGACTGTTCAACTTGTCCATTTGAAACTTCAACTGGGAACCTGACGACACTGTGCAGAAAATAGTTACCGTCAGAGCTGGGGCCACGTGATGGCGTTTAGTAGTCTTGGCGAACGCTTCGCTTTCGTCTCAACGACGCCATGCATCCCGTTTCGGAGGCGGGATCGGCCATCGCCAACCCTTTGCGAGCTTCACGCGAGGTCTTTTTCGTGCCCTAATTTCGCTTGGGCTCCAGCTGCTCCACTGCCAATGCCCAGTTCATCGATGCCCTTCCATTCCGGCGTCCTTACGTGTAGCAGCATGTTGCCAAGTATGGGCAATAGCGCCGCATAGAGGCGCCTGCGAGGCTGGGAGTGCGAGGCTACTGTCGAGCCTCCGCCAAATCAGGCGCTCTCACGTGGAAGACTACGCAACTCTCTTTCCTCCCCCCATCACCACTACCATGTCCTCTCCCTCCAAACCCGTCAACATCGTTCGACGGACACCGGAGAGGCCGGAGGAAGTTGCGGGCTCGGTGACTACACCCTATGGCACGCCTGATATTCGGGTTTTACGAGCGCAGTATGTTGGCACACCACCGCCCCCTAATATTCCGCTTCGAAATGGGTCTCCAGCTTTGGCTGTACGCCATAGGCCGTCAGATGCATCCATGAAGCCGCCTGTAGAGGGTTTTCCAGGCTCGTACGGAGTGGGTGGAGGATTTCGGGTTGGGACTCCTAGTGCTGTTGAGGCTGCGGCTGCCAGTGCCGACCTGGAGAATTTACCAGAAGAGGAGATGGCCAGAGTTCTACGACGCCACCTCGTATCCCGACAAGAGCGGGAGAATCCGGCTGACGCAAAGCCAACGAACAGCACTACGCCTGAGTTGGACGTTCCCAATGATGACTCCCAGACCGGATCTCGCAAGTCGTCTATCAGAGCAGTGCAAAGGGAGGAGACTGAGGCGTTTCCGATACCCTACCATGCTGCGGGCGCGGATGTAACGTGCGTGGTCACCAATCTTCTTGGATACCAACTGCAGCTGAATCTTACCCAGACATGACATTTACAAGTGGCAGTCGGACCAACGGAAACTGGGAGCGCGTGGTCGTGCTGCTTCTGTCATCGTCCCACGACAAACGACACCAGACCCTGCGTTTGAGCATATCCATGAGCCAGGCGGCTTCCGCAGGAATTATGTCATTCTACGTGCTAATGAGCGTGGCGAGGAGGAACCCCAGTTGCTCAACAACTTTGTCGAGTTCTTGTACATCTTCGGCCACTTTGTGCGTTATGTCTCTTTCCTTCACAAATTAATGCTCATCCGTTCAGGCTGGTGAAGACCTTGAAGAAGACGATGAGGACGAAGACGATGAAGAAATGGGTCCTGATGCTGTACCAAACGAGACTGCTCCGCTATTAGGAGCATCTGCCTTGTCTAGGTCCCGGTCCCGGTCAAGGCGGAGACGGTCATCGCTATCCAGGGCGAGAAATGGGACGGCTACAGTTGGCCAGGCGTATCTAATGGTTTGTGCTTTTTGTGCTTTTACGCCTTTTCTCTCTTAACTTTTTTGCCAGCTGCTCAAGGCCTTTGTTGGTACTGGTGTGCTTTTCCTCGGAAAAGGGTGTGTTATTCTCTATTTTGTTCTTCGCGACCTGACCGCTTCAGCTTCTACAACGGCGGGCTGCTCTTCTCCTCAATACTTTTCGTGTTCATTGCTTTCATTTCGCTATACTCGTTCCTCCTACTGGTCTACACCAAATTCGTTGTCTCTGGCAGTTTTGGAGGTCAGTTTATGCTTTTGTTTGCATACCCTGCTCCATATTCATCTTTTCACAGACATTGGGGGCACATTATATGGCCCGTGGATGCGCTACCTCATCCTTGGCTCCATTATAGTCTCGCAAATCGGCTTCGTCGCCGCTTACATCATCTTCGTCTCGCAGAACCTACAAGCACTCGTCATGGGCATCACCCATTGTCTCAAGCTGATCCCCATCCAATACTTCATTCTCGCACAACTCGTCGTATTCCTGCCCTTGGTTCTATTCCGCGACCTCGCCAAACTCAGCTCGACAGCGCTGGTGGCTGACGCGTTCATTCTCGTCGGACTGGTGTATATCTTTGGGTCAGAAATATCGATCATTAGCCAGCGCGGGATTGCGGACGTGAAGATGTTCAACCCGAAGGACTTTTCGCTGTTCGTGGGTGTAGCGGTCTATTCGTTCGAGGGTATTGGCATGGTCATACCAATCACCGATGCGATGCGGGAGCCACACAAGTTTCCCAAGGTGCTGACAGGCGTTATGTGCATCGTCTTAGTCCTCTTTGGCGGAGCTGGTGCCCTTGCATATCTCACTTTCGGCTCAGAAGTTCAGACGGTCGTGCTTGTCAACCTTGACGCGGAGAGCAAGATGGTCCAGTCTGTCCAATTTATCTACTCGATTGCCATCATGCTCTCCGTGCCCTTGCAACTCTTTCCCGCCATCCGGATCATGGAGAACGGGCTGTTTACGAGGAGCGGCAAGGCGGACTTCCGGGTTAAATGGACAAAGAACATGTTCCGCTTCGCGACAGTGTTTTTCGCGGCAACCTTATCGTGGCTCGGCGCGGCGGACCTGGACAAGTTTGTCGCGTTCATTGGGTGCTTCGCATGGTCGGTTCATTACCCCATCACCAACCTTCCGCTGACCCGTGCACAGTGTCCCGTTATGCTATGTCTACCCCGCGATGCTGCACTACAAAGCATGTGCTGACACGCCGAGGAAGAAGGCGATCGACATTGCGATGATCGTGTTTGGGCTGGTTGCGGCTGCGTATACGACGATCCAGACGGTCAAGGTAGCGTTTCTATTGTTCTTTGGTGGTGTGATGGCTAATGAGTGCGCCAGCTTATGTTCGAGCCGGAGGCGGGCGGGCCGCCGGTGTTTGGGAATTGCGATGTGCCTGGGGCGTGAGGTAAATCTAAGGGTCGCAGAGGTCGCGGAGGAAATAGCCTTACTATACAATGGATCTAGAAAGATACTACCATCGAGCTTGACTTGCTTGGCCCACATATCCAAACTGGAAATTATTCATCTGAACTTTTATCTGATAAATTTAGAATCACATGGGGTTTCAGTGAGAAAATGGTCCCCTAAGCAGAATCTACATATGAGAAATAGTAGCCCAAAACAAGAGCCTTTTTTGCTGCTTTGATTTATACAAGAAATCAAGTACTCTATTGGATTATTAAATATAGCATATATTGTGACTACCCTTGTCACGGATAAGACCCGGCCTGTCTGCTCCGGCCCTGGTGTCCGATTTCGGGCCTGTAATAGGCAGCACATGACGACAGGGAACAGGCACCCCAGTAGGAGGAATGCATATGTGGGAAGCACATGACCGAGAATGACACATTGAGCCGTTGCCAAGCCCAACTCGACACCAGGGGACTGGGGAGGAGTGCTAGGAGGTTAGGAGTAGCATCTGGCCTGCAAGGGATGTACGATCGTCCCCTTGTCTAATTACCTCTTTGCGGGCCTGCATATATAAAGCACAATAGTGTACTCTGTACTCTATTGCTTAGATCATCTAAAGTACTGCTTCTCTCCATGCAAGGAGGTACTGCTGGCGGCTAATTGTGCCTGAAACGACCTGATTCGAACTTCGACAACCGACAACGACAAGGGAACATCTTAACGGGCCCTTTCAGTTCAACTCCACTCTGCTCACATTGCTTGCAGGCCTGATAATTGGTCTGTTCTGTTCTGGGCATGTGTTCTTCAGAGAAGCCTTGCATAGCCCAACCCAAAGCCTGACAACCCTCTTCCTGACCATGTTTTGTACACAATAGGTGTACCTCATTTGAGCCCAAATATGTGTCAAAAAATATTGACACATTATTATTACCCCAATTTGTCATACATAAGGTGATTTGTCATATATAATGACACTTTGTCACTTATTTCTAATATATCAGATACACTTTGGTGCTGTCCCTGATTTTTGATATATATATAGTCTTGTATCTTGTGGCATATTTAGTGCATTTATTTGCTCCAACTTGTAGCCACAAAATGTCAGCTAATATTGGCTTCAAGTTAAGTCCAATCCAATAACTTAATTTATGCCCCAACTTCTTACAAATCAAGTCTACTTTCCAGGAGTTTTATTTGTTATCTTTCCAAGTTGTTGAAACATACTTCTTTTTTGTCCACTATTTATTATAAATAAATCCTACTTTGGGGTTTATTTTTGGGCAGAAACCCTAGTGTGAATACTTGTCCCCTACTTGAAAAATCAATAAAATTGGCAAAGTATGATTCCCAGCTTATTTCCAGTCTAGAATTGTTATAATTTAAAAACATCACAGTATTTTAAAAGATACTAGAGGTACAAAAGTTGGTCAGTATGTTAAACCTTCCTACCCTACCTATGTACTCAAGCACATCACCAATCCATAGTAAACCAGTTATATTATCTCTGAGAATCTCACATTCTCTATGATATCCAGTGTAAGTCCCTGTGTCTTGCATAGCTGCATAGTCTCATTGGAAATGGTAAATGTCCCATTAACAGGCATTGAGGTCCCCAGTGTCAATTTCTGAAGTTTTGAAGTTCTGTGATTGTAGCAAGAAAGAAGTTGGGAAATAACATCATCTATAATCTGCTTTTGGAAGATAGGTCCATGTATGGTGAGAAAGTGCAATTTTGTGAAAAGATGGAGATGAGAGAGTTGACAGGAAAAATCTACACAATGGGTTGACTGGCTGAAGCTGATTTTAAGACTGACTAACTCCTGCAGAGCTTGAGATTCTAAGAACTCCACCAATAATGTTTGTATATCATATCCACCATTATCAGAAATTTCCCCAATTGTGAGATGTTTGAGTTGACAAGCAGATCTGGAGACAAATGTATTGATATACTGAACACAACTATAACCGGAATGAGTAGTAAATGACAAACTCTCCAGAAATGGTGCTTGAAGTGAGCCCAGAATATACTTTCCAAACTGTGCATCCCAAACACAATACAAGGTTAATTTTTTGATTTTTGTTTGTACTTGAAATGAGACACCCAAGTCTTCAGAGTGATATTCTCCTGACTCATGGCTAGATAGATAAAGATGTGTAGAAGGATGAAGTTGAGAAAATAGTTGTGGGATATCTTGAAGGCAAGGAATATGGATATATAATGTTTGAAGTTGTGGGAGTAAACCATATAGTTCTTGTGGAATAGCTTTCTTCTTTAGTGATAACACCAACTCTTTCAAAGCAGGTAATGTTGCTGCAAAGTTTATTCCACCAGTATCAATACTGCTAGGATCCCAGTGGGAAGAATTTGCTATAATTTCAAGTTTCTGAAGAGCACCAAATTTCTGCATTTGACTTGTATTGCCACCATGAAATATCTTGAATTGTTCTGATTTTTCTGGAGCATAAAGTGATAAATTTTTCCATCGCGAAGATGTGGGAAGTATCATAGTGAAGAGCTCTTTGTTTTCACTACCATATAGTGAGCAAGAGAGTAGAGCTTGGCTAGAATTCTGAATCTGTAGTGCAATACGTGATTGACAATATTCAGATCCAAGCCAATATGCACGAGAATCAGTTGTTTGTAAATTGGTCCAAAATAAAGGGCATGAGAAGATAATATCACGCCACTGTTTACAAACAGTGGCTAGTTCCATTACTGTTTTGTATTTTGGCAAGTTATAACCAGTGCACAAAAGAAAGATTTCAATAAGCACATCATCTGGTATTTGGCGCCGATTTGAGACAATACCTTGATGCACTGAAATAAAATTATCTAGTTCAGCTTTCTGTATCTCAAGTTGAGCCAGCCTAGAATGCAATTGTATGACTTCACTCTCAAGAGCTTGTCTGCTGTTCTCTGCTTCCTGTATGGCTTGATCAATGACTGCAACTTGAGCTTTGGAAATGTCATCAGGATTGACAGTAGAGCGCCAGAGTTCAAGTTCTGCATATGGTGCAAGAGGAACTTGATATACATTGGGTTTGTTACAACTTGGGCAAGCTTGGGTAGAAGCTCTGACAATGTAAGTTTACACATGAGTCTCTGGTGCTTAGACTTAGCGGACTCACTCGGGTGGTTGAGACATGGTAGAGTAGTGAGAGTGTGGCCGCCACGTTGCAGCCTCATGGCATTTGTGACTGCTCGGCAGTCACACTCTGAATCACTACTTCAAGTTATTTCATTCAACTGAGAGGAAATAAGTGCTTGAATAGAGGTTATTAGCAGCCCTGATTCTAGCAAAATATAGAGGACTGATGCATGAAAACTAAGAATGATTTAAGCTCCACTTGTAAATTTTGGGAGAAAAGTGCCCGGTTGCGTGGCAGGGAGAAGTGGTAATGTTCTAAAAGATGTAAGAAAAACAACTCCACCTTTCAGTTGATTGACCACAAGTTACAAGGTAAACCAAAATTTATAAACCCGTTTTTTTTCGCTGCTGATAACCTCTAATGGCCAAATGTATATCTATCTGATCGAAGCAAATTAAAGAAATTTACACTCTATGACCCAATTTACTCCGACCAGAGCATCTTATCGTTTACGATGGCATTGATCGGACTCACGAGACCGTGTGATGTGACTATGCAGAGTTGTGACTCTTTTTGATCTAGATTTTCACCTTTCCCCTCAAGACCTCCGCCGCAAGAATGGCCTCCCGTCCAACTGTCAGCGTTCATGGCGCCTCTGGCGGTGAGTCTATCGTTTGCTTTTTGACTGCTCTGATCTCTGCGTTAGAGGCGTCCACCTCGCTTCCTCTTCCCGCTGTTTTGACCGCCCCCATTCGTCTGGATGTTGTGTCGCAGGTTCACAGTATGTTTGAGACTCTTGTCGATGTGCAGGAGGTTCATTAGCTATCCAGAGAGCATCGCGAAGAACCGCCGTCAGGCCTACGCCGTATCGGAGAAGGCTGGTCACCAAACCTCAGCTGAATCTTGGGGTACTGGTCGTGCCGTTGCGCGTATTCCTCGTGTTGGAGGCTCAGGCACCCACCGTGCTGGTCAGGTGCGTTATATTACCTCTTGTTACAATCGGGCTTTGACATGGTATTTTAGGCCGCGTTTGGCAACATGTGCCGTGGTGGTCGTATGTTTGCGCCAACGAAGACCTGGCGCAAATGGCACGTCAAGGTCAACCAAAACCAACGCCGCTTTGCCGTTGTCTCCGCCCTTGCCGCTTCTGCCCTCCCCTCCCTAGTTCTTGCTCGTGGCCACCGTATCGAGCAGATCGCTGAAGTCCCCCTTGTTGTTCCTTCGGCTGTCGAATCTTTCCAAAAGACCAAGGAAGCTGTTGCTCTCTTGAAAAGCCTCAATGCCTATGCCGATGTGGTCAAAGTGTCGAATTCGCGCAAACTCCGAGCTGGAAAGGGCAAAATGCGCAATCGGCGCCACCGTCAGCGTCGTGGCCCGCTTGTTGTGTACGACGAAGACAAGGGCATTTCCAAAGCCTTCCGCAACTTGCCTGGTGTTGAGATCGTCAACGTCCGCCGGTTGAACCTTCTCCAGTTGGCTCCTGGTGGCCATCTTGGTCGTTTTGTCATCTGGACTGAGGGTGCATTTGGCTTGCTTGACCAAGTCTTCGGCACTTTCGACAAGGTCTCCACCTTCAAGAAGGACTACCTGTATGGTCGTTTCCTCTGATATATGCAACATATCTTGACCGTTTTGCCAGTCTGCCAACGTCGAAGATCACCAACCCTGATGTCACCCGACTCATCAACTCAGACGAAATCCAGTCTGTTGTCCGTCCTGCTGGTCAAAAGGTTCAGAAGCGCCCATGGACACAAAAGAAGAACCCGCTCGTCAACAAGGCGGTCCTCTTCCGACTCAACCCCTACGCCAAGTCCATCCGCCGGCACGAATTGCGTATGTCTTTTTGCATTACCTTGTGCAGTCGTTGACCACGATTTATCTACAGTCAAGCAAGAGCGTCTCAAGAAGAAGAACGCCAAGAAGCCCAAGCAGCCTTCCGCTGCTGGCGAAGCTTTCTCGGGCACTTTGTTCGCGCCTTGAGCGTGTGGGTAGTTCATATATGTTGTCCGTGTACTGCGTACGTTTATGATGCCAATGCTATGTGCTCATGCTCTCTACGCTGACGATTTGGTCACCTGGACTTTGCTTCCGCCTGAGACATGGATCACGAACTAGAAAATTGCTCACTCCCCTGATTGTCTTACCTTCTTCCTCCCACTACCATGTCGTCGATTCCTCGCATAAACTGGAAGGCCATCCCGCAGACATCCTGGCACAAAATCTACGTCGGCGTGGTGCTCTTATTCACGTTCTACCTCCTCGCCAACACCGCTCGCAGCTATAACGGCTCCAAAAAATTTCACGACGTCCTCGCGACACCTGCTTGGGATCGGCCTGCGCTTCTCCAAAGGCCTGGGACGAGTCGACTGGTTCGGACCCTAGAAGGCAATGAACGGCGATACCAAGAAACGATCCTCAAACGCGCGCTGGTCATCGAGAAAGAGGGCGGGAAGTATATTGTTCCGTGTGTTTTTCTACGTCGCCCTCCTCGCTCGCCTGCTGACTGGGTTATAACTAGATTTCCACCGCCTCGCTCCAAGTTCTACGTTCTTTGGGACTTTTTCATTCCCGCCTTTACTTGTCCGTTCCCCACATATCGCGTCGGTAAGCAACGCAACTTGTTTACGCGACTCGCCTAGTCTTAATTCACTTACAAGGCACCCTCGTTGAAGGCGGGTTGTGGGTCTGTGGATTGGAGCGTGTTCTGAACAGTCGACCCAAACCAATCGTCTATTCCCTCAACTACGCAACTCCCGCTTACTCCAGCTTCGAGCAAGACATGTTGCGTCGTTCCCCGGGATGTGAAATATACGGTAAAGGAGCGGTTTTCTATGTCTTGTCTTGTTCACCATCTTCCAGGCTTTGACGCCAACGCGACGGCAATTGGCGCTCTCCGCTGGCCCTGGGGCGACGCCAACAACATGCAGTCTGACGCGCGTGTCCATTTCAACAAATTCGGGATTGCCGACAACAATGCAACTCAGTACCGCTCGCTGGACAGCGTCATGAAGCATTTCGGACACGACTTTGTCGACATTCTCAGAATCGACCTCGAGGGTGGCGAGTTTCCCGTGCTCACGTCTATGATTGCGGACAACGGCGACAAACCGCTTCCGTTTGGTCAACTGCTGCTCGAGTTTCATGTTGGGTGGTCGGAAGGTGCGTCTTGCTGCTGTCCGAAACATGACTCTAATTGGGTAGACATGAGCACTGTCGACAAATTTTCGAAATGGTGGGAGCGTCTCGAGCGTGCAGGGTTGCGGCCATTCTACTTTGAGATCAGCATGATGGACGTGAACAACATGCGCAAAGAGCCTGCCGTTGTCTACGTGCGTCATTTTCCCTTGTCTTGCTTATTGTTAACACGTTGTGATAGTTCTCGTTTATCAACATTCGCGGACGACATGCGTTGTTGGACGATAGCTTGCCCGAGTACCCGTAGAGGTCATTCTCTTTACTTTCTTTTGGACATTGGTATTCAGAAAAGCTCGGAACGGTACATAGTTGGTACCAGATGTATTGGCGTCGAAAACTTGGTAATTATGTGTATTCGTCAGACTAAATTTTGAGTTGTCGTACAAAGAAGCTACGAAAAGTGCTTAAGAACACCCTCTTGAATAAACTGATCCAATGTGCCGAACTTGACGCCGAGAGCGACGAGTTTGGGATTCGGGACTGCATCAGGATACATGTCGTACTTGGCTTGATAGAGGAACTGAAGCGCGGGGGTAAGATGCAGGACCACGAGCAGGAGAATGCACACACCATCTCGTCGAGCTCTGCCATGCCGGTTGTCTCGACGCTGAAGAAATTGACAGGCTTGTTGAGCGCTACGAGTTGCCGTGTGAGTTGGCTGCTGGGATGGGAGAAGAAGTGGGGCAACATACCCTTGGAGATCGCCGCGGCGAGGTCGGGGTAGGTGAACTGCAGGGTGATGACGGGGAAGGACCCGCCGAGAACGCCAACTTCTTTGCCTTTGTCGGTGTTGTAGTTTTTTGCGAGTGCAAGGACAGCCGGGCCGAGGTCGTTCTTGACCCAGGTCGCCTGCTGTGTGTCTGTGGGCCCGTATTTGGGGATGGGGATGGTGTAGCCGTTGCCAGACTCGGCGGGGACCATGCTGCCGAATGCCCACAAGTTCTCGCTGAACCACCCGGTGTAGACGATTGAGTAGGGCACGCCGGATGCAGCGAGGTAGTCGCCGATAATGGCTTTGTCTGAGAAAGCGTGAGTATTCTGCTGGAGAGCATCGGGAGGTTACGCACTGTCGCAGTGGTAGACGTGTTTGTAGAGGCCTTTGGTTGCCTCGGAGATGTTGGGCAGCGAACTGGTCGCCGTCAGATGGCGTTTTGTGTAGCATTAAATGACGCACCTCCACAAGAGGTACTTGACGCCCTCTTCCTTCGCAGCATCGACGAGGTTTTTGCCCTGTGTGATCTCTCCAGCGCCCTTGGGGTCGGCGGGGAAGATAGCGGGGTCCCAGAAGTTGGTTACCTGTTCCAAGCTATGTCGCGAATTAGCCCAAAAACAAAAGCACGCACGCCAAAGACAATCTCGCTTCCACGGACGGCCTTCTTGAGCGACTCTTTGTCAAACAGGTCGGCAGAGACGACTTCGACGCCTCTGGCGATCAGGGCCTTGCTCGCGTCAGAGTCGACATTGCGAGAGACAGCGCGGAGAGTAAAGGTTCCGTCAGCGAGGGCGGATTCGACGACAGCAGCACCTAGAGCATAGTAGTTAGCGAGAAAAACGCGCTCAAAAGCTGAGGACACGCACCCTGCCTCCCGGTCGCGCCGAAGATAGTGAAAATGCGTTTAGACATTGCAGCAATCGGTTGGAGTGTTCAAATGAACTGAGCATTGTCGCGCTTCTCGAGGCCATTTATACCGTCCCCAGCCTGGGACTTGCAGCAGCGACTCAATGGTAGCTGAGTCGTCTTCTGCGACGTCGTGGATTCTAACCAGGATTGCTCAGCGAAAGCGGTGGTGCGCTGCGGTGATGCGCTTTTGGCAGGACCTGTGACCCTGAGAAACTCACTGGCATCATCCCATTCAGTACTTACCTTATCCTGCTGGGGCGTTAAGTACTTTCGATGGGCACTCAACATTGAGTGCATACCATGCAGCTGCTGGGCCAGCGCTGCAAGTCGTAGTTAGTCGCGTCATGTCACATGTAGTCACATCATCTGAGCTTTTGCCTTCGACCACCCTACACAACAATACGGCGACAATCAGCTAATTCGACAAGGGCGGCCTTGAATACTACCAGCCACTCAACTCCCTCGCGCTAGAAGCACCAGCGGCTGTTCTACTGCCGGACTCCTCATCTACCCTCCCTGTCCAGTCACTCCAGTGTCGACATTAACTCCCTCGCCCCACAAACTAGCCCATCGAGCCCCAACAACCGCATACCAGTACGAAACTTGTTTTTTTTCTCAGTTATCGGCGAGTACTGATTGTCAGTGCCATGTATGATAGTAAGTAGCTGTTGCTACTAGTCACTGCTGACTAGTAACTACCGCCCGAATTGCATTGGACTTGGTACTAGGACAGGCCGCGGCAAGAGGATTCAAAGGGGTGATACTATTCAGCGAACACTTCTCCAAGTCCCCGATTCAGTTTTCAAGTTACTTGAAAAAAAAACAGTGTCCGTTACTACGCTTTCTGGCAGTTTCTGCCAGTGCATTCAAGGAAGTAAGGTCCTGCCGTGTTGCTTCTTCGAACAATCCACCCCGAGCTAGGAACCCTGCTGGCGATCGCTTCAATGCACCGAAGTATAAGAACTCCAGCTTCTCGCTGCCTCAATGCTCTCCTGTCTTCTCGTCAATTTACGCTATGAAGCTCTCCATTGCCGCAATCCTCCTCCTCCCCGTGGTGTACACAACGTCGACAGCCATCCCAATGCCAGTCACCCAAGGAAATCTGTGTGTTCCTACTTCTCCCTCTCATCATACGGCCTGGCCAAACGAGACAGACTTATGTGTGTCGATATCAACTTCCACGGGGCCTGCACCACTGCGCACGGTGCGAGCGGGAAGTGCGTTGGCGTTCCTGACGGCTTCAACGACAACGTCTCGTCCGTTCGCCCCGATTCCGGGCAGGACTGCTTTCTATTTGAGTGCGCGTTTTCGCCGATGCATCGTTGCGGCTAGTCCTGATGATGGCGACAGGAACATCGACTGCACGGGCGGAAAGCTCGGCCCGATCCGCAACCCCGGTGTGTCGGACCTCCGCGGCGTCTCCTTCAACGACGAGATGTCTGCGTTCAAGTGGGTTGTGCTTTTCGGTCGAGACGGGGCAATGCTGACGCTGGCTTTGTAGATGCTTCTACGGATAGTTTAGAAAAAGAAGGCAGCAGTAGTAATATAAAACACATCACAACTTGATTTATTATGATGCACCAGCAAACTCATAGTACTTCAATGGTTATTGTGGAATATCTGGGATGATGATATCGACTTCAACCAGAATGCCTGATTTCCAAAGTGACTGTTGTCGTGTGGTCATCACTGGCAAAACATTGTCAAAGCGGTTGTTGAGGTATAGCTTTGCGTGGGCTCCCCAGATTGGTGCTGGCCAGAATTACAGTCACGGCGAGAATGTAGTCCCCCCCATTTTAGGCAGTCACATCAATTAATATAGTATTTTACCATCAAATTGAGCGATAAAAATGCACTTTCTTCAAGATACAGCAGAATACAGCCAAGATGAGTAGGTATGATACATTAGAGTGCATTAGTAGTCAGTCCAGTGGAATTTATTAGCTTTCAGAGCCTGTAAATGACAAGGAAAGGACTTGTAGCAATAAATAGCATACTCCACAAAGTCGGCCGAGTTCCAAACTTCCTTGGCAATAGTGAAGGCATCCTCCACTGTCTTGGCATCGGCAAAGCGAGGGTGCTTGCACATCTCGTGTTTCAAATGTGCCCAGCAGTTTTTGATGGGAGAGAGGTCCGGTGATTTGGGTAGCCAATACATTGGATCGATGACCTTGTCGTAGAAGAACTCCTTCGTGTGGAGCGCAGTGTGTGTGGGAGCATTGTCTTGCTGAAAGACGATCTGTGAGGCACGGAATGTGGGATGGGAGTTGTAGTGGTCAAGGTCTGTAAGGGCAACCCTGGAGACTCCGACGAAAGCCTAGCAGGGGAGGATCCAAAGAGTGAATAAGACTACAGGAAATACACGGAGGGACCGACCTAGCAGGGGAGGATCTAAAGAGAAGAAACTCTAAGGGTCTGCTTGCTAGGGCGCCAACTATATACTGGTCGTCCGTAACTGCCGACGTAGAGTGCAGAAGGCCTGAGCGGCGTTGCAGGCTCTGTCTTAAGGTGATCGTTGGGAGGGTCTTGACGGGAAGCCTTCGGAGGGCCTTCGTGCGGCAGCATAAGTCGCAGGTCGCGACGTAGCGTCCGATATGGCGAGACATCTGCGGCCACCAGTAGTTGCGCGAAACCAACTCTAAGATCTTGAACCGCCCGGTGTGTCCGGCGACTCGCGTATCGTGGCAGAGCTCGATGATGCGCCTCCTTAGGTCCTTGTCTTTGGGGACTACAACCTTGCCGCGGAAGTACAGGAGGTCGCCGGAGACGGCCCACTCGTCCGAACGTGATGAGCGGGGGCCCCGAACTTGACCTCGGACCTTCAAGAGTTGCCGGGCCGCAAGCGCGACGGGCTCCTCTAGGTCAGGCTCACCGGATAGTGCTTCCTTGATGTCGCGGACAAGTTCGGAGCCAGGCCCAGAGACGGTGACGGCCTCAAGCGCGAACATGGAACAGTTCGGGGCGTAAGAGGGTAACATCCGAGTTGTCCTCGGAGATGCCGTGGTCAGGCCGACGAGAGAGAGCGTCGGGGCGGCCCATCTGGCGACCTGGGGACGTGGTGCAGCGTGAAGTCAAACCTAGAAAGGTACAACGACCATCGGGCTTGCCGACGATTAAGGTGCTGTGCCTTTCAGAAATACTCCAAATTCTTATGGTCAGTCCAGATCTCGACCGGATGCGCGGCGCCCTCGAGGAAATGCCGATACTCCTCGAGTGCGCGGATGATCGCGAGCATCTCCTTGTCGTGAATCTCGTAGTTGCGCTAGACATCATTTAAGCTTTTGGAATAGAACGCCTACGGGTGCCACTTCCCGTCCGGGGCGGATTGTTGTGAAAGAACCGCCCCCGTCGCATAATCTGAGCTGTCTGCTTCAAGTCGGAAAGGCCGGGAGTCGTCCGGGATCGCTAAGACGGGCTCTGAGACGACCGCGTCTTTGATAGCTTGAAAGGCGGCGGCCGGCGTCTCCCCAGGCCCATTTCTGGTCTTTCTTGGTGAGCGAAGAGAGGTTGCGCTAGGGCCGAGAAATCCCGAATGAACCTGCGGTAGAAATTAGCAAACCCCAGGAACTGCTGGACGTCCTTCTTGTTCTCGGGCGGAGGCCATGCAGAGACTCCGGCAACCTTAACGGGATCCATTTCGACGTGGTTGTGAGAGATGATAACCCCCAGGTACTCGATCGATGATTTCTCGAAGTCGCACTTCTCCTTGCGGAGGTACAGCTTGTGCATTCGGAGTCGCCGAAGGACTTTGCGGACGATCTCGCGGTGCTTATGGAGGTCCGAATGTGCGATAAGGATATCGTCAAGGTAGATCATAACGTCTCCTGAGAGAATGAGATCCTGGAAAATGTCATTCATCATCGTTTGGAAGGTCGCGGGGGAGTTCGTCAGGCCAAAATACATCACCAAAGGTTCGAACAACCCTCGGTTGGTCCGAAAGGCTGCCTTCCACTCGTCTCCTTCTTTAATCCGGACGTTATTAAAGCCCCAGCGAACGTCGAGTTTGGTGAAGTAACGGGCGCCCTTAAGCCTGTTGATAAGGTCATTAATCAACGGGAGGGGGTACCGGTTCTTAATCATCATTGCGTTGAGGGTGCGGTAGTCCTGGACAAACCGAAGTCCTCCGTCCTTTTTCTTAACGAAGAAGACGGGGGAAGCCATCGGAGATTTCGAAGGGCGGATACGGCCTGTGGCAAGTCCCTCCTCGATGAACTCGTCAAGTTCGCGCTGTTCAAGGGGGGAGATCGGATACACCTTGCAATTAGCGGGCTTCGCGTCGGGAACGAATTCGATAGCGTGGTCCCAAGCCCTCCGCTCTGGTAATGTGTCGAAGGACTCCTTGTCAAAGACGTCTTGGAACTCCTTGGCCCAGTCTGGAATTTCCGAAGGCGGGGGGGCCGAGTTACGGGCGAAGGCCTCTGCAAGGCGTTGGGACACGGTGCTCCCAGCGCGAATCTCCTCGATTGGGCGAAAGGAGGTGTAGAAGATGCGGTCGCCGTCTTCAAGATGCTCGTCGTCCACCTGTAGTTGTGCACATTTGACAACTGCACTGAGCACACTGAGTCAACCTGGTGTCAAATCCACTAGCTCCACTGAGGCCTGAGTGCAGCTAGTGCATTTGTCTTCTGTCCCCCTATAAGACTGATTAAACTTTGATATAACATCAGAATTAATAATTATTATAGTTAATAAATGAATGTTAAGTTCCTTTTCTTCAGGCCGAAGACCCGTTATATAATTTGGAAGACTATATATCTAGAAAATAATCAATAATCCCAATTTGGACAGAAATGATGTAGCAGGTTACAATCATCAAAACTTTTGATGGCAATCAAAAATGTTTCCACATTGATGACATCATACAGATGACATCACTCCCATCATCAATTACTATTATAATAGTCTTAAATAAATAAAATAAGGTTTTCAAAGAATGTGACATATGTGACAAAAAGCCCTGCTCAGTGTATTTGACACCAGGCATGCTAGCTGCAGCTAGTTGC